TATTAACACAAATTAACAAAGATTTCAAAGCTCTAGAATTATCACAGGTTAAAAACTAAAAATACCTCTTGTGAAGAAGTTAATGTGTACATATGCAAACTGACGCCAAATAAATGAGTAATTTTCCAGTCATAGGCAGAAATACAGCTGATGCTCCCATGAAACACTCACCTGCTAATAATGTGTGACCTTCAAAACAGCTGTCTCACCCTGACTTTAATATTGTTACAGTTTACACTGTAAACAATCTGTTGGATTAATTTTGAAATTTAAATTTCTACATCTATTGTAGAAAGTAAGGCCAATCGGTAGTTTTATTTGATAATTTAGTTTTTTTATGTGAGTTTATTAATTTACCTAACCCGCCATGTTAAACTTCCCTATCCCAAGCGTGATGTATACAACTTCCTTACTTCTCGAGTGATGTAAAGTATCAAAAACTCACTCGGTGATGTAAAGAAACCCATTTAAATAACATTGAGAGCTTAACTTAAAAAATATACCTCTATGGAGCCAACGACGTTCAACGCTAGAAATCAGCTGTGCGCTTGAATGTTATTGTCAAGTCAAGTCAATCATTTATTTTCACATAACGTTTTACAGATCCAGCATAGCTGGGAAACAGGTGAAATGGTCATGGACAATTAAAATACATACAACTATAATAACTATACAATATGTTAAGAAATCAAATATATACATCATTTAAAAAATCATCAACTTTGTAATACCCTTTATTAAGCAGCAATTTGGTAACTTCTTTTTTGTATTTTTCAAAAGATTCTAATGATTTAATATTATCAGGAAGTTTATTATACAGTTTTTTCCCTAGGTATTGTGGAAGGGTTTCTAGTGAGGTAAGTCTATGAATGGGCAGTTGTAAATCATTTCGATGTCGTGTTAAGTAATTATGGTTATGGTTTTCATTCATAAAATATTCAAGATTTTTTTTAATAAATATTAATGTTTGCAGGATATAAACAGACGGAAGTGTTAATAATTTCAATTCTCTAAATAATAATTTACAGGATTGCCTAGGCTTTGAAAATGTCATAATTCTAAGGATCTTTTTTTGAATTTTGAAAATGGTTTCGGCATTTGAGCAGCTGCCCCAGAACTCTATTCCATACAACATGTTTGACACAAACAAAGCATAATAAACAATCATCCTTGTTCTGAGGTCAGTAACATGCTGCAGGACAGACATCTGGAAACAGACTGTATTTAGTTTATTAGCTAAAACTGATGTGTATTTATCCCAATTTAAAGTGTTTTGTACCTGAATACCTAAAAATTTTGTAGATGACGTTTCATTAATAATTTCCCCCTGAAAATTTATATTTAATTCGATGGTTTCTCTGTCATGAGTAGTTTTGAACCTGACAATTTGAGTTTTAGAACAATTTAGACTCAGACCATTTGCTCTGAACCATTTGTTTAAATCTTCAAAAGTTTGGTTTATCAAATTTTGTAAATTGTTAGGGCTGTTTGATTTTAATATAGCTGTTGTGTCATCTGCGTATAGAACAAGCTTTGAGTTTATGTTAAAAGGCAGGTCGTTAATATAGATTAAAAACAACAAGGGTCCCAATATAGAGCCCTGAGGTACACCACAATAGATCATTTTCCATTTTGAAAAGTTATAGATGTTATCTTTAAAAATAATAGTTCTTTGAAAGCGGTTTGTAAGATAGGATTTCAAAAACTTCAAAGCAATTGGAGAAAAATTGTAGGCTGTATATTTTTATAGGCTGTATTGTTATGCTTTAAAGTATTTTCCTAACCTAGCTTTTGTTTGTAAAAGAACGTTACTGCTAGAAGATGAGTGAAATGGATAATGAAAAATATTGTACGTAAACCCATGTATATTGTCGGGTCAGGTAAAATCTTGTAGGTTACACGTTACGCAAGAGCGTGTTTACATCACTTAGGTGAATTATGCAACTCGCTTCCGCTCGTTGCACAACATTCACCTGCGTGATGTAAAAACGCTCTTACTACACTTGTAATGTAAATAGCTATTAAAATGCTAATGCTGCTCATTTTAATTTGCATAATCTGAGATAAATTTGTACTGTTAACGGCGCAAAGAAAAGGCCTCCATTACAGCAAACCTGCAGATTTAGCAAGTTCCTTGTTGATCTACTAAGTTTGTATACCTTAAAGATCAGTTATTTCTTAGTTTATTTTAACACTGCAGAGTACCCGTCCTTCGTACGGGATTGGCATATAAGTATAAAATGCTTAGTACAGTTATACCGGTACTCAAGCTTTGCGTTTGCAATGGGGGAGGACACAGTATAATAAAAATTGCTTCTTTAAATTTACGGTATACTATAGTATACCATAACCATAATGTTCTACTACTTCACCCTAACAATAGAAAAAAATAAATTATTAAAGATTCACAAAATATGACAAATTATCCGTGAAATTTAAAACATAACCATAAGTGTAAACACACAGTTCTCATTGCGTATCACAGTTTTTTTGTTACTGCTTAGTTCAAATTAGCTGGTTTCATAAATGAAAAAAAATAATAGTGCTGCACCTTGTTGGTAAATCCTATATCTTTTAATGCTTTTGCATATCATAGAACAGAACCAAACTTTTTAGTCGAAATAGCTGACTAAATTCTTTAATTCCATTAAAATATGAGTTCTCATAAGGTTAACATGGGAAACTCCAGAGCCACTGGGGCGAAGCCGGAAAGGATTTTTGAGATAAGAATATGCCTACCGGTATATGTTAATCAGGAATGTGACCTATCATCATGCCAAATTTCTGCCTAATCCGTCGAATAATTAATGTGTGATTGAACTTCAAACAAACAAACAGACAAACTTTCACATTTATAATATTAAAGATTTTTTTAATGATATAGTCATTGAATAGTCATTGAATAGTCATTTATTCAGTCTTTAAACAATACATTATTGTAATTGACATAAATATATATATTGATATAAATATTTGTCTAGCATTTCAATTGGGTACAGTTCCGCAAAGAACCTGTGATACCAGATTAAATCAAGAATATTAACAATTTTGATTCGGTTCACTTTTAATATCACATCACATCAAATTTAATTTTTACTATATGATATAAATAAATAAAAACAATAACAAAACGTTAATAAAGTCGTTTGTTTATTTTATCCTAAATTTGTAAACTAAAAAAAGAAGAAAGTATAGTAGTCTACTGTACATGAATTAAGTTAGACTTTGTTTGTTTTGTTAACGTTTCTTTTTTTTCTATTTTGATAGTTTAATTTATTAAACATAAATAAAAACCTAAACAGATCATAACTCAATTCAACATAGCCTACTTTAGAAGCAAAATATTGAACCTAATCAAAATCGATAATATCAATATTCATCCGATAATATATCGCAGGTTCTCTGCCAGAACTGTAACCTTTCAATTGCCTGGTATAGACAAACAACCTATATTAGTACATTATTACCCTTTTGGGTACTTTCCTGTTAAAGGGAACATTCATTATTATCGATGTTTTTTTTTCCATTACATCGACATTTGATCCGAAGTATGTATACTAACGGATTGAAACATATTAGCTGACAGCTACGATAATAAATAGTGTTCAGTACCGGTATAAACAAACAATTTTATGATTTCATTAACAAAATGTCATTTTGGGATTTACTGTCAAAAGAAAATAGGCCTATAGTCCTTGCCACCCTAACTTGAGGCAGTCCAAGGCCGCACGCCGTATATCTACTGGCTAGGCCTAGTGCAATTGAATGTTTAAAATGTTAATGTTTATTACATCGTGAACATCAATGTACTAATACTAATGGTCTGTATTTTTTTCATTCTTATTTTGTTTTTATTATTGTTTGATATGTCTTTTACAATACTATTACAAGTTTTAATTCATTAATGTATGTTTTTTTTAACAGTTAACATACCTACAACCTAAGTACCTAACCTTAATAACCTTTAATAACATAACCTAACCTAAGTATGTGAAGGCAAACCTACATAAATTCCCTACAAGAAATACTGTTCATAGCCATGGTACAAGACATCGCTCCGACCTGGACATACCGTTCTGCCGGCTGTCTAAAACCAAAAACTCTTTCCCAACGCTTGCCCTGAAGATTTACAACCACCTGCCTACGTCAATCAAAAATCAAGGGGAAACGGCCTTTCGTACAGCCCTGAAAAACTTGTTGAGGGAGAAACCATACTACAGCCTACAAGACTATTTTAATGAAAAACTCTTAAGTCAATAAGCCTGCGGAAAAATCATCCACCGCCAAAGTACTTTTAATACAGGTCATACTTCAATCTATGGAAGTTTTTATGTATATAGTGTAAATAGAAAATAGACGCAACCTATCCGGCTTTGCTGGTCTCGGTCAAGGAGGAGGTAATTAAGGTAATTAAGGTACACTAAAGAAAAAACTTTCTCTACTTGTACCGATCGCCGATAGCTTAGGCTACATCATTTAATAGTATAGATATGGAAAAATAAAACATTGATATATAGGTCCATTGAAAAAATTCATTGATAATAATGAATGTTCCTTTTAACAGGAAAGTAGCTGTTTTGTTGTGCGCAAATTGATTACCGTGCCAATAAATATTTCTAGTACTACACTGCTATGCTCACTTTGTGATTTCACCTATTATCCTTAAGGGAAATATTACTTACTGTAGGCTAAACTAGGTTACCTACTTAATAGTAGGCTATATAGAAAATTCAAATTAATTTATTTCTTAAATTAGAAAAAGTTTTCATTTATTTTAGTTTTGAAAGTATTTCTTATAGCACCAAGCCATAGTAACTTACTCATTGATCCATCAAAACTTAACCTATAGGTACTATTTATGGATTTAGTTGTAATACATTTTTTAGATCTTGAATCACCTTGAATAAAATAGCCTAAATCAACAAGCAACAATTTACTAAGTCTGTACGTTCACTGGGGACTTTGTTTTTATGAATTAAAATAGGCGAAAAAGCTCTTACCTTGGGTGATTTTGGGTCGCTTGACCTACTGTCCTTCCTTAAAGGATGGCTGCTTTTGACAGTGTATGCATCCTCTTCCATCATTTTCTCTTGTAAATCTTGAGCACTGTGATAAATAGTATAGCGTGATAAATTTATGTAATCATTCTTCCTTGGTATTGAGTGATTTGATATAGTGTCACTGTAAACATCTTCTGCTGAATTGTCCATTCACTGAAACATAACTTTACTTTAAGTCCACAAATAGGCCTAGAGAAAATATCTGAATTCTGGTCTTGAGTAAAGTTTAAAATAAGTATAACAGTCCTTCTGAAGCATAAAAACTTGAGGTGGTGTGTTGTTTAGTTGATTCAACCAAAGAGTTTGAAACTCTCATAGAACCCTTCACACTGTGTTACTCTATAAGCCTTTTTGCATCCAAAATAAAATATCAAAATTACAATAACTATTTGTTTAGCAGATTAAAATTTGTTAACTACTTCTCTGTGGGTATACACAGTACCCTTAATCATTAATTATTTCCTCTCAACAGTGCAAGAAGAATGAATAGGACACCACACAAGCTATGTACAGTATAGTCAAAATATACAATTCACCTTTACCTTAACCTTTAATTCACTAAATTGAACAATCCACGAGATCACCATGAATTAGTGGTCTGTTTCAAGGAAAACCAGTATTGCACATAAAATGATTTAACCTATCAATTTTACCAACAAACTTTTTGAGGTTAAAAACTAATGTTAAATCACTATATTAAATAATTACTACTAACATAATAGTAGAAGTTCAAGTACTTTTTGGAATTCTGAATCAGTATGGTATTTTTGTAAGGAATAAATTTAAAATTGACAATTTCACATCACAACTCTATACATCATGAAGCATATTTATATTTATGACGTTTGACGTTTGGCAGAAGGGCCATTAAGGGGGGAGGGTCTCAGGATCAGATGTGAAGGTCCTTTTTCTTTTTATCTCCACCACATTAGTGGTAACACTAGGATTTTAACCCATGAAGCTATGGAAAACTCGTATAAATAAAAATCAAAGGAAAATAATGAAAACATATTATACATGCAATATGCAATAAGCATAAATAATACAATTAATTATTTAATTGTAAAACATGGACTGTACCACCATTGGTACCTATCTTAGAAACTATTAGATGAAAAAGTGTTAATAGGTAACTTGTTTCTTCTGAAAAACAGAATGGAAACTAAATGGAAAAAATTATGTTATTTTCCCATTAAAAACCCATAAAATTAGAGAATATCGTATTTTCGAATGAAACCGGGTTAGATTGAAATTAGTATGTGATAATACTTATGATTTCAAACAACATAGTGCAACCCCCCATTGCTGTAAAAATTATTGTTCAAAAGTTATTGTAGCTTATGTTATTTTCCCATAAAAACCAATTAAAAAAATAGAAAAATTGATTTTTTGAAAAAACCCGATTCTGATTGAAATCCTTATAATTCTAAACAAAATAGTGCATCCCTTCATTCCTGTTAAAATTACTTCTCAAAAGCCAATGAAACTTTTGAGATTTTACCTATAATTAAATGCCATAGGTTACTCTCATCGCTTACCCATGATAAAGGTTGTTGACAAGCTAATGGGAGGAAGTATATGTCAGATTGCTGATACAGTTTATTTTTTATGGTTATATCATTTTATTTTTCAAAACAGGAAACAAAATTGTAAACTAAAACACGATCCTATTGTCACCGAATGAAACCAGCTATAATATTGTCTTCTTTGGATTGGAACCATATATCCATAAGGATGTCATCTATCATGGGAGTATCAGTATCTATCACACTCTCAAATCTTTATAAAAATATAATTTATATATGAAACAAGGATTTCTTATTTATACAAACGATACAAAGTTTACTCAGTCATAACATAGATAAAACATACTCCCTTAGAATACTTGTGTTGGTTTGTCTATGGTCATAATCTTATTCTACAGTTTTTGTTATTGTACAGTTTATGTCTCAATGATCAAAAGACTCTTGAAATTCTTTTTACTTCTAGCCGTCTCAATGCTGCTAAAGCAAACCCTGTTAAGTTTTTGGGAATTCATCTTGAGCCTGGGTTGGGATGGGAAACTCACATTGACACTGTTGTAAACAGAATATGTAGAGGTATTTTTCTGCTTAGAGTTTTGAGTATGATTGTTTCCATTGATGCACTTGTAACTGTTTACCATGCTCACATATTTAGTCATTTATCCTATGGCACTATTCTCTGGGGTAACCACTCCTCCGTTATTAAATTACTAATCCTGCAAAAGAGAGCTGTACGTATAATGTGTGGAACTAGGCCTAGAGCACACTGCAAGCCTTTGTTTGTTCAGTTAAAACTACTCACTCTTCCAGCTATTTATGTTTTGGATTGCTTAATTTATGTGAAAAAGAATGTCCACAATTTATTGTTATGTGAAAATCTACATAATTACTCTACTAGGCAAAAGAATCACATATTTATTAAGTACAATTATTATTCCAGGACCTTAAAAAGTTTTGAGGTAACTGCACTTAAGCTGTACAATGTTCTTCCTACTGCAATCAAAGACCTGCCACTAAACAAGTTTAAAGACAGGATTAAACACTTTTTGGTTAACAGCCCTATTTATAACACTTGTGAATTTTTTGATCTGGACTATTCATTATTGTAGACCATTGCTGACTGTGTAGCCATTCTATGTAAATGTACCTTGTAATTTATGCATGTATGTGATGCATGATGCAGACCTAATTTATTAATTTATTTATTTCTTGTATGCTACTTGACTTTTATTGATGTGTGCGTTTTTGCAACATTTTGTAATTATTTTTTGTGACGAGACTGATAGCATGTAATTGTTGAATGGTCAATAAATTCTTGATTCTTGATTCTTTTGTTGTTGTAGAATAAAGCAAACCATGCAGTTACATGGAAAGAAATTAACTGACCAAACTTTGCTTGAAAAAATTGCAATTGCTCCAACTTGCAATTGCAAGTCAGAGAGAAAACAAAAGAGACTCAAAGAGAGGAACGGAGTACGGATTTTGTTGTCCCCAAGTTAGGTTAGGTCTACCACTTCCCAGACTAATTTGTTCATCTCTCCACACTACACTCTGACTCTTTACATAAAATATAAGATAACCAGTTAACAAAACATTAAAATGGCAACTATGGTTGATTCAGGTTCTTTCTCCACTGCTCCGGATTGGTTTATGGAAGCCCAAAGTACAGGGGTAAGAAATATAAATAAGTTAACATTTATACTTATGATCATTCAGTACGGCCACAAGTTAAGGACTTGGGTTAATCGTATTAGACTATTACAACCTGTTGTTTCTGTAAAATAAAATGTTTTGTTCTCATTAAATTCACTTAATCCTATAACAGTTAGGACCTATAATAATTTAGAGAGACTGTGAAATATGCAACTCATCATAGGCTTCCCCTGATTTAAGTTGGGTACACTTCCATATCTGTTGGCACAAACAACCGAATGAAAATATCGATCGATATATCGAATTAAACAATCGAATAATCAATATTACTCATTCGGTTGTTTGTGCCAACAGATATGTAAGTGCACCCTTAAGTGTTTGTGAAGTGTAAATACTGACTTGACATCACTGGAAGATCATGAATTCATTGATGATATCGGCTGCTTAAGCCTACGAATGAAGACTAAAAGAGGGTTTTATTGTAGCTTAGAGTAGGCTATAAAGGATTACATGAAATTGGCATTGTTTTGTTACAGACCACAATTATGGCGGTCGAATTCGAAGGAGGAGTAGTTATTGGTGCTGACTCGCGAGCAACCACTGGGTTAGTATCTTTACACACCATATAAAATGTAACTTAAAGTACTTCTTAGGCTACCAGACTCAGTACTATAGCTTGGCAGTAGCGTCTTGGACTGATGACCTAGACATTAATGGTTTGACAATGACCTTCCAGCTTTATCATCAAGGCCTCTACTGACTTGCCAATGCCTTTAGACCGTTATAACCTTTAGACTACCAGTTCTTTACTATTTCTAGTGCCCTACAGTGAACATTAAATGTAACCCCCCTACAACTAGGCCGTAGGGCTTAAAAGGCTATAAGTTAGGCTAAAAATAATATACCCCCGCCGCAGCAAACCTGCTAACTAAGCTTATTTCCATCTGCCTGAAATTGATTTTTAATTAGGCCTAAATCTATTTTAATTTAATTTAATATTTAAATAACATTAGGATTAACGAGTACCTAGGTTTGCTGCTACAGGGAAACTAATGAAGTGTGTTTTTTAGTAAAATATTAATAGAAATTTTTGGGCTGCACTTTACTTTAGGTCCTACACTCATTCGAATGAAAATATCGATTATTCGATATATCGTTTGGTTAGTTAGGTTAGGTTAACCTTACCTAACTAACCAAACGATATAACTTATCGAATAGTCGATATATCGATCGATATTTTCATTCGAATGAGTGTAGGACCTAAAGTAAAGTAAATTTAGGTCTACCAAGTTTGATCAAAATACATCCATAAACTACAACAGTTTACAATTAAGTTATCTCCATAAGAATAACATGGACATTTTAAATTTACATTTTTTGGAATTTTCTCCGTTACCAATAACCTTACAAAAACACTTTTTAACCGTATAAGACCCTCTGTAAAACCCCGTTTCCATGGTCCAATCATGAATAACCTTACAAAGACGCTTTTTAACCCCATAAGACCCCTTGTAAAACCCCATTTCCATGGTCCGATCATGCTGGCTCATGAACTCATTCAAGTTTATCCCGCCTTACATTTGTTATAAGGAATGGTGTTTTAGGACACATATATAAACTTTATATCTACAAGAACTTGAACGAATGGTGTTTTTAGCCTCTTGGGGAAATCAAAATTAAAAAGTAAATTAGTCCTGGGCCTATGTATTACCGTGCCACCTATGGTAATAGCTACTTCCTTATAGGAAAATTCGTTAAAAGTATCCCAACGAAGATGCCGCTATTGTAACTAACGTAAAAATCTCGCCACAAACTTGAAACTCTACTATAATATTGTAAAAAGGTTAAAATACCTGTAACTGCCTCGTGATTCCTCTGTTCCTGAATCACGAGGCAGTTACAGGTATTTTAACCTTTTTACAATATTATTGTCAAAGTGATTCGGAATAAACAACACAACATGAAGTTGAAACTCTACAATTAGGTTATAAGTAAGAAATGTAAAATTACACCTAAGTTTATTATTTTGTATGAATAAAAAAAAAGTGCCGAGAACAACAAAACTAGATATTTTTCAAAACACAAGTTTCATTTTTGTTTTATTTCCATCCGGGCCGAGATTGAGGGACAGGGATTAAATTCATTTCATTGATGATTTACCACTTTCCTACCTCTTTAATTTTTGTCTCAGTAACAGTTCAGAACCTTAAATTAATTTTAAATGGTTTTGGAAATAATAATATTGTGTAGGTACTGTCTACTTGTAAACAGTCCATTATGTCGATGTTTGGCCATTTTGTTCTAATGGATAAGAATCTAATGGGACTCAGTTTTTCTTTACATTGCCTCTGTCTTGGTTGTAGAATTTTAAATTTGTTGTGTTTACCAAAATTCTGGTATAGGCCTATTTACAAAAACAAAATTGTGACCTCTTTGTGAGACATCCCGAGTCAACTGTTCCTGAAATCCTTATTAACAGCAAAGTCGGTCTACTAGTGTTTTTCTTTTTCCTAGTCAGACTACATGTTGTTTCACTCTACAATCTCACCTAAGTCTGATTGTTGTTCCAGTTCGTACGTGTGCAATCGTATCGCAGACAAGCTGACGCGTGTCACAGACTACATCTACTGTTGTCGCTCTGGTTCCAGCGCCGACACTCAGGCCATCGCTGATATAGTGTCTTACCACATGAACTTTTACCGGTCAGTACAGGTTTATTTGTAGTCATATCAATCAATGTTCTTATGTATGATTAAGACGTTACTTTTCAGGGAGATTAGCTCAGGTAGTGTATCTAAGATACCGGTTAGTTTTTCTTCAGGAATATACAAGTAAAAGTAACAAATGTGACACAGATATTTTGTTTTGCCACAAGGCTTCATCAATGTGGTGGATTGATAACACCCTTAAAGTATTTTGCTATCTTACAGTTACTCTTACTTTCAGAGTATTTGTAACAACAAATTACACTATATAACGGAACGATCCAAAAGCATCAGATAACTTAACCTTTTGAACGTGAAATGTATTGATTCTTTTTTATTATACTTAGAGCGGAGACCGGGGAAGAGCCGTTGGTGGAGTCAGTAGCTGCTCTGTTCCGAGAACTCTGCTACAGCTACAGGGACCAGCTGACTGCCGGCATCCTGGTCGCAGGATGGGATAAACGTAAAGGAGGACAGGTGAGAATCTTGTGAATAGTCGTCTTGCATTTTTTCCCCCTCCCATATACATAGTAGCCTATATGGAGAAAGTATCATTTTTGTCAAAATTTTTGAGTTTGAGTTTTGGGTGGTTATATCCGTTTTTAAGTCCCTCTAAAGTCTGAATCGAAAATAGTTATTTTCAAAGTCGTGTTTGTGTGAGCGGGGATGTGTAGCCTACAGAGCTACAGACCACACCTATGGTCCAATTTTAATGAAATTTGGTATGTGGCTACTAATCCATGGCATCTCTAGACTCTTAAAAAAAAGTTCTATGAAAACCCTTACAATAACGGTAAATCGGATTTTCAAAAAATGGTTCAAATATTTTGATTAAAATATGACGTATGATAGCCTATAGTACTTTTCCTCCAAACAAAAAGATACAACCCCCATTGCTGTAATAATTACGCTTCAAAAGTTATTGCAACTTTTGTCATTTCCCTATCTCCACCAAAAAATATCACAGTGGCAAGATAAGAAAGTATGCCTATGTCATGGATTATTTTTAATTCACTCTGAGCTGAGCAAGAGTTGTGTAGGAAACCCATCTTAAACTATTCTGAATGGTGTTTTTGTGGTATCCAGGAATAACCACGGTTTTATTGGAAGGAGCGTTTTTAACAGTTGACTGTTGGTTCATAACTGGACCCAGCTGTCCTTTACAGTTTGGCTTGTCATAAATTTGTGCTGGCTAAAAAACCAGCTGATCTTAGTAACAAAGCAGTCCTATTATTCATTTATCCCTGGGAGCGTTTTTAACGTACACCAAAAAGTCTAATCCCCCATGTTGTCTTATATAAGGTGAGAGTTTTGACACATGCTGAGTACATTGACACCGTTAGAGTTCTGACAATTGTGTGTACAGGTGTACGTTGTGCCTATTGGAGGAATGTGTGTTCGTCAGAAGGTCGCCATTGGAGGTTCTGGCAGCACCTACATCTACGGCTATATAGACGGCAACTTCAAAGACGGCATGAGCGTTGAGGAGATCAAGAAGTTTGTCACCAACGGTGAGTTTATTGCTCTTGTCAAAAGTGTGGATTTCCAACAAAATTTTTGTTGTATTTTAAAATGATGGATGTTGTTAATTTTGCGCAAGAGCCAACAGACCAAAAAAGTCATTCCGTTTCCTTTTTGTGAAGGACTCACTCCTTTTTAACCCCACTCCATTATAAAAATGGTTTAACCAAAACATTTTACAAAAATTCAAATCAAATGGAATATTAGTTAGACAAATAACTGCCCACCCTGCCACAAATAATCGGACACCACTGTGAAGATAAAGTTAAACAGTAATTGTAGAATATTCAGAGTGTATTTAGTGTATGGTTTTTAGGATGAATAGTAGGGTAATGCAAATAATACAAAAAATACTGTTGTAGACATCTTGAGTAGAAGTGTGTAAATTAAATCACTTTTCGTTCGCTATCTCTAGAACTGGTAAAAGTACTAGGTATATAATAAAAAGATGTAAATAGTTTGACAAAAAAACTGAAAATAAAAACAGATTGAATTTTTAATAGATATTTTAGAGAGTACAAAAACGTTCATTTACTTCTCTTTCCTCAGCTATTTCACTGGCCATGCAGAGAGACGGGTCAAGTGGAGGAGTTGTTCGGCTCGGAGTAATCGCCAATGGAAATCCCATCGAGCGATCAGTTATCTTCGGAGAACAACTGCCTAACTTTGGCTACGCTTCTTGAATTGCTTTTTCTAATGTTCGTACTCACTAAATTAATAAACTTTGATTTGTAAGTTAATAACTCTAAATTTCCTTGTAATTCTTAACCATGAGACCAAGCAAGTCAAAACCTGTTCATCTAGTGCCGTTTGGTTCTGACATATTTAATTGCTGTGTTACTTCATTGCTCAGTATGGTACTGTGTTTTTTTAATTTTAATTTTGAGCACAAAGAGCACCATAGGTATTGATTCATTGATCCTTAAATAACTTCTTGATCAGGATTTCGGAACACATTTTTGGAATATAAATAAAATACGTCTACGTAAGCTTGAAACATTCTTATCATTTGCCTATCGGGTATGATGACGATTGGGTAAGTCCAATCAAAATACATCCTACTTAACAATTGTTTATATATATTTACCAGTGAGTTAACAGTATAAGTGTAAATATATGTTTCAAGTGTTATTAGATGCATTTTAATTTTTTTCTGCAATTTTGAACACGAAACACACTAAATTTATCAAATAATCTTTGTATTACCTGATGGGTCAGACTTTTTTTAGCTTGAAAAAAGTTGCAAAAATCTGATGAAAAGGGAATTTTGTTGTACACATTACACATATAAGGATTTAGTATGACATATCTGTTAATGATTAATTATTAGTCTAATGATTTCAAAACACTTTCTACAACCAATGGAAATTTTAAAACGAGAACAACAATTAGAAGCATTTATGTATTTCCTTCAAAGTACAAGATCAGCCTTTGTAAGACAGGTGTTTGAACTGCTAAACAATGTTGATTGGATCTCTGTCACGCTGGGAGATGATTACGTCCAAAGTTCCGCTGAAGTGTTGCGACAGTAGAGGAGCAAAGCAAGACAAATAGCCTCGCTCCGAGTCAGAATGGTTGATCAACACAACGCTCGACCTGCAACAAACATGTTTGGTGAATTGAAATTTATAAGTCACTTAGTAAAATTGTGTCAAGCTTTTTTAGCATAACATCAAATTATTATCTGTCTTTAATTCCCACGTTTTTTTTTCTTCTGGAGGATAAGCAAAGCGTAAGATCAATCCATCTACCCAATTCTGACACAGAAGCAAGACAATCCCACATGAGCCTTGAGTTGAAAGGCAACCCATAAAGCCCATGTTAATTTTTTATAATTTTTAAATTCATTTTTCGTGTTTATTTTTAGCCCATCTTAATTTATAAAGGGGTTCAGCACATCTACAGGAAAATATCTTTTCATCACTCCGTAACGAAAGTAACTCTTTTAGATACTAGCTGACATCAATGAAAGTAGTCGTTTCCCAAGCTCGAATTTAGGGCGAGGGAAAATCGATCAGCTGATTTTCCCTCGCTCTAAATTTAAATTTACTTTCCCTCGTTCTCAATTAGTTCTCCATTTATTCTCTACGCGCGCTAGTGTTTTGTCACCGTTTAATTTAATGATTTGAATCAGCTGTATATTGTTAAAAGTTGTTTTATTCTTTTATTTTCATGTTTAAACAAAATTTATTGTTTCCTTTTAGATTTTATTTTATTTTGATGTTCAATCAAATTAATTGAGAAATAAAATAGTTGTAATGCAGACTGAGGTCTGCTAATCCGTGATCACCAAAGTGTGCATCAAAGTATGCCACAATCGTTCATAACTCGTACCGAAAGTTATTATCCGGCACTTGCTCCTCGACGTGAAAATAGCTTTCACATACTCGGCTTCGCCTCGTATGGTACGTGAAATTGATGTTCCCTGTGTTCGGCTTTGCCTCACACAAAAACTTGAGCGTGCGACAGTAAATTCCACTTTCGGTCCTAGTAATGAAATATACTATTCTACCAGTATGCGTAGATTTTCCCTGTGATGCACACAAGCTGAGAAAAACGGATTTAAAGAAATATGCTTGCCTATTAATATATAGATATTCTTTTTATTTGGCTAATTAAATTAATTTGTTTAATACTGTTCTATAAAAACTTGATTACCTTCCCTGTAGCAGCAAACCTATGTATTGTTAAAACAAAATGTATTTTGATAGGGAACAAATTGTATTATTAGGGAAATATTTTGGGGAAATACAATTAGGCAAATGGAAATTCACTTATTCTGCAGGTTTGCTGCGGGGGGTATGGTTTATTAGTGTAAATATATACGCACCCGCAATGGTTGGCATCAAGTATATCATGGTGCAGCATTTCTCCTGTCACGTACAAATCAGCACGAACCCCTCGCAAAACAGACGCTCCTGATCCTGCCACTACTGCCACTGACTCTACACTGGAATCTACAACAGAAAGATAAACTCATGTGTTGCCTCTATAGATATGTGTGAGCCTCTAGGAGTTCTACCTACATCTAAACTGGTGGTAGTCGTGCTCGCCTAACAATCAAAAGGTGCCCGGATCAATCCTGAGGAAAGTCAGAGCTTTTTGACGGTTCGGAACTGAATCCAGCTGTTCCTGATCAGTGGGCCTTAAATAAATGACTTGGCTAATCAAATAGTTTTATCCAAAGAAAGGCTCTAGGCCAGGATTTTGAATTGTAGAAAAAGGAGGATAGCAGCTAGCTCACCTTGATGAAGTGTAGTTAGGCCGCAGAACATTCAGAAGAGACACAGAGCGCACAATATTTCGTCCCCTGACAGCAACCATTTTGTAAACTCGAATACTTATTCTACACTTGACAAAGCCCCTCAGGGGACGAAATAGTGTCTCTTCTGTACGTTCTATGGCCTACCTACACCCCTTGAGGTAAGCTAGCTGCAATCCTTTTTCTACAATTGGCTAATGCAATAGCTTATCTTAGTCAATAACAAAGCTAAAATGATCATCTCACTCAATTCTAAACCCATATTTGGGTTAAAATATGCATCTAGGTGGCACGCCATCTTAATTGATAATGATAAGCTATTACAAGGACTATTTTCTTCAATTTTCCTTAGTGATAAGTGGTGTGGAAACCTGAGATTTTAACTCGAGCTGAGCTAAGGAAAAAAGCTCAATCTTTTTTTAAGCTTAGCTTAATCCTTTCAAAAATGCATTTCAATGTTATGATGTAGAATTAAATAGTACATGAGGGTTTCAAAGTACATAAGGGCAAATTAAAAATGAATAGCATCTCATTTTCTTCATAGGAAACTTTGAAACTTTTTCTTGAGATTGGTATGGTGGTAGGAATGCTGAAATAAAAAGAAAAGTGATCCCAGGCATAAGTCTTACCATAATAAAAAAAACTACTTCCCTACAGGAAACTTTTTTAGAGGAAAGCTTAACCTAAATTACTGAAATGAATATAAAGAGTTATTTAAACAATCCCCTACTATCAATAATAGCTTTGTGTGTTACCCATTGTCTTTCCCTTCTCCAAAGCTATTCTTATTTGAGGCATATTGACTAGTTTCTTAATTTTTTCAACTGCTTCTGATAATTTTATTGCAGCTTTCAACTTTCCAACCCGTCCAGTACCGCAGTCACTTAATGGGACCTGCAAATGAAAATAATTAAAAAGCAAACATAAAAAAATGCTTAATGGTACTATATACCTGAACATTGTGAAAAAATTCAATTATTTGTTTTATAAAAGTAGTTTACCCAACAATCTCGTACAGATAGTATCTACGACACGAGAGGCGAGCGCCTTAAAAACTTTTGGACTATCATAACTAGTTCCAACAATTTTCAGACTATTTCCCCGAGTTTCGTACACTAATTTAGACTTGTTTACTATTATACTCATAACTTAAAATTGAGGTTATGTTTTCGTTTATAACCTCTCATTGCCACTGGTAGTGATTCAACCTCATTGTTCCAACCACTCAATAACAATTCAATTGGTCTTAACATCTGATAAGTTGGTGTTCAAAGCATTACAATTTTACTTCTTTTCTCTCAATCCTTGAACCTCATTGGTCCGTTACTAGTGTTTTAAAGTAAGAAAACAATGTCGTAAAGTGAATCTTTTAAATTATAAGAACTGAACTGTTAAGGCTAAGTTTAAAAAACGGTCGTAGGTAAAGGTTTTTTTACTACGAATTAATTTTTCCATCATGTTTGAGGAAAATTGGTTTGATGACAACATTAATACAACCATTATGTTACAACAATTAATTTTCAAAGTTCTGCATTGCCTTACTTGCCAATTGACAGTAGCCTATGCCAGTAACGCTTTTTTGAAAAATTTTATTTATAATGCAAATTCTTAGTTATTTTATTTTAAATAATCAAAAAATCAATAGAGTTTTAGTTTTAAAATTCAAGGGGTTTTACAATTTAACACATAATAATTACATACTATACATTACTAAGGGTCTTTAACTAAATTACTTAATTGAAAATGAGTTTATACTTCAGATTAAAATAAAATTTATTTGTCCATTGGACTAAAATACATTTTTCATCATCCCCTTCAGAATATACAGGGAGCGGCAGAAATATCTGACGGTTTTCAAGCGAGTACAGTCCGGCAGCCGAGAGGAGGGGGGTGTTGGGGAGCGGCTCATTCTCAAGGCCAAGTGACCCCATTTCAGTCGCCATTGAGCAGTGGACCGGTATACATCGCGCGTTTGTCGTTGAGGCGTATTTTAAAAGTGGCGATTCTATTGTTGATAGCATCTTAAGTTTCGTAGGCATTTTAATGTGGCTCGTGGGAATTATCAAAACCTATCCCATCCCAAAACACCATCAAATTGTGGGTGGATATCTTTAGATCCACAGGATCAACTGCAAAACGTAGGCCTACAGGCCGTCTAAGGTCAGTGAGGACGCCGGTGAACGTGGAGCGAGTGCGACAAGCTGTGCCAACGAGCCCGCATCGCCCGGCGCGTAGACAAGCTGCTGCTCTTGGCATGTCTGATCCCTCTATTCGACGAAGTTTGCTGAAGTTTTTGGACGATTGCTATTTTATATGGGTGAAAGTGAAGGTCCGAGTGCAAAATTCGTCGAATAGAGCGCTCAGACATGCCATGAGCAGCAGCTTGTCTACGCGCCGGGCGATGCGGGCTCGTTGGCACAGCTTGTCGCACTCGCTCCACGTTCACCGGCGTCCTCACTGACCTTGGACGGCCTGTAGGCCTACGTTTTGCAGTTGATCCTGTGGATCTAAAGGTATCCACCCACAATTTGATGGTGTTTCGGGATGGGATAGGTTTCCCACAAGCCACATTAAAATGCCTACGAAACTTACGATGGGTATCAACAACAGAATCGCCACTTTTAAAATACGCCTCAACGACAAACGCGCGATGAATACCGGTCCACTGCTCCATGGCGACTGAAATGGGGTCACTTGGCTTTGAGAATGAGCCGCTCCCCACCACCCTCCTCCACTCGGCTTCCGGACTGTACTCGCTTGAAAACTGTCAGATATTTCTGCCGCTCCCTGTATATGACATCATGTAACATTGCAAATAAAATTAGATACTTACCGAGACACGTTCGTAAATGTTGTATATACAACTGCTATTGTTTAAGGACGCTTCCAATCCACTTAAGCTCTCTTTCTGAGCAATTGCTTGGAATTTGAATTGATTTTCTATTTTAGAGGAACTGAAACAACAAAGAATTATTGGAATCAATATTTTACAGCAAAACTTTAGTTTTGAGGTTTTCCAATAGTGAATGTAGAGGACATTATCAACTTTGCATGTTTGTAAGTGCTCCTTACTTTCCAATAAAAAATCTAGTAAAATAAACTCGAAGAATAAAACGTCTGAATTAGTCTAACAAGCGTTGATGGTTCTACAAACTTTTGGCACACAAACACCTTATTTTCAGATTAAGCTTATAGCTTAGTACCACCAATTACTCCCTGAATAGAATGTAGGAAAAGTCTACAGAAAATAGACTCAATTATATTCTTGTGTCTTGTATTGTAGCTATAGTCTGTTTAGAAAATGTAGGCGGTTTGAAGGGAGTGCCCAAACCTCCCCCACTTAATGTACATTTCACAGCTGATTGATGTTTTGACAATCTCAGCTGTTGAGCTATGTTTTAATGGTAGGATCAAGACGTGGAGGGGATAGATTTATTGCCCTAAAACAACGTGAATTTTGTGAATGAAGTATAGAAAGTGTAGAATTTCTCATAGATTAGTCAAGTTATTGTACATCTGAAGATCAATTAAAATATTTATAAAATTTAGGGGAAAAATTAACCTTTGAGCTTCAAGAGGCTTATAATTCAGATACAAGAGCAACATAACCAAAATATTGCAAAGGACTATCTATGCGATAATAATAGAAATGGCTGAAAATATAGGAGTCGGGTAGTTGTATTGAGTCTGTCACCGCACATGTTATGGCAGGCGGCGCAAAATTTGGAAGATTTGTAAAAGGACACTGTGCTTTAATGTGTTTGGCAGTTATGTTAAGGAGTAAAGTAAAAATGAAGTTTTCAGATGTATACAAAAAATTGTTATTACTTAGTTATTTCTAGAATTACTGACTGGAGGTAAATTTCTGAACGGTCCTCATATAACGAAAAGATGAAAAACCCTTGGTTTTTTTTTCAATTAAGCTAGTTCTACTCTTATCCTTTCTAAGAAAAATTCTTTTACAGTACTTACCTTAAAATCTTACAGCCGTTCTGGTTGAGGATTCGCTCACACTCGAGGGCATCGTCTAAAGCTGACGGTGGATGAGAGAACACATTCACGTGGTGACTAAAGGCAGGATTACTCAAACGACCGGGGGACTTCAGAATAGGCTGCTTCTCGGCGAAATCTGAAAGTTTATAGTTTTAAAATAAGTATTGTGGTACCTTGTATCATATTCAATGATAAATTAGATGACTCCCGTGCTTTTCAACAGGGATAAGGACGTAGAAGAGAAATAATATGGTTCTAAAATTTGATGTATTAACAGTTGCACACCAACTTTACATTAGTAAATATGGTAGTGGCATTTCCAATCAAGAAATTAAAAATATTTTTAAGAAAAACTGTCCAAAATATTTTTAGTTGATATGCTTTTTCCTCTCCCATAAGTCTGAGATATTCACCCAACAGATAATTAGGTAAAGAAACATATACTTGGAAAGTATCCTATGTTCGTTTTAATTTTAATCCTAGTTTTTTTTTAGATTTGTTATATCTTCAAAATTAGCAATAAATAATGAAAATTGTAAAGATACTTGCCGAATTTCATCAAAATTGGATCAAAATTACTTTGAGTTATTGTGTTTGCTGATACACACAATATTTGAACGATGTATAATATAAACACAATATTTGAACGAATAGTGTTTTTGGCCCCTGGTGACATCAAAATACAAAAGTAAATTTGTCTCACATCTAGGTTTTGCTATACCACCTACGGTAATAGCTTTGACTATTGATACTAACTAGACATTCCATCCCCTATGTTAAAGTTGTCACCAGAGTTTTAGTCGTCGTATTTGATGTGAGCCACCCACAGATTGCGCTCATCTAAATTACTGATTTCTGTCGAATACACTATGTTTTTTACCAAGTACATATGATGGAACGACTTATTATGAGCCATAGCAACTATTATGACCCATCAACTATGTCAGCACAATAAAGGTAGAAAATAGAATTTCAGACACTAGCGCATTCTGTGACTGGCTCACACAACTTTTTTTTAAATTGGCAACAGCTGCTCCATATAGATGGGATGTCTACTTCTGTATCCAATAGGAAATGGTATAGCTTCTTCATATCGAAATTCACTAATTTGCAGGTATTTATACTATTTTCTCCTTTTTATCATCTAATCATTTTATTTTCTAAACAAGTTAAGAACGTACCAAAAGGACTGGCGAGCCAATCCGAAAGACCATCTTTGACTGCATCCCAACTTGTGTGAGGAGAGAAAAGGGCTATTTTGTTTTCAAGACATCTCGAGACTAACCTTTCCTGTGGAAGTTTTAAATAAGTTTAATTTCATAGCATTTAATTGTCATTGATTAATCAGCTGATAATAAATCACTGTACAAAGCACTCATAAAATAACAGAAAAATCGGTTTTAAAATAAACAGGCTAAAAGAATTTATTAAAATTCATAGTGTAGCCCCTAACTGTTTAATTAGATAGGCAAAATATGTAGTGAGTTTGACCATACTATTGAATTGTGGACGTAAAGGTAGCATATGTGCCTTAAATAATAGTCTAAATTATTTTGAGCACAGTTTTATGTTATAGTCCTTCTAGCTCTAAACAAAAAGCTACAAACCTCATTGTTGTAAAAAAGAACGGTTCAACAGTAAATGCAACTTTTGTGTCACCGCTAATCCATGAAAAGGGACCCTTATAAGGGTTGTTGACAAGCTAATCGGAGAAAGTCGATCAGATTGCTGATTCCGTTTATATTTTAAATAATTAAGAAAACAAATTGGAAACCATTTTGTTTTTACCAGTCTTAAAATCTCTTTTAACACATTCACTGCTGATAATAAAGTGAACAAATCCAATCTTGACGCTAAAAAAACTATACCTACTAAAACATACCCTTAAAAATGTGGTGATGCGAAAATGATACTCAAAAGCAAGCCATACAAACCACGTTAATATAGTAAGCGAACAAATCCACTAGGAGCTAACCTGATAATGAGAAATAGATTGGTGCATTGTAGCGTGTCACAGTACTGTGCCACCCGCAGTGAACGTGTTAAGGCAAGTGTAGTAGGTCAAACTTGTGGACTCTAACAAAATAACTAACCAAAAGTTTTGTACCTTCCACTTATCTCCGGTGATCCTCTTCAGAGCCTGGAAGATGGGAGGATGATAGGAGATGATCAAGTTGGCATTGGCTGCCACCGCCTCGTCCATCACATCTTCAGTCAGGTCAATAGTGAGCAGAGCCTTCTTGATCGGAGGAGGGTTCAATGGCTCCACCAGCAGTCCCACATTATCCCAGGACTCGGCCAGGTGGAGAGGAGCGAAAGATGTCAGGAATGACATCACTTGTGGCAGAAGAGGGGGAGAATCCGACATCGTTGCCATCGAACGAGAGACCAGTCTATCACACACTCTCGCTGTCACACTTGTCAGGCTCATTAGGCTAATTGTTACGAGTCAGAAATATCTCATTCAATTAAAAATTGTTTTCACAATTTCTATTAGGTCATGTGTGTATTTTAGAAGGCTAGTAATATCATGTGCCAATTAGAAATAGACCAGTTTAAGGTTAAATGGTGTTAAAACATTTTCATTGGATTGTATTTAAATTTCAGGCACATTTAGGCATAATATTATCATGAGTCGTTTGGATATAATGGTAGTTTTTAAGTAAAAGTGTTTTAACTCATTTCCATTGAATTTTGCTTGAGTAACATGAAATTAGTAAGCTGCACTACAGAAGCAGTCTTCCTGCTCCAAGATGACGTGCTTAAATACTTTTGTACCTCAGAAAAAATGATTTATTTTCTTATTAATTTTAGCTCAATTGATTGATTGTGCTGCTGATACTGGTTGGTAAATGAAACTTTTTTTAAATAAAAATTATATGATGATTCTTCTTCTTTTTTCTTTATACAATTTAGATTTTTTATTGACAAAAAAAAGTATTGAAAGTTAAAACAAATGTCTTATATTTTAGGTGGTTTCAAGGTAGGCTAAATATTTAAAGTAGAAACTTTATTTAAAATTATTATTAACTATTAAGTTAAACAATTAAGATTTAAAATATTTGTACTGATGAAACTAATGTAGGGAAGGTGTAAATAAGACCAAGTTCAACATGTTTAATGTTTATTTACTAACAAATGTACAGTTTGTATAAAATATTTAATAGGTACATCTAAAACAATAGTATAAATCATTATATTAACTAGGCATATCCAGTTATTGAAAAATTAAAAATTATACCATAGCCTCCTCTAATAAAAAAAATGACTGCGAGACAAACGTGCCAACGCCGAAGACATACCAAAACAGCTGTTCCCTACTAATTTGTAATGTTGTGTCTGCGCAGTGTTTATTTTACATGTTTGTTTTTCTTGATATTACCATGGCAACAGGCATGCCAGTTTGACGTTACCACAGACCAATGCTGCGGCCTTGTATTAGAGGAGGCTAAGATTATAGTCTTGGCTATTCGACTTTTGTATTATCAAAACCTCGTTGCTGACAATCAAGTACTGTAAACGTTGTGTGGTATTTGCAAGTATTCTGACATACCTACCGGGTATGACAGGTACTTTTGCCACCTTTGTCTTAACTCTTAAGATTTTGATTTGGTTTTCCGTAAAGTACGACCCTGCCACAGCTGGTTCGAGTTGAATAATTGAGACTCTACTATGATTAAACTAGAGTCTTTTTTTCCTATGATACTTTTGTCTGAAATAATAGCCAAGATGTATTTAAAAAGTCAATATTTTTAGCAATTTTATGTTTTTCCGCTAATGATTCTGAACAGCTGGTCAAACAGAGTTAGGCCTATTGCTCTAGATTACATCTTTACAAAAACAATGTTTAACATCTTTAACAGGAATTAAAAGTCATATTAAAGAAACACTCGTAAAAATAGAGATTTCATAGAGATTGTTCATTTATGATTTTAAAACCTCCTATTTAAAATATAAAAACACTGTGTATAAAAATAAACAAACACTCCAATTTTAATGATCTACACAGGTGATCCTTATATTGTTCTTTAGAAAAAAAAACTGTTGACATTGTGATACTTCAAAAGTATTATCCAAGTGTGTGTTAAATATAATAATTATTGATGAAATGAACATATTATTCTTAAACCTACACTTTGTAACCTTCTATAATCAATAAAGTAATAACCCTTACTAGTTCCCGCCTCAAACTCAATCAACAAAGTGCCATATTTTAACGGTGCTGTCATCACTTGCAGATGCCAACAATCCCGGCTTAACTGGATTCCACCTAACGGAATTCACGTCTTGGGAGTGAGCCGAATGAATCGTAGCTACCAGCTCGAAATTAGGCTGATTAGGATCTGAATCAACTGCTTCTTTAAACACTCGTATAGCATCATCGGCACACGCAGTAGCGATGAGGTCGGTATTGTGACACCAGGAGATGTCAAACACAGTTCGGTTGTGGTAGCCGGTTAATGTACACACACATTTCCACACTGCCTCATTGCCTGGAGTAACGACTCCTTCGGAATTCCCAGGAAGATATTCTTTCCAAATTTTCACAGTTTTGTCATCGCTGCAAGTTGCCAAACGTGTTCCGGTTTTATCAAATGCTAACCCCCAAACAGTAGATTCGTGAGAAGTCAGAGTAGCCGTGCAGGACCAATCGTTATCAGCAGGATCTTCCTTGAACAGTTTTACGTTATTGTCATAACTCGCCGAAGCCACACAGTCGACATGTGGATGCCATGCTACTCTCTTGACGTCCTGAGCGTGAGCGTTGATAACAGCGGCACATTCGTACTCGTCTTCATCTCCCACCTCCCATATCCACACGGACTTGTCCCTGCTACATGTAGCGAGGAAGTGTCCGGAGACAGACCAACTAACTGATTTCACTTCGTTTTCGTGACCTTCCAATGTCGCAATGCATTCAAATTGTCCCGATTTTTTGTCCCAGATGGCAGTTGTCGCATCGAAACTGGCTGAAGCCAAGTAATTTCCGCAGGGAGACCATGCAGATTCTCTGATTGTTCGTTGATGCCCGTCTGTCAGAATCGTCTTCAAAGCCCATCTGTTTCCTTCTTGACCCCACAGTCTGATGGTTTTATCTTCTCCGCTAGATGAAATCAAAGTTCCACTCGGATGCCAACTCACATTCCAAACTCGACCTGTGTGGCCCGTCAAAATCTCAACTAATTCCAACCGGCCCATATCTGAAAGAAAAATTTTCTAATGCTGTCATTTTTTCATTTCAAAGTGTTTTATTTTGCTGCAGGTGTCTTAGAGCAAAGGTAGTACATATGGTAAGCTAAAAACCTCATTAAGATGCTATGTAGTAGGGCATATTCATGATTTAGTATATTCATATTCATGACTCATCAAATAAATTAGCCTAATCGGTCATATCTCTCTTTGACGAAGGCATGCTCTTTTGTTGCTACTATAGGTTAGTAAGAGAGTAGTGATTAAATTATATAGTATTAAATATAGTGATTAAATAGTGATTAAATAATTCATGAGATTAAATACAAAAAACTCAATCCCTAGATGCCAGTGTTTTTGTTTAGCAAATCTGCAAATGTAATAAAAAAATAAATGTAGGTCCTGATTAAACTTTTAAATAGGTATTGAAAGAACTAGAGACTACACCTTGATAAAAGCTTTTAAAACCCTGAGGTGACAAATATGGCACAAGGACCTATAGCTCCTCACCCAGTAGGCCTAATAAAATCCCCCTAAATTGTATGGCAAATTTTTTTTGTACGACAGAAAAATTATAAGCCTAGCCCCTTTAAGCGCTGAAAGCCTAAATTGGGTCCTATATACTTCTTAGTTAACAACATTCCTAACAGATAGGTAGACTGTTAGGTCTGATCCAGTGGTGGTTATAGGCACTTTTCAAGGGGCGTTCTACACTTGTAAGAGATTTGGGGATTCTCGCCTGGGAAATTTGCTATTTTTAAGGCGGTATGGTGACTTTTAAAATCCATTTTTAACGTCTAGAACCGTGTCCAAAAACCATTGTTTTACGTTTTTATGACAAAATGACCGTACAAATTTATATTTCTATGGGAAGGTTTAGCGCCTATAGTCCGACCCTTGGAACCGCCGCTGGTCTGATCCATGGCCAGAACAGCATCATAACTTGAGGATTTAAATCTCATTTTAGTCAGTTATGATAAGTTATCTGACAACTTTTTATTATCGATCAATTGTAACAATCTATGATCACAATGAAGCCGGATAAGTAAGATAGGCCTATCTGCTGATATGCAATTCATAGCCTGAGGAGTTAGTCATATCGGGTAGACATCCGTATCAGTTGGCACAAACAACCGAATTTAAATATTGATTATTCAATTGTTTCATTCGATATATCGTTTGGTTGGTTAGGTTAGGTTAACCTTACCTAACTAACCAAACGATGTTTTCATTCGGTTATTTGTGCCAACAGATACAGAAGTCTACTCGTCATATCCGTCTGTGCCATAGTTTAGACTGAGATTTCCACCTGAACTATGCGCTGAATGGCCCAGGATGTAAGTTGCACCACTAATAAGACAATTGGCTACCTGGCGCTTCTTCTTACAGAGAACCTTTTGTGTTTAAGACCACTTACGTTTTTTTTACAGCAGACTGAATTTTAGTGAACTTGGAAAGACACTTCAATTGTAAAACTGGCATGATTCAATCAAGGAACAATCCCTGAAGCCTAAAGGATATAAGCTGTTGTAGGGCCCAATAACAATAACTTGTTTACTTGATATAGCCTATTTAAAAATTATAGCATTAAGTCAATATTACTCGTATGGATGTAAAGTTGTCTACTTTGGTCGACATTTTAAATAAAAGTTATGTTTAATATATTCGAGATAAAATGTTAAAAAGTTAAAATAGTTCTTGAATAGCCTTAGCCAAACCACTTACGAAAATCTTACCTGAGATTTTCCAAACGTTATGTGTAAATAAATGCTCGTTGATGCTACAGTTTTTACTTAGTTATTATTTTAACAATAAAATTGAATAATAATAATAAACATAAAAATAAACTCACTTCAATCAAATTCCACTGAAACTGACTAAACACTATTTTTAGGGAAATAGTTCCGACCGACTCGACTTCCGAGTCTTCCCTCTTCCGACTATTATTTGGAGTTTGGAGGTTATGTCGTCTGTCTGTGACGTCTGTGTTGAATGTTGATAAAATAAAATTAAAACAGCTGCTGCTCTATCGTGTCTTCTAAAGCCTGCATGCAAGAACATGATGCTATGTAGCTTTACACAGTATACAGTGTTTAACTAATTATAGTTCCAGTGTGGTGTAACTAAAATTAGTAAAATTAATTCGTGTGACTATACAATTTTTTCACTTGCGCGATGCCTATATAAAATCACAGCATCAAATGAATTGTTGTTATTGCTTTTTAATACACTGATTTTGATTATCTTCTATTATTTCTATGGTACATGTAAGTTACTCTATGTGGTTCAATGTAAAAATAATCTTAACATCAACATCACTTCCCTTTCCCTTCAAATGGAAACATAAGTTATCGATCAAAACAACGAATGACAAAATAAGTTAACTTTAAAATGTTTTATAGGAAATTCAATCCTTGAGCTGGTTTGCATCTTTAAAAATGGGTTCTATTATTGAAGATAACAGTTCCTATGACTTTGAAGCTTCAATACAGACAACCCGGATTTTGAAAATTTTGAGTAACTCCATAAAGAACACAGAAGTGGTTGTAAGTATACTAAAGATAAGTTTAATAAATTAACTTATTGAATTATTAATTCTACCAAAGCATGAAATAGTTATTTGTGTAACTAGTGGGGAAGTGGCACTTTGCGGCACACAAATAGAAATGTTTTACGCACGAATCGTAGGTGAGTGTGGAAAGTTTCTCGAAGGCAGCAAAGGCAGTTTGCACTCGTGTTACACATTATATTTTTCCTACAGTAACTATAAATAATCATATAAATAATTAGTCTTTCAAACACTGTACAACACCTTTTTAGGTTAGGTTAAATCCAAACATTAAACTAAATGGGAAACGCTATACCAGCTGATTGTAGTTGTAATATCTTTAAGTGTTGCCAAACTATTTCCAAGCGTAAGTTATACAGATTTTGTGCATAGTAAAAGCACTCTGTTTTGTGTTGTTTACTGTAAGTTTTTTCAAAAGTGTTTTACAAAGTGTTTTCTGTAATATAATCAGTGCAAGGAACACTTTGACGGGTGACTGTAGGGGGAAAAAATGTTAACTCAATAAATTCTTTTGAGATTTAAAACATCAGCACTGGTAGGCCAAAGCTATGTCACGTTAATGAGAAAATACAAAATTGATCAAATTTATTTTGAGCTTGATAAAATATATCAATACTTATTATTATAAAATCAATAAAATACATCAATCCCACCAACTGGGTTTAAGCCGGGTTGACACAGTACGAGTAAGCTCAAACCGAGCTAGCTCGTTGCGCTTGAATCACTCGGACCCTACTCGTACCATGTCAACAGTGTGTCCGAGTTACTCTGATGTGATTTACTCGGGCCGAGTGAAGTCGGATACTACTCTACTTTCTCCGATCCAAGTGTCTCACCCGGCTTTTAGGTGGATGACCTAACAAGCTAGGCCAACTTATACAGGGTAGGGTAGGCAATATATTATTGATGATAAACTTAATGCAAATCCATAAATTAAAGTACAAATACATATTTTTTGTGGAATAACAAGGTCTACATTAATACTTAGATTGTTTACAAATTAAACAAAAAATCTAATTTCACTAACTTACCAAATTAAATGTAAACATCCACGGTTGAAATGTGTTAGCGCCTACCTGATGTTTAGTGACAAAAATAAGGTTAGTACTTCAATCCTTTGTAAATTCAGATTTTGTGGGACTGCATGTAAGAGAACAGATAACCGATCTGTTAGTGAACAAAACCATAATTATTGACCTTAAATATTTTATTCAACAATTCACAAAAATACAAATTGTTCACAAATATTAATATGACAACATCAACTGTTTCAGCTTTGCCTTCCACTTTTGTTGCACAATAAAGGTGCAGTACTCAAAAACTATTTTCTTCCGGACCAAGTAAACTTCATCAGGAATGTGTGCAAAAAACTCTCGGCTAAACCGGGTTTGGGTGGTAAAGATGATGAGGATCTCCATTCTGAAATGTGCGTGGTCATCGATTTGATACTGAGCAAACAAAAACTGGTGGATTATTGCCGCTCTTCTTTATCTGAAGATGTAAGTAGAACAATTAACTCAATCGTAGATTCCCAAACTTACAGCACTGCTTTTTTACGGAGTAATCAATCTTGAGTTTTAGTACTAAAATTTTTTTTCTATTTTGCTCATAGATATCCCCTGGGGGTTTAGCTTTATTGAGAAACTTGGAAGAGTTGCGGTTCTGCGTAGCTCAGCGGCTGCGTGTGACGCCCAAAATGGAGGCTGCCCAAGATGCTGAATTACGCAGACTCTACCAACAGAACTTACGGAACAAGGAGGAGGTCAGTTAACTCATGTTTAATAGGTTAATACTTTGATACATTTAGAACTTACCAAGACAGTTGTGGAAACGAAATACAAAACATTGACTGTAATTTCAACTGTAATTATTTTCTAAATTTTAGAGAGGTTTTGTAATATCCTCTAGATAAAAGTTTGTGTGTTCAGTAACAACTTTATTACATTTTTAACAAGATTGTTACTAAAGCTTCAGTTATTGATTAACTGTAGTTCCATTTCGGTGATTCATTTTGTTTAGGTAGGTGTGGTAAGTTCACTATTGGTAACCTACAGAATTACATTCATGAAGATGAAATCCCACAGGTCGATCGTCTTACAGAGAAGCTGAACAAACTAACCGCAGAAACCGAGGCTGAAGTTGAGGACAAGAAACAGCTGATTCGTGAACAGCTTGAGAAGATTGATAAGCTTAAAAAGCAGTGCAAGGATAGTATCAAGAAAAAAATGTTAGTATTCACAGTATGTGAAAGTGTTGATGGCAAACAAAATATTTTATTTTATAATGAGGTGATAAGTAAATATATTTTTGTGAGCATCAAACAGGAGTTTGGTGTAGCATTTTTAATGTGAGGAAACATTTTAAACTACATAGACTCAGTCAACAATAATTACGCTAGTGCAAAAATATTAATATTCTCGTTCTTCTCCTTATGACCCCCTCCTATCCACCCTCAAAAAATTTTTGAGATGTACCGAAACGTTGTTCCTCCGCAAATTGAACACTTGAGTGTATCAAAATAAATGTTTCAATGTGCAGGAACATTTTCAATTTAATATGATCGTAAATTCAACTTTTACGACAAATTTCACCCATAACTCAGTCTTCATTTGTTGTCAAACTGTATGTGGATTTGATTTCAGGGATGAAGCAGAGAGACAAATCAGTTGGGATATCAGAAACAGCGAATACCTCCTCGAGGAACTACAGTCAGCAGCAAAGGCTGCACAATATCGTCGGGACAATCAGCTCAAAGATCATCTCAACTCTGAAAAAGAGCTGCGGGCTAAAAGGTGCTCAGATGAAAATTCTATTTGGTTGAAGATGCATCCATGAGATAATTTATAGACTGGAATTTTCGTTTAATACATTCTGTATATCTTTCATCTAAAAATCAACAGGTTTTTGCCTATTTAATCGCCTGCATCCCTGCATAGAGATTCAAAAGTTATGTAGCTCATTCTTAAGTAGAACAAGTTTTAAGCTTTATCTAATTCAATGGTCTGACAAACGTTACTAAACCTGGACTTGAAGGAGCTAGACAGAAAAAGTTTATTCAAACTTTCTATTTTGTGCACGAAAATCGAAATTTTGAAACTGGAGTTGGGCTTCTATTAATATTGTGGGTTAAAAAGCAGCTGATCTAGTCAAAATGCAGTGACAAAGCTACGCAAGTCACCTCACCCCATGCTACACTCATCCCACTTTCTAATTCTGTCTAATAATAAGAACTCAAAGAATTAGTCAATAAACTGATTCAAACTAGTTTAAGGGAAGGATCTTTTAACGATATTTAACCATTACCGAGTATAAATAGTTAATGATTGAACAGCACTTCCCTACACGGAAGTTGATTTCCATAAGTTTTCTTTCAGTTAAAAATATCTTGATGATTTTATGAGTCAAAAATCCATTACAAATCCCCTGCTACAGGTACAAAGTAGAGTCACAGTTGGTAGCCCTGTTGCAGAAGTACGACTCAGACATCGGTGAGAGACAAGCACAACTGGAGGAGCTAACAGCGCAGTTCGAAGCAGAGAAGGAGCAAATGGCTCAGCTTCAGGTACAATGTTACCAACATAGTAAACACAAATTTCCCTTATAAAAACTTCCTTCGGTATCAATTTTTAACCCTCAAGGAGGCGCTTCACCAGTAAAACAGGAGCGGGCGCATGCAGAGTTTTATTCCGCAACACTAAATAGCATAAATTTTACCCATTTTACTTGTTATAACGAAATATTACATGTAAATGTTGAATAACTTAATCAGAAACCTAATTTTTGTTAATAACATTTTTTATTTAGCTTTATATGAGTAATATTTCAAATAGTCATATTGAGCAATTTTCTAGTATAAAGGTATGTTACAAGAGAGGGCGCGTGCAGAGTTTTGTTCCGCAATAATGCAATTGTACATATACATGCCAAAAAAAATATACTTGATAATAATTATAAATGAAATAATACTTTTAAACATGTTTACAATTTTGTATGTATAAAATATACACGCAGTTTGATAAGAGTGCATGAGGAAATAAACTCTGCGCTAAGGACTTACGCGATAGGGCGCACGTGGAGTAAACCCCCGCAAACTGACACCACGTCACTGAATTGCAACTGATAACAAAATGAGGAGGAATTCGGGGGTAAAAATAGCTTAGGGGCATTCCGAGGATGAGGTGCGTGAAGTGCAGAGCCGGACACGACTGCCGACACCCATTATGCATATTTATATTAACAAAAACTACAAGTGCGGAGGAAAGCTCTGCAAGCGCCCGCTCGAGGGTTAACATCAGGAGATCATTGTACGGTCTTTTCCTGCAACTATGCTTGAAAAATGTTAGTAGTTGAGTAAATATAAGTTAAAATACTTTACCAATATGTATTTGTATGAAATGCTATCGCCAAATTCTTCAGAAAACCTGATATGGTTGCTTGGGAGTTTTTGTACATCGTTTATCATAATTGATCATACAAGAAGTTTATTATTTTTCAGGTTAAATTCGATGAACAGGAATATGAATATGAGAACTTGATGTTGGAGAAGGAACAGTACGAGAGAAGACAATGGGAGGCGAAGTTATACGACATACGATGTCGCGTCGCCGCTCGTAAGATACAGAGATTCTGGAGAGCCTACCTGGCTACCAAGGCGAAGGGGAAAAAAGGAAAGAAGGGCAAGAAGAAGAAGTAATCGTAAAACAACTGGTAGAAAAAATTAAAATTAAATGGTAATAATATCCTAAACTTCATTTGAAGCCCCAATAGATTTTTTTAACAGAAAGACTAAAAATTTCATATTGGAATATGTAGTCATTAAATTTATCTTATGAATCTTATAGCAACTAGTAGCAAAAGCTGAAATTAATTGGTAAATTTTATTTTATATATTTTCTAAACTTCATTAGAAGAGCTAATAGAACAGAATGACTAAAAATTACGAATTGGAATAATTGTTAAATTTATTTTAACGATCTTAAAAAAAATCTGTAATTATTAGTGATGACTTTGCATGTTACTTATTTCATTAGTAAAAGAAAATAGTGCATTGACTAAGTGGTTTAACTTCAGCAACAATTTAATGAGGACTGAATTCTTAGTCCAGTTTAAATCTACTTCGTATTTCATGATACATGACTACAATAACTACAAAATTAACATACCTCTGAGGTTTTTAATGTCAGGCATAGTTTTTTGGTTACTTTTATTGTGATGGTTGCGTCAATGTTCGTAGTTGCAAATTAATATATTTTTATGAGAATATTACGAGATTATGTAACAGCCTTATCATTCATAGTGCAGTTAGGTGACATTCTTTTGAGAGATATTTATTGATGCAGGCAATTCTAACTTAATGTGGTAATTTACTAAATCATTTAGGCTATAAACGTTTCTCGGTAAAACAAAAGTAAAATATCCCAGGTAAAAATTGAGTAAGTCACATACATAATAAACAATTTATTTAAATATAAGTTTAGTAAATTTCCAACAGGGTTATATGGCAAGGTATCAAACAACAATCTGTGTAAATGTCACTAAATAGACATATAAAAATTTAATAGGTAACAACATTTAAATACTATACTTATATAATAGGGACTTAAAAATAAAGATTTATCTACTCTTTAGATATGAAATAAAAAGACCAGTCCAGAACTTTTCCATGTAAAATAATTAATTCATAGTAACTCCAAATGTAGGGTTGCAGTGTTATTCACTTTTATTTACTGACAATGAACAAGTAGTAAAACAAGTGGCACTTTTAAGAACCTTTCTTGAAAGCTACCTGTTTCATATACTAGTAAAATATTTAAAATGTTCATAATTAGAATGTAAAAGAAGAATGTAAAATGTTACTAGGATTTCACTAGTCTAACTACTAAAGTTATTTAGTTACAAATTATATACCTAGTTTACACAAAAATAAGACATACATGGATGTACACTCAAACAAGTATACAAAATATAAAACAAAAATGGCAAGTAATATTCATAATATGACACATTTTCTACTAAAAACTTATTTTATTTTTATATGTTACAGTCAACAGTTGGTAGTACAGTATGGTACAGTTGTTAATCTGACTGTGCAGTGTGCTTATTGATGGATTGGTTAATTTTTGTAGGCAACAGTTCTGGATTTAATTCATGGTTCGAGTTAACAAATATTTTCGGTACTGATTGATTTGAAAGTTTTTATTGACTTTATTTTTGTAAGTCGAATGTTCCATTAAAAACACAATCTCTCATTAAGTGTTGGAAAATAAAATGCAACCAAAGATTTTGCCCTATTAACTCTAAGTAAGCTGATGATATTTTACATTATATTAATATAGATTATCAAATAGACAAAATTAAATTCTTAATATTTTTGTGATTATTATTTAGATATAACATAAGTCAATATATTTTGAAATTTTTATATAAGTTAACGAGTTTGCTTGTTGTGTTCTGCAGGTTTGTGATTGTAAACGTAGTTGTAGTATATTTAATTTATCTATCAATATATTATAAAATTTTCAGGCTTTTATGTCACCTGTAAGTGTTAGTTATTAACGAAACAAATTTGCAATATTTATAACATAGCATATTAATAAATTAGAATTTTATAAATCTCTAAATCATCACGTAATGAAATACTTAATACAAAAATACATTCTTGGATATAGTTAGAACGATCAATACAAAACATCCATCTCAATATTACAATGAGTCGGTAAACCCTTATTAAACCAGATTTCTATTTTACTTTCACTTTCCATTTAGCACGGACATTTAAACAACATTTTGTTTAGAATTCGTTCAGCAAAGTTAGGATTGCGCAATTCATAAACTAAGCAATTTTGTTGCACACCTTAGTGCGTAAAGTTCTGCATAGCCTATGGTGAAACAAAGTCTGGGTCCATTTCCTAAGCCAGGTATTATTCACTGGTGTAGTTGCAAGTCTTTTTATTATTGCGACACGATTACTTCACATATAACGGGTCTAAAGAGGCTAATAACAACTAGTAGTTTTCTTTAATACTACAAATACAACCAAAACAATGAGATGATGTGGTTTCTCTTAACATTTCTGTTAATTCCGAACCAAATATCATGCAAATCGGTTAATGTTTACACATTTGATCGTTGCGAACACAAATATGTAAACGTTGACCAATTTGCGTGAAATTTGGTATAAAATTAACAAGGACTTTTAAATAAACCACAATAATACATTGTTTTGTTTGTATTAAGTATTGTAAAGGAAATTACTTGTTGAAACTGGCTTCCTTAATCCTCTTTAGTGTAAACTCAGCTGAGCAGGAGTAATATTAACAAAGCACAGGTAAAAAATTACCCTTCTTAAGCTTAAGACAACGGACCCAGCCCTTGGCCCATCTAGGCTGTCTAGAACTATAGTGGATTAGAATACACTATCAAAACTTTTTTGTAAATTTTTTGTAAAAAAAACGTATCAAAACAACTCCGATATTCCACTGTTTTTCTTTAAATTTAGTATTTTATTTTATCCAAGCACAAAACACATGTGGCAAAGGCACAAATGTGAATGTTCACATTTGTGCCTTTGTCACATTTGATGGAAACTCAAATTACTGTGGTTTAATGATGGTTTACTGTACAACATATTTTAACATCAAATATAAAATTGTACTTATCTTTTTCATACACTACATCATTTTACAAATATCAACAGTTTAAATGTCCCGAATAGCTTGCTTAAATAATATCGTCTTAACTTCAACAATTCATAAAACATACAACCTTTCTCTTTCAACTGATTTCTAATAGCAGCTATAGAACAAGAAATACTTTTGCGAGGAGGAACAGATGGTAAATGCACATTGACTGATATGGAAAGGAACACATCGGTATTTAGAATGTTTTTATAGCAGCCTAAAAATTACATGAGGAAATTGGGAGTATTATAATATGTTATATACTTTTTCATGTCCTAACTTCCTATCACAAGATGCTAGGCTGTAGCTAGAGGGTCGCGAAATTATCACACAGCTAATTGGTGATTGACGGGATTCGAACCCAAGATTAACATTCATGGAAAAATACAAAAATTACTAAGGCAAGACAATAGATGTATTAACAAAACGCTTTTAATTATATTTTGGCACAAAATAGTTTTGGAAACATATGGTCAGATCTGGTTGGGGACGATGAATGAACCTATACATAACTGGGCTGTTTATTAAAAAAACCTGATTGAACATAATTGATGAAGTGGGCTACGCTGGTATTACATTTAATCGTAAAAGGCTAGAAAACGGCAAATAGAATCTAATAAGTTGTAATACAAATCATGGGCAAATATAAGGGAGGGGGGCCAGGGGGGCCGGCCCCCCCAAAATAATGGATATGAAGAAAAAATAGGTACCACAACATATAAATTATTTATCATGAATCATGAGCCAAGGGATCGCTGTGGCAGAAAGTGATAGTTCGGGTTGATTCAGACTGAATCGAGCTCCCACCATCCGCCCGGCTATCTGCGCTTGCAGCGGCGACCACTAGAGACCAGCATATTTACCGATGACCAGTGGCGGATCTAGAACTGTCACAAGGGAGGGGCAAACCAGGGGGTCTGGGGGGTTCAGGGGTACCTCCACGAAAAATTTGTGTAAACTAAGTCTACAAAATGGCAGTTTTATACCATTAATTTGTCCAAAATTAGTGTGACAAATTATTTTACGCAATGTGTATGCACTACTGTATTACATGCAGTAAAAAATATATGTATATGTATGCTCGAGGGGGGAGGGGCGTTTGCGACAGGGTTCAGTCAGTTCAGTGGCAGCCATTGTTATTGTTTGTTATTTTTATTTACATCTGTTTGACATATGTTGTACTGAAATGTCAACGTTTTGCAGTTCGCACAGAAGAATACTTATAGTTAGAACCCCTCCGAATATGATAATCACAATCGGGTATTTGACTCCTTAGGTTTGGATAAGTGTTTACAGATGGGATGACACACTGTTAAATCTTGACCAAGGTTTTGATTTGGTAATTGAGATATTTTCCTCGTTTGGATTAACAATAAATACATTTTTACGATGGAACGATATAATGATACAGCGTGATCTTGGTAAAGTAAAGGTCACATTTAGCACAAATTACCACAGCAAAACTGAGATAAAGTATCGTGACGTGTCTACTTGAAATTACTTAACCTAACCTTAAATTAATCTCGGCCCCCCCCCCAAAAAAATATCCGCCACTGATACAAATATGTCTCTATAGTTTGGTAGAAACAACTTGTTTACATCCATCGCTACAAGTCAAATATGTATAAATGTTGGTAGAATAGCACCATAATACAAATAAGCAGCATAACTCTGTAAAATAACAATGTTCAATGCCTCCTTCAAGTTATAAAGAATATTTCAGTTTGCAATATGAAAACGACTTGCTTATAAATCACAGCTGAAATTGGAATGTAAATATTATTTTCACATTGTGCACATTAAGGAATGTTTGGGATTAAAGGTATCACAATATGCTTGATAAAAATCATGAAAAATGAACAACACTAACATGATGGAACCAATTTTAAAACCATTTTACCTTATGGTTAAGTTTTATAAAGCAAAGAACAAAAAGCTTAGCTACAAATTATTGAAAGTTCATTTTATATCTTAGTATGTTGTGAACAACATAAAAATCTAATTAGATTAAAATAAATGCACAAAAATAAGTTACAATATAAACATGCTAAATATAAACAAGAAACATTAAACACACAAAATACACACACAGGGTCACACGTTGTGAAACAAAGCTCACAAATTTAGATTATGCAGACAGAAACGAGTGCATGATGAGATTATCGTTTCAAATCATCGTCATAATCTTTTGGCACTATCATTAAAGCACTCTTAACTTATTAAGTGCATATTTGCACTCAAATTCTTGGCTTAACTGGCTTAGTAATCTAATATATTAAAAATAAAAATAAAAATAAAAATATATATAACAGTAAAAAATACATTTAAAACATAGTTAGGTAAATACATGTAAAGTCTATTCCATTGGAAAAAAACTACATTTGAGTTTTAAGCCCTGGTTATGAAACAATTATTATGAACAATTATTATGAAACATAAAGCCTATTTTATAACCAAGGCTTTAAACAGAGGGACAGAACATAAATGTAAAACACTTTTTGAAGAACAAACAAGATGTCAAAGGTATGTCCTCTTTTCAAATTTATTTACACATACAAAAGTGTCAACGGTTAAAAAAAAATCTAACATAAAAGTAGTATGTGGCAAGAAAATGTAGTAACATGTATTTAAAACACTAATTATGCGATAAAAATGGAAGACAAGTTACAAATATACTTAAATATGATTTGAAAATATTGCTCGTTTGTAGGAATCGCAGAAGCACTAAAGATATAGCTAACTCAATCATATGCAAAATACACTCTATGGTTGGTTAGTAGCTTTTTTATTTAAAAAATTAGGGCATGCTAGGTGTATTTGTAAAGATGTGACAATTTTTATTGGTCAAATTAACAAATTTGAAAGAGCTGTAACAGGGGAAAACAAAGCTACAGATTTTGGTTTAGATTAAGTCACATCAGAAATATGTACGCTTATAGAAAGTCCTGCTCCTACCGAGGATAACGATCTACTACCATTGGGAAAGTGGCATCTAAATCCTACACAGGGGTATAAATAAAACTCTTACCTAAGATTATCACTAAAATGGGAAAGATTATAAATATAATAAAAGAAATTAGTAATAAATATCAATAGATTGGCAACGGGAGGTATTTGACTTAGAATTAGTTTACGATTTACGACCTTGGAGGCTTGTCTCTGGTGGAAGGCATGAAAGACATAGTTCTTCGAACCTTCACTTGGGGATTTGGAGTCTGAAACATTTTTTAAATCTGTATAGGATTTGAACGAATTAATTAATTTGTTAATGAGGTAGTATTCTTCAACTAAATGTAAATCCTACCATAATTACCACTACCAATCCAAATCCTCAATTGTAGCCCATCTCTGGATAATCGCGTCAATAACATTTTCACATACAGTAGAACTCCTATTATCGGAATCAATTGGGACCAGACCCCATTCGGATAATAACAAATTCGGATAATCTGAGTTTTACAAGTTAAGTGAAGTTATTCCGGGAATTTTAAAGAAAAATCCTCATTTTCGGTACTAAATGAATTTGCAATTAATAATATATTAAATCAGAACATTTTTACAGTTTTCAATGCTCATAAGTGTTCTATACATGTTATTAAGTTAATAGTGTTCCATCAAAGTCCAAAATTACACACTGGCTAAATGTGTTTAATAACAATTCTTTGATATTTTGCAAAACTTATAACTGTAGCTTTACGTTTTTTAAATTGTTGAAGTAAGCGATTCGGATGATCGGCGATTTGGTTAATTGGAGTTCTACTGTACATATATTTACACTACGTTGAAGTTAATTTAACAAAATAAATAACTTCTGATTGCCAAGGCTGCAAGGAGCTCTCTTAAGTCGGTGAAGTATTTCTTAAAATATTCTTCGACAGAGTAAAGGCTTTTTTCTCTAGCCAATTCCCTACTCTTGTTTTAAGCTACCTAATTGAAAGGATCTCGACTGGTTGAAGCAGAACAATCTTGAGAGCTCGCAAGGGCTGCTATCTTTTGTCAAACTTAGGCGACATCAAGGAATATCAATATTGGCTACGGTATGTCCCAAATGTTGTCCAAACCAAGTCTGGTCTCAGTTTGAATTAGTTTTGATAGGCCTAGTTAATTAATTATCCATACATAATTAATTAGTGAATTAATTATCCACACATAATTATTAACTATTATCCATACATAATTATTGTAATTGATTTCTCGTTGATCTCTAAAGAAGACCTCCAACGGTACAGAATATTAGTGTTGATTTTAGTTTATCTATGACTTAATGGAAGTGGAGTATAATTTTCTAAGGAAAGCTAGCTAAACATTAACCCATCCCAAATAAAAGAAATATATTTGTCAGCTGTTAAAGTATAGCTCAAGATCTTTGGGTGGGTTTGATGTTGTGACATTACCTTTATTAGTGAAGTCTGCAGTTCGGTCATACATTTTTCTGTGATGGTCATTTTATCTTGAGTTCTGTGAAGCTCCATGTCTAACTTTTGCCGCTCTTCTTCCAGTTCTCGAAGCCTACGTTCAGCCTCTAGACAATCAACACATTTATTGGTCAGACTCTTTTGAAAAACAGGGGTTACTAAAGAAAGCTACTTTATAAGTAGCTTCCACAACACTGGTTATACTTGATTCTAAAATAATACTTTATTATAATTTCACTACAAACAGTGATCTTTATATGTGCTTGAATTAAAATCAATCAATTTTCTTTATTGAGATTTCTTTAAGAAATACAATAGTGTCATATACATAGATTGTATCTGAATTTTCATCTTGCTTGACAATTTTGATGAAAGAATTTCCTTAGTGAGTAGAATCGTTGATCCATTAGCCAGTCTTTGAGTTTCCTCTTCAGGAACTCCTTATTTATTTAAACAAGAATTTTTCAAACTAAATAGTGAAGAAACTGTAGCAGTTACCTTGCAGTTGTGCTTCTTTTTCCTTTTGTTTCCTTTCAAACTCTATCCTCTTCTCTCTTTCTTGTTCCAACATTATCCTTTGTTCTTCTTGAAGTCGTTCCAATTCTTCTCTCTTTTCCCACTCCTCTCTTAAAACTCTGGAACAATAACAATAAATTGTACATGTACTAAAAATGTGTTGAAAGAAAAACTGATAGAGGTTAAGCTTTTAGTAATGAATTAGGAAAACCTATTGGGCCTCAAAGGACCATAAGATATTTACCATCAAGCCTAACACAACCAAACCTTCGCTTAAATATATAGGTATGTAATAATGCAAAGTAAAAGTATAGATATTCATATTCAATTATACACATTGAATCTCAAGTTGATGATGTATAAATCAAAATAGTTGCACGTTCATTACAGTTTGATACTATCCTTGTTGGCAAAGTTAGAGCTAATTTTTGTGCGAGTTCATCAAAAACTTCTAACAATAATTGTTTGGTTGGTAAATTGGCTTTCACAAGGTATGGAAGCTATTTTAATGTCATCGAATTATGGGAACTCACCTAGCTTGTAAGTTTCTCACGATCTCCTCGTCTCGTTTTGCTTGAGTTTCTTCCTCTAATAAAGCTTCCAGCTGTTCCAGCTGCTTCTCTTTCTCAATTTTGACTTCTTGAAATTGAAGTTCAGCAGCTACTCTTGCCTAAATTTAAGAACAATACATTCAGCTAAACTAGTAATACTTGATTTTTTCAAGCAACTATTGTAGCCATTAGATTTAAAGGAGGGTGGGCAGAATTTAATTCTATAAGTTTACAGTGTATCACAAAAACATGCATATTTAACCAAAATTACAATGCCAAATACAAAATGTAAAAATAAAATTCTAGACCACTGGTGAAAAAAAACTGGGTAAGAAACAATCAGAAACAAAGATATTAGACTAAAGTTTACATATTAGAAGTGCAGAAAGACAGACCCACAACCAAATCAGAACATATAAGAGTGAAAAGACTAGGGGGTTTGGTCATCTACAAGGGTGTCGAGCTCTCAACAATGTCTTATTCCAGGGGTCAACGTAAAAGCCCTCCTTCAAAACTAGTCAATGTGAAATATTTTAAAACATGATTTCCAGCTGTCTATATACCGGAATAATCATTAACAAGGTTTCAAAACTTATTTGTCGCTACAATCTGTCAAAAACTTTACTGATTATAATAAATTAAAAGTTTTTATTTTTACATGGATGTGCTCCAATCCTAATGCGACAGTATTAGTGTTATCAGTAGTCCAAAACAATGTGAGGGAAAATCGACGCTCTCGTAATTGACACTCACCAGTGGCTCAATAAAAACTAGATACATTCATTTTTATTCAAAGACTGACAACAGCTTGACAAGACAGCTACTAACTGCTGTGTGCAATTTATGTATTTGTCTCAAAAATTATTAGATTTTGAGTTTTAACATGGGAATGGAATGTGTATTGCTATTGCTATTAATAATAAAAGTACATGGTTAAAATATTTTCTTTAATTCTATAAACCATCTGAATATGAAGGAGTTTTTACCATTTTCTCCGCCTGCAACTCTCGCCCCATGTCCTGTATGAGGCTGGACCTTCTACGCTTCTCTTCCACCTCTGCTTCCCTCTGCCGTCGTCGCCGAGCCGCCAGCTGACGTTGGTAGCCCTGCGAGCCACCCGACTGTGATATGGCCAGCTGCAGGGCTGACAACCACTGCAATCGTGTCCTACAACGTCACATACATTCAGAGGGAGGAATAAAATAATCTAAGAATAGATCAGGTGGAAGTTGACGATATGAGTCAATTCTTCAAGAGTTGTACAGGTGGACAAATGGGATCTACGTTCATGTTAAACTCGTTATAAATCCAACAATGTTCCAAAAAATAACACAATTATATTGAAATTCGAACAATATTCCAAATGAATATCAGAACAGAGGCTGCTGGTGTATTATGCACTGTACGATTTCTAAGGTGCAAGATCAGTGGAAAATAAAAGAGGAAGTAGCCGTTTGCTAGATAAACTCACATTCCAGAACAACGCATGTTCTGCACCGGTATGTGTTACTAGAACGTGCTTAGGATTGGGTTAAAGAACTATAGTACTTTAGATTTAATAGAACTGACAAAAGTGTAAGCGACGGACCGTTACATTCCAGCCACAGGCTATGACATTTTTCCAGACCAATGGCCAAGCAATGCGCTGAGTACAGCTGACAGAATGTTCAATGGAGGCTTGTAAGGATTATGTCACAGTAGGTGTATGCATGGGTTGGTAGGGTTGGTCTAAATGGTGTAGAGATTTCTTGAGCCGTCACAGTGTTGTATGTAGAATAAGGTATTTTACTACTTTTTGCTATCTTTATTGTAAAATGATTTTATTTTTGTGATAAGGGAAAGTCACGATGAAAATAGTCCTTCTGAAACATTAAATCGTGTGATATTCACAATTCTAGACTGACCTATGATCGTAAGCACCAAGTTCAAAGCATCTCTCCCTGGTGTGAAGAAGAATGCGTTGCTGTGTTGAGTCGACCCAGCACTGAAACAAAGTTTATTATAAATCACTACATTTACGTCTACAGCTTACAGAAGTCACAAGGTTGGTTATAATTAGTGGTATGTTCCTTTGGCATAGGGCAAATAAAGAATTACAGGCAGTATGCATCAAAGGCTATTTAAATTATAATATCCAACTATAGTCCATTTAAATATTTAAGCGGTTTTAGGGGAAGTTTCCCCCACCAATTTTGTTGCTTAAGTATGTTGCAGCTGATTTCTTGTTTTGGCCAAGCCTCAGCTGTGTGGAGGGTATCGATTTCTTCCCCAAAAACTGCCTAAATTTTGTGACCAGAGTATACCAAAAAATTCAGTGGAAACCCAAGACAAGGCCAGATCATAAACTAAGATTAGACAAAATTTTCAGAACATTATTAAAAATAATCAAAATGGCAAGACTATGGTGGTCAGGTTATAAAAAAAGAAGAAATACAGTTTAAAATCTGCTTTGAGAAAGAAATAGGAGGGAAGAGAAGATCTAGAAGGTCATGAAAGGAACCCGTATGTTTTAGTTTGGCTAGTAGCGACCTGTCTGCGAGCAGCGAAGTTTTGGCCTAGCTCTACCTATAGCCATAGACTTACTTAACATTACAATCGGATATTCATAGAGATTGTCTACCTGAGGATCCAAACAGATAATACCACACTGCTCTCTCTCCTCTTGGTTCTTGTAGTAGGTCAGTTGCGTAGGCTGCAGCACAAACCAGTACTCCCGCATCGTGCCCAACAAGTAACCTTTCTTTTGCAGACAACCCTGAAACAATTCAAGTAATCAGAATCATCTGCTTAGACTAAGTAGGCTTTTGCCTAGTAACTAATCTTTAACCAAAAAGGTTTTAAATACTTAAAACTTAAAATTACATTCAAATAAGTTAGACGTTTCCTGTGATGGCAGAGAGTCAACGAGTCAATGAGGACCTGTAGTTGTCATGTAATCCCGAGTGTTACCTGCTGATGAGATGTATTCCAGTGCGGTACGCGTGGTTGCAATGAAATCGCTAACATAACCTACGGTCTTGGGAAAATTGTGAGCTCCACCTGCAGTTGCGATAATATCTCGAGAGTTACCTGTGGTCGCGATAAAAACAAAAATTTCTTCCACGGTTCTGGAAAAAGCATCATCATCTTTCGAGAGCACGTCCAAATCATGAACATCTTTTGTTATGGCGGTGAAATCGTGAACATCTCCCGTAGTTGTAACTAAACGTGAACGTCTTTTTTGGTCATATTGACTTTAAGAAGGTCTCCTATGATTTTGACGATATTGGGAACATTTCTCATGGTCAAAACGGTGAACGGTGAGCGTTCCTTGAGGTAATGGTGGAATCATGAACATCATCCTCATTAGCAGAGAGATCAATCGTCTTTCACAATCACTTTAAAATATAAAAAAAACTCCGGAAATCACTGAGAAAATCAGGGACATACCCGATTCTAGTCAGTACTCAGACGATTTTGAGCGTTCTCATACTGGAAAATTCGCAACTACCCATTGACCAGCAATAGCCATAAAACACAAGTCTCTGTCCTTTGCGGGAAAGTACTGTTTGTTACACATCAGGCAAAAGGGAGCCTTAAGTTGTAAACAAAAGTACATCCACATTGTTCATCATTTCGTGCAGGGAAGTATTAAGATCCATACAAAGGAAGTATGGAGATTTGTATATTATAAAGTTTTAAACCACAATAAAAATCTCACCTTTTTGATGATGTCGTCAACAAATGTGTGTGACAGGGCTGTGACAGCTTCCTCGACCACCGCAGGATCTATGTTCGTGAGATATTTGGTTTCCAGCAGTGTAATTAGCATGGATAGTCTTAAGCCAGACATGTTGTACACCAGAGCTTCGTAGTCCTCCCTGTCCCACTCTGAGCCTAGAGAGGTGACGAGTTGTGACGTGATCAAACCTACTTCCCAAGTGTGCATCACAACCTGTATAAACAATTGATACTTAACAGTAGTTATCTCAGTACAATTATGTAATGTTAGTCTTATTTCCTGATTGAGAACAGATTTTTTTTTAAGTTGGTGGCCTCTTTTACTTTGGCGTTGCCCATCCACATTGGCCACAGAGGCCTTTACGTGGAATGTATCCAGCAAAGCAAGGGGTGAGCCAGTACAGTATAAGGGTGAACTGTACTGATAAAATTTGATAGATTTGAACCCACGACATCACTGCCTTGGGCCCGAAGTTCGTGGCGCTACCTGCAGAGCCACCGACTCGACGAATTATTACCATTCCACTTCTTCTTTAGAGGTGGAGTAAAGATGGACCACAAGGTCCCAGGTTTTCCTCAATGATGAAGAACGTTCATTAAATTTCATATCCAACTACAGGTCCAATGTAGTCTCTTTTCCATCATTTATTTTAATCAATTTGTCCCTAGCACATGTAAACTTTTGGTCATTGTGAACAATGTGAAATTAAATATTTGTATTCCAATCTTAAATCCTGAAATTGATTAGTTTAAGTATCGTAGGCCTAGCATATTCATTAGGAAAATCAATGCAATAATAGCATAACTTTTTCATTATTAAAATACATTGATCTTACCTGATACGAATCCTGGTTTTTTGGATCTGACGTCAGGTCTCCCAATAGACAAAACACTCTGAACAACTGATAGACACATGTATCGGACAAAATTGTGTCACGTGATTCTAAATCTCGCTGGAGGTAATTTTTTTTACAAATCAACCAGCAGACCTCGTCTATTTTCGACTCGTATTCTCTCAAATCTTGCAAAGTCAAGGAATCTGGCAGTGATGAAAACACCTGAAACAAAACATTTCATATTAATTTTTGTGATAGAAAAAATATCTTCAAGTGTAACAATAGACCTAACATGTCTAAAGATAATCTTCCTCTTTTATCTATAATATTATGAACAAGAGGTGGTTTCTGGACAGGAACCATAGACATTCGTTCCAAGTGAATGTAAAAACTACAGAACCGACTGGGCTGAAATGTTAAACAAAGGTAGGTAGTTTTAGGCTTAGAATTATGGACCTGACCAACACATACGGTAGTTCAATCATGTCCCTAAAATTCTTTAAGACAACTCCTCATGGTCATCCGACGTTTTGTAACAGAGTTTTTGTTACTATTTTAAAACGGTCATTAGCTACTGAGAAAATACAAAAAAATGCAAATTTAAAATTCTTATGTTATTCTTATGGCAATTAAGTAACTGTTGTAGTTTGCTTGTTTATGGATATATAGATCAAATGTATTTAATTCACCCTATACACAAAAAATTCTAACAAAAACAACAAAAAATACTATTTACCGTCCCCATAACAGTAAACCTCCCTCCCCCCAACCCAACCCCCCGTTAAAACCTGTTAAATCAATGTTATTTAAATGGGAAATAAATATTTTAACACTATGAATCCAATTAAAGAAATTGAAATTCCCTTAGTCTGCCAGTTTTTTGCGGCGGGAGTATTGTTTAAATCCCAGTGTTACTAAGGAAATTTTACCAACTAAGATTTATCTATTCAGAAAGTTTCATGAATAGCTGAAAGAAAACTAATGACCAGTTCAAAACCGATTGGCTGTGACGCCAAAATTAACACTTGTATAAAACATGATTTACATCTGAACAGACTAAGCAAATAATATGTCCTTGAAGTCTACATGTGTGCAACATTTACTTTGCATGTGTAGTGAAAATTAGTTCTTTCTAAACTGAAGATTTTGAAAGTCGTTTTGCAGGTTGTGTGGTTCAAATTTGTTCACAAGAAGCTGAAGAACCTAACCTTGGGTTCTACAGGTTTTACTGTCATTAGTAACGTGCAGTTACAAAGGTTTGTAATAATTTATAATGTAACACTTAGGTAGTGAGTTTATAAACGTTAAGATTGCACAATGAAGGTGTAAAGAAATAAAATTTTTAATAATTTCAGAGTTTCAGAAGTCTTGCCATCTCTAAAGATTTGTTCCTCTCTAGTAAATCGGTTTTACATATCTAATTTGTTAAAGAAATTATTTCTTATTTTAAACTGTGGGTTCTTAACCTCTATAACCAATGTAAAACCCGCTGTGGTATTGGAAAAAAATGTCATAACGTGTGTTTATTTTAAAATAATTTTATAGGTAAGGAAATTCAATGGTATAAAAATGCAAAATATCGTACCTCTTTCAGTAGATAATACTTGAAGTGTTGGAAGTTGAGGCTTGGTGTGCTTCGAAAGTGTTCAAGGCCCTTTTCAACTCCGTAAAGATCAAGCAAAGTTCCGATGTTTGCCGTTAGAACCTGAGAAACATATAAAATTTATATTACTTGCTATACTATCTGTAGATTAATCAACTGGTTGAGGTAGATTATATTCGTCATACAAATTCTATGGAAAGTCTAAAGCAAACATGCGTTATCAGCATTTACTCAAAAAAGTTGGCACTCAATAGTTTGACACATTTGGTACTTAATCCGTCACTGAATGAGTCATTGACCAACTTTTGCAAAAGGCTGGAACTTTGAGTTGTAACATCTGTCTCCTAAGGTATTTCTGGTTGCAGTTTTCAATTTGGTTTCAAGCCATCCAGCTATCTGGTGGTATAGGCTAAATATGATTGTTTAATATTTTCTTTGCATTATGCAGTCTCTCAAAAGGAGAATACAATAGCCTAATTTAATATATTTTAGACAATGTAGAAAATAATAACCATTACGAGACCCAAACGGAAATTCACAGCACTCAGCCTCAGTTTAGCTTCCGTAAAGTACGTTACCGAAAATTCAACAATGAGAGTAGGCTAGTTGTGAATGAAGTATGCCGCCCACCACTATGAGTCTGAGATATTTACATAGCACCGTGCCAAATAGTGACAGTCTGACAATAACGTTAACAATTAATAAGCTTACTGTATATGCAAAAATTGAAATAGCCTAGATAGAAGTGCTAGTGAGAATTAGTGTTTACAAACCATTGTCTGACGATGCCACAATTGGTGGTAAATGTGTATTGCTAATCTAACAGTATCTTAAGGAACTCTGGCTGATCATTAGTAATAAAAAAATATATTCAAATATTAGTAGGCCTACACTTATTTGGGGTAGGCCTACAGTTCCACAGAAAACCTAGCCTACAATATAAAATCGGATAAATATTGTTAAACTAAGTTATATTATATCATTAATATTATAACTATCAATTGAAATATTTGAATTTACATAAATATTTAACTTCAATAAGTTATTAAATTTCGGTTATGGGGCTTTTTAATGGAGTACCGCCTGCCACTCTTACAGTGTGTACAGGGATTTAGGTTAGTATAGTTTAAATAACTCATGAAAAACTAATATCCGATGATATATTAGGTTCTCTGCATAACTGTAACCCCTATTACATAGCCTAACGGGTTTAACTGCAAATCAGCAATTATTGTTTTCCTTCAATTTTACTCACTATTTTCAGAAACTATGCCAGGGTTGCCACCCATCTTGATAGTCCCAATTTCGATCCATTGTGTCCTTGTCTATGACCAGGTTAATCCGGGGGAGGGGGGCCGTCCTGATTTTTCCTTAACCATAGGTGGCAAACCTGGACTGTTAGTTTTTAAAGTTTGGAACAATTTATTATTCATCTAAGAATAAGGTTAAGGCTCAGAAACCCCTTAGCAACTAAATTATACAGAGTTAGTAAATCATGCAATAGGCATAACCTTAAGTATTAAAAATAAATTTGTATACTATACTGTCTATCTCGAGTATGGTTAATTTTGGCGATTTCAAGGACCAAAAATTAAATGATTAAATTTTTCAAAGTGCTTTAGCCTTCTTACCTTGAGTTTTGACTTCATCACGATTCCATTGTTATCACTACTAAGTGCATTAAAAGCGTGCCAAATGCTATTGGTGACATTGTTTAATAATATTGACATATTTATTTTAAGTTTAAAACAGTAAAAGGAAACATACGATTCCTAACTTGTCATTGAAGTGTGGCCTTCTCCCCACTTCTTGGTATATACACAAGTTACCTTATAAGCAGATAATTTTGATACTTGTGTAAATTGAAAATATTATCCTGCCAAAACTGTTACTTCTGTAAAATATTTGTTACTGCAATTATAATGATATTTTTATGACTTTCCCATTTCCTGAATTTTATTTCACGTACAATTCCGGAGATAAAATTTCAAATAATGTAAACAATATGAATCATAACCATGATTGTACAAGATGAAGTCTATACGGATACTCTGCAGACGATGAATCACTAATAAACTAAACTCCCACCTGATGAGTCACTAGTCAGCTGATCGTTATTGCTTGAATTTTAATGAATAAAGATTACTGCATATAGAGTAAGAGGTGTGTTAAGCCAATGAATATTATTATACTACAACTACTACAGAGTCACAATAATAGTCAATTTCACTTGTGTCATTTAAAACATACCTATTTACATCATATTTATATTTTTTTCTAGTATTTATGCCAGTGACATTGACATTACTAATTGATGTACAATGTTAGTGCAAATGCTTTTAGTGAACAGCTGTTGTGGGTGACATAGTCCCACTCCACCACCACTAGGCCAAAAACATCTACCACAGAACCACTAGGCTTAAGACTATCAGCAGTAGCACGCCCATTAAGCTAGATTTGATTTATATGACGTCGGTAACATCAGGGTGCCTACTTAAGGTGAAGGATGAGTGTGAAATGAATGAGATAGTAGTTTCGTTACTAACTAAGAAGATCAGCTGGTTCTTTGCCAAGACCGGACACGCGTCAGGGTGCAACCCGAACCCTGACAAGGTGCCTCAATGTCAGGTACTTTACCACAAATGCGCCTTTTTTTTACAAATTTTACCAGGCCATAAAGTAAATTTGTATAGTGTCACTTTTACACAATGTACTTTGATGACCGATTAGTCTACTTTTAATAACTTCACCTTTCCTTTATAAGCTTTACTACAAACTAAGCCACACATAGGAGTATGTTTAATCTATGGTGTTACAGAAGAATACTTGACAGAGCTTTTCATCATATACTATTTTTTCTACCACCTGTTTTCTGTTCATTATTATATTAGTTCAGCCGGTTTGTCGTCTGCAGCAGCATATGTAGTTCTCCTGTTCCATCATTGTTATTGTTTTGCTTTATTTTAACCTTGACGTGGACGTGATGAAGAAAAGATTCAAAGAGTGGACGCCGAAACTTAGTTCAGTGACCGATGGACAGATCAATGCTAATTTAAATAATAATATTTATTTTGGAATTTACTTTAAACAGATATTTTGTGTCTCTTGTAGTTGACAGAATTGGTATGGTTTTGTTTTTGTTATTTAACAGTTGCCTTTATTTATATAATTGCATGCAATTAAGACAATCACTCACGCAAATTTCCTAGATACAGTAAGTTAGTACAATTTTCAAACTGGACAAAAAGTAAGATTTGATTGTCATACATCCTGTGCTAAAATACTTATATAGGCACACACACTAAGTTAAAAAAAAACCGGTACTCTGTAGGTATAATGTTATTGTTATACAAAGAGTTTGGAGTTTGTATTTAGACCTATGCGTGAAGGTACAATTGATTGACGCACATCGATAGACTAACTAACCAACAAGTAGACTTCTCATCTCATTTTAAATTTTGAAGCTCGTTTTGTTTTTCGTGTCCAGTTCATGTCTGGTGACATTGATCTAGGGATGAGCATCGATAGGTCAAACCATCGATGTATACCGATAACATTGTTGCGAAAACATCGTTGTTATCAGGGCTAAAACAAATTTTTTTTGGTTTTTGTCTGCTCTATGTACTGTCTTAGCTAATTAACCTATTTGTATACTCTTACTAAATAGTATTTATTTTTATTTGTGTGTTCCTACGCCAGTGGTGTTTTTTACGTTTTGATAGGGAACGGTCCAAACCACTCGTCTTGTAACCACTCGGGTACCCAGATTTTTAAAATACATTAGATTAAATACACTCCCCAAGCAAGTAAGTATAGTTTCTTTCCTGCATAATTTTTACTCATAAAGAAAACTCGTTACGTGATATCATCTAGCAAAGAAAATTCTTCAAGTATTCTTCAAATTGTTTGGCCATAGACTACAACTGATGATTACGAACCTGACAGGTGGTGGTTTGTGGTCCTAATTCATTTCAATGCCTCAAGGCCAGATTTAATGTTACAATGAATGGTCATAGGGACACTGTGACAAGGACTAATTTTTGTTTCATGTGTGACTTCCAACTCCTCATTTGCATTCATCATCATGAATCGTTGTAAGAGCTCAGTTGTAGACTAACCAACACAAGGGGGTATGTTTTATCTATGGTATAAGCTATGTCTTATGCTGAGAGAATTTTGGGTATTTAATGTCTAACATCAATTAAGTCAATACAATCTGGGATTTAGAGATATTTTTGTAGGCAGCCTTTTAAAATCTATATTCCGAAACAGCCTAATACTGACTAATACATTCTCCTAGGCAGTAAGTATGTAACTTAAATTAATTGCTATTTTTAACTGGGAAAGGGCGGTTGATCAACGACATGGACTTTGCATAAAGGCTTAAATTTAAATAGTGCAAACCAAGTCTGAAAACATCTGTAGAGCTATAGTACAAATTCAATGTAAATTAAGCCTATTTTTTTCAGGCAATCAACAATGAAGTACTGGCTTATTACATGCTCTGTTATCACACAAATCGGATTGATATCATGTTTGCTATATCCGTATGAAACGGAAACCAGAGAGGTTAAATCATTGGATGGACTTTGGAACTTCAAGATATCTCCCGAGAATGATATGGATGCTGGATTCAAAGAGGAGTGGTTCAAACGAGATCTTTCCAAGGTAAAAAATGGTTAATCTTTGAAGTCCTTATGAGAAATCTCTGCCTTTGTCAAAATATAAACTAAAGTTTCTAATCCAAACTAGGCCTAAATAAAAATGGGATAAATTTATTAGAGGTACCGTATCTCGTCACAAAGAACTTCTAAGTTTTACAAGGTTTCTTGGGCGTCCACAAAAATCAATTTACCAGTTACAAAATTATTAGGGCCTATTGAGAAATATTACACTGCATTAAGACAATGTTACGTTAGTATACATATCTCCTGCATGCTGTTAAAAAATTGTATTGCAAGCGTTTATAGCATAAACGTTAACTGTATGAAGCAAATGCCAGTATCACAACAATTTGGAGGCTTAATTCTGCTCTAATCTTCAAGTAGGAAGGAGCACAGAACTAAAGATTAGTACATCCAACATCAAGAAACTAGATTAGTTTCAGTTTGTGTTCTAATCTTTTCTGTGATTTCTTTCTACCTGAAACCAGATCAGACCACAGGCAACAAAATATGATAAAACTTGTGTTTTACTTATGATGGAAAGTGTCTCCAATAATCCATTAACAAACTTATTAACAATGAATCCAAAAACAGCACAATTCATAGAGGTTTGAGAGAGGTTAAGTTTTATTGTAGTAACTGTGTTGATTAACTTCTAGCAATAAAATTTAAACACTGATTAAAGCATAATTTGTCTATTTTTTTTCAGGATGTAGACAGCATCAAGATGCCTGTACCTTCAAGTTACAACGACGTCACAACCAATGCCACTATCCGAGACTATGTCGGTTGGGTTTGGTATCAGAGAACTTTGCACGTTCCGAGCAGGTGGCTTGAAAACGACTCTAGAATTGTGTTACATTTTGGGAGTGTTCATTATCATGCTATCATCGTAAGTATATATGAAGATAAATGAAAATAAAACATAGTCAAAATGAACATCTAAACGAGTTATTGAGTAGTTGGGTAAGAGTAGTTGGGTAGGAGTAGAGGTTTTGGTGCTCGCCTTGTTGTCAAAAGATTAGCTTGTTCCTGAGAAAAGTCAATAGATTTTTGATGGTTTGAAATTGGACCCAGCTGTCTTTCAACGTTGGTCATATGAACCTGGTTTGAGAAACAGCTGATCTTTAGTCAGTAACAAAGCTACGAAAAGCATCTAACTTCATAATACATAATTCTGCTCAAACTATACACTGTAAGTTATTGTTTTCTTATATCAATGTTTGACGTAATGAGTTTAAAAACCTATCTATTAAAAAACTAAATACTAAGTGTAATAGTTGGGTGGATTATAAGGAAAAAATCTGTTCAAAATGGGACGGGAAAAAAATTGTTAAATCGATGTTATTGATTGTGAAAGACATAAAAATATCAAAAATATTTTTTTATCCAACATTTTCAACAAAAATTGCACCTTATTTCAGTAATCTCTACAATCTGCAATTATTTTCCTTAGTATGTTGGTGAACATAAGATCGGAGAGCATGAGGGCGGTCACTTGCCGTTCCAGCTGGAGTTGCCTCACTCTGCTGTTGGACGTATCAACAGGCTGACTGTAGCTGTCAATAACACCCTGACCCCCGACACTGTGCCTCAGGGTCGTCTGTACTATCCTAACAACACTATGAGGTAATTATTCCCGTAAGCATCCTCCTCTTAGCAGAGCTAGTGAGAAATTGACCTAAGTCAGGTGTAATGTGTAATTAAATAGGGTAGCCCATTAACCTAAATTTTAGTGGTATTTTCCCTAACGTCGCTGTAAAGAATATGTCATCAAGTACAATACTGACGCCTAGTAATCGTACGTAGACACTTAAGTTCAAGCTTTCTAAAATCTCGTGTCCACCTCTGCTCGATCAAAACTTTAGCCTCACACACTTTAACAATACCCATCAGTTGCTCCAAACGTAACCCTCAAGTTGGTAGGTTCATGCAGAATATAATTTACTAACCCTTCTGTTCAAGAAATATAAATCCATTTCAGTATTTTTTTAAATGATTTTAACACACAACTCGTACATTTAAAACACAATTAATACAAAATGAAATTTAATATTAATGATCTGATGGCACAAGATATGGATATTGACATTTCCATGTCCACAAGCAGGGACATTCTACTATTCGTTTTCAGGGGAGCGAGCTGGTCTGGTGGTTAGAGCGTGGGACAAAAAAAACTATTTGTTTTTGTAAATCCAAGCAAGTCATATTTGGTAATTAAAGTTATTGCTTCTGGGGGAAAACAGAAGCATTTGTGGCTCAAAACTGTTGCGTGATCATTGGGCTTTAAATTAATGGTCCTGACGACTCTTAGGTTTAGTCATACTTCACATAGTTAAACGTGCATGATAATCATAACAATAAACATTACATTCTATAACCCTCCAAGTGTCCATAGTTTAGGCCTTAATGTCCACCTATTTTTGGCGCATTTGCAAGGTTTTATTAAAACGGATCTGAAAAGCTTAAAACAATGTTAATTCTAATGTTCTATATACCATTTTGTTTGGAAAATCATGGGCTTCAATATTATATATAAAACATAAAGAACATTTTTTCAAAAAAAAAATTTTTAGGTAAGAAAAAATATAATTTCGAAAATTTTCAAAAAAAAAATAAGTTCGCGCTCAATGAAATTGTATAAATTATAGGCCTATAAATATTTGAAAATAGCCACTTTGTTCTAAATTTTATGAGGATTACAAATATATAATAATATAAGGAAGTAGATTTGCAAATAAATAAGTTATGGGCAAAAAACAGATTTCAGTACATAGCGTTTAGCTAAGAATGCATAGCCTAACCATAGCTAGGAATCTGGCTGATAATTTACATCAATATCACTACCTACTTCTTCAGGATCATCAACCAGCACTTCAAAACCACTTAAATCTTCTTATAATGCAACACGTATATCCCTACTTTTGATTTTTAACACTAAAACAATGATAAACGTAATAAAACACATCAGTCATCGGTCCGAGTAACCTAGCTGTTTACAAATACACGCACGTCAGCTGTCTGCTACAATATTTTCGGAACTAAAATGAATAGCGCTTAGAGACAGACCTCTGGAGAAAGCTTAGAATATTACGGAAAGAACGATACCTAACTCGATCCAGTTCAATCCGATTCAGTCAGTCATAGAGCCTTCGCCGTAAACGATGTCTGCGTGTCGAAAAATCGACAAGTAACACTACACAAAGTGTGCTGCTTGTCGAATTTTCGTCAAGTAACACTGGGAGGGCTAATCTTGCAGTCGGATTAATATGAGTGTTTTTTACAGGTATCCTAAAGGTTACAAGCTGTACACTCATGCCTTTGATTATTTCGACTACGCCGGGATAAATCGACCAGTGTTTATGTTTATTACAAATAAAATTTATATCAAAGACATTCATGTTTCCACTGATGTTGATAAAGGTGTTGGTAAGTGAATCATTTGGTACCTAATTTATTTTTACTTGTGCCATATAGAACTTTCCCTGCTATCTTGAGGCATTGTTATGTGTGTGTAGCCTATTTTTAGTTGTGTTTAATACCGTACTTCATTTGTCTTACATTCATAAGGATCTGTTTTTGATTGTTTTCTTCACAAAGTTGAATTTATCATGCTTTATCTCAAATGGTTTATTTATTGGTAAATCCAGTTGATAATTTGCAAAAATGATCTTTCAGTAGAATTTTTCAATTCCTTCATATTAGTTTATTGTATTACTTCAACTGTAAGGATTGTAAACAAAATTATATAAAGTGATTTTTAAACAGGTTGATAAAGAAATTTCTAAGATTTTGTCTAAAGAGGCTATTCATAGGACTGTCTTTTATATTCATGTGTTATTTATTTGAAACCATAAAAAAAAAGTACTAGGCTTAGTCACTAATATCTTCAATATTTTTGTCCAGGTTACGTTAAATATTCCCTGAAGTTATCAGACCCAAGTGCCAAGTGCGTAGTGAGACTTTACGACTACAAAGACGAGCAGGATCACGTTGTAGCTGATGCAAACTCTTGTAACGGAGAGATGAAGGTGTCAAACGCTCAACTGTGGTGGCCGGCCGGACTGTGTGATAAAACTCCCGGCCATCTCTACATGTTTGAGGTAACTCTTTAAAGCTTGATCTAGTGTAATTTAATAATTTATTGAGGAAATGTTCAATCACAATTATTTAAAGAAAATCCTGACATTTTGAGATCTGTAGAATCTGATCCCTTAGTTACAAAGTACCAAAAACATATCAGGATCAGTCCACAAACCCAACCAAAACTGAAAACTCACAAATACAGACCACACAGGCAAGTTATGTCAAAAATACCTAGGCCCCAGCAAACCTGCGACTAAAACTGAGACTGTAATTCTCTGATTAGATTTGAACAAAAACCTTTCTTTTAGTTTATCAAAATCGGATAAAAATAACTCAAGTTATAGTGATAAATTTAAACACTGTTTTTTTACGACCAGCTACATCAAAATGAAAAAAGTAAATCGGTCCTGAGTCTTGGTCTTCCCGTGCTGCCCACAGTAAAGCTGCTTCCCTATTCCCTATAGGGAAATGTTCCCTACATTTGCTAAAAATATACAGGTCTCTTAACGGAGGAGAACATTTTCTATTGGAGAACACTAAAGGCTGTAGAGTTGTTATTGCTTTATCTGAACATAAATCTCTTCACTTCTCCAGTTCCCAATATGTAGGCATTCAATTGAAAGAAAACAGTGAAGGGAAGAACAATTTTGTAAAGATTGTGAATGTAACCCAAAAATGTTTAAACCCTCCATATAAAGCTAATTTAGAATTTATAAGCAACCAACTAAAAGACATGTAGCAAGAAATATTTTATGGAAGATTTACCAGATGCAATCATATTCAAACGTGTTTTACAGATCCAAGTATTTGCAGGAGAGGGCTCGTCATTGGTCGATAGTTACTCCATGTCCGTTGGTATTCGTAAAGTCAGCTGGACGAACAAGACGCTGTTGATAAACAACCAGCCAGTATATCTCACAGGGTTCGGAATGCATGAAGATGCAGATGTAAGTATTTTACTTTACCAAGTAACAAAATAATGGTTGCTAGTTTTGGAACGTGGGCTGTGAATTTAATGCTATCCATCAACGACTAGGAATAAAAATTTTACTAAAATCACCTAAAAACCTTTTAAAAGAATTAGAACTGGCACATGATAAATTACCTCTAATATTACACTACGAAATGTTATACTATAAAAAAATACTTTTTTTATAAAGGTGTGAAAGTGGCTCAATTTTAGAGCTAAGCCCAGCCTAAAACTTTGAGTTATTGAGCTCCAGCTCATAAAATATGATGATGATATCTCCGTAAATTATGGGAGATGTTCATGCTTTTGTTGCATTGGCGGATGAAGATTTATGTCTTCGCAATCGCAGTAACTGTTGATGATTTTGCCCCTTTACGAATGAGGATTGTTCCACGATTGCACAAGAAACATGATTAAATTATGAGTATATAATGGTGTGAGATATGCACTGTGTTTGCTACTGACTAAGATCAGCTGTTTCCTTAGTCAGGACTTAAATCAGTAAATCAAGTACAACTAGGCTCAATCATTTAAAACTTTTAAAACACTGCTGACTTCTCAGGATTGAACCAGCAACCTTGTTCCGTAATCGCGGCAAAAAAGAGAAAATCTCCGGTGGTCACTGAAATGTCATCGTCGTCGTCCGCAATCACGGCAAAATCATGATTATTGGCTGCTGCTGTGTAGACGTCGTCGTCGTCTAGCGCAGTCACAGAAATGTCATTGTCATCGACCGCACTCGCGGCAGAATCATGAACATCTCCCCCGACTGTGTAGGCGTCATCATCATTGTCTCCCGCGGTCAAAAAGTATTAGGCGTGCATTATATCCACTCAGCTCCAACTATACATGTCGGTTTTAGATCCGAGGACGAGGTTTTGACTACGCCACCATGACAAGGGACATGAACCTCATAAAGTGGCTGGGCGCCAACTCCTTCCGTACATCTCACTACCCGTATGCTGAGGAAACTATATTCGAAGCTGACGCACAGGGGATCATGGTTATCCTGGAAGCTCCTGCATGTAGTCTCAGGTTGGATTGGATCTTCCGTAAAAATATATTTGTTTACTATGACTACACACAAATTATGACTCTGTTCATAAAATTTAAGTGGATGTTGGGGAAGAAATTATCCCTTTAAAATAATAGCTGAAGTTTGCAAAAAACGTAATCAGCTACAACATATTAAGAAAATAAAGTAGAGGGAACTTCTCCTCTAACCCACCATGCCTAAAGTCACACACCAATGCACATTCAGCAACAGTTGTTTTAATCAGTTTTGCAACACAAAATTAACTTATGCAAAAACATGCTTCTTTAAAACCATATGCCGTCTTAGACATTGTCAATACGGTCAGAATCTATATAATTATTACGCTACATGAAACTTTGTCGGTTGAACTCCTTCCCCATTTCTTAACCGATTTTATCCACTGACGTCTCATTGGAAAGAGCGTGTCGCGTAGATTTGCAAACTGGCCTTACATTTTTTTTAAAGTCTCTTGGGCTCTGCCCCAGTGGCTTCAAAAGTTCCCATGTTATCCTTATGGAGAACTTAATTGTTTACATTTTGATCAGCTGTATAATTTAATTGCTGTTATTTATTTTTCAATTCAATGAAACGCATTGAGTACATTTATTTACTATTTGAGTTTGTGTAAACATAACCCCCAAGACGGATGGTGTTAGTATGGTTGTATCTTAAATTTGTGTATTTATCGTTGTTTTGTGTAGCTATAATTTGTTTATTTGTTGTTTCTTTCTTTTAAATGCCTCCGACGCGACGACAACGAAACATAGTCAGCACCTGACCCTGGACAATCTCAACTATTAGTTTATAAATGCGTCATAACACTACCCCAAAACGACTTTTCGTTCTCAATTGGCCCTCTATCAATGACATGTGTTGCCTGTACAGCGAGGCATTTTGAGAAGGATAAAACCGGCCGGAATGCTTTAGGTTTATCAATAACGAAGATAAACATGGTCTGAGTTACACACCGGTAATCTTTGAGTTGACTTTTTTTAAACTCATTGTAAATATGACTATTCACTTTGAAATAACTCCTGTAATTCTTTGCAATTGCTCGAATTTGAGCAACATGTACACTAGTTCTTATTACCATATTAATTTTTATTTTATTGTTTCAGTGGTTTCGGAGACAAACTGTATAAACGCCACAAGGATTATGTCCATGAGATGGTAGCAGTTTTCAAGAACCATCCCAGCGTCATTATGTGGTCTTTAGCCAACGAACCTGTGAGCAACAGTGAGCAAGCCAACTACTACTTTGGGTAATAAATAACTTAAGTAAGTGTATGGAGGACAAAAAAACAAGAAGAATACTATTAGTTCATTGCAGTTGAATACCAGGTGTTTAAACAAATAGTAAAACTTAACAGTTGGATTTTCTGCTTGTCTTGATTAAACCAGCTGCCAATGCCAACAATGGAATGAGCATGTTTACAGGATTTTTTTTATCGTTTTGTTTTGTCTTGGCTACTTAACTTAACTGTGACAGTCTTGTTTGTGTAAAAGCCTACTACAAAGCAAGAAAATATGTTTTAGTCAAATTTTGCTTGAACTGGTGTTGTAAATGTTTAGAACTTTTTATTGTTCGAAGAATTTTCTCTCATTGTAACTGCATAGCTTCGATTTTGATAATTTAGATGGTCAACCAGACGTTTTGTGTGTCAAATAAAACACGTAGCATGAGTGGATGAAATTACAACATCATATATAATATTTGTGTTTTTTTACTGTTTTAAACGTGAAACAATTTAACATCTAAATCATTATTAACTTTTTCAGCAATTTATCAGCTGCAGCTAAAGAACTAGATTCTACAAGGCCAATCACTTTTGTTGGCAGTCAACTTTTGGAAAATGAAACAGCTGTAAGTTAATAATACTTTTAGTTGACCTAAGATTATTTATACCTGGGTGGTTCAGACTTATGGAAATGCTATTATGGGTCCATACCTCCTCCTTGACCTTATTCCTATAGCTTCTAGTTGTAAAGCCCATGACTTCGCTCTCCAAGGTCCCGGGTTCAATACAGCCAAGCACCAATGGGTTTATCTACGTGATAATGTCACAACCCTCTAGGCTTAGCCTATAGTCAGGTGTAAAATGAAGGTTAGAGCCTAGTATCCTAGGATAAGAAGGTGAAACTTAGGAAAACAAAGCTGGAACATTCATTTATCAAAGCGGCATCATTAAACCCAGTTTCCAATCAAGGCCTTCTTGATCCTCCAACTACTCTCAACATTTCCTTATAGATATGTTATCCTTCTGGGATAGCTAAGGCCAATTTTTAAGCAGGTTTTCGTCTATCAAGCCGGGTTTTCCAAGGTACGGAACGCGGAGAGCGAACTCCTCTTGTCTTAGGCAATTTAATGGTACTGTTTCACTAGAAGCGGAGAGGAATGCCATCTCAATCGCTTTTCTCCACTCTCTGTGCTCCACTTCCGCGGCTAAGAAAACCCGGCTTTAGAGGGTAGGGCTATTTATTGTTTACTAGACCTAATAATTTCTTTTTATTAAAACAACTAAAAAATGGTTCATTATTATATAACATTTATTTATTAACTATAAATCTTCCACTGGTAGTGTATTTTAATGAATAAACAAAAAGAGAGGCATACACTCTAAAATGTACTTTAAGACAGAAACATTTGGCCGACATCAGCTAACTTAAGTGTGACCAGGCATAAAACATTACAAAACGATTTTATAATAGGATGAGTCAACTTAAGTACTCATTTCAATGCTTTCTTGTGTAGCTACTACAACAGTTATTCATAGCATTGACTTTATTGGTTCCAGATTCAACACGTGGACATAATTGGTGTGAACCGCTATCGAGGCTGGTACACGGACTCCGGCCTGACAGACCTCATCTCCTACCAGGTCGAGAATGAGATGACCGCTTGGCACGAGAAGTACAACAAACCTGTGATTGTGACGGAGTACGGTGCAGGAGCTGTGTCTGGCTTACACACAGTGAGTATTGGACTCATAATGGTAATACAAGGTAGATGTTAGGGGTACAGACATGTCTCTTTACTTTAGGTTACGTAAAGAATTCTCAGTAGGTCCAAAATTGGTTTGCTTTTTAAAGTATTGATTTGAAAAAAATTTATTTGTCATACTTACTTATTATTACTCTCAGGGCTATCATCAAATCCTCTCCAATTCGACCTGTTTATTAAATATTGTACATCATCTCCTACAATCCCAGCAAATTCAAAACATTAAAATGGTATAAAATTACCTGATTATGTCTGTGATCCTAAATTATTGTAGTGAGCAGCTACCAGCTTTGAGGTTATAACTTCACATTTTAAGGTTCAAGAAGTGATCCTGGGCCAAAGAACCGATATGAAATTCAAAACGTCTCTTGCAGTTGGGGCAAAATCTTCCACGGTTATGATTAAAGATTAAATCATAAAAATATGCTGTGGTCGCAGTGAAATCATGAGTCTCTTACGGTCGTTTTGAAGTCATGACTGTCTCCTGCAATCACTGTATAATTGAGAACATATTCAGGGGTTGCAAGGACATCATCATTGTGTTCTGTAGTAGCAGCAAAATCACAAACATCTTCTGTAATCGCATCAAAATTGTGAGTTTCCGTTTGCGCAATTTACGTTGATTCTTTCTGTGCTCAAAAATCGAGCTGCTTTCACACCTCTAAAATGAATTACCCAACCAAAGCTTTGCACTAAAATTATTTCCAACCCAAACTGATCCCTCAGGCCAGCTGTTGATACGGCCTGACCTGAAAATTTCAGGGATCCACAGAATCTCAGTAGATACTGTATTACAACCAACTCACGTCACACATTAGAGTTCCAAGAAGTTAATGGTTCACTATTCATTTTTCTATTACATTCATTTTATAAGATAACAATTAAGTTGTATACTAAAAACATCTTGCACATCTGTAGTATAGTTTTGTTTTATCGTTACTCATTCTAACCTAACATTTGGCTCAGCTACCGGAAGCAATGTGGTCGGAGGATTACCAGGCGGTCACGCATCAGAAGCATTTCCTCGCCTTCGACAAACTACGACAGGAAGGGAAAATCGCTGGGGAAATGATGTGGAACTTCATAGACTTCAATACACCTCAAGGTATGTCAAATGCAATCCAAATCATACAATGGACTAGGATTCCTGTAACTTGTTAACTTGAGCTCAGGCCAGATTACACCCTTAAAACATGTTTATTAGATGTGAAAAGTGTCCAAATCCTAGTTTTTTTACTACTCAACATCATTTTTTGGTTGGATTGCATCACCAATTAATTTACAACTCAATCTGAGCCTACAAGACTACTTTTTGTTCTATATTGTTTCTGAGGGTGGTTTGTTCCACCAACAATTTCTATTGGGTTGTAGTTCGATATCGAGAAACAGTCCTAACCTTTTAAAGAGTTCCTTGATCTCATGATGGAATGGCATCTGGATCGTCTGAACTAACTAATAGATTTAAATTACATGGTTACTATCATAACGATCTTTGCTGGTTTACAACGACTTCAGTTATTTTGTGCTGTCAAAAATATAGCATATCTTCAGTTTGAATGTCTTGCTGATGATCCCCTAAATTGAATCTGTTTTATCAACATTGCTTTGCATTTATTTACTCATGTTAATTGTTTTGCTATTTATTCTTGTTTTCTGTTGTTATTTTGTTATTGTAGCTCAGAATCTATTGTATTCCTGTAAGCTTGCTGTCTCCAGTTTTGTTTTCACTACTTCATAAACACTGATTTATTTTCTAGGTTATGTTTACTTGCTCCCTTAACAGCCTGGTATTATGACAGTTCAGTGCCACTGCCATTGCCACCTGGATACTACTCTAAACTCTCGTTTATAAAACCTGCGTTAGTTTTGATGCGTTTTCGTTGGTGAAACAGGATTTTCCTAACTGTGATTTAAATCATCAGTTAGTTTTAACCGAAGATTAACTAAACCATTGTTAAGGTGCATTGTCCCTGAAGCGACTCTTGCGATAGTAGCTAAGCGATAGTAGCTCAGCGATAGTAGCTGACCACTGGTTATCGTTGTTTTAAATGGTACAATTGTCCTTGACGCGACTGCGACTGGAGCGGCTAGCGGCTGAACACAGCGACTGTAGCGGGTCTGCTCTGAGGGGAGTCAGAGTCGCAGTCGCTGAGCGATTTGTGTTGTGTGTAGACTTGTTTTGGTCGTAATGTCTTCAAAGAATACAAAACTGCGTTTTACCCCTGAAGAAGATGAAAAGCTTTTAGAAGCAATAGCACATCATTCTGCCATTTACGACTTGAAGAACAGTCTGTATAAAGATCAGCGTGCTAAGATAATAATATATGGGTCGTGATAGCATCAGACGTGGGAAGATCAGATATGTACGTAATATTAAATCACTACTATTATCCTACTAATATTATAAATGAGAAAGTTTGGATGGATGGATGTATGGATGTATGGATGTATGTTTGTGACAAGTGAACGCGAAAAATACTGGTCGTATTGGGCTGAAATTTGGCATGATGATAGCTCACATTCCCGATTAACATATAGGCATATTCTTATTTCAAAAATCCTTTCGGGCTCCGCCCCAGTGGCTCTGGAGTTTCCCATGTTAACCTTATGAGAAATGAAATTATTGAATCTTAACAGCTGTTTCAATTAAACAAGTTGGTTCTGTTCTGTGGTGTTCAATAGCATTAAAGTTACAAAAATTACCAACAGGGTGCAGCACTATCATTTCTTTTACATTTATGACAACAGCTAATTTGCAACCAAAAGGTGAGTGAGCGTAGCGAACGAACTTCAACCTGGAGGCGAGTTAGCGTAGCGAACGAGCTAACCTGAAGGCAAGCGATCGCAGCGAACGAGCTCCAACCTAAAGGTGAGTGAGCGTAGCGAACAAACTTCAACCAGGACGTGATTGAGCCATGCGAACGAGATAATCTTGAAAATTAAGAAGTTAAACGGGGCAAAGCCCGCGGGTTACAGCTAGTAATAAATAAAAATACTTTTAAAAAATGAAAGGTTTTTAAACGCACTATAAAGTAAAAAATAATTTTTAATATGTGGGGAGAATAAATACTTGTAAGATTTAAAACAAAAACGACGTGGGGCACATGCTAATTTACAATTATCTTCACCTATTGAACTATTATTAGACTACCTATTGCATGTTTTTCGTTTTAAATCTTACAAGTATTTATTCTCTCCACATATTAACATATTATTTTTACTTTTTAGTGCGCTTAAAAGCGTGGCATTTTAACGAATTTCCCTATAGGAAAGTAGTTATACATATATACAAATTTGAACGAATGGTGTTTTTGGCCTCTGGGGACATCAAAATGAAAAAATAAATCGGTCCCGGGCCTAAGTCTTACCATGCCACCTACCTTTAAAAAGTGTTTATTTTTATATTATTTCCTACTTTTCAGTATTTAATGTGTAAATATATTAAATATATTTTATATGGTCTGTTAATACATAACCAACCCCTTATTATCTGTTTTATCTTTCCTTTGAACTGCTTATTTTGGGTCGCCAGTTCTCCTACACTCTTTATATTTAGAATCTCTCGGGAGCAGAACCTGTACACCTTTTAACTTCTGCTCTTCGAACTGTCAAATATTTATAGCTGACTTCAATTGCTATATTTACATTCTTTCAAAATTTTAACATGGGAAATTTTGAAGACCATGGGGCTTAGCCCAAGGGAAATATTAACATTAAATGATATAATAATGCATTGTCATCCATTTATGAGCTATGTTTCAAGTTTCAATTCTCTAGCTGGTCGGGAAGTTAGTTTAAAATTGTGTTTTAAAATTTAAAAGTGTTTTTTAAATTTAAAAAGTTAGTTAAGTAGCAAACTAATGAACAGAATCGCTCTAGAACAATCGCTTCAGGGACAATGACATGGTTAGCTACTATCGCTAAGCTACTATCGCTGAGCTACTGTCGCTCAGCTACTATCGCAAGAGTCGCTTCAGGGACAATGCACCTTTAGCGTGAAATTGATCAAATCGGGCCTTATTAGTTAATCCCATTTATGGACTGACCTTACAAATCGTGGTAAAGTAAAAGAGGTATAGGTATGATGGAACCCATCTCCTGACACTCTATCTACCTGGGACTGGGCTGTGCCTTTAAATTATTGACTAATCCCCAGGTAGATGCCATATAAAGGATTTCTGATGGTCATCATTTCAAAGTTTTCTTCTAACCTAAATTCACCACTGGCTAATATGACTGGTTGTTATTGTTACAGAATACTTCAGACCTGGCCGATGTTCTAAAGGGTTGTTCACGAGAGAAAGACAGCCGAAGCAAGTTGCCCATGTGGTTAGAGAACGTTACACATCTCTAGCAAAATGCCCTAGCGATTAACACCATTGCAGTGATGTGATTGGTGTCAGGAATTGTAAAAAAAGGTCATAATAGTAAGGAAAAGGTGGTAGAAAAATATTAAATCCAGATATGAAATGATAATATCCAACTGACGAGGAAACTAGGAATCGTACGAATTTTTATGACTGCTGTAAACGCCACGAAATGTTTATGCTTGGGTTTTGAAATTATCATTTTGAATTATAGCCTATGGCGAAGCGTCAATCAATTCCGTAGGTCCTCATTTTACATTATAATATTTTAATATGTATTGGAAGAAAAAATACAACATTAACTTTAAAATCAGCAGACAAAGAAAACAAGAACTAAACTACATACATCATGTATGTATGTATGTACTGCTGATGAGTCATGATGTAAAGAGACTATTAAAACCATTCAATTTTTGTTGGAAATTTGCAACAAACAAAATTTCCAAAAAGTAGATAAAACTTTCTATGAAACAAATATACTGTGTAGTTAAATGTATATAATTTATCGTATAATTTTATAAAAAAAATTTTATGACATTTTTGGTAAACCTATAAAATAAAGAGGTCATAAATTGTGGTTAAGTTTAAGTACAATACAAATAACATAATAATTCTTGCTGTTTCTTCCTAAAACAAGAAATTGTTATAACTTTAATACAATTATTATTATTCTTAAAATAAACTATGCAAATCGCAGCAAACTGCTGGAATTTTGGCAAATCTAACTGGCAGTTCCAGGATTAACTGCAACATTCACGGTCAGCTAAGAATCTTAACTGTCACCCCAATACAAATTGCGCTGCCTACAAATTGACAGGCAAAGCTCTCTCTAAGTACTTAATGCTTTTTACCATGCGGTTGGCATTCTGGGTTATAGTAGTATGTTTTCTGTGCTGTCACCCAAATACTTCCTTCTGCTTACCGTGTATTTAATTAACCATTGAGAGTCATGTTCTAATTTCGATTTTTTGTTGTTGTTTATTTCCCCTAATCATTAATTGTTAGCTCTTGAATTTATAAGCAGGTTATACTGTTGTACTTTGGAACTGGCTCATAAATCAACTAGTGTACTATCAAGGAATATTTCCAAGAAGATAATGGAAAACCAAATAATTATTGTAAAGCAAGAAACAACTTTCTATGTATTTTGACGCTAGTGTATTTCTTAAAGAAAATTACAGGATGTATGTTTATTGTCTATTGTTTATATTTACTGCAATGTAATTGGCCTATCCTGATGGTATTTACAATAGAGGCTTTGAATCACCAGATTAAATATGGAGGTATTCTAATTTAATAGGTAGCAAGATAAAAGCTTAAAAGACACTATTATTAACACGTTCGCTGTTGACCGCTAGATGCCAGGACGGCGCCAGGAGCTGAATTAACGCTCGCCGCTGCGTAAACATTGCTGCCGATACACTGAATTACAGTAAAAACAACAGTAGTTATACTGGATGGCAATGTTCTGCAATAAAACTGGCTTTAGACATAGTACTAAGTGATTCTGATAGATAGCAGCACTACCTAGGTTGCAGTCGGTAAAGTAGTGTTGCTTTCTAGCAGGAAAGAGGTGTGACAAAGCCCTGTTCTAAACGACACTGGTGGTAATTTTGGGAAACTATATTTTTTATTGTCAGAAAAGTATGTCCCCACAAGCTGCAAAGAAATATAGGACGCTTGTGACGAGCTGGCTGATTCATGGCAACGTTAAACAACAATGAACGGCGATGTTCCGGAACGTTCCTAGCTCCTGGCGCCGTGGCCTGTTTGACGTTCCGGAACGTCCGTAGCAGCGAACGTGTTAATGCAAAAAAAACCTATGGTACAAAATCTACAAAATAATTTATACCGGTTGTTTATTGTTTGTATATTATTTCAAGGGAAAACTGTGAGGCTGATTAGGAAAAGTTTAAAAAAAATATATAAACAAATATTTTTTACATGTTGGACAATTTATATATCTTAGGCCTACCATAAGAATATATATTATTTTCTAGAAAGGAAATAAATAAACCCAAGAATTGAACATTTGATGTTTTATTCTTTCATTGTTCTGTCAATTACTATATCCACTTGTAGTTACAACAAAAACAAAAAAGTTCTACCTCCTTCAATGAAACAGCAAGCTAAATCAGGAAATCAAAGCGTTAAAAAAAGCACAGCCATCGATAAGAAATTGTTTCCTTAACCGTTTAACCTTGTGAAACATGTTTAATTCCAAAGACCAATAACACGTGGACAATCTATTTACAAACAGTCACTATACAATTTCCGTTTTAAAAACAATTCAACAAACCACTGAAATTATTAAAAATAATAACAACTAAACTACTAAAACGTTCTTTGGTTAACAATGTGTTTACAAAACTACCATATACTAATCAGTCAGATAAGCCTTTTCTTTGTTGAATCGCCTTAAAACACAAATTTGAGCCATTCATCGTTGGTTTTTAAATTAACTTGATAAAACCTACAAAAGGCGAAACTGGACAAAAGAAGTGTCTTACTGGTACAGTACTTTTTAGATTCCTTACCGTACTTTAAAAATACACACACATTTGATCATTACAACTCAAGTAATTACAAAATCATTCCAATTGCATTTACAAAATGAAAGTAAAATTTTATAAAGTTCTACCTGGCAAAAACAGGTAAATAAATCTTCAAGTGATTTCTTCCTAATTCCTAATCTAGGATTCAATTAAAAGTTATTAAAAATTCTACTTAACAATGGAAGTTTAACGGTAACACATTCATTTGGTTGATTCTATACATGTATACATTTTAAAAACTACCATTGGCAATGGATAGGAAATCTAATAATTATAGGTATGTTTGGTAAGAAAGGTAAATCATAATATAATATACAAAACTCGTTTTAGGTTAAAAGATATAGCAAAGAGGAAAATATTCTATACTAGAAAACTTGAGTGGAAGGACAATATTAGGTTATTAACTCACTCTTTGGGATACAAATTAATATTTGATGTGTTTTCTAAAGGATGATTATCTAAAGTAAAATATTAAGTTACAGTTTTTATTTAATAAATACAGTAATTGAAAAAGTACTAACTACATGCAAGTCGACACAATTAAACCCAAATACGCCAAATGGAAAGATGGTGAGGTACTTACGTATTATACGGAGGCCACTTATTTTACAGCGTGATGCGGCGGTTAGGTTAGGTTGGGTTATCATAAGTTTTTATGACTCATCTCGTATAGTTCGATTCATAACGAAACTAGGAAAGTTCTACAAACATATTTATGATAACCCAACTTAACCCAACCGCCGCAGCGCGCTGTAAAATAAGTGGCCTCCGTATAATACGTAAGTACCGATGGTGAATTTATGATATTTGGAAAATAAAATTAAGGTAAATGTTTCTTAATTACCATAGAAAATCTGCCACTAGCAAGGAAATTGACTAGCCTAATTGGTTATTTGGTTACCCATTTTTAGTAAAAATCTAGAATGTCTCGCACCATGAAAATAATTATTGTGGATTCAACCAAGTGCTAAAAGCGTAAACAAAAGTAGATATACCTTTCCCTTTTGCAGTTTTAGGTTATGTTATTTGCATACTGGATGTTTGTGTTTCTAACACCAACAGTGAAATCAGCTGATTTAGCTTTTGCATATGTATTTTGAGCATATGTATTCGAATGAATAAAGCAGAAATGAGCCATTTTGTGTACTGTTTACAGGTGTGGCAAGGTGATCATTTCTATGTAGTGGTATGAAAAATTATACAGATCAAATCTCAGATCTCTAGTTGTAAAACATGGCCACTAAGAGCAATTTGATATAAAAACTGAGGTTAGGGATAAGGTTTCGAGATTCATTTTTACCTACAGCATGGTAAGTACAATAACCGTACTCCTGCAGTATCCATTTTTTATAAACCAGCACCAGTCAAAAATCTACAAATATCACTTTCAGCTATTCAAACTAACATTTTAACATACACAATCCAGAATATCTTATGCTATATAGTATGACATACACTGTATAATACTAAAATCTTTGGCTGTGAAAAGCTAAAAATAAATACGGTACTACAATGTTAGTAGATGGTTATGTAAATGCAAGAGAACTCTGCAGTGATATTTGGTTACTTCGGAGATCAAGAGACTCAATATTTATTTACCTATTGGATATTTTTTTGTAAATGTTACATACTACTTACAAAAATATTGTGTAAAACTAAAATCACTATATGACACCGTTTTAGTGTTACATATTGATATACAAGTTTCAAGTCATTTGAAAATTGACTTTCTCAGCCTTATGAACTAAGATCTTAACAAAATATTTTTGAACTAAAACCTTTCTATACTCCTTTATAAGTGTTTTCAATTGCACCCTAATTTTCTAGTCCTAATTCAAATTTATGACAAAAAAATATTTACTTAAAGACTTTTTAAAATTATTTAGGTGTTAAGGTATTTTGAATGCAGTATTTCGATGGTTTGGATGGTTTTGGCTCACCCTGTTTTTATCATTTTCACGTCTTACGCAAGTTGGTCACAATTGGATGGCTTTTAATATTTAAAAAATGTGATTCTAATATAACAAGGTACTTACCTACAAAACTTTACAGGTTCTATAAGGCCTAAATAAACAAAAATAATTTATTTGGAAAACTACTTTTCTGTCATTAGATAATAATCACTAAAATTAGTTTTAATTGTTAAAAACTCAGTGTTGGTAACTTGTATTATTTGCATGATTACAGACAATTTTATCACAAAATAAAAACAGCTGTGTGTCCAGAGTAAATAACTTGTTTAAAAAAAATTTTCAACTCAACAATATCCAGACCCTGAAACATCAGGACTTCTTTGTTCCTATTTTTAGGATGAGATAATCAAATGATTTTTGCATACATATAGTTTTGATAGTGGTAGAAATCATGTTGATTTTTACAGCCCTTAATGATGATAATCACAAAACTCTTCATAAATCCTTAAAACGACACCACTAACATTTTTCAATTCTGATCATTCTTGTTCCGAATCAACCTTACCTTGATATGTTCAACCTTCGACTATTAATTGAACTATACATTCCGTAACCAGGGTTAAAGTTGTCAACAGCTTATGACCAAAATGGACACAGTTGAATTAGCCACAGACATAATGCGCTGATGTAAAATATGGATTGTCTATCAAAGTAGAATCTTGATTCAAAACTCATGGGACATGTTAAAACTAAGACATGTTATCAAGGTTGACTTCTTATTGAGGTTTTGCAAAAACTCGAGATTAAGGAAGTAAACTGAAGGGGATTTGAAAATGGCAAATGTTACCAAGGGTGACTTGTTATCGAGGTTTCGTACACCAATTTGTTTACCCAGCTATAATGGGGCAACTTATTGAACTTAATTGTAGGCTATAGAATCTTTTATAGAACATCAACTACCTAACTAAATAACAGAAACTAAGTACAGAATAAAATTTTACACTGTTGCACTCTTTGTAAGTGGCTAATTCAACAAAGTTCATTAAATTACATCAGTATCCAATGGTCAATGGTTCCATGTGGACCGAAGTATGATAAAAGTTGCCAATCTAAAAAAATATAACATTTCAACGAAACCGGGATCGTAAGGTTGACAAATTTAATATTTTCGACCGGCCTACCGTGTTTGGCTCTAAGTGGGGCGCGAGCTAAGTTCCGTCGCTGTCCTGATCCTCCTGCAGCAGTAGGTTATCCCTGGACGGCGCAGGGCCTTGCGTAAGAATGGCCTTCGCTGAGCTGCCACGCTTCTTGCGACCAGTGAATACTCGTGCAAGCTGTGAGAACTTCTTGCGGGACACTGGAAAAAGCCACTGATGTACTTTTTTGCATGTTTTAGGCATGATTAAGGCAGCAGGTCCTGAATTATTAAATCCTTACGGAAGTTCTTTTGGAGGCTATTTACATCTAGCGTTTGGTAAGACTTTTTATATTAAAGATAAACAGTGATATAAAAACTGTTATGAACATTTTAAACTATATATTTCTGAAACCTTAGTATTCAAGAACAGGAAACAAAACAAACTGTCCTTTTATATATAAAAAAAATAAGCAAAATGTAATCTACTGCCGCAAAATAAACAGAAGACGCTTTCCGAAAATTGAAAGAGAAAAAGGTTGGCCAACCAATCAAAACAATATGTTTTGAGTCAGTTTAATGTTTCCAAAATCACAAGTGAACATCACTATCTGTCACCTGAAAAAATAGTTTACACAATATGACATCGTTACAATAAATTTATTTAATAACTTATTTTTAGGCTTGTATTTAATTAAGTGTGAGGTTTTCAAGGTTTTATACATTTAAAAAATCAATAGATGCAACAAAAATCGACGACAATCACAATAAAACACACAACCACAGTTCAATGTTTCCTAATGTATATTTTTTATGATTACTACTGTCTACTGAATTCAAAACTCAGGAAACTTTGTATTTTAAGCAAGACGGGTGAAGTAAAAAAAAATGTTATTGGTCCATAGCCAACTACAAGTAATTGGTTAAAGATACTTGAATTCAACATAATGTGATAACTTAATCACATTTTCAAAAATACTGTTTTATGAAAAATAGTTCACCAATAAAAAAAAAAATCCTCTCTCTTTATTCAAAAAGTTTATTTTATAATAATTATATATCTTTTAATTTAATATTAACATTAACAACTAAAAACTATTAAGAGTTCTTCTCCTAATCAGAAATTTGAATGCAATTGTTTATAAACTTGGTAAATTTACAGTTGAAAATAATCACAAGACAAGTCAGTGAGTTTACTCACTTTTCCCCATGTTCCGTAACCGTTCTTTAAAGATCGCATCTTCATCAGTAGATCGTGACTGCGGAAAGCTGGCAAGGCGCTCTTCAGGTGGGCTGTCTGAAAAGTTAGTTAAAAGATCATCCATTAGGATTGGCCCTTGATAACTCAACAGCAAATGTACAAATAACCCTGAATATGAGTTTAACTCAGTACTTCTCAACAGAACCTACTCCAATGAGGAAGACAGTGACTTTATCACTAAACAATCAAATCATATCTCAGTTTGACAAACAGGGTTACTAATTTGACAAGACTTCTACAATTAACACTTTAGGATTATAATGTGATATTTAGTAATTAGGAAGATATAAATGTTCAAGTGATTAAGATAATTTAAGGAATTATTGTGTAGGCCCTACAATAGCATAATTTAAAATGTTTTTCTCTATAAACCACACCATTATATTATGGTAGGATGATTTTTTTTAATGGGTTGTGTTTACTAAACATTGTTTTTGTTTCTTTTTGGTAAAATATGATACTTTTTCTTTAGAACTCAATAACAACAGTTTCAATTTATAAGAGTTTGAACTTTACTATCAGTTGTAAGATTGTTTATATTAGGTATATATTATGTAAACAATTATTGCCATTGGCATTATTAAGAAAGAAAACTTAAATTTTTATTTTAAGCAAGCCAATTTTGTACAAACAAAATAATTAAAATAATGTCAAAACTTTGCTAGCTTATTCACATTTTCATTATCAATTGAGATGGGGACGCTTATTTTAACCCAAATATGAATGGAGGATGAGTTTAGAATATGGGGTGAGATGATCTGTGTAGCATTGTTACTGACTTAGACTAAGACCAGCTGTTTTAAGACCAGCTGTTTCATTAGTCTAGACTATTTATTCAAAGCACAGAATCAGAATAACTTATTTGTCATTGGACATTACAAAAACACACATTGGACATTGACAATAATTGGCATGTATATAGCATGGCTACAGTCAGGCTAGACATTACAAATAACATGTCTAATATTTTCATTTGTGAGGTGTCAGCTCTGTGGATTGGAGCACAATGACCAAGGCCATCGGTGACTCATTCATTTAGAGTCAATATAGATATTTGATGTTGTTTTAGAACTAGGAATTTAAACACTATAGTCTCTTATACAATTGCTAGCCAACAGTTACAGTAGTATTGAGTGGACTACTATTCTTTAAATACCTTTGTGTTTCCTGCGTCAAAGATTGCATCAAAGATCTAAGATGCCATTAGGGTAAAAAAACACAAATTTAAAAATTTCACTTGCTAATTGTCACACTTGTGGTAATTACAAAACTTTAATCATAGAAAAAGGACCTGAAGAAAGAGAGTTTATTGAACTTAATCTTTTTACAAAACTATAACTCAGGAATAAAACTATAACTCAGGAGTAAATAGTACCTAAGACAAAAAATACCTTTATCTAACATTGACAGAAAATCTTTGTTCCATCTGAGCTCTGCCATAAATTCTTCGTTTTGAAGGAACAAAGCAATTCGTTCGTCTTCTAACTCTCCCTCCAGCTGCTAGGGAACAAACAAAGAACAAATAAATAAACGACTCTAAAAACCAAACGATTAGGTACTTCTTAAAAACCTTCATGTCAGGAAGATTAATTTGAAAATATTTACTTAACATTGTAATAAGGTAGGAAGGAATTATTTGACTTAAATTCAATTAAAAAGGCTCTTAAAAAAACTTTGAATTTTAAATGTATTATTTGACTGTTTTATGGTTTTGATTATTTCTGTTGTTTCTTAACAATTAAAAAGCACAACTATAAGTTTCTAAATATATCTTATAAAATTTACTGTAAGATAATTACTATTATTATTACCAATAAGATAGGGACACAACTGGGCGATTTTAGCCCAAGCATTAATGAAGGAGTATAAAGTGTGATGACTTGGGTAGCTTCGTTACCATGACTAAGAACAGCTGTCATAATAATTACAGTAATTAAGCCAGGATAATTAACTAAAAGCCCAATCGAACCCTAGTTTTTAATTAACCAAAAACTAGACAACTGACTGTGTTTTCTCATCATGATTGAGCCAACGATCTTTTAATTACTAGACAAGCACGCTGTCACCACTCAACTAGCCAGCTGAACATACCCTACAAAACACAATCAGTATTTTTGACAATTTCACAATTTAGTACTAAATTTCACTTACTCTTCTTCTTAAACTCTCGTTGAATTCCATTTTCCACCGACGCTTCTCTCTCCTCAACCATCTCCGTCTCACCCTCATCATATTCCACAGAAAACTCAACCACATTTTCACTCAATTCGGTCAAACCACATTTGAAATAGCTATTGATGATGCAATAACAAATTTTGACACTAAAAAAATTAAAAACAGAAATGTTTTAATATGGGAGATTATTATTTTAAAACTCAAACAAAGGGAACGTGAGAGTTTCAGTGATGGCCTACCTCTCTGGTGAGAATGAAAGTAGTTGATTGGTTCAACAAGATAATTGAAGGGTCACGAGAGTTAAGGACAATCACATGAGTTGCTACTGTCAGTTGTCTGCAACATTTGTTGTGTTGCTGTTGCTGGCTTTTGTGTTCATGGACAGCAATCGAAGTTGGTGTTTAGTTACCAAAATTTGATTTTTCTAATAGTTATTTTTCTTGTTTTAAAGAGTACAATTACTTAGTAACCAATAGATTTAGTAAGTTTTAAGAAGTTTTATCTAGATTAATTTATGATTAATAATTTATTAGTATTATTTGCATAACTAAAATAATATTATTTTTATTTGTTTTAAGTTTATTGTTGGTGATTTTGACTTTTGTGTTTTTTTATGATAGCTGGGATTTTCCAACTGGTTATCTAACACCGCTAATCTTTTTAGTTTCACTTATCAGTAATGGAAAACCTACAACCTCTTTTATACAAACAATAACTTTATAAACAAAAAATTTACCCAGGAATCAGGAATATTTGTACAAATTATTTTTGGCCATACTGCAGCAAAAACAGCAGTTTTTAATGCATGTGTTGCGGGTCTAAAGTAGCATTTTTACTCTCTAGGGAGTGAAAATCATTTTTAGTCTCAAGGAAGTAAAAATCAGCTGTTGTAAACAGTTGTAAATTTCGATTGTGGCAATCGCATCGAGCAAATTTCAATCGATTGATTTATTAGGTAAGGTTGTAGCCTATTGTTGTCGATTGCTCTACATATCGATGGTATAATAACAACCGTAATAGACAAAATAATTGAATCTTACTAAACAGCTGCTTATTTGACCTCGGGTCAAAAAGAGTCACTTTAGGCCCTAGTGATGAAATATACTATTATTTAGCAATAAGAAAACTAAACGTTAACAATGTGGCAGTGTCAACAATTTTATAAAATGAAAATATTTACTCGCCTGTTTATTAAATGGTTCGGGTGTAAGCCTGAGAAAGTCGTCAGGAAGTGGGCCGAGGAGGGGAGGTGCCCAGCCTCTCTGTCGATGGAGGGGGGTTCCAGCGTTCTCTCCCTCCCTTGCTCCTCCATCACCTTCCCCACTCCTCTCTTGCTCTCTGTCTCCAACAGCTGAAGCATTGGAGGTGTTGGGCGGCTGAGATTGAGTTCTAGAACAAATATTAAAGGTTTTTTTAAAATATTTTAAACACGCAAAGAGGTACTGTACAATTTTTATTTTTTAAAGAGGTTGGCTGCTTTTCTTAACCTTGCATTTTGCTAGTCCACATAGACCTCGGACCTATGCGTGGAACATATTCAGCAAAGCAGGGGGTAAGACAGTACCCTACAAGAGTTGAACTGTACTGATAAAATTGAGTTAAATGGTTAAGGCTACATGTCCTACTGTCTTACTGTTGGTGATCGTACTGATGTCTATGGCAACTGGTTTCGAAATTAAAATCTCATCATAAGACTTCTTCAGTTTGTCATATCACTCAATTAAATGACCACACATAGGTATACCTGTGCCGTGTCGTAGTGTCCTGTACTGGCCAGTTTTATATATTTCTAGAGTAATGTCCTACCTTGTTTTATGTTTTTTGTTCATGTTCACTGACCACCTCAACTTATCGCCAAAGACCAAAGTCAGATCACTGATGGACAGGTAAAAGCCATTATATTCTGAAAGTGATACTTGGCTGCTAAGTACCATAAAATTTTAGAACACTTTATTACTATGTAAAAATGTTGGTGGAACCTTGAAACATAATTCCATTGGTTAAATTGATTGGAATAATACATTTTTCATTTTTTTTGCGGTGTACCTACGCTAGTGGCATTTTTAATGTTTTTAGTTAGAAAATTATCCAAACTATAATCTTTCTTGGTCTCTAACGTCAAACTGTTTGTTATATAGCTTCATTAATTGATAACCCAACGACAAATAGCATCTGGGTCCAGAAATAATTTGAAAGCTAAGCTTTTCTAAGGTCTACGTATGAGTGAAAATTTAAAAACGTACGTTTTCATGTCCCTGACCTTTTACTTCGTAGCTACTGGATTTGTAGTTTATTATTATGTGTTTTAGTATTTTTTGGGATGGGGGCAACATGTTACACACATTTATTTGGTTTTAAATAGGTTCTAGGTATTTTTTTTGTATTTTTAAAGTCTCGAAATTCACGACCATGACGTGTCCCTAGGGTACATTTTCCAACTTTCACGCTGTTTTTAGACTAATTATTCATGCCGGAATATATAAAACCATATTTTTATGTCATCAATGGTTATTAAACTTACAAAAAAGGAGCATATTATAATTTTATTGTCATTGCAAACTGACTACCATGACATAATAAGTCTGTCCCTCGATTTGGCGTCACGACCATTTGGGAAAAAATTTCAACTTTGAAGCACAACAGTGGCAAGCCTGGCGTTGATGGAGTCAGTTGGTTTTAAAGACTAGTTCGGGGTGTACGTCAGGATTGTAGTGCCGGTCGTTTCGAGTTGAAAGGAGGAATTACAAGATTAATACAGGAAAGGTTGTGTTTTTTGTAATTTTGGTGTGTCCATGACCGTACATAGTCATTCGATGAAGTAGACATGGTGTTAATTTTTGTTTATAAGATATTTCAATTGCTAGATTAACCTAGAAGTCCACTTTGTATCCTCGAACATGAGGTGCAGAGCTACCACCAGAACAGAGCCAAATAACACATAATTTCACGACCAAAGTTTCACGACCATCGCGGGTTTTTTCACGACCTATCCAGCCTTATGGATTATAGTGTGTTTGGTCGTGACAATAACTTTAATATAATTGTAATTTGAACAGTTTAGTTCAATTGAAACACATATTTTTATTATAACTAACAGTATAATTAAAGGATTGTTTAGAAAGATTTAGATTTTTTTAGAAAATTCACGACCGTACCGCTTGTCCCTGACCATCACGTTTATGATTTCTATCATAAAAATTTCAAAAATTAAAATATCGTCATATTTCAATGTTTTATACACAAAAGAAGCACGCCTCTATGCAAACATAACGATTTTTCGGGTCTCAGGTAAGTTTTTTCGGAGTTATACAAACTTAAAAAGATATTATTGGCTTTTTTCAATTTTTTTGAGTTTTTTATTTTTTTTCTAGAAAGACCAAATATACTAAAAGCTCAGTGACCTTTTTAATGTATAATGGTCATAAAAGTAAATTAGTTTATAGCAAAACATAGTTATAAAAATAATATTAACTATTTTTAATATTCATTTAAACGTCTGTTATGGTCGTGACAGGATTTTGTGTTTTTCCACTAAAGATGCTCTTTTAAAAAAAAACTACCAAAGATATTGCGTTACCATGGACATTTTATGAAACTTCAAATGTTAATGAAATCAAAAAAATAATAAAAGTTTTGAAAAAAATGGGAAAAAATTTGCAAAGTGCTTTCCCTGAAAACGTACGTTTTTAAATTTTCACTCGTATACTGTAGTTTACTTTCAAAGTCGTTTACTCACACTAGTTCTGGAAGCGGTAATGACATTGCTGGCGGAGGATCATTCTCGATCTGATCCAGTTCTTTGCGGATTTTCTCATTTTCGTTGTCCATGCTCATGGCCAACAGCTGGTCAATCGTAGAGTCCACTGCCCCTTGGTTGGATCTCAAAACAGCCTAAGAAAATTACAAAATTAAGTTCTGTATACTTACTATAATATGTGATAAGCTACTTTACAATTTAAACAACAGTCCATAGTCAAATATGGTTCCATAGTCCAGAATGGATTGAGTCTAGACCTATCTCAAATCAACAAATATTTTAGATTAAGCAGAATCGTTAGCCTACTACAATAAACATAATTATGATATATACAAAATTGTTTATCACTGAATAATATCATAGATAAATTGATACATTTAATCTATGATTATTAACATACCCTTTGTGAAACTGTTTTAGGCCTATTTGAATTTTGAACAATTTTTATAACTTTTTAAAGTTTTTAATAGTCAGTAGATCGTTCAAATGAATTAATTTTAATGAATTCAAAATTTGATTTCAAATATATTTACTATAGAAATTACAACAGCTTGGCCTCACCAAGTTTTAAAAACTTGTCGGCGAGGTCCAATTGATGCATAAGTAAAGCTAACAAACAAAAAGATTGGAGTAATTTATCAAAACGTCTTAGACAAAGTACCTATGGGGGCTGTGTATATTTTTCTATATTTTACTACCGGTATGCCCTAGGACAGTCCTAGCGATGTTTCAAAACACTTTTTGGGGGTTCAGCCAGGACCATAAGGCTTATTATAATAGTCCTAGCTAAATCATCAGCTGGTTTGTGTCAGAAGCTTTCATTCTACACAAACCCTTCATTCGCTTTAGCCTGAAATTATAATTGTGTAGGCTTCGTAATTCTGTAATCCTCTCTATGCAATATATAATAGGAACCATTTAGTTTAACTAAGTAAAATATAAAGTCTATTAATTGTTATTGACCATCTACCATAAATATTAGTCTACAATTAGAATTTGAAAGGGTTTTAAAGGAGATCAAAAGAGTCAACAAGTAACCATTTGACGATTTGACTATAATACACGATTGACTATTTCTGTGTATGGTCAATGATACAACTAACGGAGATACAGTTGGAAATAAATTATTTTATTGTTTAACCTTATTTTAATAGATGAATTAAGGACGTGCTTTTTGGGAAGTGCATGTAAGTTTATTTGTATTTCATCATTAAGGTTGAACGTAGTGACTTATAGGGTCCGTAGGGGGGGACTGTAGGTTTAACATCCATAGGGAGTAGCTGCACCATCTAAAGCGTTCACAAACGTTCTTGTATGATGGCATACAATAGAAATTGATGATATGTGATTGTTAACCGAGTCTTTACTTTGTGACACTTACTTCGATCACATCATCGTCCATTGTAGGGAACATAACTTTGAAGTCTGCCATCGCCTGATGGAACTCCAGCTGTGTTGTGTGCTGCTGGATGGTAGCCATCTTGTCCGATGGGTCTAGCCCCGCCACGGCTGCGATAACTAGTCCTGCACATCAAAACTAGAGACTAACAATACGTTTGCGTCTAGTAATGGTAATAAAATAGGCCTACACTAAAGGCCTACCAGTACTTTTTCTATCAAACTTGTACAGTACCGGTAAGGACAACTTATCGGTCTAGTTGGTCGAATCAGTTTTACGATTATGTTTCACAGTTTCATTTAGACATGTTGCTTGGCTATGACTCTACCAGACTAAACAAGTTTTTTTTTTTATATGGTAGGCCTAAATCAAATACAAATAAGTAGGCCTATTACTGTTCAATGAATTCGTTAGGCCAAATATTGGATGTTAAGTTAACTTACTTTGATTCAATCCTAAGTTGTTTTTTTTTTCAACAAAAAATTCTTGTGTGGATACAAAATTGTTTTTTGCATTTTCCAATATACTATAACCATCATGAGGGTAAATTAAATTACATTTCTAGGAATATAAAAACGCAGTGAATAAAACCTAAGCTCGATTTAGTAAACTAGAACTAGGCTATGCCTAATTCATAAAACCTAAGACGTGCTATTATAGTTTGGGCTCTAATTTAACTACTGGCGACCAGTTAGGTCCTAGCTATAGCTGAAATAATAGCTTAATGTTTAAACCTAATAGATTAAAGTTTGGGCTTACTCTGGGTGATGAATTTAAACGCTCAACATCCTCAAATGGGAGTAAAGCACCCGCCATTATGCATCAGTAATGTTCCTCTTTAATTATTGTTAAATTGTGATATATGTTATACATGCTGGCCGTAATTTAGAGTACTGATAACATTACTTAACGCTCAAAGGAAGGCGCTAAGATTCTAAAGTTATAAAGTTGACAGAATAATAGTTTACTAATACGGTACAGTTGCAAGAGTTTGACAGCTTCTGGTGATATAGCAGCCGACACTTTGCGGCTGTCTGCTGCGAACAGCTGATTGTTATGTAACTTCATTCATGGAGTATAGAATAGAATGCATGTAACCTCAAATTAAGTGAGGTATCATAGCTTATAATCACATTGCTGATAAAAAAATCATTGAGGCTTTACAATTCAAATAAAAACCTTCCACAGCATACCTGCAGACTAAATTAATTGGAATTTTATTAAAATATTTTCATAAACAAGACATATTTATTTCCAATTTCCATAATTTTATATTACTGCACACAATAACTACAAGACCAGGGATCCTCACCTGGATTTCTCAGAGAGCCGATTGATTTGAAAAAAATAATGCTCAGGGTCACAAACAATGGGCTGGCTGGTGATTGTTTTGGCTGGGGGGGGGGGGTAATTATTCGGGTGGGGTCTGGAGGGTATGGAATACCAGTGAAAAGGGGAATAATATGTAAATATAATATATTTATAAAATATTTTATAATTTCTTCCTAATTGCAAAATGTTGTTTTCATTATAATGGTCTGAGGGCCTGGCGTAGTGAGGATGCCTGTTTGCAGCATATACCTTCATGCCTTCGTCCATCACTTCTTATTTACAGTGACCATTTTCTATCCCATGGATTCTTTGTTGTTGGCTGTTTCTTTGTTACTTGGATTGAGCTAAAATAATTCTTAGACGACATCACCTCAATAAAAGTACCCCTCAAAGGCTTGTAAGGCTCACTAGCCATAATTGAGTCGTACGATGACCAGCACCTAAAGGCTAAGTTTAAGGTGGAAAACATTACCAGCAGTGGAATTCATCATTTTTACTAAATGAGGTAGCTTATAGCTGCCAGGATATCTGCGTAAATAAAATTATATGCACATATAGCTCTTTCCATGGCATTGGTTTAGGTTTGTAAATGGATACTCAATTGGCATGGATAATATTTTCTCAAGGCTCAAGATTAGGACCAATTCATTGCTCTTTACAATCTTTACATAATACAAATTTAGTTATAACTAGCTGTGTACCCGTTCTACGCACGGGGATCTTATAATATTCAGTTGAAACCTTCTTATATAAAGAACAGCAGTTGGTTTGCATATTTTAAGATATGCTGGCCAAACTATTATACATAGCTTCATTTTATGTTGTTTTTTGTTGTTCCGGATCGGTATGACAATCAATAAAAGGTTAAATTACCTCTGTGTCTGCCGGTCGATCCTATAACGGTAGGCTTACTTTTATTTTTACTATCTGATCTCGTTTGCATGGCTCAATCACGTCCTGGTTGAAGTTCGTTCGCTACGCTCACTCACCTGTATGTTGGAGCTCGTTCGCTGCGCTCACTTTCCTTCAGGTTAGCTCGTTCGCTACGCTCACTTGCCTTCAGGTTAGCTCGTTCGCTACGCTCACTCGCCTCCAGGTTGCAAATTAGCTGTTGTCATAAATGTAAAAGAAATAATAGTGCTAGTGCTGCACCCTGTTGGTAATCCTTGTAACTTTAATGCTATTGAACATCACAGAACAGAACCAACTTGTTTAATTGAAACAGCTGTTAAGATTCAATAATTTCATTTCTCATAAGGTTAACATGGGCTTCCAGAAATTCCACGTCAAAAATCGACAAAAACTTGATTTTCAAGGGTTTACTGTTAAATATCTAACTGTCTCATATTCGATGAAATACGTCTAAAACCATCTCATATATGTATAGTATTTGGAAAATAAGTTTCAGGCGGGACAGTGCTATAGTTATTGAGGAGTAGTTGTAATAAAGTGCGTATTTTAGCGTTACCAAGAGAATGACAGATAGACAGACAGACAGACAGACAGACAGACAGACAGAAATTGAGATAAGGTTTGATTCGGTTTCTCTGACCTATGAAATGTAAAAATAACCAAAAAGTTCATTATTCTAAGCAATGTACAGACAAAACTCTAATTTTATTTATATAGATAAAAACATTACGTATACTGGTACAGTCAACCCTGTATAAGATATTTAACAGATTAAAAACATACTTCCTTATGGATCTAGGCAGGTTCTGGCAAGTTTACTGTACATTTATGTTTTATTATTTACTTTTGTTTCTTGTTTTTTTACAAAATTTTAAAAATATTTTCACAAAATAAACCAATCTAATTATAAACATTTAATTGCTTGTTCCTTGATCATGTAACAAAAAAATAGGCTAAAGCAAAATAATAGTCAAATCTATCAAAAAACAAAAATATTTGATCAACATTCAAAACCAATAAGAAAAACACATAAAACGAGTCTCAACTTTAACAAAAGGTTTAGAAGTCTATGAGGACAATTCAGTCAATGAGTAGGAATGTAATCGGTCTTTCTTTCATCCTGTTCCCGTTAAGTTGACTTTGAAATACTGGTAGGTTTGTGGTAGTCTATGGTGATTGGCATACCTTGGTCTGAGAGAGGCTGGGTCAACATATATTTTTCAGAAGTATTTGTGTGAACCGTTCACTAAAAATACCACTCACCACTGGTATGGACAGTACAACAAAAAAGGGAAGTGAAATCATTGACTATATAACACTGTAGTGTTATATAGTCAATGGTGAAATCCATACAGACACCAATCGTGTTTAACACCTTCAAGTGGAAACTAAATACAAATTCAAAAACAAAAATATATTTATTTTCTTCAAATAATAATATTTACAATAAAAGTTTATACCAAAAAAACAATACCGTAAAACAATCACTTCCTTAATTTTTCTAGTTTAACATATGAAACTGTCATCAACACAGTAAATATGATGAGTGAGGCTAGCTTGTACAAAAAAAATTAATATTCTTATCGTAAATAGGTCTTATCAGTCAATTATCAGTTATTTAAGATGGGGACGCCACTATGTGCATATTTTAACGCAAATATGAGTGTAGGATGAGTGGCACAATCTTATAGTCTTGTTAGTGACTAAGGCCGACATATTCCTTAGACACAGCTGTTAATTAATAGCCCAAACAGCTAATGGCAACTAAGGGACCTACAGTTTATAGTGGAATCCGAACCACATTCTTGACTTGGTATTAACGAATTGGTCTAATTATCAGGATAGCACTGCGGATAGTAGTAGTACTCACTAGTGCAGACGTTAATCCACACCAGGGAGAATCGCATCCACAGTGCATCTCTATAAATATACACAATTCGTGACCTCCTAGTAGCTGGAGCTCCTAGTACAGGACAACGCCACCGTCCCGTATTAAGACGTAGGTGTGTGGCTAGTCCAGTGGTTAGCATATCAAGACTTCAGTGCGGGAGGGACGGGTTCAATTCCCATCACATCCACAACACATATAGTTTTGGAATGCTTTCCCTAAAAGCGTTTAACTACTTTCTCCTGTCATTCCTCAGAAAAATTGCCAACGGCATGGATATCCAACAAAAAAGAAAGAATGGAGAAAATTATTTTATTTGCAACAAAAACTTGATAGAAGAACAGCCAAATTATATTTATTTTCATCTTAAATACAATCATAAAACTGGAACAAATTACAAAGTTCTTACAAATTTCAATAGTCACTATAACCGCTTATATAGCATAACGATTACATAGTTTAGGAATGTGAATAACAGTGAGATACATAAATCTCCTCGTGTGCGTGTGCATAAGAGGATGTGAAATATTTAGCATTATGTTGCATGAATTAAAGATTTTTGAATTTAATACAAATATGAATAAGCCTGTCACAGCAGACCTGCACGCCGAGCAAATTTCTAGTTGCTTTAATTTATACTAGTGTACCTGTTACTCGAATTTGAGCAATTGGTAAGTATTACAGGCGTTATTTTATTTTAAAACGAATAACAGTCATAATTTCTGATGACTAAAAGATTCGACTCAAAGATTTTGGAAATACTCATGATGTACATAACAGATCCTTATAATACACATTTCCTGTAAATATCTTATCATTCATTTTTCAAAGACTGATCTTGTTTTTTAGTGTTTTCTACAAATATCCTTACTCTTAGCCGCATTAGGTTGTCCTTAATAACAATTATAAATAATAAAAAAAACATTATTTCTATTTCTTCTCCTTGGTGGTGTTCTGTAACTTTCCTATGTTTCCATATTTTGCAAATCGGCTCTTTCAATGATTACTAAGAAATGCAGCACAGTGTTAATTCAGTTTTCTTTTTGGTATATCAAATTATCCAGGCTCTGGCTTTTTTCTACTGTGATATTTACGCCAACCCAAATTCAAATAGTAAATATTTCATTTCAACCAAGTCAGTAAATTTAATGTTTTTAGCAAACTGTTGAATTAGCAAACTTATTGACTGTTTACAATTAACATATGTTCTTCTTCTCACTTTTAATATCTGATAACAGCTGGAGTTTCATAACAATATTAGTTTCCCATGTTAATCTTATAGAGAAATACAAAACTTTAAAGGGCCCCAGGGCCCCACTCTCTAATTATTTCCCTAAAAAGAAAGTTTCCTGCACAATTTCACGTTACACTCTTTCTCTTTCTATAGACACCAAAAACATGTCAATCAGTTTAGTAGTTTCGGAGGAGTAATTGTCACAAAAAACCTGCTTGCGTAAAGCGTATTAAATAAGTAATGTAGAATATTGATATAGATTCTCTATAAGAATGAAATTAGAGACAATTTACTGTGTTTTGAACATAGAATGTCTTCTACAGAAAATATTTATAGATAAATATACTTTGAATGTCTTGCAATAAATATATAAATAAATACATAAAATCAAAGTATGATACAATGGTAATGCTATTAACTATAGAAACACATTTAAAATTCCTTAATCATTGGTAATACTAGTGGTTTTTGTAGCAGCTTCTAATAATTTATTTGATTATTTTAGGCTCATACCACTGAGCAAAGCTAATAATAAATATAAACATACATTTCAAACATATGTTTTAGAAAAAAAAAATATATCCTAACAAATGCTTCTTAATTCTAAGGCAGTTGTGAGATCAACTAAGCCGGAGTCGGAGTAGAAGTAGCTCTGCTCTTGGCTTGAGGCTAGAAAAAATATAATTTGTATAAATGCTTAAAATAATTAATCATCCAAAACATTAATTTCAAAATTTAGCCAAAGGCATGGATGACAGAAAACCCTTAATCTCAACACCAAGCAAGGCAGCACTGATTAAAGAAATTTTATTACATAAATTATTAACTCTATATAAAACTTTCAAAATTCATGTACTTCAATTTCAATAAAGAATTTTTAATAACCTTTCCAGTTGAAAAATTCATCAGAAAGACCATTACAACATTTTTCTGTCAAACACGTCTGCTAACGCAATAGTACAAAATTTTTCATTAATTTTCATATGGACCAGCGACGCACATATGAAACGGTTGGTTTCCACCCATAGACTGGTCACATTAAAGTAGACTGGCGTCACATATTTGCATCGGTGTCCCAATGTTATTAAACAGCTTATATTTTCGTAACGTTCTATTTGAAGGCCCTGAATTCCCTGCAGTGGTCTACAGGGGTTATCTTGAGTGTGGGGGGTTCTTCCCGGAACCTCAATTGAGTCAAGGGTGTCGCCACCTCTGGTGGATAGGTTCATCCGGGTGGGTCCCACTTCTATACCTGCCTCCTTTTGGGAAACCCTGATGGCCTGGCAGTGATGTTGGGTCTGACGGGCAAACGAAGTAGATCGGGTGCTGGGTCCGAGCCCGCCAGGGGTATCTGGGGATCTATCGCTCTGGTTATCTCTGGTTTCCCAGCAATGGGTAAGGTTTCGATTGGGCAGCGGTGTAAATGGGAGGTTGGGGTTCCCCCCGTCAGCGTGCTGATGGTCCCCTTCCTCCTGGCTATTGATGGCGGGTTCTGCCTGTCAGGGATTAGATAGGTCCCGAGTGTTGCTTGCACTAAATGCGTCGGGGCGCTCTACCATGGACCTCTAGGTCCCGACCTAGTGGAACCCAGGTGGAGTGACGCTTAAACAAGCAGCCGGAATCCCTGGTTAGGATTGAGGGGCAACCCTCCTTCCGAAGGGTCTGCTTCGGCAGCCGGCGAGCCTGATGACCTTAAGTCATCCGCCCATGATGTGCTAAAGGTTGATGCGTAAGCTTCGGCCTACATCATGGGGCCCGGGTATGTCCTAAAGGATAGGTACCGGGTATGCAGTCAGGGGGCTTCGGCTCTCATGACAACAATAAATGTATAGTGGTCTACAGGGATGTCTGTTGCACATGTGCACTTGGTCTGTGGATATGATTAGTGTCGTCATATGATAGTTGGCAAAACTTTTTTTTACTTTGCTGCATCACTGGCTCGCGGTCTGCGTGCACAGTTAAAATGACACCCGGTCTATGTAATATTAAAATGTATACCTCGGTCAGTGGCAATGATCTCAGCGTTGCATATGTGGTGATCGGTAGCGAATGTCTTAGGTAAATAGATAAGCTAGTGACAGTGATTACCTACAAAGGAAGATATCAATCAATTATCAATTAATTGAGACGGGGACGTGTTTTAACCCAAATATGAGTGAAAGATGAGAGTAGAATGGAGTGAGATGTTTGTCACTGACTAAGATCAGCTGTTTCAGTAGCCAGGATCATTATAATATATACTGGTGTGGGCTATTTTTTGTGCAAAGAATGAGATGAATTGACAGAAGATCGCAACTGAAATTCCTAACATTACCCTGATAGTAGTTTTTGAAAAAAATCAAGGAGCTCATAAATACTCAATAACAAGTCACACTGGCAAAAGACAGTGACACTAGGCAGGTGATTCATCACCTGCCACAAAATACAAATTAAAAAAAAGCACGCCCCAGTGGACTCAATTGATACACAATAAAACGTGTAACATTTTACAACATACTTAATTTTTCTGGTAGATTTTTTTCTTTTTGGGGCGATTCAGATAATTTATGATACCAATGATTGGAGTTTGGAAAGCTGGAGTTCTACTGAATCCTTATTTTCTCTATTTCCCTGGTTCACAACGCCTTTACATTTTTTTACTTCCGAAAACAATTTTTCCCAACTCACATCTGTTTATCTACAGTTATAGTGCTCGCCTAGTAATCAAAAGGTCGCCGGTTCGATCCTGAGAAAAGTTAGTAGCTTTTTAATGGTTCGAAACTGGACCCAGCTGTTCCTGATCATTTGGCTTTAAATAAATGATCCTGACTAATGAAACCGCTGATCTTAGTCAGTAACAAAGCTACACAGGTCATCACACACCATTCTACACTCATCCTTCACTCATATTTGGGTTAAAATATGACTAGGTGGCGTCCCCATCTCAATAATTGATTGATTGATAATTGATCGAAGTTCAACAGTTTGCAGAGATACTTACCATGATGTACACGTGTGTTGGTATAGCTCTACTGATTAGGTCACTGACTTGCTGCACCGTTACTATCTCAGATGGAACAGTGAGTTTCAGCTGCGGCAGGGCTACCAACCCGGACAACAGCGGGTACAAGTTGTACTCTAGTCTTTGGCAAGACTGGGGCAGTACGCTCATTTTCATCTGTAACGGAAAAAACACACAGTTGAATAAATCATGCAATTCAAATATAAGAAGCTTACTAGCGAAAATTAGATTCCAGTGGCTAACAATAGAAAAGAAAATGTTACAACACAAAACAACACTAAAATGTTGTCCTTGTTGGAATTTTACTGTACATTTCTCATCAGTTTATTTCATGAAGATGTCCTCTACAAGAACAAAATATTAGTGTTAGGTTATGGAATTTTTTTATCCATCTATAAAACCAAGAACTCTATTGTTTTTTAAAATAAGCCAGCTTAAACCTGACCCCTCTCCAAAAATGACTGTTTGAATATTTTGTTAGAAAAGTATGTGTCACACAGTCAAAAGTTTTAGAGTAACAAATATTTAAAAATTATTCACAAAGAGAAAACGATAAATATCCAAAATATTTTTACCATCCACACTTTAACGAACCTGTTTATGGCCGGCAAACATGAACGCTTCACTAGGCTCCATGTTTAAACTGAGAGTGATGAGGTAATCCGTGTGGTTGTAGACCAAGTACGAAACTGGCAGTGGAGTCCTGACCTACAACATAACATTAAACTAGTCAATTATGGCGAAGGAGGATTCCAGGTTAAACATAGATATCTACGGTGAAGCCTTACAAATAGTGTGTTAAAACTTAGATTTTTTAGAGTCAACTATTTGTTAAGGGCTCTATCGTTCTAGAAACTAAAAACAAATGTCCTTGATCATTTCATTTTTAGTAAATGGTGGCTAGAGAAACAGCTGATCTTAGTCGTTAACAAAGCTACATAGATCACCTCAGTCCATTCTACATTGACTTTACATATAACTGTCATTAGATTAATTATTAAATAATTGTACTGAACTCAAGAAAGGTTGTTTATTTCTAATTTAACAAAAACTCAATCAAAATATAAAAACAATAACACAAAACATACTATGTAGAACAATTACCATATGTTATAAACATATTAACTACTACTGTCATCCCTCCTTCACAAGTCAAATTTATTTGGTGTTCTTCTAATCCTTTCCCCTCGTCTTACAACAGGAGCTGAGTCATTGTTATGTTCTTCTGACCTGGACGATTGACCTTTATTCACACCATGGGAGATTCTGAATGACTTGTCTCTTCTTAGGAACCATGAGTTTCTTCGGTATTCTCGTCCATCACCAGTCTGGATTTTGTACGATCGTGGTTCAGGACCAACTTGAACAATCTTTGCTCTCAGCCAACACTTTGGTTTGAATCTGAAAAGCACTGGTTCATCGAGTTTAAACTGATCAGGCTCTGTCTTCCTCAATCACCGTATAGCTTCTCTCGCCTTTTAATTTTTTCTAGCTGTTTTGAAACATTCTTTATGACCATCGGAATAAGGTGGTTGGTCGTATATGGAAGAAGAGTCTTTGTCCTCCTACTCATCAGCCGCTGAACTGGGGAACCTAGGTTACCTCTCGGTGTGTTACGGTGATGAAGAAGTGCAAGATAAATATCGGACTGTTCTTCTTGACACTTGACAATTAAGTTTTTCCCTTCTTGGGCATACCCTTCTTGGCGGAGCGCCAGCCCATTGGATCTTGGAAAATGAGGAGATGAAATTCTATGATTAAATTTCCATTCGGATACGAATTTAGTGAATTCTATAGAAGCAAAACATGGTCCTCCATCAGTTCTTAGTTCATCTGGAATACCATGAGTTGCAAAGTACTTTTTTAGGTGTGTAATAACAGTAATGCTACTTTTGTTCCTTAGACTTTCACACTCAAAATATCCTGAGTAACTATCAGCAACTACTAAGAAGTCTTTACCTCCACATTCAAAAACGTCAGCACCGATGAACTGCCATGGCCTCACTGGTACTGTTTCTTGAAGGATCACATCTTGAGGTTTATCTCGTTGATATTTGCTGCATACATTGCACCTTGCTACATATTGTTCAATATCTCTCTCCATATTAATCCAATACATAGTCACGTGCTGTATTAATTGAACTTTGAACACATTTGTGAGGACGGTGAATATTCTGTAACACTTCAAGTTTCATTTCATCAGGTATAATCAAACGGCTTCCTTTAAACAAAAGACCATCATAGCAACTTAGTTCTTCTCTGAAAGTGAAATATTTTACTAATTCCTTATCAACAGTGCTTCTTTCTTCGGGCCATCCATTCAAGATTATTTCCTTCAATTTAGAAAGCTCTGTGCATTTTCCAACTTTAGTTCTGATTCGAGAAACTGTATCAGAAGACATAGGAATTATCAACTGAATATCGAAGCTGTGAGGTTCATCATCTTGATTGTCATTGTAGCAATCTCTACTCAAGGTGTCAGCCAGATGAAGCTCACAACCCCGCTTGTACACAACTCTTGGTCGATATGGTAAGATTTCCAAACACATTCTTTGGATTCTGGGAGGAGCATCAAACAACGGTTTCTTAAAGATAGCCTCTAAAGGCTTATGATCTGACTCAATTATCAACTCCTTGCATCCCCATACATACTCATGAAACCTTTTGCAAGCAGTCAGTATTGCGAATGTCTCTTTTTCAAGTTGACTGTAGTTCTGTTGTGATTGGGTCAATGCTTTGGAATTATAAGCTACAGGCTGCCCAGATTGTAACATAACAGCACCTACTGCATAACTGCTTGAATCCACAGAGAGAGTCACAGGAGAGTTGGGGTCATAGTAACGAAGCACGGGAGTTCTTTGCAGTTTTTGCTTTAACTTGTTAAATGCTTCTCGTTGTGGCGTATCCCAGAACCAGGCCACATTTTTCTCAGTGAGAACTCTAAGAGGTTGTTTATTTCTAATTTAACAAAAACTCAATCAAAATATAAAAACAATAACACAAAACATACTATGTAGAACAATTACCATATGTTATAAACATATTAACTACTACTGTCAATAACTAGGTGTTTGTTGCTGTTTAAGTAATGATAACTTTTTATAGGTATTAGCCTATAATTGTTTTCTATTTTACTTCAGGCTAGGCCAAGAGGGGGTTGCGACATTATCGATACTTTAGTACTTTTAATTGAAAAGGTGACCATACAATGGTATGTATTTGAAGCCAAGTTTGAATGGAGTTGGGTGTAGGATGAGTGGCGCGATCTTGTAGTCTTGTTACTGACTAAGGCCGTCATGTTCCTTAGACAGGATTGTTAATAATAGCCCAAACAGCCAATGGCAACCAAGGGACCTACAGTTTATAGTGGAATGAACCACATTTTGGCCTTGTAATTTACAAATTGGTCTAAATATCAGGATAGAACAGTGGATAGTCATAGTAGTAGTAGTAGTACTTTTGAGGCAGTTAATCCACACCAAGGAGTATCGCATCCACAGATAATGCCTATAAATCCACAGTTCAACACCTCCAAGTAGCTGGATTACAGAACGACGCCACGGTCCCAGTCTTTTGAACCCGGAACCTCTGGGACCGAGCCGAAGTCCTGCACTCTACCACTAGTTTAGTTTGTTTCCTCCTGAGTAATGATAATGTTAATGACAATTCATAACAATGGTAATATTTTATATCACGAAAAATTCAATTAAATGACTCTGAACCGGCCTCACAAAAAACATATTTTACAACCACATGTATAACTCATGTAACTTATGTAGTGCCCAAGCGGCGAGCACTTTGCGGAAATTTCTATCGCAAAGGGCACAGGGTCTTCCTCTACTGTGAGTGTTGTAGTGCATAAGGACGAGAGTAAGGGGTGTTTGACTTTGCTTGGACATCAGCAACTAGAGCTAGACACCACCTAAGTGAATCATCGAATGTTTCCTTTGTACCTAACTTCCCTGTGCACAAGCATTAGGAGGAATTTGGTGGGAATTCCTACCTAAATTTTGAGGGATTTCAACAAGTTAAATATATTTTTCCTCAATAAAACTCGAACCACAGGTTTAAGTCACAGAGTGTAAATTTGTTGTTACTTACCCAACCGTGTGCTGGCACGCACATTTCTAGTTGTAAAGGACAGTCTTCAACTGTTACACTGGGGAACGCCACAACCAGCGAGCTCACCTCATTACCTTGCCTGGGAACACACCAACCAATAGTTAAACAAAGCTGACATAACTATTTTTCCAACTTTTCTTTCGGTCATACTTACATTTATATCAAACTAGAGCCTGTGGGTATCAAGGGGACGAGGACTAGAAATTACACATAGTAGGACTTCAAAACTACTTTAAAAGTAGAAGCACCACTAATGTTCATAGAATATGTATTTTACAATTCAGTTGTATAAAATATAATCAGCTGACGTCAGAAGATAATTGAATACTTTTTCATTGTATTTTACGTTGTGACCAACCAGTAACTCCCCAAGCCTATGTTCAGAATTTTAAAGCTAAATTCATAATTACTGTTTATACAAACAAATATATATTGCCTTCCCATTGTAACTAGTATTTTTGATGGAAAATAAAATAAAATAAACTGGTCTTTTAGATTAAAATCAGCGAATTTTCAGTGACTTCCATGTTCCCCTAGTAAAATCAGTGTCTTCCATGACCCTCTAGTAAAATCTGCAATTTTCATAAGTTCTGTGAAAAAAAACTGTGTTCATAAATGACCTCACACCTGTTCCAATGGATGACAAAGTTGCCGAGAGAGACAGGTTGGTCTGACGGGCTGTTGATAACAACACAAGCAATGCAGGTCCCTCCCTCCCCCTCTCTTAGCTCAGCACCTGTCAGCTGACACTTGTACGTCGTCTGCTGCAGCTGTGCCTCAGCAGCCTGCCAACACGACAAAGAAATAAACTTTACAATTTTATTCTTAACTGTGCAAGGAAAGTAACACAGACAAGCATGTGGATGCGGTAGAAGTAAACATCATTTTAGATGAGGGAGGAGGAGGATGGAATTTGTTTTTAAATGGTATGTGTTACTTGCCAAAGCCCTACCTAATAAACACACCCCCTCATCTAGAGCACTAGCCTATAGCTGTTGAGCACCTAATTACAGCTAATAAGGCCTTTAAATTATCCCACCAGGACCTTTTACGATAAGGTATCCAGTGATTTAAGGCTAATCTAGATCATATGAAAGTATGAAATAAACAAATAGCTTGACGAACAATGCAAATTTTGATTTGAACTTGGTTTGCCTTTATAATGTTGCAATTTGCAATATGACAAAAGATATAGTTCATCACAGGGGCAAAAAGTGTTTGTAACCCTTGCTTGTTTTCTGACCTCGGCTTAGCCTCAGTTGTGAAACTGGAGCTTGGGTTGAAAAGAGTCACTTAATGCCCTAGTGATGAAATATACTATTAAAACTGACAAGTAATAGATGATTGTTGGAGTAATAATTATTATATCCCTGCGATTAGGTTGCGTAAAGTGGATTTTCACCAATTTGTTTTATACAAGTGTTAACTATTTTTAGAGATTCACCTTAAATATACCCCTGATGTGGTCATTTATTAGTATCAATATGCAACGGGTAAGCTAATAATTCATAAACAGAAAATGAAACCGCTCACCAATTGTAGCTCCGTTTTCTGCACTGTGACAGCGCAGGGAGCGTGACAGTCTATCTGCGGAACAATGAAGAACGGCTCCCTAGCATACAGCTTTGTGATTGGCTCACACCTTGTAGAGAGGAAGGAAAACTTGACTTCCAACGCCTTCTTGACCTCAACACTCGTCTCCACTGCCTGAGCGCATTGCTGTCCCAGGGGCGAAGCGTATGTTACCTGCAGAGTGGCCATAAAAAATTTAATATTATAAGTCTGTTTTCGGAGTAGTCTAAGGCATTTAAATAAACTTAACAATTGAGTGATCCTAGTGATTAAGTTGTTTAGCTGAATAAAAATAAAAATAAATGTAAACTCTTTTAAAATGTAGTAGAATCTCGATTATCCATCTCAAACTGGCAGCTGGTAAGCCACATTTAGGTATAGGACCTTAAAGAGACCACTTAAATTAGTGAATTGGAGTTACCATTAGTGAATTGAAGAAAGCCAAAGACATTGCAAAAAGTCAACAGCACCAGCTACGCTTTATTGCTATCTACTTAAGTGTTAATCTACTTAAGTTAAACTTGAGTGAAGAGCATTGATTGACAATGTATGGTCACCATTTCAGATGAAAGTATTAAAGTTATGTCAAAAATAACACTAAACAATTATTGCAGTCTAGGAGTGAACATTTTTTTTATGAGTGTGTGGTGACTGTGCATATGTGAATTTGGTATTTTGTCCCTCTTGTCCAGTAGTATAGTAGTGCAGTTTGTTGTTGATTAATTGATGTATCTACTATAATAAAATTATACTCTGTTTACAAAATTTAGGCGGTTTTATGGGAAGTTCCTTACCACTTATTTTTGCTAAATGTATATGTCGCAGCTGATTGACATTTTGTCAAATCTCAGCGGTTGAGCTATTGTTTTAAAGGCAGGATTAAGTGCAGGGAATAGATTTCTTACTCTAAAACAGCCAAAATGTTGTGAACGGAAATTCAGAACGGAAATTGCAGGCCAGGCAGTTGTACCAGTCCCCGGGTGAGTACTTGGCAAAACCCGAATTTATTTTTTTAGAAATTGTTTTGTCTGGTACGGATGCTCTTCTCTTGGGGGCATGTTACCGCCCTCCGGGAGTGGGGCATCTGGCTGACTTTGAGAGTGTTCTCTTGCGCCTCATGCCGGGCTACAGTCGTGTCTTGATCATGGGCGACTTTAACTGTGACTTACTCAAACCTGGACGTTACGATTGCAGACAATTGACAAACATATTTGACTCATGCAACATGACGATACTCCCACTTGACCCGACTCATCACACTGCTGAAGCTGATACCTTACTAGACCTTATTATTTTGAGTGATTTAGAGTTGTCAGTCCACCATGGCCAGCTTCCAGTCCCTGCAATTTCCCGACATGACCTCATTTATTGTGCCCTTAGTATGAGAGCTCCCAAGCACAAACCCAAATTAATCTCTTACAGAAATTTTCGAAATTTTAATGAAGTAAATTTTTTGTCTGATGTAAATTTAACCCCTTGGCACTCCATACACTCTCTGGAGTCAGTTGATGATATGGTCGATTCACTTAATGAAGCCATATTGCAATTATATGACAAACACGCCCCAATTGTCAATCGTAGAGTTAGTAAAGGTCGCCCCGTCCCTTGGATTACTGATGAGATCATTGGCTTAATGGCTCGGCGGGACTCAGTCCATCGCAGAGCTAAAAGAACTAGGGATCAGGGGCTTATGGCCCAATATCGCCAGCTTAGAAATCAAGTAAAACAACGTTTACGCAATTCTCGACTCCAATATTTTCATAGGTTGTTTTCTGAAGGAAAGCAATCATCTGCAGTTCGCTGGCGAAATCTAAAACGTCTTGGATTTGGAAAGCAAGTTGACTCTGTCCCATTATCAATGCCTTTAAATGATTTGAACAATTATTTCGTATCAGTCTCATCACATGAAAACAGTCAAATAGTTCAGAACCATTTAACTGAGTTAAAATTACGTCAATTGCCTAATACTATTCCCCAATTTAACTTTAAGCCAGTATTGCAGGTTGATGTTTTGAAGGCTATAAGACGGATAACGTCTGATGCCACTGGTTCTGACAGAATCCCAATTTCCTTAATTAAACGTATCTTGTTTGCTCTCCTCCCAACAATAACTTTCATATTCAACACCTCACTGAGATTGGGCATTTTCCCAGAAAATTGGAAGACTGCGCTAGTCCGTCCCTTGAATAAGATCTCAACCCCATCGCTTCCGCAAGACTACAGACCAATAAGCATTCTTCCTGCTCTCTCTAAAGCCCTAGAAAGAGTTGTTCACTCCCAAGTGTCTGACTTTCTGTCACAAAACAATATTCTTAATAAATTTCAGTCAGGTTTCCGTAAATATTTTAGCACAGAAACAGCAATGCTTCATATCACTGATGATATACGATCTGCTATGGACCGTAGCCAATGTACCGTTTTGACATTATTTGACTTCAGTAAAGCTTTCGACACAGTAAACCATAACATTCTTCTAACCAAACTCCAGCTTATAGGATTCTCTGACAATTCATTAAAATGGATGAGATCATATCTTCAGGGCCGAAAGCAGTGTGTGTGTCATGACAACTTGACGTCCGACTGGAAACATGTTCCCTGTGGAGTTCCTCAGGGCTCAATACTTGGTCCACTGCTTTTCACAATATACATAAATGACATAACTACAGTACTACATCACGTAAAGTTTCATTTTTATGCTGACGACTTGCAAATCTACTCTCATTTTAAAGTCAGTCATACGAATGAGACTATAAACTTGAATCAAGACATCGACAACATTGCTCACTGGGCAGCAAAGAATGGACTAAGACTCAATCCTGACAAAACAAAGCCAATCATCATAGGTCACCCACGGTTACTTAGCACACTTGATGTAGACAATTTACCAAAACTTACCGTGAACGGAACCACTTTGACATATCAAGACAAAGTAAAAAGTCTTGGTTTGACATTAAACCGCACATTAGACTGGACTGACGCGGTGGTAAATACTTGTAAAAGAGTATTTGCAGCCATTCACACACTGAAAAAGATGCAATGACTCCTACCGTTTCATATTAAACTCTTACTGGTCAAATCACTCGTATTTCCACACTTCAACTATTGCAACACGGTGGTTAATGACATGACTGTGGCTTTGGCTACAAAATTACGTGTTCAAAATTACTGCATTAGATTTTTGTTCAATCTTAGATGTGACGATCATGTCACACCATATTATATAAATGAATCAATTTTGAAATTAGATGACATCAGAAAAATCCGAATACTTTCAATTACTCATTCAGCCATTAATCTTGGAACTCAAAATTATCTAGCCAACAAGTTTGAATTTTTGCGTGAAAGAGGCGCAAGGAATACTCGCTCTGGCTCGTCCACGCTGCGTATTCCTCATCACAGGACGACTCTTTACAACAAATCTTTTGTAGTAACTGCATGCCGCCTTTGGAACTCTGTACCTTATCCCATTAAATCCTTAGAAAGCCGATCCCGACTGACGGTGGCGCTGAAAGAATATTACCTTAACCGGATGGCCGTGGCGTGGCGGGATGGCGTGCATTAGGCCTGGGTGCAGCAGAGGGTGTATGTGTGTGTTAGGGAAATGCATTTATGTAATGTTACACCTATTTGTTTATTTCAATCTTAATTGTTTTATTTTGTTAATGTTTATCAGTATTGTTAGTTTTCTAGAGGTTAACTGTAAGAAAGGACCGTTAGGTCCTAAGTTCGCCTCAATAAAGAAGGATTTTCATTTCATTTCATTTCATTTCATTTCATTTCAACGGAGTATAGGTACAGCAATGTATAAAATTAAAATTTCATTTAAAATACTGTAAAATATATTAGTTCTATATTGTAACATACTTGAATATGAAATTATATACATGTTTTTCGAGGGATCAATAATTAATTAATTTGCGACCAAGCCACGTTACAGAAGAGTCTGGATTATTAAAATTTTAAACTATTTTTACTACCTAAATCTTTTTTACTGAACTCCAAAGGTAAACTTACTGTCCTCAGTCTACTTTCGAAATAACTAGTAGAATGAATTAAACAATAGCACAAGAAACCAACAAGTTCTTAGATGTGAAGAACACTTACAAAGACAGACAGATAGCGAGTAGTGAGTGTGTGGGGTCTTAGGTAGAAAGTCTTATCAGCTGATTCTCCAGCTGGGATGTCCTCTACAGCCAGTGATAAGGGAAGAGATAACAACCCTTTGGCCACAGTCTCACACATGTCGGCTGGAAACACAGTGGATTGCTATTAACTTTTATGGTATTCTTTTAAAAAGGAAGTTTAGGTTTGTTTTCACTTACTTTATCGATTAAAAACTTAATTATTACTTGCCATGCTGCAAAAGTCTAAATATGACTTGTCTGCAGTTCACTATAGCAAATGTACATGGGGTACCGAACTGGTCTAGTGGTAAAGCGGGACTTGGGTTCCTGCCTGGGTTCAAATCCCGCCATCACCAATGGATTTTATCTAAGTGATAATGCCGCAACCTCTAATCTAGCCTGAAGTAATGTGAAAAACAATCCCGGGCTTGTGCCTGCATCCTATGACAAAAAAAGTTCACTATAACAGAAGATAAAATCCAAAAACGCTTATCTTTTCTATCAGTTAGTAGGCCACTGTTTAGTCCTTATCTCTCTGGTCCTGTAATCGCTATAACAAAAATTAACTCCAACAAAGCCATTTTTCAGGTATCTGTATTAGCATGAAGAATTGATAAATTTTGGTATCGACACATTACTACACACATAAGTTACACATATATACACATTACTACGAGTAATAATACCAGAAATTAATATAACAAAACAAATCAATCTTACTTTTCTGCTCAATGGTGGGATCCTCGGGTGTAGACTTGATAGCCACGTGTAATGTTGCGCCAGTCACTGCGCCAGACTCCTGATTGTTGAGTCGCACCACCAGAGGGTGCCACGAGCCAAGCAGGGCTGGCGCATCATGCGTCACGGTCAGCGACAACTTCGCCTCGGGCTGAATTAGTGTCAACGAGACCGCGGGTAAAAACTGGTCAAACTGTGCGTCTTCACGACTGCTGTACCTAAGTGTAAAGTTAGGTTAGGTTAAGATTTAGATTACCTTAAGGAATAACTGAATTTAAGTTGGTTTTACATTTGTTTTGAAAAGAAACTGAATGGATACATTAGTTGTACATAATTATTCTATAATGTTTTTATTTTAAATTTGCAACTGACCTTTTTTTCAAGAGGTAGAACATGACAGTGATTACTTACTGAATGCACTTGCTTTCAAATTGTTTTACAGATTGTACAACCTAAAACACTGTTAATTCTCACTATTTACAAATTTACAACCATTAAGGTTGAAATGAATGTGGTCTCACCTGAAATATTTTAACTCTGGAAGAGTGTGTTTAGTAGATTCACTACCAGTAAATCTAAGAACGACTTTCTGACAGTTTTCTTCTCCCATCTCCAAAAGAATTGATCCGATCTGTAAGATAATTTCCCAACTTTTAACACTGAAAAGTATCTTAACCTTGTTCAAAATAGTCAAAAACCATTTGCTCATCAAATAGATGTTAGTTTAGTGATTATGGTTGTGCTTCTTTTGGAGGTTATCTTATCTACTATCTTAGAGGGAGCCGTACCGTCAAGTAAAAGTCTTCTACATTTCATGTTAGATTTGGACTTTGACATCTATAGTTTAACAATATTTGCACCTTTTCATGTTCACTATTTACATATTAAGTTTGTTAACATGATAAAGTTAAGCTATTATCAATTATAAATTCTTTGAACTTGTTTGATTTAGGAAAAATATAGGGGGAGCTGGTCTGTTGTTGGAGTGCGGGAATTCGGTCCCTGAGGTCCTGGGTTCAAATCATGCCAAATCACTAATGGATTTTATCTAAGTGATAATACTGAAACCCTTAGGTCTAGCCTGAAGTAATGTTAAAAACAATTCCAGGCTAGTTCCTTGCGTCCTAGGACAAAACAAAGTAGGAAAAGCCCCCATCATCATAAAACAATGATGTTTCAAAAACATCGGTTATCGATGCTTATCCCTAATGTGATTTACTCTGCTCTCACCTGAATTTCCTTGCCAGCATCTGCCGGGTCCGGAGTGATCTGGCATAGGAAGTTCTTCACCTCTCCAGGCTGGAAGAGCAGCTGATCTCCGGACGAGTCGCACATCGCAAACTCAGAGCTGACTGTTGGATTGTTCACACACACGCTGAGCCGAGAGAACTGGACGGGTTTTACAAACCTACACCTGCAATATCAAAAGTATCTTGAAACTAGCTGTTACATTACCATTTTCTGCCAATTTGTGTTTAAAAGAACGTAGTTAAAGGAGCAGATTGACACAGATTGTGCTATAGTCTGAATTCTAATTTTTCCCTTAATTTTTGGGACTTTAGTTGGTGCTGTGGTTAAAATAAGTTTGAGATTACAATACCATTTCAGTTTGGTGTGGTAACAAAATTGGTCTATTCTACAGAAATCAATAGTTTAAGCGCACTCTCTCAATGACTCAATTCAACAACGTTAATTTTAAAAAAATGTAACATCCTAACCTAAAATTAAAATTGTGAGTCACACCATAGACTTTTAGATATTGAAGCAGAAATCCCATCTATATTGACGAGCTGTGTTAAATTTTTTCCAACAGAACATTTTATTTGATTAGCCACTTAGAGAGAGTATAAAACTTTATAAACTTTGATTTTCTTCTTTAATTTTGTCAATGAGATAGTTGATGTCATAAAAGATGTTATTGCCTACAATAAGTTGTCATAACAGTATTGCTCGGTTAAAAAGTTGGCCTGTTTGACACAAATCAGTAATTTACATTAGCACCCTATTTCAAAGGCTTTTAACTATGTCCATTCCGTTTCTAAAACTAAAAGGTTACTCTAAGCTCTACCTGATAAGCACTTGGATATCAACGCTGTCATGAACCTCCTGTACAAGTTTTGCCTTACAATCTACCGGAAAGGATATGTTGGTAACATCAACAGTGTGTGGCGGCGGAGATGGGGTGGTCATCTTGGACAACCACAGGCTACGAGCGGCGGTTGCCTCGTCCGACACAATGTCTGGCTCTGGCTCAGGGACTCCACCCTACCAAACAGAAATAATCATCTTGTTGAACATTAGCAAGTTATACGCTATTTACCCAATTTAACTTGGTAACACTGATGATTTTCAATAGGCCTAGTTTTTTTTGTGTCCTTGCCACTGGCATTTTTTATTTTTAAGGAATACAAAAGCACTTTTGAGAGAAAAAGATCCAAACCGATTAAAATTTGTAGGTTTGCCAGGGATTGAACTCATTTTCGATCGCACCAAAGTTTTAGACACAAACCACTAAGCTGGCAATACACCTGTTAGATTCTCATATTTTATGCGTAAAAATAGTAAACTACAGTATACAAAAAATTAAGGTGCAAAACAAAAAGGTAGCAATTTGTTTGTTTGTGAAAACATACAAAGCGGCCTCAAAGTATTTTGTAAATTTCTGCAACAATGTAAAATAATCCTGTGACTTAAATGCATTTCTGTAGAAATATAGCCTACATTTGCCTACAAATTATTTGCAAATTTCCAGATCTTTGAAAGACATTTAAAAAGGTCTAGTTTTATTTTTCAATGGACAACAAATTATTTCAGTGTTTGTATTCTTCCTACACTTTAATTACTTTATTATTTTAATAATCAATACATTGGATATAAGGGGAGAGGTTTTACCTGCCAGATACTTTACTTTAGTTTTAGGTCACTTCATTGGGAATCTGTGGGCCAGACTTTATCCTTTCGGGTGGGTTAGGAAAAAAATGTAGACTTTCGGCTTTTGGGCCACAACCGGGATAATTAAAAATTAGTTGCTTTGGAGAATAACTGTTATAGTACAACCTGAAATAATTAAATCTGTCCTGAGTGTAGGTCTATCTCGTTACTTATGGTAATAGCTTCTTAGGGATAGGGGGAAGTTTGTTAAAAGCGAAATTAGAATGCTTTATGCTACTTACTGAGACAACTGCCAAAATGTTGTCAAGAACTTGGACCTGGCGAGCGTGTGGGAAGTGGACAGAAGCCTCCAGAGCAAGGTCCAGGTACTCTCTGAGGGAGGCGGTGAGGTAGGCACAGGCCAGAGCCTTGCTGAGGAGACTGGTCAGCAGTGAGGTCCACGCCTCAGCACGGTAGTCCCACAACATGTGCATCAGCAGTCTACAACACAACAATAATACTAACAACTTCATTGATAAAAATACTGGTTGTGGCAGACAAATTTATGAATTATTTCCAAACCAAAAGCCTGTTTTATTTTATGTCTTCGGGTGACTAGCTGTTTTGATTGGAGTCTTGATGGGAGCTCTTTGATTGTTTCTGTAATTTTGATAGAAAAAGAAATCAAATGATTAGAAGACCAGCAAACAGTGGCAGATCCAGATGGGGAGGGGTGAAGGGGGGGACCCCCCACCCCCTCAGGGGCATATATTTTTTACGACATGTAATGTCAAAATTTTGGCAAAAAACGGCGATGATGTTCAGTTACCGCAGGGTTTATTCAGGGTTTTGCCGTGACCACGAGAGACAATAAAGATGACCACACGACCGTGGGAAATGATCAATATTTTGCCGCGGTCGTGGAAGACGATGCTAATGTTCCATTGGGGGTTATTCTGTGGTTCGCTATGACCGCGGGAGACAGTGACAATGTCTACACAACTGCGAAAAATTACCAAAATTTTGCCGCGAACGTGGAAGACGATGATGACGTTTCCGAGACTGTGGGAGATGAGGATGATTGTTACACGGCCGCAGATGATCAGAATTTAGCTGCAAACGCGCAAGATGACTATGACAATGATCGGAGATAATATCTATATGACCGCAGGAGATGTTCATAATTTTGCCGCGATCACAAATGACATTGATGGTGTTGGTTACCGCGGAAGCTATTCAGGGTTTTGCCGTGACCACAGGAGATAATGATGGTGTCCATACAACCCCGGGAAATGAATGAACAAAATTTAGCCGCAAGGCAAAGACGATGATGACGTTTCAGTGACTGTGGGAGTGGGGAGATGATCAGAATTTAGTCATGAATGCAGAAGACAACGATGATGGATAATAATGTCTTCAGGACAGCGGAAGTTGTTCATGATTTTGCCGCGTAAGACGATAGTGAGGTTCTGTTACCACGGGGTCTTATTCAGGATTATGCCATGACCGCGGGAGACAGTGACGATGTGGGGGGGGGGGCTTCACCTCTAATCTCGCCCTTCCCTCGATCGAAAGCTGGATCCGCCACTGCCAGCAATACCAGTCCCAGCCAAAACCCCATGTTGATTAATCGCAAAAAAATGTTTATATCTGTGTTATGTGGTGATATCTTGTGAGTAACTTTGTAACTATCTCCGAGCCAGTGAAAAGAAGAAAAGCTGTAATAATGGCTTCCGGGCAGACATGAAGAGAAAAGCAATTGGTACCAGCCACATGAGTGGTACAGACAGCTAATTTTTAAACTATTGAAGTGTTGAAATTTTTATTATGAATCTTTAATCAGTTATTGGTGGAACACACTTCCTTACTTATATTAAACCTAGTATGAATGATCACTTACGTTAAGGCTTTCCCGTAGTCTTTGGAGCTGTAGTACTCATCCGCCATTTGAATAGCTGTAAACATATTCTTATTAGAAACTTAGAGCTATAACTGATAACTAACACTCACTTATTAACTGTTAAAAACTGAGCATTGTTTGTTTCCAGAATCAATTAAGATTTTTTCAATCCGAATCAGTAGCTTAATAACCAATTATTAAAAACAGTGTGTTATTTTTTTATGGTTGCCGAAGCAATAAGCAGTCGTTTGAAAAGCATTAGAACATGTGCTAAAAAGGGTAGATGAAGATTTAGTCAGACAAATACAGAACTATTTTAAAAATATTTTCTGAAAATCTGATGTGTGAGAAAAAAGCTAGCAATTAAAATTTTGAAAATATAAATATCTTACACTTTCCTGAGTTAGGTTGAGCACTAATTATTACAAATGTTCAAATGTCCATACTTAAATAAATTTTGCATCATGCAAAATATATTTTTGTAAAAAATATGTTTCTATTAAGTATGAAGCATACATACCAAGGTGTCGCCTCATCCTCGGGCAGCGATAGTTCTTGAATTGAGTGATGGCGTTGCCCAGTAAGCTTATGATGATTGCCTGAAATAGGAATGATTGGAATATTGAAACTGTTGAGATAATATCAACATATTTTTACGTTTGGCATACAACTAATTCATTCAAAAGAGTTCAGCTTTTAGGCCAGCAGTAATTTTTATTTAAAAGGGACCAAAGAAGCGGATAGGATTGAATGTGTAAACTAACCAGCATTAGTTGTAACAAAAGAAAATTTCTTTACTTATAACTAACAATTCCTGTCTTAACCAGATGGTTCAGTGTTCTATTTGCAAGAGTTCATAAGCCACTTTGATTCAACCCTAGAATTTGCAAAACCTTCCTTTAAATGGGGAAAAGTAACTCCAAAGTCAAGTTTTTACTTCACTATTTTATGATAGGCCTTTTAAAATTTTTAAAAGTCAGCCCACGATACAATAAAATCGTTAACATGTTTCGAGGTTGCAACAAAATTATCCATTTCGTAATCCCCTGACATCCGCGCTTCTGCACATATTAGTTTGTGAATTACTTATGTCCCGTTTCAACATACTTATCCAAATTCCCACAGACCACTGACATTGCTACTTACCGAGTGGCTGACTTTGTGCTTCTCGTTGTACTGCAAGGCGACCGTACCCTCCAGCTCGCGCGTTGGGTCAGGAGGTTGGGCGCTGAGACTGCCCGCCCGCCACGGCCGCTGTCCGTAGAACTCCAGCGAGTCTGTGCCTGCCAACGGGTCACTGGCTGGATACTTATCCACACCCTGAACCAAATAATCTTCAATAATATAAAGAAAAATCTAACAAGGGGATTAATTTTTACCAAAGGAAAAAAAATTTATGCATATTCAGTGATTTCGCTCTTCACTTTAGTTTGTACTCGTATTTAAGATTTAAAAACAAAAAAAATCTCCTAGAATAATCAATATTACTTTACTATTACGTCAAATTAAAAGTTAATGGTTGACAAGATGGGCAGCTGTGTGGCTATAGTACTGGCCTAGAAATCAAAAGGTTGCCGGTTCAAAAATGAAAAAGTTGAGGCTTTTTGATGGTACAAAACTGCACCCAGCTGTCCATGATCATTTGGCTTTTATAATGTTCATGTCTAAAGACCAGCTGATCTTGGTCAGTAACAAAGCCATCATCTCATTCAATTTTAATATTTTTTAACCCTATGCGGTCGAATGGCGAGTATAGGTCGCCGCCCGCCATTTGCCAGATTGCTCAAAAATGGCAACTTATGGGTACCGGTACTCAAAAGAAAAAAATAAAAAAAGTTTATTATTGCGGTTGAATGGCGAGTATATGCCATTCCCCCACTGCTGGAATGACAAACTATACTCACGGAAAAATGGGTAAAAAATTTGACCTCAAAGGGTACCTAATACCTTCACCTTCATACCTTCACCTTAAATACCAATGAGTGTCAGTGTCACATAAGTCTAATCCAAACAAAGTTTTTGATTTGAAACCATTATTTAATTTTTGTCAATGTAATTGCTTATGCTTGAAAACGAATAATAGAGCCCAGCTAGGATGTTACAGTACAAAAAAAAACATCTGATTCATCGCTGATACTTTTTGGTATTCAAGGTGCGCACTGTAAACTAGGACGACTATCATACCTGACACAACTGCAGACAAGATAGTTTCCTGTCCGTAGCCAGCCTAGCTGCCTGCTCGTAGTAGTATCCAGGGTGCATCGTCTGTACGGCTGGCAACCCTCCTCGGATGGCCTCCTCAAACAACTCGCCGAACAAACAGTATCTGCGGGGGTGAATTCAAATTGAACATAAGGAATGTGTGTTTCTCCTTACATATCAAAGCTGTTAAAAAGATAGGAAAGCCTGATTAAAGTGACCTCTTGGGGATCTAGTAGCTGAGTCAATAGTGTCTGGTTGTGAAACCAATCCAAAATTGAGGGGTGTGAGAAATTTTTCCGCCAAAAATGTATAATTATTGCTAACTAATGTACTGTACTCACCCATTTCCTCAAAATGTTCTAAAAATCCTGAGGCCCATAAGAGAAGGCAAATTCAAGTTTAAAAGGGGCTGCCAATCCCCAAATAAAAATGTATGTGTGTTTATCAACAATATTCCATTGTTAAGTGCATAACCAACAAATTCTAATAACAATTAGGAACTAAAAGTTGTTAGTTTAATAATACCATTGACTTTTGGATGCTGAAGTTCTATGAATAGTCAAAGATAACACCTACTGTAAGTTTGCAAAATTATGTGTGAAATTTCCATTTTAGAACATAAAATATGATTGAAAGTTTGTTATTAAAGTTACTTTAGATCAGCATACAGCAAAATAAAGCATACAAAAGCAAGAATTCACCACTAAATGGTACAAAATTTTATTAAATCCCTTTGAACTGTGAGTTAAAGTACAGGAAAACTGTCACTTTCTTCACTTTTTCTCTTCAGTTTCTTCACAATCAAACAGTTGAAAAATAAATTTCATCGTAAACTACCATGTTTTAATTGATATTACAGGTATCCAGACTGCAAATTTGTTAAAGAAAATGTTTTGATGTATTATAAAGGCCATACTTTATGACTCACTGTTTAGCCAACCAAGCGTAGTGTTGAAAGATCAACTCTGGTGGTCCGACCTTCGGCCGAAAGTGGTCTACGTGGCTGCGGAACTGGTTGATCGCATCTCTCGGTTGGTTCAGCGCAAACAACAGTCGACATACCTTCAACATCCCAACAATGCTAGCGTTAAACAAAAGGCATTAAGATAAAATCTGTCACAAAAGCGTCAAAATTAAGGCTAAACAAAACAAATCTATGAAATTTAGAAACTATGTAAAATTTTTAAGTAAGTATACTTTCTTTTTTCTTGGAATTAATATTATTCAGTTCTAATGCCACAAGGGCTAACCTAACTTGATCCCAAACTAACCTGTTATTGTATTTGATCAATGTGATTACTTCAAGTAAAATAATATTCAAAAACTAGTAGAATAATAAAATGATGAAATAGCAAAATAATATCAATACATTGTAAACAGATTGGATTTTATGTGCAATACAGTAAGATTAATCAGAGAAGAAATAAATAAATGTGTTAAACAATTATTAATAAATTGCATAAGACTGATAATCTTTTAAGTAAAGTGAAAGTTTAAAACTATTCAAGTTTTTTTGTGTATCAATGTCCTAGGCAAATTCTTTGTAGCAGTACAAACCTTTACTTTGAACTTAAAATTGACCTGCTGCTAGAAAGCATAATTTTATTATTAGCTCGACCTCAACTAGAAAAACTGGTTCTAAAGTACATTTTGATCACGATCAAACAGTAAGAATTTTGATTTTATTGACAATTTTAACTATTCTACTTTTTAGATGGTAAATTAATCGAATAAATTTAGTGGATTCAACTTAGCATAGGTACTTCAATACTATACCTTGTAGAGTATAAAGCCAGCCACTGTTTTCACCTCGTGGCTGTTAGTGTCGTTTATTCGTAACTCAAGCAGATTACTGTAAGAAGCCGAATAATGGCTGCGGAACAAACAAAACACAATACTGTATAACATCGCATTATAAATTTTAAATATTAGTTATCTAACAGTCCTTTATTCAGCCATAAACTACATTGGTTCAATGGGGTAAGTCGTCATTTAACTAAAAAGATTACAAAAAAAGTTACAAACAAAAATTAAATAACAAATTCATCTGTTTTAAACAGATCACGGAAAAGGTCCATAGAGAATACTATACATTTTACATAGAAGATAAATTTCATCCAATTCATTATGTTAATCACAATGTTCAAATAAGTAATATTCAATAACAAAATTGTATTCAATGAATAACAAAAATGTCAACCCTACTGACACAAAAGATCTCTAGCATAGTTTTTTAGATATTTATGAAAATTGAAAATTCAAGCCCTACAAACTACAGGGCTTGAAAATCTGTTTACAATGACAAACTGCAAGTGCTTGTTGATAGATTATAGAATTTCAATTGTGCCATAAAACTATTTCTTAATGTGTCAAATCGATTGATATCTATATCTACTGAGGATGGTGGGAAAATTCTAGGGAATAAATGGCCATCTTCAATAAGAAATTCTATAGTCTTGTTTTGTATGCTGATGGAGTTTTTAATTTTTAATGTTTGTTTTGAAATATTAAAAAAATTCTGTAAAATTATTGGTTTTCAATAAAAACTGTGTAATGTTGTTAGCAGTTAATGTAGTTTTCAATATAAAAAAAATTTGAATTGTGAAAACTACTTTTAGACGTACTTTAACAAAAACGGCTGTTTTTAAAACATATGCAGATAAAAGAGAGCATTTCTTCTTAAGGTAAAAAAGAATCATTGAGGACATCCTCTACATTTTTATCCTTTGTCTACTAATCTTTGCCCAAATTTCCAATTTCAAAATTAAACACTCTCGAGTACCAACGTACTTACACATGAGCGTTCCTATTGTCCTGCTTGAGTTCGCTGAGAAATGCCATCTTGTACTGGTGTCGAACGAACAGGTACTGATGCGTAGTCTTGTTGAGGAACTCCCTGTGAGATTTGACATGTCTCACTTCCTGTGTATAATAGCCTTGCGCCATCTCGTAAAATGCATTCTCCAACCTACAACAAATCACGATTGTAAGTACATTTTTGTTACAATAGACCCTCATAAATCAAAATCTCAAAATTCCAAACTTAAAAAGGAACTTACTTTTGACACACTAGGGGCTTATACAATTGCAAAAGAAGAAGGAGAATAAACCAAAGGGTAAAGGTTGTGAGCTGAAATTTTAAAAGGATTATACTTTTTTGCCACATTACTCTGTAATGGACTTTCCATGCAATGACAGTGATTTTACACCTGCTTTATCAGATTAAATAAATTTTTTTTTAGGTGAGCCAGTGGCTCAGTTGGTAGTGTCACGGACTTCAGGCCCAAGGCAGTGATGTCGTGGGTTCGGATTCTGGTCACTGCCACAAACATTTTATCAGTACAGTTAACCTTTGTACTGTACCGGCTCACCCCTTGCTTTGCTGGATACGTTCCACACACAGATCTGTAGTCTATGTGGACGGGCAAATGCAAGGTTTAAAGAGGCCGCCAACCTCTTTTATAAAAAAAATTTCATTATGTAACTTAAAACTTTTACTCAATTGGGTAGCTCAGTTGTTATAGTGCTCGCCTAGTATTATAATACCATCAGTAAGATCCTGAGAAAAGTGTGCAGCTTTTTAATGGTTCGAAACTAGACTTGGCTGTCCTTGGGCTTTTAGTAAACTGTGCTGACTAATGAAACAGCTCCCATCTGATCCATCCCCTTTGATTTAACAGGAGGCTGGAGCTGTTTTCCAGGCTAAATCTATGTGTGGAAGTCTACAAAAATAGAGTGGAGGAATATTTTTTACTGGTTTGCTGAGAAATTCAATCAGTGAGGGTGCAGACTTTGCGGGACTCTACTATCCCTCGAAACATTTACCTCGATCGAAAAACAAAAATATCTCACCTGAGAACATATCCCTGAAGATGATCAACGTGAGGCAGCACAAAAAGGCATTTCGGGCTGATATCGGACGCAGCGCACAACGCAGCCGCCCTCTCCACAGCCACCGTATCTTCCGCCACAGGTAGAGGAGCCTTATGTTGTATAAGGACTACACCAAGCTTAGTGTTGCGTCCTTCCAGCGCCGCTCTGCAACACGTCAATGTCAACACATCACCCTACTACAAAATGTCAAATATATTAAGGACAGGCGACAAAGTACATAAAATAAAGTTTTCCTACAGTTACCTAACAATGTACATGTTCTCTCACTGATTTGAGAAAGCAAAGTGGCCAATTCGCTCATCAGTGAGACAATGTTAACATTGTCTCACCCTAATTACTTTGTCTCACTCCAGATTTGCAACGTGAAGGCACGTTTCTTTACCAATTTGAATTTATTTGTTTTATCGTTTTATGGTAGCTGTAGGAAAAATGTAATGGGCAACTCGAGTGCAAACTAGTTGCACAATTAACTATTTGATGCAAACTAACTAGTATTTACGAAATTTGTTTTAGAGTGTGATTTTATCTCAATATTTCCATTTTGGCTAAGGACTTAAATGTATTAGATTTAACGCCAACACACCATGGTATGTATTTCATGGCGTAGATGGGTGATTGAAGGATTGAATGAGACGGCTACAATCAGCTAACTCTTTAACCAGGACCATTGATTAAAATCCCAGTTAAAATCAAATCAATCTTTATTATCATAATAATCAAGGCTAAGTTGACTGTTTACGACCAAAAGAAACCTAAAATAAGATTCAAAGGGATAACTTAATACTCTTAATTATCAAAACCAAACTAAACTTTATTTCAATTTCCGCAATTATCAAGTTTAAGAACACTCGATCAACTCACCTGATGGATTGCACTCGAGAAGTGCACTCGATTTTCTTCTCCGGCCAGTCAGGATCATCCCAGTCTAGGTCGTAGAAGATAACGACTACAGCTGGGATTTCTTTGAGATGCTTTTTCATCCAGTTTCGTTTTAAAATTCCTTTTGGTATGTACCACTCATATGAATTTCTCTGTAATTCAAATAACATTTGTATTCTAAAATGTTTTGCACAAAGGTTTTAATTTTGTATTTACCTTTCATTTCAGTATCCTTAGTTCTCACAGAAATTATTATTTTACTCTTAGTGGTGCAGCAAATACTTTTTTTTTAATACTTGTAATTGAAATGGCGCCCATAGGCAGGTAGGTATTTTAAGCCAAGTATGAATAGAGATGAGTCTAGGATGAGTGGCACGATCTATTAGTCTTGTTAATGACTAAGATTGACATGTTCTGTAGACCGGACTGTTAATTAATAGCCCATACAGCTAATGGCAACTAAGGGACCTACAGTTTATAGTGGAATACGGACCACATTTTTGCCTTGTAATTTAAGAATTGGTCTAATTATCAGGATAGTAACTTACTGAGAATAGTCGTAGTACTCAATAGGGAGGATGTTAATCCACACTAGGGAGTATCGAATCCACAGATCATGCCTATAAATATCCACAATTCGTGACCTCCAAGTAACTGGATTACAGGACGAGGCCACAAGAATTGTGTAACTGATGGAAGTAAAATGCTAAGAGAGTTTGACAAGTGCTTTAAGAAGTCTCAACACGCTAATGCTCAAAAAATAATAAAATGCTCAATACAACTTCAAAATCCAACAATTGTGTGAGATTGTAATTGATAGAATGAGCTGTTGGACTATATTATTTCATCCTAAAAACCCATAGCTAAAACTGAGGGAAAACTTTACATCGACATTGTTGAATCTAGATTCCAAAAGTGCATTTCATAGCCTAGTTGATTCACCTTGGGCTTCATTGTAGGGAACTCATGTACAGGTCCGAGCAGTTTGAAGTGGACTGCGGAACGATCTTGACGTCGACTGTTGGCCAGAGCTTCCCACACGATGCGGTGAACCGCGTTGTTTAGAGTGTCCAAGCCAGCCACCCCCACCTGTCAATTCAATTCAATTTAATTTCATGTCATGTAAACAATGTGTTACAGTATCACAGGCAAAAAACATATGTTATTATTTTACCACTTAAGATCGGGACACAACTTTCTTAGTTCTTTACTTTAATCTTGTCTTATGAAATGGACTTTTGACCCAAATATGAATAAAGGATGGGTCCGGAATGGGGTGAATTGCTATGTGTATTTTTTACTGGTTAAATCAGCTGTTTATTTTGTCATATTTGTTTAACAGCTGACCCATTATAACCATCAACATGAACTAATGTTTCACTCAGCTAACTTAAATGTCCATCAGTCTTTGTGCATTCATACATTTTTATTATTATTTTGAGAGAATTTACAACTGGCTTAGTATAAAAATATTTTAAAATGTGGGCCTACTATACTCAATAAGTTTTCTTAAAAACTGTTAATGTAACTCATAAGAAATTATTTTCATGGCAATTCCTAGGAATAAAAGTCAAGCTGGTTTGTCTTACCAGTGCTTGTGGAGCCCAACACAGCTCTGACGGAAACTCAACTCCATCTTCCAGCGTTGCCATCTTGACAACACTACTTGACAATCACTACTATTAGAACCTAAAAATACAATATGTGTATTAGAATAAACTAGTGCACCTGTTGCTCGAATTCAAGCAATTGCAAAGTATTACAGGCGTTATTTAAAAACGAATAACAGTCATAATTTCCGATGACTTAAAAGAGTTATGACAAGTCAAGGATTTACCTAGTTTAAGAGTTATGGAAGTGTTTAACAGTGGAGATGTGACAGATGAAAGTCAAATTATTGTTTTAAAGGCAATATAAACAGTAAGAAACATTACAGGTTTGGGCATTTATTTTATAAGTAAAATTACGGAAAGTAAATAAAGATACGTCTTATAACACTTAAAACATATATTTACGCTTATACTGTTACTCACAAGACGGTAAATATACAAAAGATGGTAAGTGGTGATCGATTTCGATTGGACACTCCAATGATCATCAGACCGAATAGGAGAATGAAGTTTTCATGTTAAAATTTCTAGTAAGTTATAAGTTAGTGTTGTTTCTGTTGAAAACTATAAGCAGTTTAAATTTTTTGATTCTTGAACTATTTTGTCAGTAGAGGAACAATGTTTAGCGACTAGACACTAGTTATTTTTGTGTTATTACTCAGAGGGCTGTTGGATCAGTCGTTACCTTATCAACATTTAACATCTTTTGAGGTATTTAACTTACCTGGATCTTAAGAGGAACCATGCCAAGGCGACTCCTCTTTAACCCTTCAGCTTTTTAAGGACTGTATACAATCTGTAATAAGGCTTACCAGAGTCCTAGTTCAACCAATAAGTAGACTTAGGCTACAACTAAAATGTTATTTTATTATAGCAAAACTAATTTTGCTAACTTAGTTTGTCTGAACTATGTTAATCAACTTAACAAAACAAAAGTGCACATGCAAAAATTGTGTGATGGATTAAATGAGCAATAGATTACCTGAAAATCAACGTACTCATCATTCCCAACTTAACCTCAAACAACAACCAATACACCATTATTTTTTTAGATTTCAGTATTCACAACTATCTTTTCAATAGTTTGTAAAGGTAGACTAATATTAGAATAATACTAAACATATAAATGATTAACATTATAAATATCCTAATAATCAGACTACCTACAACTTTAAAATGCACTAATCCGCTTGACAATAGTAGTAGACGACGACATTAGACAGACAGCTGACAGACAGAGACACAACACACAACACTAGAAGTAGAAGTTGACATTGACAGACAGCGATACAGCCAGCCAGGCAGCTATCAAAACCCTTGAGCATTTCCATTTGGCTCCAGTCCAGTTTGGCTCAGCTTTATATGTGTTCATATACTACTATAATAAAGTATATACTATGTTGTATTGTTCGTAAAATTAAATAAAAAAATTACAGAAACTACCCCCATCTGTCCCATACCTAAGGCTTTCTCCTAAACACAATTTTGCTGTTATATTTCTTTAGAATTAATCTAATTCGATTCATAGTAGGTGCGATGAAGAGAGGACAACTCTTTCTTTATAATTTGTTCAAGTATTGAAGAACTTAACTTAAAACTTGCACAAATGTTTAAATCAATGCATCTAATTTGCAGATTTTTTTTGGAGGGACTACAGCTGCATGTTTTGAAATTTCCTTTTCTGCTTCTTTCACTTCTCTCTCTGTCATGTCATGTCATTCTCGCATTCGGCCAAACAAAAACACCAAAACGGAAAACGATATTCTCACGTTTGAAAGTACTTGGTTAAGTCTTGTTATTATATTTTAGTTTCGAACTATTGATTTTTATCAGTTTCTTGAAGGAAATAGCTCTTAAAGACTATGGCTATGAATAAATTTATGCATCCTAGGAACAGATATCGTAGGCCTCCGGATTTTAAAGCCCTAGCTATTAAATATCCAGAATTCAGGAAGTATGCCCAACAGGTAAAATTATTCTTGAAATCTTATAGACCCCCCAAATGAATATAAATAATGCACCAAGAGTTGGTCTACTTAACCAACATTAATTCATAATGATTATATTACCTTGTTAAGATCATAATTGGAACAACACCAAACTTATGCCTAAATTTAAGTAGGCCTAGGCTACTTCAAGTTTTTAGGTTGTATCTTAATTTTCCGTTTAGAACGTTCTTCGTCCTAGTTCGTGACTTATTTTTTCTAATTCTAACCTATAAATCTCCTATTTAGGATATCACTGGAAAAGTCTCTTTCAACTTCAAAGACGCGGAGGCACTTCGAGCTTTAACACGCACGCTGCTCTTAGAAGATTTCAGCCTTGATGTTGAAATCCCTCTTGGCAGACTGATACCTACACTTCCACTCCGCCTTAACTACTTGCTGTGGATTGAGGATATTTTGGAGAGCAACAATCGAGTCTCTGAGGTCATTGGCATTGATATAGGTTCGGCGACTTTTGTATACAAGTAATCTTAAACCTATTCATGTAGACTAACCTAAATCAGTCTAGAAGTAAATTTGAGTCTTAAGTTATATCGGCTGCACTTTAGTATCTGTCCTAATTTACACTCATTCAATAGAAAAATATCGATATATAACTTGATATATCGAAAGAAATAACTTGATTGATATATCGATCAATATATACAATGAATACAATGAAGATATTCATTCGAATGAGTGTAGGACAGATACTAAAGTGCAGCCCTTAAGTTATATCAAATAGGTAACTTATTCAATTTACATTAGTCCTACCTCGGGCTTAATTAGGCCACTTAAATGACTACTTAAATGACTTAATATTATGTTTGTTATACAGTAACTTTACACTAGTTACAACCCTCTGCGACAAGCAGGAGGGATATGTTAGGTAAATTTAAAATCTGCTTGGCTTATTTTTAATTTAAATAATTCAATCTTAACGTTGACACTGTCTCTGACCCCTTCACTTCCTCCTCCTGCTTTTCAGATCGATTTGGTTTAACAAAATAGCTTTAAAGAGTTATGTGCCCTAAGAAGAAATTATTTTTTTTTACAAACTTAAATAAGGATACTTTACATCAGACGCAGGTTGAGGCTAATGAACGATAAAGCGATAAACGATAATAAACAATTAAGCTGCAATGATAGACATGGTGCAACAAGAGATGGGCCTAACGATAACCTTAGGCTATTTTTGCTGTTGCAACACAATCCATTGAACTTTGGCTGCCACCACACTAACTTACCTTTCTCACTTAGAACTTAAATAATCGGAGGGGTTTTAAAGTTTACAACCACCGTAGCAAGTCATGCCTAACGTGGCCATACGTCCCGCTTCCACACTGTCCCGCCGAAGCTGTCCCACTGCCCCCACAATTGGCCAGGGGATGCCTAAATGTCCCGCTTTGGAGGTCAGGTGTTTGAAATATTATATGGAATATGAAATTTAGCCTTTCCACACTAATGTTTAGTTCGTGTAAGAATACTAGTTAGTAATTTTAAGGAAAACTAAAGGAAACCAACCTATTAACATTACCCTATTTGGTTAACTGTAAAATTAGAACGCTATCGGTCAACGATCGGCACTAGTACAATTTATTTCCGCGCGAGTGTTGAAGCGCTGTAGGCTACTACGGCCTCAAAAAACGCAAGGTTGTCACTGTTGTTAGTAAACTAAACTGTCAAGTTGTTTACAGTACCTTAACCTCTAACTTTTAGATAACATTCGGTGCGAAGAAAGTTTGTTTGTGATTTGATTATTGTACTGTTCAATTGTGCATTAGATAACGACCAAACGGAAATGCACATTTAATAGTGAGTTACATGCAAAATATCCGTTTATTAAACTTAAGTTTGAGACGAACAAAAGTAATATGACCCGCCATTTGTAAATTCGCGTCCTTCGCTCAGTTCCCGCTGTTTACGTGCACTTGGTGTGAAGCTATCCACTTTTGAGGAGATTTCTAAGTAAAGATATGTTCCGTCCAATGAACTTACAAATAGGTTAAATATAATAAAAACTCAATTAAAAACCAATCTATGTTTTAAAAATTATTAGGATGTCTAGATTGCATAAAAACGCTAGTTTACGGATATTATTTTTCAAAATTTCTCGGCTGAGGGTGTCCCGCTTTGTACTCCAAAATATATGGTCACGTTAGTCATGCCATATAACTCAATAGATTCTGGTCAGAAACAGCTCTCGAGTACAGTAGAACCCCTCATATCCGGCCACCACGGGACCAAGCCCCTGACCGGATAACGATTTGGCCGGATAAACCAACCTACTATGAAAATGATAATTCATACCTAATAATAATAGGTAAACAATATATGCAATCAAAAGTATAATTTAATTCTGTTCTGGGATCATTTTTAGAAAAATTAACATGTTTATAAAAAGAAAAAAATATTTGTAGGTTAAAGTCATTAAGTAATGAATGTACAAATATTATGATTCCATGTAACAAAACCTATTAAATGGAGGTAAAAATGAAAATAAATTGTACTTAAATGATCATTAGGACTTAAAAATGGTACATGCATTTCTACTAAACATTCTTAACCATTTTGTGAAATACAAAAATTAATGTAAGTTACTTGTACTGTACCCTACTGTATTAACCCCACTTTGGAATTACTGTAAACAAACAACTGATCAGAGGTTAGGCCTACTAGCTCAACTGAGTATAGTGACTCAGCAAATAAATGTATAAACAAACAGATAAATAATGAGAACAATTTATTTTATGATTTGAGCAGTCACAAAGACTAGTGGCTGCATCTAAACGTCTGTAAGCTGTGAGAAAAAAAATTTTGATATTGGCTTCCAAGAAGGGGTCGGATAAACAGAGGACCGGTAAAACCAAGGCCGGATATGAGGGGTTCTACTGTACCCAGTGCTCGATTTTTAATAAATGAGGTGAAGGAACTGTAACATATTTAATGTGATGAAGTACCTACCTATTTATGCCAATATTTTTATCTTTCCGAAAGAGAGGTGACACTGGAACTCCATTCCACCGTGTTTCCCTGCAAATCGAACTGAAAATTTTGAATGCAAACTGCAAGTGCCAAATTTCAAATAGCCTATAAGTTAAGCCTATTGATTAACTGGTTTTGGAATGGCAGGAGTCTCTAAACAATAAAACCATTGCTTAAAACGTTTGGTATGTTTTTTTTCTTTTTCTTTGCAGGATGTGGCGCAAATTGTGTCTACCCATTGTTGGCAGCGAAGCAGTTCGGTTGGCGGATGTTGGCTACCGAGGTGGATATGGAGAGTGTCTTCATCGCTGGTAGAAACGTCAAGAAGAACAAGTTGCAAGATTTGATAACAGGTAGTTTGGGCAAAATATAGCCTTATATGATGGACCCTTCTAATAACAAATTTATCATAGGCCCTATACAATACAATTATCAGGCTACTCAGCAACTTGAAATTTGTATATGACCAAATGTTGACCACTCTTGCAATGTATAAATGTGGAAGCTGGCCTGATTTTTTTTTTTTTTAGTTTAATCATTTGATGTAACATATCGACCTACACTATCCAGGTGACATTTAATTGCGACGCATTTGTTTTGGCTTGAAACTGTCAGATACATTGTATTTGCAAAGGTTACTGTTTTTTTTTTTTTTTTTTTTTTTAAGAAACGATTTTTGTATCAAAAGAACGCTTATAATGTCCTCTTTAAAAACAATAGGCCTACCAATTTTCGTCTTAACTCACAGTAGTTTTTATTAAAATAATTGTTTTATGGAAGCATTTCGTACAAATCACATTTCAGATTTAAGGGAATTCTTCTCGGCACTATGTAATTTCTCCATAACACAAAAAAAAGTAGTTACCTCTTGTCGATACCGCAAAATTTGTGAGATATTGTGTTCTCTGTAAACTGAACTTTGTTGTAGTTCTATATTTTCCACTAAAATGCAGGACAATTCATTTTTTTGGACTAAAGTCTGTTACAGTGAATATTAGAAATAGTACCTCTTGTCGTTATGGCAAAATAACATTGAGCGTCAAGAGGTATCTTTTCTAAGACCGTTGCAGAGACTAAGAAAATTATTTATTTCAACCTTTAATTCTTTGATTTGATATTTTAACCGATACCGTACTGTTCTATGTTAAATGAGGTAGGCCTATAACAATCGATAAAAACCCTAATTTCAATATTTTCTACCTTAGGCTAATTGTTTATATCGGCAGTACTGAATTTTGCATCGCCGACAAGAGCATTCACATCACAAATTATGATTTCATAACCATTTTTTATGACGATAACTTGTATTGACTCAAATTTATTCAGGGAAAATCTTAACAAAATAAATAAAATTTATTTTGTTTGCAATACCACTACCAAAATAAAATAGGTAGGTCTATCTTAATTTCACTGTAATGAAACAACTATTTTAAGTCTTTGCCAATATATGTAAACTGCATTTTCAACACCTCTAAATACTCAATATTGTTATGATTATTCAATTTTCATTTTTATTTTCAGTTCGCAATGTGAAAGACAATCAAATGCTGGATGGAGCCTTGGATGATGATAAAACATACGACTTCTGTATGTGTAATCCTCCATTCTTTAGTTCTGCAGAAGAATTAGACCCGAAGAATAACGCTCGGACACAGAACAGGTAAGTTTGTTTGTGAAATAGTGTGTAAATAATTGACAAATAAAAAAAACTCTTGTGGCTGCTCATACACTCTACTACAATTCCTTGGGAGACTTAGCCCAGAAATCAACTTGGAATTATAGGCCTATTCAAAACAAACATCATTCTTACTTATGATAATAAAGAATACTTATGAACACCAAAGGTAAACAGTCTGAAAAATACTGATAATTTCTTTAATAAAACCCATAACATAACCTTACCTTAATGCAAGATTAAATGCCTGTCCCTCCTCCAACAAGTCGCTCTCTCCTGATCACCTCATTTTAATAAGATCTAATTGTTCTATTTTCCCAACTCTAACCTTTATTAAAAATTACTGTCAGTGACAATGAAATACAGTAGACTCTCGCTCATCCGCACTAATGTGGCGGAAATCCGGTCCGAATTACGATAAATCCGGACTATCGAGTGTCGAGCAAACACAGTACTGTATATAACCTTTTTTTTATTTTGTTCCAGGTCCACAGTATCGATAGCCATGCAAATGCAATTCCACCGGTAATAATTTTTATCGTCATGTTATCCGAGTTTTTGATTATCCAAGGTAGTCTCGAATAATCGGATTTCTACTGTACTTTGCCGCTAAAAAAAATCACGATTGCCAATCCGAAATAACGGGAGTCTGGACAAGGCCGATCCAGATGAGCGATGAGATGAGATGTCTACTTTACCGTACCGGTAGCGGTAGTCTAATGTTTTGTGTATACAGTGTAAAGTTTTGTGTGTCTTGTGCCAGTTTGGACAAAACAGTTTGGCTTCCCATTCAGTTAAGCCTGCTATCCTCACTAAAAATCCTAAAAACCTAGGCCCATAGATGCTCTATTTTACATTCTTGTTTTAAGTTTTTTTGTTAAGTTTAGTTAGAAGTAAGTATCTGTCAGGTTTTTGATATTTTTGTAACCTTTTTCAGACCAGAACCACGCAACGCTCACACTGGAGCGACCACAGAGCTGGTGGTTCCTGGCGGAGAAATAGCCTTCATCACCAATATTATAAATGACAGTGTCCTGCTCAAGGCCAAAGTCAGGTGAGTACTAGGATCATTTTATTTGAGAATTTAACTTTTATATACCGTAGTTGTAGGTGGTAGTTATTTTATTCCATAATATTTTACTAGACTCCCTTTTGTTTGGACACCTTGGGATCGATCACATCATTGTTTAGATACAAGATTCATAGCTATATATCATAATCATCAAAGGAAAATGAATGGATATAGAACTAACTTACTTAGGAAAAGATTCCCAGGTAGTTCAAAGCACTTAAAAAGTTTCACAACACGATAATAAACTTGATATTTTGCCCTACAAGAGGCTGTTTCAGAAAAAAGAAATTTAATAACAATTAGAAAACTGGCACTATTTGAACTAACTTAATCAGTCTCGCTATCAAATCACTTTCTAATCCTTCTATAATTAATTATGAATATATACGTATAATAAATAGTCGTTCAGTTAGTTATGAGGGATAGGGTAAGGGTACTGGGACAGGTGGCGTCGTCCTGTAATCCAGCTACTAGGAGGTTACGAATTGTGGATATTTATAGGCATGGACTGTGGATGTGATACTCCCTGGTGTGGATTAACGTCCGAACGAGTGAGTAGTACGACTATCCGCAGTACTATCCTGAAAATTAGACCAATTCGTAAATACCAAGGCAAAAATGTGGCTCGGATTCCACTATAAACTGTAGATCCCTTAGTTGCCATTAGCTGTATGGGCTATTTATGAACATCTGTGTCTAAGGAATATGTCGGCCATAGTCACTAACAAGGCTATAAGATCGAGATTGGCAAGGCCACTCATCCTACACTCATCTCCATTCATACTTGGCTTAAAATACCTACTTTGTATGGTCACCATTTAATTAAGAAGTATTAAAGTATTATATGATATCAAGATCGGTGATGCTCTTGAATTTGTAACAAATTATCTTCTCCTAAGTATAGAGCTGTAGAATTGATCCTTTCAGAGCTTTGGATTTGTATGCAATTAAAACAGTTCAATCAGGAAAAACATAGTGAATATGGTGAATAACCAAAAAATATTTCATCATAAAACTAAAATTGTTGTTTTAGAAAATTTAATTTTTGGAGTCCGAACATGTTTGTGTGTGTAGGGTCTACAGTGTGATGGTGGGTCACAAGACTAGTGTGGGGAAAGTAAAGCAGGTTCTAGAGACAGCTGGTGTGCCCTCGGCTTCTGTTGTGACGACAGAGTTCTGTCAGGGACAAACGACCAGGTAGAGTAATCAATATACTAAATACTGGTAACTAAACCTCTTTAAAGTCTATGGTCACTAAAAATTTTTAATTTAAAATTTGTTTATTAAATTGGTGTATTTAGATAATTTATTTTTGTAATCATAAACACTATGTATACCAGTACAGGTTGTGTTTGGCTGCGGTCTTTTGCACAGCAGCTCAGATTAATTACACATTGGTTGCCTTCGCCGCTTGGATAGTCAGTGGTGTTGGCCAATTAACAAATACAACTGGCAACCACTACTGAAACTTGTAATCTTAAGTTGATGAGGAAGAGACTCCATAATGGCTGCCGAGCAGAAATGCAAAGAAAGTCAGCCAGTGGTGCTTGCCACATCGGCAGACAACTGATGTTGATGTTGAAACGTTTCCACACTTTGCGTCAATCATGTGACTAGTACGACTGGCCAACCAATAGGCTTAATCTCACAGTAATTTAATCCAATAGGAAGAGAGAAACGTGGAAGCAGTGAGATGGGTGGTTTCCAAATGCTGGCAAAATTACAAATAGTTCATTATTGTTAATAATATGAAAGCTTAGTTATTGTAAGTTAGGGTTACCAATAACAGAGGGTCTAAAACCACCTGTAGTAAATGGGATGAGTAAAAAACACACTTACATGAAATAACTAGTTAATAACTTAAATGTAAATTTCTACATTTCCTTCCAAAAAGATTGTTTGGACTAACTTGTGATTCTCAATGGACTAGGTGGGGTATTGCTTGGACTCTCGATCCAGCGATTACACTCCCCCACATTGAGATGAAGAAGAAGAAGCCTACTTCATTCAGCCAGACATTCAAGTCTGATTTGAACTCCACAGTAGAAAGACTGAAGCAGTTGCTGGAGGAATTGCAGGTTTGTTGGTCATAAATTAAAAACTTCTATACATAGAGTAGACTCTCAGTAATTCGGCCGATATAGGACCGTGATACTGCCGGATTAGTGAAAATGCCGGATTACTGGAATGTCATCAATAAAAACACTTAAAATGCACAAAACATGTCTACGAAGATCGCGCGATCGGAAACCGCTATTGCCATGAACACTCATGTCGACGATGACATTTCCGTGACTGCGGGAGACCATGATAATGTCTACACAGCCGTGGTAGATGATCAGAGTTTTTCCGCGATCGCAGAAGACGACGATAATTTTTACTCGGCCTTGGGAGGTGATCATGATTTTGCCGTGATCGCGCATGACGACGATGACGTTTTGGTGAACCGTGGAAGACAATGCAATGTCTACACAACCGCAGGCGGTCAGAATTTTGCCGTGATCGCGCTGACGAAGATGACGTTTCTGTGAACACAGGAGACTATGATGATGTCTGGCTGCGGTAGATTTTTCTCAGGTAATGGGCCGTTACACGTTTTCATCATGGAACCTTCAGTAATCTATAATCTTCAGTAATCCGACAGAGTTCTGTTCCTCTATGTGTCACATTACTGTGGGCCCTTACATAAAAATTGATATTGCATTGAAAACTTTTAACTTTTTATTTTCACTGTTACAGATAACCTACAAGTTTTTGAAGTCCACACAAGGTTTGTACGCAATGGAAATCATCGCAACTAACAACACATGGGCCAATTCAAGGAAGAAGAGGAGGCAAGAAAAGTTTAAGCAAAAAGGGAGCAACGGAAATGAAGGCGAAACAAGTGACGAGAAAACAGAAGGAAACAAAACAGACTCAACAAACATCAATGGGGATAATGTCAATCTTGGTAAAGAAAGTGGAACAAAGACAGAAGAGGGTAAAACTGATATTGCCAAAGATGGGAAAAGCGACGAGATGGAAGTTGAAGAAGAGAAAACCGAGAGCGAAGCAGACTCAACAAACTTCAATGGACGAGATAACGCCAATCTTGGTAATAAAAAAGTACCAAAAGGAGTTGAAGAGGGAACTGATATTGTCAAAGATGAAAAACACGACAAGATGGAAGTTGATGAGGGTAAAGTCGGAAGTACTGAAGAGGAAGTCGTTAAAGAAACCAAACGTAGATTGGTTGAAAACCAAGTATCCAGCTCTTCTGATTCCGGCCCAAAAAAGTCAAGACTTGAAAACGTTCCTTCTGGTTCCAACCCAGTAAGTTCCAGAAAAGACCCGATCCTCTACGGTTCGTTGGTGGTGAGAGGTAAGGGTGACGGGAGCTCCGTAGAGGTGACGTGGCTCAAGGGAACAGGAGGCAGAGACTGCGCTCATCAGGTGCTTCAGTATCTCAAAAACAATTTTGATCCCAATGATGTCGGACAATAGTCATTTGTCCCGTCTTTGTTGATAGATAATTTTGTGCTGTTACAGAAACGTTTTCACTTGTCTTTAAACGTTTAAAGTTTACGATAGATAGGTTTATGAATCTAACCTTCAGATTATTTAAATGATGTATGGTAATCCACAAATCACCCTTAAAAACTAGTTTTGATTTTAAATTGGTTACATCTTCAGGCTTTTATGTCCAGCTGATTTTGTAAGACATAATCATCCTAGACTTGAGTCTTCTATGTAACTAGTTGACAGCTTACATTTGTTGACTACCGTAAGTATGTTTTATATATGGTACACCATTTCCAAGATAAGTTTAGTTTGAATTTTTCATACAGTGTTATCTTATTTTGATTCAAGTGTATATATTATTTTCAGTTATTGAAGTTATGTATAGTTTTATTTACATGCGTAAAATATGTTTGCGGTCAGTTATTTATTTGTTACTTATCAAGCTTTGTATGTTTTGGTTTTGCCATGATAATCTTTTAATGAGAAGTAAAAAGTTTATAATTTTTGTATTATAGAGTTTTGTTTTATGTTTTTAATTATTTTGGCATTACATCCTTGAAAACAAACAAAACTTTTAACGAGAGGAAGATTTTACTTACTATTTGTTAGATACTGCTCTTTGTACAACAAAACAGTTGATACTGGACTATTCCCATTACTGTTGCCATCTTATTTTTGGCATTAATAAAAAGATTTGAACATGGAATGTAAGCCAAATTGTTCTTATTGTCAACCCCTTACAGCCTTATCAACTATTAACTTATCATCAACTTTCTGTTAACCTTTGACTATTAATAAGCCTACATCCAATATCCATCAGTATTCAATAATCAATGATAGTACATTTTACACATTTTCAAGAATATGCATGGAGATCAATACAATTTTCTTGATCCCATGGTTAAGCAGTATAACACTAAAAAAGGTCATCTTTATTATGAAAATCACTGAATACCATAACTGTGAAAACAAATATTTGGAGTGAGTTAGTTTGTACGTGTGTATTATATGAATGTGTACAGAACGAATGCAACATTGGTGATTTGATTTCAATAAAACGTTGCATGCAAGTACTAAACCAGTTTTTACAGCAACCATCTTCTAAAGAGCATGAAATCGATACTTCTAAAAATATAATTTAATATATTAAATTAATCGTTAGGCACCAAAGATGCCATCTACAACCATTTAAAATTGCAGTTGCAAAATTATGGTTAAAACTTTTAACCATAATTTTGCAACTGCAATTTCAAAAAAAGCTAAAAAATACCATAAATTAGGAGATTAAACCAGTATATATTGAGGTTTATTGATTTTTTGTTTGCAAACATGTTAAGACAATAATTATATAATGCTGGTTTTGGGTAAAATAGCCTAACTGAAACAATTTCTAAGTAATCACAGACAATAGACCATTAATGGATCTATAGTCTCTGGCTATAACTAAGGGGAAAATCTATCTTGTAAATTTTGCTCTTTAATCCGAACTAATTGGGACCGGGGGTAGTTCGGACTATTGAATAGTTCGGATTACAAAACATATTAATGTCTTTAAATAACAATAGCTAAAACAAGGCAAAACGGATGGTAATTGTTAGGGTAAAAGTTAAAAAATGCTTTATAAAGTAAAATACAGTGTTTATGCCTATTTAATACAGTAGTAAACATAGTGAATAAACAAAACAGTACTGTACATTAAATACAGTATACAATATAGAACTACTGTACTGAGTATACAGCAATGAGGTGTTTGGATTAAAGGGGTTCAGAGAGGTTCTACTGTAGTTTATTTTCTTTGGTGTGTCTTTATGAGCTAATAGACAACTTTATTGATTAATAATAAACATTTATTTTAAATAAATAAATAGAACAAATATTTTACCTAAATCAAATCACTAATTTATAAATAAATAGTTTGTACTAGGGGTATTTTTAGTATGTAAAATTGTATACAAGTTAATATAGATTCATAACAATAATAATACAATTTCTAATAATAATAGTCCGTTTTATTTTAAGGGTTGGTTGATATTTATTTTTAACATTGGCTTATACATTAATGATTGCTCATCATTATTTCCATATAATCCATGAAGATAAACAAGTAAAACTGTACAGTATAATTCCTCAAATAAAGAAAATCCAAAGAAGCTTGAGCAGCATGAAGATAAAAACGTTTTGTGAGTATATCCTACCAACCTCGGATTTCGGAAGCGCCTCAGTCATTGACACCTATTCAAAGAATCTCCGAGAGGAAATAGGGTCTATTAAAAACCGGATCCTGAAAAGATCCTGATGACTCCCCAGACGTTCAATATGACTAATCCTAACCTACAAAACGCATACAAAGGGCAGTAGACCACTAGGTAGTCTATTGGCTCACTACACTAGCGCCAACTGTAATCAGCTGTAGTCTCCGAGTTGTTTGATTTGCCTCACTTACTCCTGCGATGGAATGTTTGTTTATTATTTTATTTATGTCCCCAGTGTTATGTGCGCCCGCTGCGAAAATGAACTTCAACGAGAATTTAAAATTAGCTGTAAGTAAACATTTATTTTATTTTAGTTGTGCATTGTTAGTCTATTGTTTAAATCAGCTGTTTATTTCCTGATTGGACGTTGACCTTGACACCTATCCTGACGCACCATTTAAATAATAAAGAGGATATGAATAAATGAGTTTTAAACTGAGGGGATATGGCTATGTTCTATTGTTACTGTTTAAGCTAAGCTAAGCCTTTTTGGCAATGCTTACTTGAAAACTAAATGTAAAGGGAATAAATTTATTTCAACATTATTTGTAGTGATTATGCAACGAGCACAATATGTGCCCGTTGTGATTATGTTAATATTGTAGTTTTTTTACTATTGTGATTTTAGTGGAGCAATAGGGAAAACATCATTGTAAAACTAATCACGAAAATATCTTTATTCATATCTGTAATGATATAGGCTATGTCTGAGTGCGTATCTGTTTTTCCCGGGTGATTCAAGAACTTAAATAGTCAATAGTGAATTTGTGAACTAACGGCTAAAATTTTACATATTATGGGTAGTACTTAAGTAGTTTTTTTCTTCGGGGGTACATATGCCTACTGCTCCCTTAGTACGTCAAAATACCAATGCAAGTTAAACACATTAAATAAAAATGAAAGTTAAAATAAAATTGTTTATTAACAGTTATTTATGAACTCTGCCATCGCTTTCTGTGTCTACAAATGCATGCCCTTATCGATTATATTCTATTTACGGTACGTAAAACGTTTTTGGTGGATCTATTTTACATCTATTACATTCTATTTAGGCAAAACGTTTTTAGTGGATCTGTTGGAAGTATCTATTGAATGGGTTTACCGAATTTATTGAGAATTGTAAAAACGAAGTAGGCTACTGTAGTAATTTTGTTTTTGTTTCTGGTGTTAATAGTTCACGTGTGTGTAGTTAACCGTGTTTTCTACCGTGGACTTAATTAAAGAACATCATTATTCTCACCCTGTTAGCGCCGGTAAATCAACAGCAACATAAATTTTACTAAAATACCTTAAAGGACATCCAATGTACAATACTTATTCCTTCGTGAGAATGCAACATCATAGCTTTGACACATTTTATACATATTGCATCATATCAAATCTGAGGGAAAATATTGTTGTTTCACTTAGAAAAGCTACACACACCTAACGTTACATAAAGTAACATTAGGGTCATGAATGTAGAGACAAAAAATATACATGTCATGTAAGCGTCGGTAACTTTCCGTGTGTCATAGGGAAGTTTTTTATGTTTCTTTGGACTTCCCAGACGATTTTGAATTCCACAGAGTGAGTTATCCATGCGAAGTTAGAAAGTGTTTCCACCTTTACTGACGTTCGCATTCGTGTAATCAATTTAATTTACAGTACAAATGATGCCATCTTTCTTGAAGGATTGGACATGCAAATTTTCATTGTTTCAACTATGTTAGACAAAGAATCTTGCCCAGTTTTTGCAAAGGGTGTGTAACTCATCTCGAATCTCAATTAGTGTTTGAAATATGCGATAAAACACTGTAAAAAAATAGGTCCAATATCGTACAAAACATTGTTTTGCAAGTTCATTTTATTTGTAAAGTTGAGCCAGGTTAAAAAGCCAAAGGCATTCGAAGAATATAATACAAGAAAAAGGAAGTTTAATTTTGACCGTTGATCTAGTTCTTGCGGGGTACACAACTAGATGCGCTCGTTGGGTAGATATTGTAAATTTGCCGTCTTTGGGCATTACTGACAGCCAAAACATTAATTTAGAAATTAAGATAAGGCTCGTTTCAGCTTCCTCATGCTATGAATATGTAACAAATATTTTAGATACGTACTGTTACTACCAATTACAGTGTTGACATTTTGTTTTGTTTACGTTTCTCAAAAAAATACTACAGTAGACTAAATATTAAACATTTGCCATACCGGTAGCTATTATATAGTCAACGGAATAAAATATATTTACAAAAATAGGTACCGTATTTTACAGTTGCTAATTGAGACAAATTGTTTATATGAATTGTCTGTTGTTTCTATAAGTTAGTGGAGAGGCCTACTAAACCAGTTTTTCTACAGTACTTCAATATGGGCCTACTTTTTCTTTTGTCTTACTCCGCTGCGAAGTACGGGCAAAGCAGATGCATACGTGTGATTCGGTGGCTGGAAATTCAAACTCGGTAGGTGCCTCTGATTGGTCAGTGACCTTTGACCTGTCGCATGCTACAGCCAAGACTGACGAGACAATACAGACGGCCGTGATGACGGAAGGTCAACTGCACTGACACTTCGCCGCGCCAGGCAACCTTCTCTTGATTAGCATAATATGCATCCACATTTTATGGTACATTAACTTCTGCAGCTTAGAATATGGTGTTCGTAAATACTTATGGCATTTAAAGTAAACAAATCAAGTAAAATCTATGTTTAGTTATTAATTGTTATTTATTATTTGCAATATTGTTCCATTATTAAATAAATGATTTTCATATCGGAGGCTTGCCGATAAGAAAATAAGAATAAATCAAAATAAGAATAAGTCTGCAGGGTGTCCACATTCTGGAAAGTCAGTTATAGTCATGGAAAAAAATTCTGGTCATTGAAAGTCATGGAAATAGGCAAAAAGTAATGGAAAAGTCATGGAAATCCCCAATGATGGAGGGATTTGATTGGACTTGTCAATGCTCTAGTCTGCCTTAATCCCGACTATTGCCGACTATTGTAACATTTTTCAGGATTTTTCACAAATAATGTGATAATTCAATTTATTACAGTTGTATTAGCTTATGAGTTTTGAGTCTGTATTTTCATTGTCATACCTATTGTACTCCGTTGTTATCTGTTAGTACATATTTAAGCATTTTCTGCTAAATAATTTGTCCAGGCAGTATTATTTGTGTGTGCATGTTGCATTATAATTTTCGAGTAAAGTTTTATGAGTCGTGGAAATCAATGGTAAAATATGTTCATGGAAAGTCATGGAGATTAATGACAAATTTTCTGTGGACACTCTTGAGTCTGGAATTTTTAGACCTATTTAGCAAATTTGATATACAGTGTGTAAATTAAGTCTGGCACACATTTTTTTATCTTTTTTTCTATAGTAGATAGAAGAAATCAATTTGCGGGATTGATTAATAACAAATGTTAGGCACTTTTTCATAATTTTGAAAAAAAATTCCCCTTAAGGGTAAGGTGGGGGTGGGGGGTAATTAAAAATTTTCAAATTACAACCCCCATCTTGTGACCCCTTATTTTAAAGGTCATTGGAAGACAAATCCAAAGATGTGTCTGAAAAACATTTTTTTGCATCCTGGGGGTTGTCATTTGAAAATTTTTAGTTACCCCCACCTTACCCATAAGGGGAATCTTTTTCAAAATTATGAAAAAGTGCCAAACATTTGTTCTTACTCAGTCCCGCAAATTAATTCCTTCTATCTACAAAGAGTAAAAAAGATAAGAAATGTGTGCCATACCTAATTTACCCGTTCAACCCTAAGTACATTTTAAACCGCCATCTTGGATAGGGTGCAAAAAAAAATGTTTCAGACACATCTTTGGATTTGTCTTCCAATGACCTTTAAAATGAGGGGTCACAAGATGGGGGTTGTCATTTGAAAATTTTTAGTTACCTCCCACCCCCCCTTACCCTAAGGGAATTTTTATTTTCAAAATTTGTAAAATGTGAAGAACATTTGTTATTAATCAGTCCCGCAAATTGATTTCTTCTATCTACTATATAAAAAAAGATAATAAATGTGTGCCAGACTTAATTTACACACTGTATATAGGAAGTAAGCTATTACTGTTGGTCTCATGTTAAGACCTACTTTTTGTCCCCAGAGGCCAAAAGAAAATCCAATAACTGGAGTAAAACTCGTCCAATTTTGATTAAATTTGGTACAAATTATTATTTCCAAACAAGTTTTTTTAGAGTTTAAATTCAAATAATTTAGTAATAGAAGTTTTTTGTACAATTAATGGTTACAGAAAAAAGTAAAATTAATCTCCCATAATATTCTTATGGTGATTTAATCAACTGCTGTAATTTGCTTGTTTTCAGAAATATTTTGATCAAATATGGCAAATATTTATCTAACACTAAAGCTAACATTTCACTTTAAAAAACACTTTGCTATGTACGTGTTTAAGAAATATTTAAGTGAAAATCCAATCAGATAAATTGAAATTTGCTCAGTCTGCACGTTTGCTGCGGGGGTGGCTGTTAATTGATACACATTTTTTACGCTTTTGTTTTGACATTTTAAAATTCACTGTATTTACAATTTTCCGCAGAAAGAGTTCATGTCAAAATTTGGTTACTTGGACACCGGCGACTCAAATTCTGAGAGTCTGGTTCGAGTAGAAAATGCCATCAAAGACGTCCAAAGGTTCGGCAACATAGCCCAGACTGGTCAACTTGATAATGCCACTTTACAGGTAAGCTAAGCCAGAAAACAAACTAATAATATGAAGTTCTAGTCCATGATGATGGTCATAATTAATTATATAATTTATTATATGTTCTGTGTCTAACTATGAAAGGAGGAAAGAAGGAGCACTAAGACTGAATACATTTTATATTCAATGCTAAAGCATTAGTTTAAGCGGAGGAGAAATATCCCAATTCTGTGATACATGGGAAACTCATCTTACCCATTCTACGAGTAAGAACTATTTGAGTGACGCCAGTGTATTTAACACCCAATTTCTATACAAGTATGTTCCCTTTGCATTCAGGTGTTCCCTTCTCTACTTTTTACATCTTTAGAAGCCTTATTTATTTTATATTTTTTAAGGCTTACTAAGAATTATCTTTCAAAAACATACAAATTGTCTAAAGAAAACAAATATTTCTGCAAAATGTCCTAACACATTTTTAAGTAATATAAAATTCATACTAGCAAAAATAATGATTGTAGTAACCGGAGAATTATTTTCATATATATTTTTCATATATTTTTCGGACATATATTTTTCAGTTAATGAACTCTCCTCGTTGTGGTTTACCTGACATCACCCCGTCCAAGAGAAGTAAAAGATATGCTGTGTCGCCCTCTATGGGGTGGAAAAGACGGACCATAACATACTTGTAAGTTAAATATTTAGATGGTGTACTTCATCTTATGTTATCAATGAAATATTATTTTGATGAGTATTGTTCGTATGGTTGTTATTAACGTTAAACTGGTTAGGTTATCCATGAAATAGGATAAAAATCATTCTTCCCCAAGCCAAGAGGTTTATAGAAGAACTGGTTATACTGTGATTATTTAACATGGTGTGAAAAATGCTTGTCCAATTTAATTTACAGCCTTTGTGCAAAAAACTAGTGTTATTCTGACATCAGTCTAATACCAACAACATAATGTATACTGTACCTTAACCTACTGCTAATATTAATCTTAATCAATTTACATTAATTAACAATGAGAATGTTGGATGAAGATGGGGATGTTTTAAAACATTACATTGAAACAAGATTTGTTACAGCGTATCGAATTGGAGCCCCAAGATAGGACGAGATGCAGTACGTAGGGAGCTTCACACTGCGTTCACTGCCTGGGCCAAGTACGGACGACTCAAGTTCCAAGAGTCTAGCTCTCCCGATGCAGACATTGTCGTGTCGTTCGGCTCCGGCTGGCATGGCGACCCGTAAGTTTCTTTTCTGCTTTTTGTTACAAGGTAAAAAAAGCTAGAAACAACTTGAACTCGAAAATGGAACACAAAATATTTCCTTGTGAAATGACTGCGTTTTTGGATTGGCGAAATTAGTGGCTGATGTTACGTATAATTGAATTGTAGACTCAGTTGAATTATAGTCTGTCCTGAAGGAAGATTGCTGCAATGCATCCGTCGGAAGCTATTTTTGCCAATTCAACGACACGAAACGCGACACAGCCATCCACTAAACACTAAAGATCCAAAAGTCTACTTTTGACTGTGAAAGCATACGACCAAAATTATTTAAATGGAATGTCTACTTGACACTTGACTGTAATGCAACCTACTATTATGTGATATCATACAAAGATGTTGTGCAACCAACCACACACCCAAATAGAGATATTTTTATATTATCATGTTTTGAAAATTATAATTATAGCCTAAATATAGTGTAACGAATTACTGAACCGAATAAAATGACATTCAGATACCCATTTGATGGCCCAGGACTGACCCTTGCCCATGCCTACTTCCCGAATGACCATGGAACAATGGGAGGTGACATCCACTTTGACGATGACGAGACATGGAAAATACGACCTGGGGAGTTTGAAGATGGTAAGCTTCATAAGTCTGTATGTATGGAAAAAGATTCCAATGGTTATTTTTCTAATTTCTAAAGAGTCTTGGAATAACATTGTCAGAAAAACAATTACTGATATACTGTATCGTTCAATGTTAACTGCTTTTACTTATAACTTGCATAATTTGACTCCCTAAAAATTACTAAGGAATAGTCATAAAGTTTCTTGAATATGAACTGCAGCATGCAGTCAGCAATTTAGTATTATTCCTCTAAATTTACAAGGTGATTTTCCCAAAGTTATTACCTCAGACTGAGCATGGTTTTTATCATTCCCGTTTAATTAATTTAAGTTAAACAATTTACAGTTTAGACTTACTAATATATCAAATTATCCTTCTACACAAGTGCATTTGGTTAGTATGTCTTGAAGTTTTTTTTGTACAAGGGTTTCCATTTTTTTTTTTTTTTTTTTTTAGGGAATGGTCCTAAAACAAAATATTAAAAATATCCTTTTTACAAAACTATATCCTAGACTCAAAGTTATTGATGTCCACTTTTGGCTCATATGATTAGTGAGAAACCCATCAGAAAGAGTCTTCGAAAGGTAATTATTGTTTAAATGATATAGTCTCAACCTCTATTCCACATATAATCCACATATAAATTATTAATCATTCCCAATCTCAAATATTGATTCAGTAGAACCTCTATAACGAGACCGGCATGAACCATTCACCTTGATTAGTGTCATTTACAAATACCCTTAATTTTACACTCCTAATGACATTTTAATGAAACCTAAATAAGTTAACCTTGATAACAAGTCTTAATAATCCCCAATAGACTTTTTATTGAGGTTCTACCATAAATTAAATAGTGTGTTTTATCTCAGTTCTCTTATCATTAGTCTCGTATTTCTCCAGGAACGGATTTCTTCACAGTCGCAGTCCATGAGATCGGCCACAGTCTCGGCATCGCACATTCCGACCAACCGGAGTCAATCATGAACCCTTACTACAAACATTACGACAGCCGCAACTTCAATCTGGGCTACGACGACATTCTTGCCATGTACGAGTTATACAGTAGGTGATGTTTAACGTTTAGCACTGACAATTGAATGGGTTAAATATGTTTTACCACTAAATATATGTTACCAGGGAATAGTCTAATATTATAATTAGTTCAATGCATCAATTGATGTTCTTGCATAAAGAATAATCATAAAACACCTCTTAACAAACCTCTTAAGTTTGTCAAGATAAGCTGTTCAGTTTAACAACGATGATCTTGAATCTGATCCTATCTTCAGGTAATAAAGATTCTTATAATATGACATTAGTTGACAAACTGAGCAAGTGCTAGGAAAATCAGATAACACTAAAAAAGCACTTACGGTACCCAAAAAAAAAATGGAAAAAGGAAAAAATATTTATCAACGCGTATTTGAAAAATCACTTGGGGTTTGAACTACAGAAGCTATTTAAAAGAACAAAATGAAAAACTGATAAACCAATTTTTAAACTCAGGTTCTCTGTACAGACATGTAAATAGCTACAGTGGAATTTTGCACAAAACATAACTTTTATCAGAAACCATAAAAGAAACTGCAAGAAATAAATAAAAAGGAAACAAAACTAAAACTTTTTCAAATATTAAAATCATGTTTTCAGTTACTAAGCCTATCGATGGCGATAATGAATCATGGGATGAAAACGAGACCACTAGTAGGACAACAAACGAACCAAGAACGACTCCTTCCACAAGAAGACCATACTACACCTCAAGGCCACAAACAACCACCACTAGAAGACCAGAAATGAACGTAACGTTTGTAGGAGACTCAGAAACTGTGGACATGCACAAGTCACACGATCCGACACACAACATCCCGGACCCGGTAGCGCCCTTGATACCGGACCATGATGTACCGGAGAATCCCCGGGAACACACTCCAGATTCCGCAGGACCTCCTGATGCTTGTACAGGACTTTACAGCGCCGTGGCTAACATCCGAGGAGAGTTGTTTGTTTTCAAAGATAAGGTGAGATATTTATAATATCTACAATGTACGAGGACTTTCCGTAAATTATAAGGCCTCCAATAAGTTCCTGTCTGCTGACTAATCAAACCAAGTCAAATCTGATACCAGGGCCGATACTGTAATAACTTCATCCACTAATATTCTAGCCGTTTTCCACCCCTCTGCTGCAATAAGTCTCATAGTAGCTGAAATTGATGTGAGGGAAAATAAAAGCCCCCACGTGTGAAGCGTGTTCTGTCATTAAGTTTCTGTTAAGAGATTTGACCTTTTGGGATTTTTTAAATGATTTTTAGTCTAGCAAACTGTTGTGACTTTGAATTAGAGTTCATAATAAGCACGCATTTGAAGAAACTCTTTTATTGAAAGTAATATTTACAACTGCAAATTGAAAAGGTAAACATTGTTTTATATCTAATGACAACAGCTGATAATATACAGTATAAAGAATACTACAATCTCCCCCACTTATTTTCAACTCATTTTGTAACATAGTCTTTAAGGTAATCTGGAGCTTTATGAGTGCGGGTTGAACATCGTACTCGTGGTCGTGGTGATGTTGGTTGTAAGTTCTCTTCAGCTGGTAATTGGACTAATTCTGGAACTTGGATAGGAACTTGCTGTTGCGGAAGTATGGGTACTTGCATTGGGACTTGTGGAATTATGGGAACTTGATTAGGTACTTCTTCACATTCGTTGAAACGAACCTTCTTTACTTGAGTTTTCCGGAGTTGGTCTAGATGACGTTTCAGTGTTCTTCCAGAATCTAACATTACAATATAGTGAAGAGTCCCTAGTTTCTGTATAATCTCACCAAATGTCCATATATATTTATTATTTTGTGAATACTCCCTAATGAGAACTCTCTCCCCCACATTGAATGTTCGAACTCTTATTATCGAAGGAGGATTCTTTGCCGGATGGTAAGGTCGAAGAGCATCCAGCTTGATGCGGATCCTACGATGAAGATATCGTTCTGCAGGTGATTGTCCATTTGAGAGAGGAGTGGCGCGATATTGTTGAAGAATCTCTTGAACCTTTGTATGTATTTGACGATGGTCATCTTCCAATGCTTTTAATCTTTGCTTCAAAGTCTGGATAGTTCTTTCAGCAAGACCATTTGTAGCTGCATGTCCAGGTGCAATCAGTTTCTGGAATATTCCATTGGATGAACAGTATTTCTTGAATTCTGCGCTGGTGAAAATTGTGGCATTGTCTGATACCATCACTTGAGGATAGCCATTAGATGAGAAAATGTTGTCGAGAAGAATGATAGTATTAGAAGTTGTAGGAGCATTTCTCAATACTTTAACTTCTACCCACTTTGACTTGGCACACACACAAACAAGAAAGTAGTGGTTTTGAAAAGGCCCCGCGTAATCTATATGAATACGCTCCCAGTTTTCTTCTGGCTCTACCCATGGATGAAGGGGTGCTTTGGGAGGATTGAATTTTATGTGGGCGCAAATTTCACACGATTGGACCAATTTCTCTATGTCCTTGTCAATCCCTTGCCAATAAACGTATCTTCGGGCTAATTGCTTCATCTTTGTAATACCAATGTGAGTAGCATGTAGTTGCTGTAAGACTTGAGGTTGAAGACTGTTAGGAATGACAGCACGAGTTTCCTTGAAAAGTACTCCGTTGTCCAATGTGTATGGTAGGTCAGTAGAAGAAGACAAAAGTTTCCTTTTAATTTCTCTAAGATTTTGGTCAGCTTCAGTTTCCCGGGCTAGAATAGTTGCATTTAAATGTTCAGAAGATATTTCAAAAATTGTTTCTGAATGTAGCAAGGTAACTTCATTGTTTAGGAAAATGTCTAAGGTTTCAGAATGTTGAGTCACTGGAGCTCTGGATAAACAATCAACATTAGCATTTGCTTCCCCTTTCTTGAAACGTATTGAATAGTTAAACCCTGATAGAAAAGATGCATAACGGAGTAGACGGCTGGAAGTCATGGGTGGTAAGGATTTGCTTTCATGGAAAATTCTTGAAAGAGGGGCATTATCTGCAATTAAGGTGAAGTGAAGTCCATACAGATAATTGTAAAAATGACTGACTCCAAACACTATCGCAAGAGCTTCTCGATCGAGCTGACTGTAATTTCGCTCTGATGGAGTTAAGGATCTGGATGCGTAAGCAATCGGTTTCTCTTCATCGTCAATTATGTGACTCATTACAGCTGCAATTCCGGTAGGACTGGCATCACATGTTAGAACGATTGGACGATGGGGGTCATATGGTACTAGAACTCTTTTAGAAGTTATTTCCTCCTTGAGACAATCAAATGAAGTTTGACAATCTATTGACCAATGAAATCTTCTATTTTTCTGTAGAAGCTGTCGAAGAGGTGTTGTTTTTGTAGATAGGTCTGGGATGAACCGAGCGTAGTAGGTAACCATTCCAAGAAATTTCCGGACCTCATCAATATTCCTTGGTTGAGGCATATTACAAACAGCTCTAATCTTTTCTGGACTTTTTGAAATTTGATTGTACTTAATCACATGACCAAGATAGTCAATCTGTTCGCAAAAGAATTTGCATTTGTCTTTGTTTAGATGCAAGTCGTTTGCATGTAGACGGAATAGACACAACCGTAAATTATTGTAGCATTCATCTTTTGTTGTACCATGCACGATTATGTCGTCAAAATAAACTTCAGTCTTTGGTAACCCGTTTAGAATTTGGCTTAGAATGCGATTGAATTCAGCAGGCGCGGTCTTGATTCCGAAACTAAGTCTGTGCATCAAGTATGTACCACGGTGTGTAGTAATAGTTTGAATTTTGCTGCTTGGGGCATCAACTGGAATGTGCAAATAAGCCTTGTAAATATCAAGCTTGCAAAAATATTTAGAGTCTCGCAAACAGTGTAAAACATCTGGAATGTGTTTGATCGGGAAATTAGATGAAACAAGACGATCATTTACGCCTGTTTTGTAATCGACGCATAACCTCACTGTGCCATTTTCTTTAGGAATAACAACCAAAGGCGAACCCCAATCGCTAGCATCGACTTTAGATATTATGCCGGATGATTCAAGACTGTTGAGTTCTTCCTCAACCTGAGATCTAAGGGCAAACGGAACACTACATTCTTTGGTATACACAGGTTTAGCGTTTTCACGTAATTGAAGTGTAACTTTGTGGTTGGGCAAGCATCCAATTCTTTGGTCAAAAACTGTGGAAAATTCAGAAAATATGTCATCAATCGAATGGAAGGTTTCGGAGACATTGAAAAAGTTAGGTTGATTTGAACCATCATCTATTTCTTGTAGACTTATATGTAAGTGTCGAATCCACACTCTTCCTAGGACTGCTGGACAATTATCAGGAACTATATACATATCTTCAATTGATTTATGGTTTTTGTAAGTAACCTCAACTGTAACTTTGCCCAATGGTTTAAATACATTGTTTGTATAAGCACGGAAATACACATTAGTTGGGTCAAGTTTGACCTTGAGATTTAACTCATTGAAAGCCTTTTCTGGTATTAATGTAAATCCTGCTCCGGAATCTATCTCAAAACGCATTGGCTTGTTATCAATTGAAACTGTAGCAAAATACTTTTGTGAATCGGGTAAATTTGATCGTTCGTTCTGGTCAAATATGTCTATGATATTAGGTTTGGTAACTGGATGAACTTCAGTGATTTGATTTAAGCCTAGCGGAATGTCATCAGAGGTTGAAGAAATGTACTTTGTTGAATTGAACTTAGATTGATTGGTAGAAGACTTATTTTTCATTTGGGTTGAAATGCAAACTTTGGCTACATGGCCTTGTTTCGAACAGGAAGTGCAATGAAGTGATGACTTGCTAGTGCGACACTCAGTTGCGCGGTGATTATTTCTACCGCATCGAAAGCAAAGATCTCCAAAACCTAGGCGATTGAAATCTACTTTTGATTGAGAACGATAAGTATGACCAGAATTTGGATTCTTACGGTAGTTTGAACGACTTCTCTGATGTTTTGTACCTACATTTGAAAGTTTATTGATATCTACATCAGTTGGAATTGAATGCTGATGTTTGTTCAAAGCCTGGGTCTCTAATCGGGAAGCTTCCAAAGCAGTAGCTTTGGTTACAATGTCTTTGAATGAAGTAGTGTCTGATTGTAATAACTGTTCTCGAATCCAGTCATCTTTTAAGCCTCTTATGAATTGAGCTCTTAAAAATGTATCTGAGACTGAAACTTGTTTTGAACATTCACACTGGACTGTAAATTCACACTCAGACAGGTCTTTTTGTAGTGAAGCTATGTATTCAGGAATTGATTGATTTGTTCTTTGATAAGTGTTTAAAAAGTAATGTTGTGAAACTACAACGTTTCTGTGTGGTGAAAGCATGTCACGTAGTGATTTGACCAAAGTAGCAAAATCTAGGTCTTTGATAGGTTTTTCAGGTCCAATTAATGATGAAAGATTATTGTAATGAACAGAGCCAATTGAAGCGCAAAGAAGTTGTGCTTTTTTCCTTTCATCTGAGATGTTTTTGACAGCAAGATAATTTTCAAAGCGTTCCAAATAGTTTTTAAATTTTTCCTTTTTCTGATCGAAATTTTCAAATGGTTGAATACTTACTAACGTATTACTCTGCTGTACTGGAGGTTGAAGTTGAAGTTTTTCGGTAATCTTCGTTGCAAGTGTAGCTGCAAGTGTGACTTGGCTCTCAGTGAATGCTTTCAGTAGTGCTGTAAATTGTTCTGCATCCATAATGTACAAAATCGAAATTTAGAAAAGGTTTTAAATCCAAATAATGAGTAGAAATTTTGAAAACTTTTTCTCGTCGCCAATTGTTGTGACTTTGAATTAGAGTTCATAATAAGCACGCATTTGAAGAAACTCTTTTATTGAAAGTAATATTTACAACTGCAAATTGAAAAGGTAAACATTGTTTTATTTCTAATGACAACAGCTGATAATATACAGTATAAAGAATACTACACAAACCTAAAGAATTTTTTGAGCTAACGTAATAAACATTTAATAATGTATTATCAATGTATAATGTATGGTATAAGCCACATAGACAAGCCAATGGTGAATTAAGTGATAAAAAAATAGCAGTCCAGTCATAAACCGGAAACGTCTGGTTTGTTACTTCAAAATGATACCAATGATTTTGTGTTTTGTCATCAACCAATCTTTCGACCAGTAAACATGAGTAGTTTAAGGATAGCATTTTCCAAACTGTGATCATTTGTTGTTTTCCTCAGTTTGTTTGGAGATTGTCTGGTCCCGGAAGATTGATGCCGGGATATCCAGTCCCCGTCTACAGGATGTTCAACAAACTCCCCGAATCGGTTGATAAAATCGACGCTGTGTATGAACGCAGCTCTGATAACAACATAATCATTTTCTCAGGTGAGACAATTCAATTCAATTGAATTCGTTCAATTCAGGTGATTCTGTTTCATCTAAAGTAAAATTGTTTCCTCAAAAGAATATTTATTTGTTTTTTAAGAGGTTGGTAGCCTCTTTGCGTTGCATTTGCCTGTCCACATAAGTTTAGGTCTCGAGTCTTTGAGTGAAACATGTCCAGCAAAGCAAGGAGTAAGCTGGCGGAACAGTAAAAGAGTTGAACTTTACTGATAAAATGTAGGTACCTGCTAAGGTACCAGAATCCGAACCCTTGATAACACTACCATGGTTATGAAGTCTATCGAGCTAACTGAGCCACCAACTAATCAATTTATTAACTAATTAACCAAACTATCACAAATGATACCTGAGATCAGAATCAAAGTTTTAAATAAATATACAACTACACATATAGTAGAATTTTCACTCAATTGAGAACTTAAGTTTTTAATAATATACAATACCTACATAATACTAAGTTCAGAGCCGAATTTTATTAATTTACCCAACCTGCCATGTTAAACTTACCTATCCCAAGCGTGATGTAAACATCTTCTTTACTTCACTCAATGAAGTAAAGTTTCAAAAACTCACTCGGTGAAGTAATGAAACCCATTCAAATAAAATTGAGTGCTCCAAATTAATAAAATATACCTCTATGGAACCGACGTTCAACACTATAAGCCAGCTGTACGCTTGAATGTTATTGTTATGCTTTAAAGTAATTTCCTAACCTAGCTTATGATTGTAAACGAACGTTACTATTAGAAGATGAGTGAAATGGATAATGAAAAATATTGTACGTAACCTCCTGTATATTGTCGAGTCAGGTAAAATCTTGTACGTTAAACGTACAACCAATAATATACAATACATACTCGCTTCCGCTCGTTGCACAAAATCCACCTGCGTAATTTTAAAATGCTTTCACTACACTTGTAACGTAAATAGCTATTACATACTTGTATCCTCAATCATATGGTCAAATATGAGTTCAATTCCTAGAACAGGTAACAAATTATTTGGATTGATAAACTGTAACACACACCACGACTTATTTCTATACAGCAGTTGAAGTAGGATTTTTAGCCTGCTGAAATCTTAAAATCACACAATTTGTGTGATATGAATTTCACTTACGTGAGTCAAGAATTTCACTTTTCAGTATTAAGCTTTAATTGTAACTAAATTCAAATAACAAATAAGTTAATGGAGTAGATTACTTACTACAAGTTTTATAACTGATAAAATTTGAGTTATTTTTCAAACGCCCATTATTTTACCTTCGACTATTGAAACAAGTTCAGAATCGGACAGTCAATAATTTTACTAATGTTTGTAAATTTTTAGGGAAAAAATATTGGGTCCATGACGGCAATCGGGTAATTGAAGGCCCCAATACATTGTTGGACTACGGTTTGCCGAGTTATGTGAAGAAAATTGATGCTGTTATGGTTTGGGCAAAGAATAAGAAAACTTATTTGTTCAGGTATTTTAGAAAAATAAGTACAGTTAAATGTTAAATGTGTTAAATGTGTAGTTAAATGTGTGTATAAATGTTTGGTAGGTACCTAATGAAGTGGTTATACTTATAATTTGTAGTCTTTTAATTCACGAAGGCACATTGATGACATGTCAGAATTGACATTAATGATGTTCTCACAAATAAGAAAAGGAACCTTCTTTTCCAGAAAATAACTTTACAAAGTATATCTACATACAAATACCTTAAGAAAGATTAGTACCAAAATAAAACAAACAGAATTTGCAATGTTTTGACTGAATGTCATTTTCAGGTGACATAAAATAATCAAACTAATGTATTTTGTCTACGGAGCATTTCAAACATGATTTGGGCTTATGAATCAGCTCTTCTTAGTTACATAAGGATATCATCTGAATCATATACAACACTTTCTTGTGTGTCAGCATCATATAAATTTAATTTATGGTTCATTCAAAGAAGATGTTGCTTATAAAATTATCGAGGAACATAAAACATCAATGCAGAACTCGATGCTCTCTTTCTAAAGCTGTCCCAAAGATTAATATATGCGAAACTGTGACTTTCTAATAAGATAACTTATCTTTTCAGCGGACATGAGTTCTGGAGATTCAACGAGACAACCCATACCATGGACCCAAAGTATCCCAAAACCATTGATCTTTTCAGAGGGGTTCCTTCACCTTTAGATTCGGCCCTCACTTGGACAGATGGTGAGAAAATAAAAATTTGCTATTGTCAATGAGTTTAGAATACAGAGTGGTAATAAAGAATAGGACAATATTTAATTTTTCTATTTAATCAAAGAAACTTATTTGTTTTTGTTTTACATGATTATACAGAGTCTTTTGTTTATTATGTATACGGAGAATTCTAAACAGTTGTTAAACAAGTTCAAAAATGCTCAATATGCTCAATTTCTGGCACATGAGTGGTATCAATCACATTACCCACCTCTAAAAATAATCACTTTAAATGAAATATTACAGACAGTTAATTGTTTATTTCATTGATTGTGTTGTGAAAGCATGTTGTGAAGCAACCTTTAACACTTCCGGGAAAGTCAACATTAACTTGTACATTTATGGGACACTGAGAATGCACAGGAAACAGTTGAGCAACACTTGATTTACTAAAGATGAGCGTTTTCTGTACTATTTCAGTTAATAAAATGTTTTGTCTTTCTTAAGGTTTGCTTACCGGTATACATAGTAGAGATGTTGAAGAATTAGCTGTTTCGTAAAAAAACTTAATTTACTTTATAAGCATGTTTAACGTCTTTGGTCAAAACATATTTACTGTAAATTGCCATATATATTTGCTTTATTATAGTTTCAGCTCTTTATCAAATATTCAGTACATCATAAAGTCTGTTTTTTGTCTTAGAAACCCTGGCTCAAGAACACATTGGTTCTTGAAACAGATCTCTTTAATTCCCTATTATGCTTGATTCTCCATTTTCTTTTTTCAGTTCAAAGTTTCACACTCATTTTTAAATTTTACTAGCTTATGCCATAGACTAACCAACACAAGAAGCCTTCTCATCCCATTGAAAATTTTGAAGCTCGTTTAGTTCATGTACGTGACACCGGGGGCTAGTGTCGATGAAATTTTGTTTATTGTTTAGTTTAGAGTTAATTTCTTGATTTGTGCTTTACTGTTTGGTTATATAACTAGTAAATGAGTTATTGTTTATGATTAGATCGTATTATTTGGCTAAACAAGGTTTTAAATGAACAAATTGTAAACAAACCACAATCTCTGCAGTACACCGTACAGTAAAAATAAAATTGCCTTCAGCTGTTCCGTAAGGATGAGAAGTCTACTAAGGGTTTATGTTTTATCTATGCTTATGCTCAGCACCTTTGTAGTCTATGCTATTGAATCCTTACAAAATATTTGTTCAAATTGTTTTTAATATCATAGTAGTAAAGTATGATAATTTAGTCATTGACAGGTCTTTGGTTTCTTTCAGGAATCACTTATTTCTTCAAAGACAACATGTATTGGGCATTCAACAATACGTGGCTGCGAACAGAAGCTTACTATCCACAGCAGGCGTCCCAATACTGGCTGGGTTGCCGATAGAGCTGTTATTGTGATTACATTGTATATATTAGCACTAAACAATTAAATATTTTATACAAGAAATGCATATTGGGTAACCTCGTTGCATAAATTGAAATTATGGAAAACTAAAAAAAAAATTGGACTTGAGGACTCAAAAAACCTAGGTTTTCTTATTAATAGTTTTCTCCTCGGTCCCAAAGACTACTTAAGTGTGGTATTTTTTTAATGTTTCATAACTTTCCACCCCTTTCTGTCCAATTTAAACTTCTTCCCAGAACAAAAAAATCTGTTCTTTTCTTTATTATTATTTAATGGCCAGTCGATTAATGGTTTTTGGCGTCAACTGTGTTTAGGTGTGCACTAAAACTACTCAGAAAACCAACTTTGGAAACTTTTTACTGCAAAAAGGAAAATAGAACAAAATAAAATCAACAGATCATCATTGAATTTGCTTGAAGATCTGTTTGTTCCTTAACTGCATAAAATTTTGGAATAACAAAGGTTCAATAACAAATCATAATTATTTTAAGTACTTTTATTACACAAAATGCTTATAAACTAAACATTGTAAACATTACGACACAAACAAAAATAAGTAACAATTACTTAACTATTTATATATATACAAAAGTCAGATTGTTAATACAAAAAATAAACTTACCTACTTCAAAAAGTCTTTTGATAAGTTGTAAACTCAGTCCCTGACAAAATAAACTTGGGAAACTTAACAAATCTATGTGGTATAAAAAAGATGTAATAAGATATTTACAAAAATGGTATATTTTCTTTAAAAATCATTCCAAAAAGCATTTGTAAATGATTTTTCCAAATAGGTATAAGGATCTGTTTTACAAACTATGTACGTCATTGCACATAAAATCTCATAAACTTGAAACTTTTTGTCTTAAAAGAATAATACAGTTGTAGATTTTCAAAGCTGGTCCGAGCTTCAAGCCAAGTACTTTGGTTAGGTCTGCTTGTGTCATCATCAAAAATGCCTCTCCATCGACTTCCTGCAAAAATATCACCCTTTAAATAAGTGTAATTTTTCCATTTTAACAAAAGAATGATCGGGAAAAATTTACAATGTGTGTGCAAATAAGTACTTTCATGATGGGTTAGCCTCTGGATCAAAATATTGCAAGATTCAAAAGGTTTAGATTACCTGTTGTGTCAATTGATCTTTGTGTTATAAATGAAATAACTACAGCTGTTTCGTGCCACTAAGAGCATAATCTTCAGGTTGGAACGTTAAAAAACAGTTTTCTCATCCGTGAATGAGGTCGCCCGCATTTGTACTTAATACTTTGATGACAAATGACACGAAACATGTTCAAAACATTTATGTATTTACAATAAAAAAAACTTGGACAAGTCTAAACACCAGGTGTGTAACTGGTTGATTATTAGTTACTCATTCAGTTATTTTAAACACAAGAATCAATTGATTCAACAGGTAACGCAAATCTTGAAATAAAGTACTGATTGTTGACGACTTTAATTCAATTGGCGAGGAAACCTTAACCTCCTTGTGGCTTAAGCGGAAGGAGGTTGATAGAAGAGCCTTTTATTAATGTTCAATAAGTACCTAAGTAAAAAAAGGAGGAAACAAGTTTTTGTCAAAATTAAAAAATTTCAAATCAGCTTAATATAAATATATCTTGCTTAATATAATAAGCTTAATATTTTGCCACGATCGTGGAGGATGACAAAAAATGTTTCCGTGATTGAAGGGGACAAACAAGATTTTTATTGCGATTGCGGGTGCAAATAGTCACGATATTACTGCGATAACATTGTCACCGATAGGCACCGTAGGAATAAGCGAGGAGTCTGATTAGCCAAGGTCGGATTAGTGGGGTTCTATTGTAAAAACTTGTTTTCTTTCATTCTTTACCAACTCTCTGCCTCAATAAGGTAACCCTAAATGCAGAAATAGCTAGGCTCACAATAAAGATTGGACGATCAACGGGACTATTTTGCCATCAGATTGTTTACAAAATGTCTAGCACTACCCAATAGTCTTCCAACACATTATTTAATTAATTTAATTTTTTTATCTATTATTATCAATTAAGATGGGGACGCAACCTAGGTGAGTATTTTTACCCCAATATGAGTGAAAGATGAGTGTAGAATAGAGTGGGATGATCTGTTTAGCTTTGTTACCGACAAAGATCAGCTGTTTTAATAGCCAGGATTATTAATTTCAGTCAATTGATCCGTACCAGCTGGATTCAGTTTCAAACAATCAAAAAGCTATTGACTTTTCTCAGGATTCGGCAACCTTTTGATTATTAGGCGAGCACTATAACTACTTAGCTACCCAGCAATACTTTCAAGCCGGATCATTACAAAAACTTCACTCTTATCGACTGACCTGGTCGAGAAACAGTTTGGCTCGGCTGGGGATGACGGAGTTGACAAAAGCTGCAACTTGTTTGTGGTTCCAAGCTCTCGGGTCTCCCCCAGTTGCACTCACCTGCAAAAACAAGTTGTTATTGATCAACTTTTCAACTAAAACATCACAATACCATTGACAAATCCTCACCTGAAAAATAATTTTAACCTTTTTGAAAATAGACAAGTTGTTATATATAGCATTTCATTGTACAGATTTAAAAAATACTTTATAAAATAAACCTACTAATTAGGCCTTAACTAAGTAGTTAGGCTTACATGCAAATGCACTAGAGTCTCACTAATCCGTACCACCTTTTAGAAAAGATTACTGCAATTCAATTAAAAAACAAAGCCATGTGTTCTGAATAATAATAACCATGGTGACCAGCCGATCGGTAATCTGGAAATCGTATGTGTATTTGGATAGCCAGGAAAAAGTGCATAAATTTGGCATGGAACCAGAAAAATTGGCATAATCGCCAACAACCTATGGCTGAGTGTACATTGACTAATAGTGTTCTCTTGGAAAGATTTATTTTTTCAGTTAAAGTATAGGCTAATAAGAAGAACGTCAATAGTGGAAGATGATGACGGATGTTGCCACAATTACAGTTGGTAACGACAAATATTCCTGCGATTGTGGAAGACAATTTGCTGAATGTTGCCGTAAGCAAAAGGAAATGATCACACTGTTGCGATTATTGAATCGTGTTGTTTTTTTGTGATCTCAGGAGGAATAAGTGACCATTTAAATTCATAAAAAACATTGTTTGTATTTTTTTCTGTAATTTTACTGCATTTCTGGCTCATCAGCACAATTTTGTAATCCAATCAAGGTACCAATCAGTTTAAATTAGCACTCTGGTGGAAAAGTAAACGTTTTTAAGTTATAAACATTTGTAAGTGTAATCAAATTGGACTTGTATTTTGGTGTTTGGGAGGTTTAAATGCGTACCCTTTGACCCAGCGTGGCGACGTGTTTGACCCACATTTCTTGTTCGTCAGGGGAGGGTTTGTAGCCAGGGTCCAATACTGTCTGTACCAGCTCTCGCCTTAGACGGTCTAACTGTTCCGATACACTCTCGGGCTCTGGCTGCTTCCTGTAACCAGACACTCGTCAATCAATTGTTATACAAGTTATGTATCCCGGCTATCCCTCACAGTATATAATTGAAACTCCAGAGCTACAACCAAAGTTAACCAAATTGCAGGATGCAAAAGTCAAATATTGTAAATGATAAACTAATGGTTTTAAAGAGGTCAAAGTTAAATTAAACCATAAATTTAATAGTGTAATAAAAATATCCCTATCAAATACAATTTATCTGTATCTAGGGATTTTAATTAAACATTTGGAATATTTCACTGTTCATTTAGGATAATAAAAGGCAAAAGCCATGAAGAGGTTTTGAAATGGAATTGTTCAATTATTTATTAAACTTGAAAATATCATATAATATTTGTTCACACATCATGTCTAAAGTACTGATTTTTACAACTTTTGTAAAATTGAGATAGATTTTTCTGAAGTAATGTGTAAAAACTATTTATAAAATAATGTATTACATGGCCCTTACATCCAGGAATTCATAATGCATCGTTTAAATTATATTCATCATTTGAGAATAGTACTCAGCTGGTTAAGAAATTTAGTAGAATCATATTGGCAAACAGTTCTCAAACGGATACAGTACCTTTTCCGACCTCGTCGTTCAACTCTCTCTTCTGTTTTTCCTTCAACTTCCATTTTATCTGCAGGTTCTTCTTTTAACTCATCTTTCAACGATGACGAAGACGACGAAAGCCTTGTTTTCACTCTTGTCTCTGAACTAGAATCTTCTGTTTCTTGTTTAATGCTGCAAACAAGACAATTGTTCAAGTTGAACTGCTATTGCTCAATTGTAATTTATGTTTGATAAATTAAGTGTAATTTTAGGGAACACTGGCAATAATGTGTTCATCAGAAAAATTAAATTTGATTTATCTTCCCAAGTAAAATTTATATTTTGACCGTTAACCTTTGGTTTAATTCATTATGTATAAGATCAGATATCAAATCGCACTTATATCTAAGCTAACTAACACTGACAACAATTGAAAATCTAGTAATTCAGTTTAATTTTTACTACAAAGAGAAATAAAAACTAGGCCCTCAGCCTTGACAAAAGAACACAACTCCCAAAAGCAAGAGCCCCATTTATTTCAAGAGTTATTTTTCTCTTGAATTCAAAACCCCATGAATTTTCTAATGCACAGCGTTAATTGATATAGGAACTGCCTTTATAACAAGTCTTAAAATACCCTACAGTGATTGATATAAGAAATGCATTAACACAAACCTCCTGGACATGTTCAGTAATTTGTGGTCAAAACGATTGAGGTCGAGTGTATAAACAGGGTGTCCACAGAAAATTTGTCATTAATTTCCATGACCATTTACCATTGATTTTCATGACTCACAAACTTAACTCGAAAATTATAACATATCATACACACCAGAATAATACTGCCTATCCAAGTTATTTTTTAAAAATCAGAAATATTTAATAACAGATGATAATGGAGTACAATAGGTACAACAATGAACTAATACACACTCAAAATTCCTAAACTAATGCAACTGTAATAAATCAAATTGTCATACATTAGTGAAAAATCCTGAAAAATGCTACAATAGTCGGGGTTAGGGCCGACTAGAGCATTGAAAAGTCCCCTTAAATCCATCCATCATTGGGAATTTCCATGACTTTCAATGACCAGCATTTTTTCCATGACTATCCCTGACTTTCCAGAATGTGGACACCCTGATAAAAAACCGTGATAAAACTTGGATATATGACCTAATACCTATTAGCCCTTTGGACTTGATCAAAGCAGTATTTCCGCTAATAGTGCTGTAAAAGTAGCGAACTAGCTAGCTATTGAAAAGTCATTGTGAGCGAAAAATTTAGCGAAATTACCTGTTGGCTTTATTCTTATTGATTATTGGTTCAGGAACCTCGTAGAAGTCAGGATTGACACAGAATCTGTCAGGTACATTTTCTCTGTTGAGGTTCTGCGAAGAGTAAGGACACAGTGCCGCAGTGGCGTGCCTGGTGAGGAAACCTCCCTTAATGCTGCCGTCTCCTGTACACCCCTTGGTGCCGCACTCGCTCTTAACAGCTGAGGCTGGAACAAACAAGTTCTATCAGGATCGACAGTGTTTTCTTCATCTAGCCTCTGGATTACAGTTAGGCCCAGAGAAGTACGGTACAGAGGAAAGTTGCTTATAGGACGTCTATGCGCTTTCAGCGGAAATAATACTTGTAACGAAAAAAGAAGACCCCGAGCAGAAATTCTTATCGCACAGGGTCTTCCCCCACTGTGACAGTTTTTATTGTACTCAAACTCTGTCCAAAACTTAATAGATAACATAGTGATTTCACTCAGAACCGGCAATTTTCTGTAGGGGTTTACCCAGGAAATATATATTTAATGCATGAATAATAATTTGAATAAATTAATTTGATCAATAGAAACAACAAGGGCAACTATTAAATGTTAACAAAGTAATCATCTATGGAGGCGATGATGTTTATTTTTCGGTTAAATTAGAATGATGACCAAATAATTATACACTTATCACCAATACAATTTCTTAGCTAACTTTACCACTTACCAAGAGGAGGAGGTTTTAACGGGTGCCCGGTCTTGTTGGCCCACCCGACCGGGTGAATGTCAGGACAGTCATCGTCTACCCAATACCCAAACTCTTCCGGGTAACCGTCAAAGGTGATCTTGATCTGGTATTCCATCACCTCCACTATTGTAGCGGGCCTCAGGACTGTAGGAGATCGCTTGTCAATAGCCTAATGAACAGATTTAGTCCCATTAACAACGGTTGTATCTAAAATCCAAATAATAACATATGTATGGATTTTCTCTTGTTTGAGGAAGAGATAATCTGCGACACTAAAAAAATTGAAGTAAAACTATGTAAGTTAAATACATAGTACCTAGCACTAGAAAAAACTAATACAACTAAGTAAATCTACAACACCCAAAGTCCCAATTTCTGTTTACCAAGGAGAAATATTTGCATGTTTAAGTGTTAAAAAATTAGACTTGAAAATGATAAAACAAAGTAATTATTTACCTCCAGTTTCATCCCTATTTTAAAAGCGTTTGGTGGTCTCGGCTTGAAAGCTCTAGCTGGTGCGGCCACAGACTTGGTCTCTTTCAGATACTGGTCCCATGAAAACGTAGCGGGGTTTTTGTAGGCTGAAACAAAAAATTCTTGATAATTTTTTTTAATAAATATTTTTACAACTGAATGTTATCTTTTCTTATACGGTAAAGTCAGAATTATCGGGTCATCATGTGGTATGCCCAACAATATTATAGTACGTTACTAGTACGGTAAATAGGTGTTTACCGTATGAGTATGGTTCCCGAGCAAGGCAAAGTCGAGTTATAATTACCATACGAATTCGGTAAACACATTTTGGACGAGTGATCTACGATATTTTTTGCATACTACTCTAAGCTAACCAAACAGTAAAAAAATTTAAAAGTCCGTTATATATTCCCACCGACTAAAGGACTTAATCGCTCACTACTCAAAACTTCTCATGAGAGGTTACAGTTTCTTTTATTGATTGGTTGACTTATTGCCAATTATAATCAGCTGGTGTCTTGTTGTACAGTACAGCAGAACATAATGAAACCACATTTGATTATGCAGGTGGCAAACAGCTGTTTTCCAGACTAATTTCATGCGTGAAAAGTCATTAAATTAGTGTAGTGTGGCGAAACCCAATTTTGTCTAAATAAATGAAGGTACACTAAAAGGTCTCAAACCACCAAAATAGGTAAAAGTAATTGGTGAGTAGCAGGATTCGACCTTGAGCCTCAAAGACACAAGAGCTAAGCTCTAACCACAAAACCAGCAATGCTCGTGTAAATTATACAACACATATAACAAGAACTAACTGTGAACAAGATTTTAATTCATAAATGTCCAAAAAGTAGACTCACTATTGGGAGGAGTAAGGTCATGGCCGTTTTCTTCACACCAACCGACCGGGTGGATGTAGGGGGAACTAGGGTCCGTCCAGTAGTCGTAAACATCGCCCCAGCTGTCGAAGTGGATCAGCAATCGGTTGTCAATCAGGCTGGCCACACTAGCGACACAAATGAGGGAGGAGTTCTTGCGGTCAACTGCCTCTAGCTTCATCCCCACTCGGAACTGGCTCGGACAGAGTGCCTGTAAGATGGAAGCAAGTTATTATTTTGTAATAAAATATAACTACAACTGCTCGTTATAGGGAATACATTTACTATACCCAATTTATTGAATAAATATGGCAAGTGATAGTACCCCTTTAAAATTAGTAGTATACTTAATTTAAGGGAGACAATACAACAATTTCCAGAGGTGTTCACTTTTTTAAAGCATTGCTTCCGACAAGGAACAGACCAAGTTCACAACGGCTATCACTGAATCCACTTTGGCCCTGATGAAATCCACATTGACCCCAACTAAAGCCACACTGGTGTCTTTACAATCCACAAAGATTCCGACTTCAACATCAGCTACTTGGCTACCCTAAAGATAACAATTTTTTACTGTGTGAAGAAGTTTACTCAATAACCTCTTTTCTCTCTGATCTGAACAAGTCAATGCACACAGAAGTAAGTTAAAGAGGAAACTTGCTTTTGGAACGACTGCACACTTTCAGCTCTAGTATGTGGTGCCGGAAATATATCTGTGAGCAAGGAAGAGCCCGAGCAGAAATTTATTTTGCTGCGTCTTCCTCCACCGTGAGCATTGTAGTACATGAGGGCGAGAGCGGTGTTGGACTTTGCCCTAGACACCAGAAACTAGTGCTAGACACCACTGTGTACCATTGAATGTTTCCTCTGTACCTTACTTCTCTGTGGTCAATGTTTTGTAGCCTCACCGCATTTGACCGAGGAAAGAGTGACTTGGGCGCTGGCTGGGCCCGGCACTGCTTGAGGTAGTTGTTCCAACTGAAGTTGTCCGAGGTGTAGCCTCTGGGAGGGTGCAGCATGTGTTGGTTACGTTCGCACCAACCCGGGGGGAAAATGTCCGGAGAGTATGAGTTGGTCCAGAAGTCGTGGCAATCCGGGTATCCATCAAAGTGCAGCCGTATCCTGTGTCCTGATTAAAAAAGTAATTGAAATCAGGAATACCCTTCACAAAGTAATCAAATATACAATTTAGGGTTTTCACTCTAACCACTACAGCAATACTAAACGTAATTTTCTACAATACAAAAAGTTGAAAAAGAAAGAAAACTGAGGTAAAAATTGTTTGGATTAGTGAAACGGGGAATAGAGAATGACATACTATGAGCATGCTACTAACTTGCTTGATTTAATAATAAAGGTAAAAATGTATGACAGTAGAATATTACAGTAATACTAATACTACAGTTTTCCATTCTAGTAAACCAGTTATCCCCAATAATATTTATTTTACTAAAAATTTCTTCCATCCTTTATGGAAAAAAAAAAAAAAACAATGCAAGAGACTCATAGTGAATTCTCGGTCTTCCGGTGATAGTCACTAATTTTCCTACAAAAAGGTACAGGAAAGAATTGTGAGGTTCAGCCACTTTTACTGCCATCAACTTATATGTAACTTTTTTGGTACATCACCTACTTAATTTTTAAACAGAAGTACAGTAGAGTTAAAAACTGAGACACAAACCTACGACTTGGGCGACGGTCAACACAGAAATGATTGCTTGGTGTTCAGGATCGATGCCTTCCAGTTTCATGCCTTGCTTGAAACCGTTCCGGCCGAAGGGTAACTGGTCTCTGAAGAGCTTGGCAGAAGCGGCTTTGCTCTTGTTACAGCACTTTTGAAGGTAAACAGACCATATGAACTCGCCCGTAGCACTTGTCCACCCTCCGTCCAAGTTCTGCTGTAATACGGTAATGTTTGAGAATGAGGTTATGTAAAGAAAGGTCTATTGGCCACTGAAAATAGCCTTAAAATTTTACAGTTATAATTGATTGGTTGATTGACAAAAATGTCATGTAGTTTGGGATGACCATTAATGGTTAGTGTAGAATTAACACGATAGCCGTGTTCCTGACTAAGATTAGCTGATTATAAGGAGAAAATAATCAAGTTTTAGCCTAATTGAAGACAGTAACGTTTATTTTAAAACTGTCAACTTTGGTATACACAAAAATTTACTGCAATCTAACTAACTTTTTCTGCTTAAAGGATTCGGTTCAAATTTTTAAATTTTAGTCTGTGCTATGCCATAAAAGGTATATTCGTAAATAATTTATCTTCAATTCACATTGATCTAGAATCGCTTCTTTTGCTTACAAAGTTTTTCTCTTATAAAATTATCCTTGTTGGCAACGTTAAATTCTGTTAATTGGAAATTTATTTTGTACTTGTGTCCCAAGATTATTAATTGAAGTTATGTATAACAACCTTGAAGCACAAAAGCAACCTTATTTTTGGTTAATAATAGTTATAACTAAGCAAAGGTACGATAATTAACCTTTTTGTTTCTTTGCAGCCACTTACTGTTTTGTCCGAGCCGTCGTCTTCACTCTGGGTAGGAGATTGAGAGACGATTTCACTCTCTTCCGTCTCACTGGCCACTGAAGGGTCGGTCCTCGTATCTTCTTTGCTGACGTTGGATTTTTTCCTTTTGCGAACCTCGGTCACCTCCGAACCCCACTTGGAGTTTTCATCATCACCCTCGTTCTGATTAACAATGAGTTACGTCAGTGTGTTGCATTGATGGAGACAAATTTGGATTTTTATTGAGAGAATTTCCTACATAGGGAACAAGCTATTACCGCAAGTCTCATGGTGGGACCTTGACACGATGTTTCTAGAGACCAAAAACACCATCTATTCCAATTTATATGTATGCGTGTCTTTTACAATATTTTACAACATGAGTAAAAGTCATCCTATTTTGATGAAATTTGGTACAAATCTCTAAGCCTAGATTTATTGGAACGGGTTTGCATGATGGGCCATGAGAATGGGGTTTTATAAGGAATTTTATAGAATAAAAAATTAGGTTATTTCTAATTTTTGACCATCCAAACATAATAGTTCACGGTTTATTTACATACAATATTGTAGGGCTTCAAAAGAACAAATAATTTGGTATTTGGAAGGAAGCATTGTTATACTCTTAATAGTCATGGAAAAAAATAAAAAAATGTAAAGTGAAAATCCCTAGATTATCTTTATGGAGGATAAGTAAACTGTTGTATTTTGCTTCATAGATATATTTTTAACAAATCTGGCAAATTTCTTTATTTCATAATTCATCAATATTCATAAAAAAAACACACATTATTTTACCGTGCAGCAGCAAAGTACTCATTAAATTTTTTGTTATTCAAATATGGAATAGATCTGACGAATTTAATGATATATTTGAGTGAAAATCCAATCAGGCATGGAAATTTGCTCAGTCTGCAGGTTTTCTGCGTCAGAGTTATTTTCTAATATTATAAGTGGAAGATAAAATGTAAATGGCTATTTAGTAAAATGATCCAAGATTAAATCTCTTGAAATGAATTTATTTAATATATATATACATTTTTGATAAACCTTGGAACAAAGAGATGAAAGGGAACTTACTTTATCCTCGCTATCTTTGGCTTTCTTATCGATGCTGCCTCGTCTTGCTCGTTGGGCTAGTATTTTTATTTTTCTCCTTTTCCGCCGCAACTGTAGCTCCTTCAGCTGTAAACCAGACTACAGATTATTCCTTTATGTGATTTATAATTTTATGGCATTTACAGATATATTTTGCATAGATAAAAACTATAAAAACCCCTGTATTTCATGATGGGTTAGCCTCTGGATCGTAAATTGCAATATAAAAATGGTTTATTTTACCTTTTTGCGTCGAACGATCCGTGTGTAGTTAGTACAACTACAGCTGTTTCATACCACTAGGGTACATCATCAGGTTGGCCTAAACCCCAGGCTCCCATCCTTAGAGGACTACCGAAGATCCACAAACCTGACACGCCCATCAGACCACTAGTAAATTTCAGACCCTCACCAGCCTATAAAATTGCTCAAAAACTTGACAAAATAATTAGGAAAGAGACCGCCTTAGATAACGACCATAGTGTTAAGAACACAGTTGATGTAGTAAACCAACTCTGTAAAATTAAACTAAAGGGTTCTTATACTTTAGCCTCATTTGACGTAGTGAATTTATTCACAAACGTACCCATTGATGAAACCATCGACATACTTGAATCTAATCTAGATAAAAACTCCTCCTTATCAACCGAGGCTAAAAATGAGTTAGTTAATCTCACTAAAATAGTCCTCAAACAAAACTATTTCACGTTTGAAAATAAATACTACACACAAAACGAAGGTTTAGCTATGGGCTCTCCACTTTCAAGCGTCCTTTCAGAACTGTTTCTAAACAATATAGAAAATAAATTTCTATGGTCAGATTCCAACAAACAAAAAGATAAAATAGTTCACTACAGCCGATATGTGGATGACACATTAATCTTATTCAATGGTAATGAAAGGCAGATAAAGATACTTGGAAATTATTTGAACAATGTCCACCATAAACTAAAATTCACCCTCGAAACCGAAGCTAACAAATCAATTAATTTCTTAGACGTAACAATAACAAGAACTGATCACATCATGGAATTCAAAATCTACAGAAAACCAACAACAACTGACCAGACCATCCATTCGTCATCACACCATCCTTTCAACCACAAGACAGCTGCTTACAATAGTTTCGTTCACAGACTATTATCCATACCCCTTACCACAGAAAACTACAACAATGAAATAAACATTTTGAAGCACATTGCCGTTGCCAATGGATATGAAAGCTCTCTCATTGATAAACTTATCAGAAAACAGAAAAATAAAACAAAAGAGATTCTAGAACCCAGAAACAAAAAGTATGTATGTGCTGAATTTGGAGTAGTACTCAATAACACCTTGAGAAAAGAAATGGCAAAGAACGATGTACACGTTGCATACAAAACATCTAACAAATTATCTACTATGCTTAAAGAAAAAAATAAAACACATTCTGATAAAGTAAACAGCACAGGTATTTACAAAATGACATGTAACGATTGCCCGAGCTTTTACATCGGCCAAACTGCTCGCTCTTTCGCTACTAGGTTTAAAGAACACCTACCCAAAAAGAACTCGAAATCAGCATTCGCCAACCACATAATTAACGCAAACCACAACTACACGGACATACATAGTAATCTAGAAATTATGCATTTATGTACTAAAGGCAGATACATGGACACAATAGAGGAGTTCGAAATATACAAGGCATCCAAAGAACACCCTGACCATATATTGAACGAACAAATTTCATTCAGATCTAATATCATCTACAATACTGCCATTCATTTAAACCAAAACAAAACTGGTCCTGATAAAGGAGTTGGGGGGGAGGGGTAACAGCTGATGCTTGGACACACGACAGCAGTCATGACGCAACATCCATCGGCGCCTGTCTCGTGTGTTCGTTACTTGGCCAAGTTCGTAAATTCGTGTTTTTTAAATGTTTTTCGTGTATTATGTGTATATAGACATATTTATTTCGACAAGTTCATCTATTAATGAATGCTGTTTTATCTAACGTTCTGCCAACAACCTGATGATGTACCCTAGTGGTATGAAACAGCTGTAGTTGTACTAACTACACACGGATCGTTCGACGCAAAAAGGTAAAATAAACCATTTTTATATTCCCTGTATTTCATACTAGGCTCTAGTCAAAATTATCTTTTCAATCTTTATCTAGGGAATACTTTAGCTACAGTAGGCACCCTTAAGCTCATGTTCATTCGGATCGTTTGGACAGCTACCTGCATATAGAGAACCATAAATCAGTGTTCGATTTGTAAAAATTGAGGTGCTGGAACTGTAACCTCTTTAATGTGATCTGTACCTATTTATGCCAATTTTTATCTTCCCGAAAGAGTGGTAACTACCGGAACTCCGTTCCCCTGTAAATCAAGCACTGTAAGTAATGTTAACACTGTAAAAATACAGTGTATGAAAAAAGTAGGCCTAATTTCATACAAACTTATATATACTTCTCAATCTCAATAGCATGGAAAATTTAAAGTAAAAAGTTTCAACAAATGTAGTAGCCTACAAATCAAAATAATAATAGTGTTTTATTTATTCCTTTATCAAACTATTTCACAAGTCACAGAAAAAAAAACTTATACTGAAATTTTTGTCTTCAATGGATTGTCCAATATTCATGCCTAGCATTCATTGGCATAGAGTAGAATGTGTAACAGCTGGTGGTAACAGCGATTTTATTCTAATTTAGAAACATTGGAATTAGTCAACATAGCAGTGAATTCCATCATACGATTTTAATGTAGTATGCCCTAGTAATTCACGCAAAAGATCATTAGTTCAAAACAAATTCCCCATTGGTGCTTGGCACTATTTAAACCTGGTCCTATTGAACATGATGAAGCTAAGTTACTGCAATTACCTTATCTTCCCGTCGCCTTTTCTTCTCCTCCTTCTTAGAGAGGACAAACTTCTTGCATGCCACGCTACAGAAGCGAGTATCCAGCAGAAATTCTGTGTAGAGTCCGTAGCAACCGCACCCTTCGCAGCAGTAAATCTTGTCCACCCCTTCTCCAAGAGTCTCTTTGACATTTAGATCTGTGAAAAAATATTTAAATAATACATAAATAATATCAGAAGAGAGAATTTAAAGACAGTTTCAGATGGTAGTAAATCAAGACTGTGTGAATAAGTGAGAATTCAAAAATGAGAATGCTTAGGAGAACGGAGTTAATAGAGGGAAGAATGCAAAGACAGAGGAATTAGAAGAATGTAGATAGATGAGGTAAAGAGGACGAGGAGAAATTAAAAGTAATTTGGCAGATAATGGAAGAAGAAGAACTAAGGGGGAATAGGAGACAACAAGGTTTCTTTGATGCATTTGCCAAAAAATATCCGAAACAAAGAGGATATATGATATATATCTAAATAAATTTCCTCAATTAAATTTAAAATAATTGTCGTACTCATAAAAACAATCTTGTGTTAAAAAAAAGACTTTTACACGTGACAGAAATAAATCAATTTAAATCATTGTCTAAATAAAAAACTAAAGAATCAAGAACTTGGTGTTGTAGCTGTCTGTTTTGTAGTGTTATCTGGCCCAGGATCACTTGTAAAATTATATGGTTTAACACGTTGACTGCGCGCGCCGACTTTACAGGCGCTCCCCAGTGGCGGGCGAAGCCCCGGCGCGCAACCGAATCAGCGAACGCAATTGGCATTCAAATATTTCAGTCTGACGAATCACAAAAGAGCAGTGGTGACTGTGCTGCGTTACCCCGAGAGTGGATGTAGTTCACTGAAACACCCAAAGGTAGCAGCACTGCATGGATCCGTATCCAGTGTCTTTGTAATGTGGGTTGAAGAGAAAAAATCCCCGAAACCGGGACAAAAGCATTGCCAGACAGGATTTTACGGGAAATTTTAGTACCAACCTACACCAAAGTAAAGCTCGCATTCTAAGCTGGCAGGCTGGCAACGATTATAACGTCTCCGTCTGAGGCTAAGCTCACACTGACTCAATATATTTCTGTTGGTCTGGTGCCGACTTAAGTCGGCGCGCGCCACCTGGGAGCGCTGGCGACGCCGACTTTCACGCGCAGTCAACGTGTTAAGTTACCTGTTTGTTAATGATGCTCTATCGTCTATGGAGACTGGTTTCGAGATTGAAATCTCATCAGTCAGGCTTTTTCAAATGACATTTCACTCAAGTTGAGGTTGTCGGTGAACACGTAAACACGAAAAAAAAAACATGGAAGGACATTTGTATGACAAAACATTTGGTGAGTCGGTGGCTCAGTCGGTAGCGTCGCGGACTTCGGGCCCAAGGCAGCGATGTCGTGGGTTCGGATCCTGGTCACTGCCGATAACATTTTATCAGTACAGTTCACCTTTGTACTGTACCGGCTCACTCCTTGCTTTGCTGTCAACGATCCACGCACGGGCGCTTAGACTATGTGGACCGGCAAATGCAAGGTTAAAAGAGGCCGCCAACCTCTTTTCTAAAAAAAAAAACATCATTGTATAAATATTTAAAACTGTCTAGTAATGTCCTCCCGGGTTTTTATGTTTTTGTTGTCTAAACCGGTCACCATCGACAGCAGTAAGATCACCGACGAACAGGTAACTTAATTTATTTGTACAAGTCACCCACCATACTAAAGATATTTTTGTAAACCTCTAATAAATAAGGCAAAAAATTAACAACAATAGACAAAAATGTTAATACAATAATTGCATGATTAAATCTTTACATATCTGTGCCTTTGTCAAAGCAATACATGTTCACTAGATTAGCCGGGTATCTACCTGAGTTGGCAGGTTTGTCATCCGAGTTGCGTCGACTAGAGACTGGAGTGTTTGACGATGACTCATCTTTGTTGCTGTCCTTGTCCACCAACTCCAGTCCAAACTCATTAATGCGAAACTGCAAAAACAAAACTTATTGTATTCGGTAAAATTAACCGGTGTTCTTAGCAAAGTAAATGTTTTAGTCTTAGTTAACTTGGAACTGACAAAATAATGTGAGAAGAAACAAGAGTTTAAAAAATCAGGTGCTGACAATAGACAATAGACAACATTCTATGAAAATGATGTGCTGTCTAATACTGCATAAATAAGGCTGTAGGATTACGACAATTTATTTACTTCTAAGTAACCTGTTAATATTTCACTAAAAAATATTTTTTCCTTCCCTCTGGCAGCAAACCTAATCAAATTTGTTAAATAGGCCTAAGGAAAACCATAGGCATAATACAGTTAACAAAGTTTATTAAAATAAAAACTTATTGCCAAGTTAATCAAATCACTAATGTACATGTACTAAAGTGAGTGTGAATAAACAATTTTGGATTTGAAACATTTGCAATTCACACAAATCCCATTGTATTTATAAATATTTTTTGTGACATACCTTGATGTTACTTCCCGGCAGTTTTCCCACTCCTTGATGGTCCCATTCCAGCACCTCCATTGGGTTAAGGTCCTCTGGCTTCTGATACCTGGGTGGAGGCAGTTTCTGACGTTCTGGTTTCAACAATTCTATCTTCACCTCGTCGTCCATTTGTTTCTTCTCCGTTTTCTTCTCTTCTGGCTCCACTGAGACAGGACCTAGACAGCTGACGGTGATGTCGTAATCTTGGCCTTCATCTTCTTTCTCGCTCGCTCGCCTAGGAGTAAAGGGAGTAACTGTCACGCTCATATCTGACTTCTTCTTCTCTTCTTCCGACCAACTCCTCTCGTCAATTCTCTGTATGGTCATACTTGTCCCAGTTCCCTTGTCCTCAGTGCTTGAAGTACGTTCGATTATCATCTCGTCAGATATTTTTTCATGCCTCTGAAATCAAAATGGAAACATTGGAATGTACTGTAAATGTTTAGTACAAAATATCCGTAGTTTAAGTTCTTTTTTTTCCTAAGGACGCTATAGGCACGAGCCTGGGATTGTTTTTCACATTACTTCAGGCTAGACCTAGGGGTTGCGGCATTATCACTTAGATAAAATCCATTGGTGACTTGGTGTGGATTGAACCCGGGACCTCAGGGACTGAAGGCCCAGCGCTCTAACCACTACGCCAGCTCGCTTCCCAAGAGTTTAAGTAGTTTAAGAGTTGGATCATATTGTTTAAATATTATACTTGAATTGCATGAAAAAATTTGTTCTTCATTGTTATTGGATTAGTTTGTCTTGTAAATACTTTTTTTTGTCCTAGGACGCTAGGCTCAAGCCTGGAATTGTTTTCCACATTACTTCAGGCTAAACCTGGGGGTTACGGCGTTATCACTTAGATAAAATCCATTGGTGGTTTGGCAGGATTTGAACCCAGGACCCCAGGAACCGGAGTCCCGCGCTCTATCTACTAGACTAGCTCGCTCCCCATTTGTGTTGTAAATACTGTACACCGCTAAAAAAACTAATCTAATCGTTCTCCAATAATTTGTAAAGATATAGGATTTTAGCATTCAATTTTATGGCTTTTCATCATCCAAATCACATAATAGGCTACCATAAAACATTTATCATTGAATTTATACTATCTGCCAATTCTGTTATCTTTAACTAGGCTTTGACGGTACCAAGGTGGAAGGCTGAATCTCGGTAATTTTGAGACCAATACTGTGTCGTTATTAGGGAAAAATACCGAATGAAATTTCGGATGCGTTGCATCAATATATTTTTGGGGTAAGCTGTAATTCAAAACGTGTTGTTATAACATTGGTCAGTAATTTCACTAGTACAAGAACACGATCATTTCTAAAGACCATGGTTTGATATTATGTAATCTTGGTCCTGGTCCTGTCAATGATAAGTTAAAGTTAATAGAAGTTCTGCTGTATTTTGTCACAAAGAATACAAATCTTACGGTACCTTGGGCAGCTCATTTTCACAGATAGGAGTCATGATGATTGAATCTGGCACAGTGACTCCGTTGGGAGTCTTTGCGAGGATGGACTTAGTTGTGATTGGCTGCAGGGGAGGTAGGCTCGGCAAACTCTCCCCGGCCGTCTTGACCAACAAAGACTGCTTATTCTCTCTGGCTGCAAATACTGTTAATTAGGTTAGCATTTGAGTCTGATGCCTCCGAGAATGTTTGCATACATTAGAACCTGATTACAAGAGACTCAGATGGATTAAAAAAGAGTTGTTACCAAGGTTGACTTCTTATCGAGGTTTGCAATAACATATGATTAGGGGTAAAATAATTTCAAGGGGATTTGAAAATGACCCTTGTCAAGGGTGACTTGTTATCTAGGGTGTTGTTATCAAAGTTTTACCTTGCCTAACTTTGAACAGCAGGACATTTTACATAAATAAATTAGCAAGGCTTATTCTTAATTATTTAACAAACTGTTGATGTCTAAAATATGTCCGATTCATAAGTGTCTTGGTAAAACTCATTCTTCAGTCTTTAATTTGATTTAGGACATTTTATTATTCATAGAAAGAGCACATTGTGGACTTAAGAGTTTCAATACAGTTGGCCTTTAAATGTCAGTTATCTTCAAATATAGCTTCGTAAATTTTTAATTTTGAGGAAATTTGGTGAAATTGTAGGCTACAGCAAAAAAAATAGCACAACAAAACTACGTATATGAACTTAAATTGTTACCTTTAAACCGATTTTTAGTTGGTTGCTGGAACACTAGCTATCAGTTGTTCCTAAATTTTTATTTGTGTGGAAAATATCGATCATAGTTCCTCGAATTATGGTATGTCCAACGTCATGCAAGAGGTTTAGTAACTTACTGAGTTTAGAGTCCAAACTCTTCTTGCCGGCAGTGTAAGAGACGGGTTGCAGAACGGATTTGTTGGGTCCCACGGGCACAGGGACCATAATACTGGACTTGGAATTGTTGATGCCCGGAGAAGCACCTGGGTTCTGGGAGATCAGCAGACTAGAGCCTACACTGCTACCACCACTGCAAAATAAATAGTCTACAATGTTGCCACTACTGCAAAATAAATAGTCTACAATGTTGCCACTACTGCAACGTGTAGTAAGATTACATCAGAGAGCATAACGGTGCATACAGTCCTGGTGGATTATGGCTGCTGCTAATCCTGCCACTGAACATAAAGTAGCCTACAAATACAAATAGTATTCCTAAAATCTGCCTATTCCGAACAAAAGTTCAAATGTTATTTATTTTTTTGTAAACATTAGTACAACACTTTGCCACTGTGAATGTCCTCGAAGCTGGCATGTCATCCAAAAGCTCATAGCGTCGCCTTGAACATCAAAGGAGCAAGCAATATTGACAGGAACCTAAATTAGCGATACCGATGTGCTGTTGGCAATATTAGCAGAAATAACAAGAACATTAAAAAAATTCTAGTCTTGATTTCTCAAATGTCTACAAGGCTAATGATGTCGCTGTGAATGTTACACGGGTATTGCCTGAAATTTCCTAGAACCAAGTTAGGCAAATGCGACAAAGGTAGCATCTCCAAGAACAGTGGCAAATTTAGTAACATCTCAAATGTTGGCAAAATTTTCATTGTCTGAACAGTGGATGAGAATCTGGCATTGATACAACAAACATTGGCGAAGGTAGCAGTATAGCCGCTAACATTGGCAAAGTTAGTTATATCTCCGTGAACAGTTTAGAGAAGCTTTCAAGACAATGAAAAATCTAAATAACTTTCCAAGCTAATGAAACTCTTACATTTCATAGGATTCGTTAAAATTATTATATTCAAATCTATTTCTGAAGTTTTTGCTTTCTTCCGCAAAATATTAATGACCAATTTATAACCTACTGTACTATAAGAAAAAAAGGATTGTCTTTTCTATTGATATAGGCTTCAGAATCCATGCCAATGATAGTATTTAAACAGGGCAATTTTTCATTTGCTAATTTCAAGAAGTTACTTCCATCGTAAAATCCTGCTTCCTAATTTATGCAAATAACATTATGAAATATTTTACATAGATAAATAGGTATATACACTATACAGTAGATAATTTCAACACATTACCGGTAGAGAAACTAAGTAGGCAGATAGTTTCCCCTTTCTAGATAAAAAATCTAGATTAAATTTGCAGGCTGTGTTTAAAATAAAACAGTTTACACTAGGCCTACATATAATAAGGCACAATGTTTAATGATAAAATATGTTAATTGCAATTTTATTATTATTAGGCCTATACTAAATTCATAAGCACTAACCAGTTAACTGACATGTTTTCCATGGACAACTGGATAAATATTAATTCTGACAAGAAAGGTAAACATAAGTATTAGACCAATGATGTGATTCACTAGTAAGGCTCTCAGTAGCTGCTTATCTCTCAGTTGAATCAATTGTTTTGCAATGTTGCAAAAAACAAAGTCAACCATTCAGTCTACCATGGATATGACCTGAATTCTTCGAGCTTAGGCAATAATGGATAATCAAATGTGATTATAGGGGACTGCTATTACAAAATAACCTATAAATTATACACTTAATGTAAAAATATATTGTTCCACTAATAATTAACCATCCTGTTGGTTTTTAAAACATAGGTATCTATTTTTCTAATTAAGAAATAATCAAGGTTTGAATGCCTTTGTATGAATAAATATTAAAATGCAACTGATATTACAGAACAAAAACATTACCTGTACTAACACTTTATGCCTATAATGCACACAAACAGTAAAGTAACCCTAGCTCCTAGCTTTAATTTAAAAATGTTAAAACCAAATTATTTAAGTAAATAGTAAAACAATATAAACTAACTGAAACTAACTAACTGTTTTAACTTACTGAAGGGGGAAAACTGATTCCACACTTTTGCACATTAACTTATTTGCTAAATATTATTGTTTTGTTTTTGTATCAGTCATGTTTTTTTCTCTTTTTTTATACATATTGTTCATGTAGCTTCATTATTATAAAACAGTGGGAAATTATGTTATGTATAGTTTTTCTAACTTGTCACAAAAAATTACGGGTACACTTCATATCTGTTGGCACAGACAACCAAATGAAAATATCGATTATTCAATATATCGTTTGGTTAGTTAGGTAAGGTTAACCTAACCTAACTAACCAAACGATATATTGAATTAAACAATCAAATGATCAATATTACTCATTCAGTTGTTTGTGCCAACATAATACTAATAATAAATTTTTATTTATAAGATTTAGTTGTGAGAAAATATTGGTGAAAAAGATAAAAAGTGGCATGTGAGCAATCTATCTTAGTTGGGGATTTAAATTAAAGATGGCAGATGCGATTATGATCAAGGTTTTAAACTAGGTCTATAGGTTAAGTTATAGCCTCTATCCTTAAATTATAAGGAATGAGTTTAAATGAATTAAATAACCTATTAAATTTTAAATGTGATACGTGCTTGGACTACAAAGTTTAAAAGTACTTAAAGTAGTTTACCTTGAAGGGTTTGAGATGAGTAAACTGGTCATAGCAGTGTTAGACGACTGAGACACAGAAGCTGCACTTGGGGTGATGATCTGAGAAACTAGATTCTGCGCAACCGAGTTCTGTGAAACCATAATACCACTGGACGACTGCGGCACGATGATACTGTGGGTCTGTCCAGACGTGGATTGTGACACAATTATTCCTCCAGAGGACTGTGGAACTATAATTCCGTGCGTTTGACCTGACGTAGCTTGCGGCATAATGATTCCGTGTGACGCACCACTTGTTGGCAAGATGAGCCCTACCGACGTAGGTGGCTGTTTGTTAGCGTTGTTATTCGGGGTAAGTAGCAGACTTGTCATTTGAGGACTAGAATTTGTTTGGGAAGAAAAAATTCCGACAGCAACATTTTTGTTAGTCGGATTATTTGATTGCCGGATAATATTTGGTACACTTGTCTGTTTGTTGATGTTTTGCTGTGGTATAATGATGTTCGGAATAGGTACCTTTTTATTTGGAGCAATATTCGGGTACTTCGTGTTTGCTGGGAGTAGTAAACTCGCCATAGGCTTGTTAGAGTTTCCACCGGAATTATTATTCGGGAGAATCATTCCGGTGATTGGAGTTTTATTCGACATTGATCCGATTTGAGGAAGAATCAAACTCGTGATTGGTGATTTGTTTCCCGTGTTTGTGTTCTGGTTGTTGGGTAAAATCAAGTTGACTTGGTTGGATTTGTTATTTGGTCCAGAGTTTATAGAAGTGACAAACACTTTCTTGGCAACGTCCTTGGTAGCTATCGGTTTACCTTGTTGGTACACTTGTCTGACAGGGATGTAATGTGCCGTGTGTGTTGTGTAAGTGTTATTGTTTGGGGAGGAATGTATCAATTGAGGGTTTCCTCCTCCTGCCAGCTGGATCTGAAACATTACATTATCGCATTACCAACATACCAACCTAACATACTTCATCAGTTCATATCATACAACTTATATATTGTTTATAGTGAGATGGTGGTTCAATCAGTGGTAGACAGTGAAGTCTTTGGTTCACGTTCTGGTGTCACAACTTCTACTTTATCAGTTAAATGTTGCATTGTATGGCTCTACCCTTGCTTTACGCCCTCTCTCCATGTTCAGGCCTTAGGCCAAGTTAGAAAGAAAAACGGAAGCTGAAATGAGCGTCGACGACCTCTATAAAAATATTTTACTTGATGGTCTACATCTAGATTAAGTAGTGAGCAAACTACAGATATTTAGTTTGTAAATGCGTCAATGTTAACTCTTCTGTCACAGACCTATAGAGAGGTGTTTTATTACCAAAACATTGAGTTCAAATTGAGGGATGCTTGTTTCAAGGGTGCAATGATTGTAAACAATAATAGGCATTAAAAACTGACTGCCATTGCTTGTTCATCATTAGCCTAGTCCTACTTTTATCCGAAAACTATCTGGTTTTTATTAAATAAAAAAAAAAACTTACCGTTAGGCCTACACTGTAGACTCCACATTTTTATTTATTCCTACGATTCAGAAATATTTAACACTTACAGTTTGTGGATTCTATAACTTAAGTAAAGAAGTTTAATCTTCTGCAAAGCAAAGAAAAATCTGAAAGATGTGGACACTCAAAATAAAATACTCCTATCCTAGACACTGATAAAAACAGAAAACAAGATTAAGTCACACGTCTTACCTGAGGCATGGCTGTGAGAATGGTTGTGCCTGAGGTAACTGAAGCTCCAGGATTGGGTGGTTGACTGGAAGGCGAGACGGGCCGTACATTGGACTGGTTGACGTACAATACTGGCATGAGGCGTTGGACATTTGTACCAGCCGAGGATATAGGAGTGGAGTTAGGGGGAGGGGCTTGCACCCCTTCCTGAACATTCATGATGACCTATCTGTAAAGAGATCTTTATTTCATTACTGTTGGCCTAACTTAATTGTTTAAGACAAAGACACAATAATTGTATGCATTTTAAGCTGCATGTATGAATGTACGTTGGGTGTTGGAATTGAGTGAGCTGGGTGGCTAAGAGGTTTTACCGCTCTCATAGTTATCAGAAAGTCACTGGTTCAATCTAGAGAAAAGTCAGTGGTTTTTTTATGCTACTTTTAGATGTTTTAAAAATATAGGCTACTTAAGAAATCTGGAAACTAATCCTGGGTACCGGTACTCAAAAAAAAAAACTTCCCTTTATTACTGTAAATCCATATAGGCCTAATTATTTCCAACTACAGTACTATAGTTTTATTGCCTTGTTATCCAATCAGTAATCACTCATCATATTCTTTGTTGAACATTTTGTCTACGTCCTAAAATAACCATATACATATAGAGCACAAACAAAGTAAGCATTTACGCAGATGGTACATTTAATAGACATTACAAGTGATTAAATAAGAGCACTTAGGCTTTTAAACTAATGAAGGTAACAGGGAACTATTAAAAGGACCGACAACAGTAAGTAATAGGCTATAACCTATTTATTTTCAATCCTTTGAGTAATTTTTTAATGAAGGAGTCAAATAATATGAAAACCCCAAGGGTACCTGTAGCTGAATGGTAATGCTATATCACTCGCCTTCAAATACAAAGGCTGATGGTTTGATTCAGAAAAATATTTGGTATGGAGAAAAATAATTCTAAGTTAAATTCAGTATAAAATTATATTTGTCAAATGCTGGGTTGTATTCATCCTAGCACACAATCCTACCTAAGTTGCCTAGTTAGGTCAAGGTAACCTACATTGTTGTGGGCGATCAACAACAAAAATAATGTTGATAATTATGAACCCATTCCCCGAATTATGTGCTGTGGGAACAAGATTGGCAAATCAGTCACTAGTCAGCCTCCCTCTCTGCCACCTTAGGAGTGGTTCGGCGTGCTACGGCAGATAAATTTTATTGTTGTTGAATGATATTATTCTTTCATTATTAGTTAATATTCTATTGCCTGTTCATATACCTATTTATTTATTGTTAATTCTTTGTTTTTAAGTTGTCTCTGTAATTGACAGCTATTCAATTTCTGTAGCCTACATCTGTTGGCTATTTGTAGCACATCATTGTAAAATGGTGTATGCCGGTGTTAATAAATAAATAAACCACAGGATAACTTTTCTAGTTCTCGAAAAAAAATGTTTAAGTTATTCAATTATCGATCATCTACCGTAAGTGTTAATTTTCTTGCGTTTCTTGAGAATACCAGTGAATCAAGATGGTTACAGGAGGGGGTATGATTTGAGATAAATACGTTAGGCTAGCCACTTATTCATTAATGTAGGACAGAAATAGTATACTCCCTCACTCTACTCTAGGCCTAACTAATAATTTATTGTTTAAAACTGTGTATTTAAATAGTTAAAACATGACATACAAAATCTATCTTTAAAAAGCAAGGTTAGGTTATGTTTTTATTGAGTCAATGCAGAACCCAAACACAATTTAGTCTGAGTTTAAATAAATTATACGGTCACTTTTAGGCCTATTAAGTACAACAGATGGGAGTAGACTGTGACCTTGGCACAGTTTAAAGGTGAATTATAAAAGAACAGAGAATCTTATCCTAACAAATCGTAACTTATGCTTACCCAATACTTAAATTTTAAAAGAAAAGTACAGCTTATTAAACTGACCTACTGGACGTATTTTCCTTAGTGTGTGTGTGAGGCAAGATCACTCTCTGAGCGAGTTTACTAACTTGAACCAAGTTACACATTAACCAAGCCAAAATACTTAGGCTTATATGAATTAGACATAAGTTAACTTAATTTCATGTCAACCAGCTCAAAAAAGGTAGACAGTGATTCAGATAAGATTTCTTACAAACAGTTGAAAAATAAATAAGTTATCAAAATTTCTTAAATCAACTTGAAACCATTAGATACGAGAAACTTTTTTTGCAGAATGCTAAAATAAGCTTAGGCCTATAACTTAATTGATACCAAAAACTTAATACTCTAAGTATGTTAATGTAATCAGGTATTAACTAAATTAAGCTCTATACAAGAGCCAGTTTGGTAGGTAACAGTTTTCATCATAAGCAAGATTGATTTGTTCGTATCACATCAACATTAATCATTCATTGTATTATAAAATTAAATAGTCCAATTAAGTAGGCAAACACATCAGCTCAATAAATAGATTTAATTAGCCTAACAAATCTTATAGTTTATAGTAAATACATATTGAGGCATTTAAAATCTCTTTGGCAGAATATAACCTATATACAAGGCTAAGGTTGGCAGCAGAAAAACCCAAATCTTAATAGCCTACTGAGGCCTAATTTCCCCACATGAAAAAACAATTAGTTGCATTAGATTACATCATCAACATTAGATAAAAACAATATTAAGTTATTTTAGGTGTATCTTAATTAGATTGAAATATGCACATTTTTGCAACTAGGGTGAGTACAATAATCAAAACTTAACCTTTACACTAGACAACTTAATTTTGAATTTTTAAAAAGGAGAGGAAATGGTAGAACTTCAAACCTAGTTAAACTTGACCTCGTCTAAAAATGAAATGTATAACAATTCAGTAAAGAAAGCAAATCAACAGACTAGTAATAATTCTAGGAATTGTATTTGAGAATTAGTATAGATATTTTATAATAATTTAATGATCTTCAATTACTTACTGAACACCAAACTACATTGTAAAACTTGCTGTAAAACAAAACCTGTGAAGGTGAATTTTATTATTCTTTAGAAAGTCGATTTTCACTCAACAAACGTGAACAAAACAAATACCGAAGGTTGAAATATAAAGAAAAAATATTTGTATAATATTTTCAAGCATATTTTAAAGGTACACACCTTCAACGACCGTGAAATCTGGGAATATTGCTCTTGTCGACTGCTGATTCACAATACCTCAATCCCCTCCCTGCGGCCAGTCGAGCTGTGATCAGGTAAAATATTTGTGTTTCTCAACGTTAATAATCAACGAAAACAAAGACACCTCAATAAAAACTGATCCAAACAATACGACCAACTTGTAAAAGTTTTCACTAATTACGATTACACAGTTCTCTGTCGCAATTTAAAAAATAAGAATTGCTCTAAAAACTGTAAGGCTGATCGCCTATTTCACGTCATAAGACAACGCGCGTGTGCGCCGATCGTCATCCATCCCACAACCAACAGGAGGGTCGAGGGACAAGATGAATAAAATGGCTGGAAAGTAATGACGTCACTCCAATGGCGCGATATAATAAATTAATTGTAATTAGTAATAACGGGAATTTTAGCCAACTACACTGGCCTCAAGTTAACTAAAAACAATTATGTTTACATAAAAAGCTCATAAACATGCAATCAAATGAAGTAAAAACAATCTGCAAGACAAATATGTGAGTATAGTATTTCAAACAGGATTCAGTGTTGCCAATACCAGGCTTACACAGAAGGGATTAGAAGGGACAAATAAAAACTAATTGGAGAACCTGCTTCAAGATACCCATAAATGTGATACTTTATTATTTGTTCCCTATTCTATTCTTTCTTAAACTTATAACGTAATTTATAGAAAGCTGATTTTTGGCATTCATATGAATGTGCTTTGTTTTGGATGGCGAGATAAATCGAAATCGATTTACTGTAGTTAACTTATGTCAGTGTCATCGGGCCCAGATATATCGTTGAAATAACAGGTTCATGAGGTAGATCAATCAGTCTTTTCCTTTTATTAATAAAATGTAAACCTCAATACAGAGTGGGAATTCGAATTATTTTCTCTAATTCATTTTGGAATAGTAAAAGTTGATGAATCTTGGTGCAAGAAACCCAAACTAATTTGAAGCTAAAGCTAAACTTCGTCAGGGAAATGTCGTTCCACCACTTCAAATGGATATTACCCTATATTGTTTCAAAATAACATTTCAAACACAATGCCTGATTTTACAGTTCCCTTGTATAAAGAATAGACCATGTACCGACCGACTAATTTAAATTTTAAAACCAGAAATGCAGATGCTTACAATAATTAAGTTTATTTATTATAAAATAATGCTGGCTGAAACGGGAAACATGTCAAATCTATAATGGCATTATAAGATTGCGGTGTTGCCACATTTATTTACATAGAAAACTAAAACTAAAGAATGTGAATTGGAAAATTCCTTATCCACACCCAGTGAAGAGAAACCCGGGTTCGCTGTAAAGTGAAAAACAATTTCTTTTAAATAATTTGGAAGTGTTTAATTATTGTTTTAACATTTTCATATATTCCCTAGCTAACCATAATAACTGTAAATTATAACAACATTGGACAAGGCAACATCCGTTTGTACCCCCACTCCTGCGTTGCAAAAGTGCAATGGGTATTGGGTATTGTGAGAGATGTTTCAACCAATCAGAATCCAGTACGAGACGCCCGGCAGATATCGCTGAATGTTGTTGCCAGTACCAGTGACAAGTGATCAGCTGTGTTGCCTTTCATTTGCATCAATCTGTCTGTGTCCCAAGTAGAAGTAGGACGAAGTTCTTGTGTTGTTTTCATATATTTACCTGCACACACGTCATTGGACATTTAGTTATATTGCGCGGATTTAAGTTGCATTAAATACATTTTAACTAACAGTCCTAAAAAGTTCTCTTTTGATGACAACAAACTAGGTGAGGACCATCAACATGCCTTTGTTTTGTTAAGTAAGAATTGGGTTGCCAAGAGATCTCATCTTCACCCTCCATTTTAATAATCTGTTTTAGACATGCTCATGTTAAAATGCCTACTGGTTTAATACAGCATTACTGATAACCATCCTGATGAGACAGGCTCACAGTCACAGACTATGTTTAATTTATATTCATAACAAATTAATTTGATGGTAGGCCTACTTTATACTAACAGTAGCTAGTTAATTTTGCTTACTGTACTTATCTTACTTCACTTTTATTAGGTAGCCTAGCCTACTATCTCAATGTTTCAAACTAACAAAACTAAGTTAAGCCTTCCTAGTTTTGTGCCAGGCTAGCATACCTAGCTTTACACCAAGTTCAGTATTCTGTACTTAAAACTTAAAGCTGGTCCTTAAATGTGAATGTCAGCTCTTAAATCCTCAATACTTATTTAATAAAACCATTTTCCTGGCAAACAATTTTTGCAAGTGTACTTACTTGCTAATTATATACGAGGTAGCATTTTACCTGGATTCTCTTTACATTAGCCGCAGAGTCTAGGGAATCAGTATCCTCTTTTTTCATTCATCATATTTGTGACTGAGAATATAAAATAGATAGGCTAATTTAAGTCTATAATTTTATTGCCTTCTATTGTATATTTTGTTACCTATGCCTATTTAGATTTTGTCATGATTCCCGAAGATCTTTTTGGTGAAGATTGCAAATACAATTGGCCTACTATTTAATGATGTAGGCTTATACCTTTGACCATTAATACAACAATTAAACTACATTCTTTTTTAGTGAAAAATTGGCGACAGCTGATCCATATAGATGGGATCAGTCGTCTTCTGTATCCAATAGCCAATGCTAATTTACCCGCCATTGTAACTTTTTTTAAATTTTTGCAAGGGAATATTCCAAACCCTGGTCTTTCTGCTAAGTAAAGTCGACATTTTGTTTGATAACAATATGTTAGCCCAATGTCAATGGAGTCTGGTTCAGAAAAAAATCTTGCTTGGAAACACATTATAAAATTTCATTCCAAAATTAAAAGAAAGAAGAAAAAGTCCACAAATGTAGTTCTTCTGCAGACTCCGCAGCACTGCAAGCTGAATGGACCCACCCTGAACATGAGCAGCACCCTGTACCAGAGCTGTACGGTTTGGCCCCAATCTGTACCTCGTGGGAATTTATAAACATAAACTTAAATTCTATGACTTAACCAATAATCGCTAATAACCAAAAGAGAGCTTAAAATATGTAGTTTATTATGATCTCACAGTTATTAGACTACGGTACGAAAAAAAGCTACTTCACTAACTTTTTATTTAGTACTGGATGAAAATTAGAAGCAAGTGAGTAGAAAATGTTTTTTTACTGAAACATTGAAACTAGCACACATAGCAAAATGATGCAGATACTGTAAACTTGCGCATTCTGCTGCTAGATAGCAGCAATTGTCGGGATCACCTAGCTTGAATTCTAGGCCAAAAAATGGGTGTACGGTTTAGCCCCGCTCTCCCCTACAGCAATAATTTTATCTTCTCAAGTGAAGCATTATTTTACATTTGATACCAAACCTTATGCTCTTTGTATTTTATTGCATGACCTGCTTTATTTACTGTTTGATAAGATTTACACCTTACATGTGAACTTCATGTTGCCCAATTTAGGTTTGGCTTCATTATAAGAAAGGTAGGCTATTTAGTGCTTCGACCATGTTTTATTTGATTGAAACCACTCCAGTTAGCGGTCTTTACAAATAAATATTGCAGTGTATGTTAGTAGTTTAACCTTGTTCACCAATGAGTGAGTTGATAAGCGCAAACAACTTCAAACCTTCTTTTTTGGTCACACCTAAGCTCTTCAATAATATTACAAAATTGTTCCGTAAATAAAGACTGGTGTAATTTAAAGGCTACACATCCTTACAAATATCCTTCTTTTCATCCTTTTACAAAATTTAAAAAAAAATATTTTGGTTTTGCATCTCTTAATGCCATAGCACATAAACTATATCCAGCCGCACAAAGCGTATTTGTCCGAATTTTGTTATGATGTACCGGTAATCTTACCGTTACTAATTCAGTTGAATTAAGTACGTTTGTTAAACTTGGGTTTTTTTTATTTAAAGCATAATTTTTGTAAAACTTGACCACATCATGACAGTGTATAGAACCAAGTAGGCCTAACTTAAGTTACAAGGTTAAATTAACAATAAATATGGAGGTCATACCCTTGATAATTTCATCATGTGCAAAATTTGTACGAGTTATAATGTGGTAGGTACTTCAATTCTAATGAAGTGCTACTCGTTAATGTTGATAACACCTCATAGTTTAAAATAATAAACTTAGCCTACATAAAATATTATGGATTGACCTAGTTGATATCAGATGACTAATTGTTGACGTTTGTTTACAATGCCACATTTACATGCAGCAAAGTGCCGCATGTAGGTTGACGACCTGATGACCAGATAGCCTTTGTATTTAAATTTTAAATGTCCCAGTCTGAAGTGCACGTCAATAAAAATTGGGTCAATTAATTCTATACCGGACTGTTCATTCTTTTCTTCAACCTTGTATGTGAAAACCTTGCTTTTTGAAGGTCTTGTTCAAGTTCAGATACTGCTTACCAGCTCTTCAGATGTATAATTAATTCCACCGGAAAAGAAGTTGCTCGTCTTTGATCAAATTTAAATTTGTGATTTATTTATCTGTTAACAGATAGGTATAGTCCTTGTGATTTTTTAAATTTCGGCCTTCTAAAAGTATAGTTATTCTACACTACATAGAACTCCAATCACAATATATAAATATTTTCAGAAACTGTCTTGGAAAAACCATTTTTGGTAGTTAAAAAAAAAACTATTTTTAGTAGTTTTGAAAAATTCAATGCCTTATTCGTGATTAAAATGTAGCTTGTAAAATAGACAATACGGCTGCAGCCTACATAAATGGATGTGCTGATAGCTATTATCAAAGTCTTGATGGTTGGATACAGGTCTAAAACTAATGTTATTTTTTTCCAGTGGCAAGGGAAACCCACTATTGGTTTGGCAATTGGTTTGAACTATCTGTAAGGCACAAAATCGATAAACAAATTATCTGATTTTGATTAATTTTGTATTAAGAGTTTTAGTTAACATTTATTTGATTAATATTTTACACCAGCTTAATTTAATCATAGGAAGGAGATTTCAATGGGTTTTGCACCTTAAAAATTAATTATTGACCTTTGTTACTTTTCAATATTTGTTCTTATTTCAAACTATTTAAATTCTAAGTAAAACTGTTTGATATTGTGAAATTTACGTGTTAAATTACAATTACTGTTCTGGAGGCTAGCTTTTTAATTCCTTATCTAAACCATTACAGATTGTTTAACTCATCTTGTTGTTAAGTGAAAAGCTATCTAACTTAACAATAAGAACAGTTGAGTTTGTTTACTGTTAAGTAATAATAGCTTGCAGTGTTGAAGGTCAGGCAGATAAGGATAGACAAGTTTTGGACCATGAACTGTATTGCTCAACATTTGTGTGCCAATTATTCGGCAAGAATTGTTTGCCCATATGGTTTTTTTTTTAAACAGTCAAATATATAATTAAAATTTGCTTGTTAACGTTTATTATTTGTTTAAATTGCTCACTCAAAACCGAGACTACCTTTGTAGCTTTATCATTTAGATCAGCTGTTAATTTAGCCAGAAACATTTAACTCTTTGCCATATTTAGTTGTAATATAGTTTTGTCAGTATGTACCTAAGGTAATATACAATAACGATTAATAATAAACTACAAGGTTTTACCCGTGAATTTAGTTGTTTAAAATATGTCAGCAACTTACGTTACTAAAGGGATATTATGTCGACCATAATATCCCTTATTGTCGACCATAATGATGTAATTGGGGCTCATGAAAGAACTCTAAAACGTTCTCTTTAACTGGTCGTTTCCCTCTTTATGCAGAAAGACTCCTCCGACATAGCTTGGCATAAATTCTTGTACAACCTCGCGTATGATGGGCTTATTCCAAGCAAATTTTCTCCCAATCCATGCTGAGCTACGTCAGATTTGTCTTCCATTCTTTCGTCTGTAGCCTCATTTACACCAAGTACATAAAGTATACATAAAGTTAGTCAAAAGAGTTTTAGGGCCAGATCCTAGAGATCACCCGGATAGTCAGGGGCGGCTCCAGAGGACAGGCTAGGTAGACCCGGGCCTACCCAAAATTTTGGAAAATTTAAAAAAGTTATAGATAAATACATTAATTTATATGTAAATTAAGAGAAAGTAAAACTAATTATTTTGCTTCATTGTTGTAGCCCTGGAACTGTAATATATAAAATATTTGTTTTTACAATACCTTTATCAGCTTTTGGAACTGATAAAGGTATTGTAAAACCAAATATTTTAATTATTTTGCATTTAAATTTTAAAATTCCCCCCTTTTTGCTGGAAAAGCTCTTCAAACCTCTCATCCCCGATCAAACTCTTTCTTGATCCTTGTCAGGCCTACCCAAAAAATATTCCTGGAGCCGCTCCTGCGCAAGTGATGAATCTGTCCTCGTACAGTAGGCTAAACGAAAGGTTCTGTTCCCCTCTGATGTCTCTGCGAGAACTATCTTCTCTGGATAGAAGGCCCTAGATGGGAAGGGAAAATCAAAATGAAAAAGTAAATCGGTTCTGGGTCTAAGACTTACTGTGCTACTTACGGTAAGTTATAGCTTCTCCCTGTATTGGATATTCGCTAAAACCATCCTTCTTAGTTTGAAGCAAGTCTATAATTTTGCCAAAACTCGTCCTTTGCTCGGGCCTGTTTTATAACAAACTACAAACTAATTTGTTAGTTTAATAACTAATAAATAACTAAGCTGTTATTAGTAGAACAGCTGATCGCCCAATGCAAATCTAAAGGAAATTACATGTCACAACTTTTAGGCTAACTTGTAGTTTATTATGACACAGGTCCCTGGTGTGTTTCCGTCCTTCAAATCTAATCTAATCGTTTCTTTCTTCAGGCTTTGTAAACCTGTAAACGTGTTCTGCTTTGTAAACATACCAAACATTTTCAAACTCTTTAGTTCACTACTATAAATATTTAACCTAAAATTTTTATCGAAACTCATTTTTTAAACCTCAACTTTATTCAGTTTTAGTTCACCCTTTACACCATGGGAGGAGCTGTAAGCACCGGGTTGGACAATGATGACTTGATCGACAATCTTTCCCAGGCCCGGTACATCAAGACACCGGAGATTGAAAAAGTGTTCCGGGCAGTCGACCGAGCCACTTACTTTCTGCCAGACTTTAAGGTAACGTACTTACCTTAACCTTACAAAACTAGGTTACATTACGCAAATTAGGTTTGGCCTGTAAAAAACTCTGTCAGCAGCACACTCTTCAATTCAATTGAATTCAAAGAATCTTTATTTGTGAATACATACATAAATAATAGTGTCAAATACAGGCATTAAACAAAGGTTTCTTAGAATTAACACATTTAAGAATCCTATCTTTTGCACCAAAAAAGAACATCATGTAAACCTATTTTAAAAAAATATGACATATTAACAATGTCTTCTCTATATATATATATATACACAAAACGATAGTTTCCTTAAAAAGTAACTACCAATCATACGACAGCAATCAATTCATCTGTCAACATCCTAATCGTTTTAAAATAATTTGAGATATCCAAGATATCGCCTCTGTCTGTATGAAAGATCACCATTATATAGGAGTCTCAGGCTTTACAACAGTCTACCTACCAAATTCAGAGAAATTACCAATACTTAAAAATTAAAAAAAAACGAGTTTAAACTGTACCTTCTGAAAAAAAAAACAGTTTGACTCTATTTTTGAATATTTAAATAACAGTTAACAAATTTTCTTTTACATTTATTTAGTTTATAGGAATGTATTCTAGTTTTAATAATGGACAATGTCACCTGTTTTGTCAGATTTACTGAAAAATTGAAATGTATCTGTGACAATAAAGGAATATTTCATTTCAACATTTCTTCCTATAGGCTAACCTATAACTAATTGAAAGAATAAATAGCTTAGTAGATTATGTACTGATTTAATTTAGTTTTTAATTTAGTGGACCCTAGAAGCCAAGGGGTCCAAGTAAGAAAACCATTTATTTGAGATAATTCAAGTCAAAGATAGAAAAAAAATTAATAGGTCACGTCTGAAGTTTAGTAGGTTTTCGTTTATTATTTAGTTTCTCAACAATATAGACCATTATAAAAACATACAAATCTATGTTTATTAACATAAACATATATCTTTTTCCGAACTTAAAGTGTACCATGTTTTTCCTGCTGCGCTTGGATCTCTTGTACACCTGCACCTGGATCCCTTGTCTTCTAAGTGGAGGGCAATAACAAAACTATTTTTAAAGTAAAATGGTACTTTTCTTTAAATTAAGACCTAAAAACAAAACAAACAAGTTAAATAAAAATCACAAAGGTTAAATATAATGAAAAAATTGCAACTTCTTATGTATTATTCATCCTCGTCGGTTTCATAAAGATTGTCCGGAGCATCGGCTTCTTCATCCCCATCTCCTAAGTAATCTTTTTCGTTATGCCGATTTTCTTCTTGAATTACAAACTGGAGAAGCTCATCCAGATCTTTCACCTTTTATGGCTTTAGCTTAGGCCTCATCATTTCTTGTTGGGAGCTTTGCAGGAAGTATTCCAGTGTCATTTTATCTCAAGCTCATGTGAGCAAACGGGTCCAGGTTTCCCACTGAATTCGAGCTCTTTTTAAACCTAAAGATTTGTATTTTCCTTATGCCCTTCACCTTTTTGGGCAAAATTTTAAAGTTGTTAAGAGCCTCAATGTTGATAAAGTCTTCATCTCTCGTCTTATAAACAATAAATTTTCTCATCTTCTTTAATTAGACACAACAAACAGTGTTTAAAACATTAAGTTAAAATATACACTTGAATGAGCATAAAAATAACTTTAGGTTTTAACAATAAACGATAATACATAAAAAGAAAGCACACTACTGATAGTCACCAAGCAACATGTAGTGGTTCAATTTGCTCTACTGGTTGGGTGGCCAAGGGGTCCAAGTGACTACTTAGACCCCTAGCGCTCCAAGCTGAGAACTACTGTCTTGAGATGGAGTATGGGCTCTGCACTAGATAGCAGCGCCTGTCAATGGATGCACTTGGATCCCTTTACTACTGGGTAGAAATGATTTTTCCTATCTATTTCTGCACTTAACTGAATTTTGACAAAAATGTCACTTGGACCCCTTGGCTTCTAGGGTCCACTCTTTATGCCTCATCTGTTATGCTTTTTGGAATTTTGTTCTCTTTCAGTAGATAAATTCATCCATGTTCATGTTTATTCTAAAACTGACTTACGGTTTTAATATGGAAATGCAATTTCTGCTTCTATTAATAGTCAATGTGTAGATGAACGCATACAAAGACCTTGCCTGGAAGAGTGGTAACATCCATATCTCCGCGCCATGCATCTACAGTGTTGTTATGGAGCATCTGAACCTCAGCCCGGGTCTGAGTTTCCTCAACATCGGCTCCGGCACTGGCTACCTCAGCACCATGGTCGGCCTCATTTTAGGTAGGCCTTAAAACACAGTTTTCATTGCGGTTGTGCGCTGCATGGTTGAGTGTGCGAAAACGTTTAAAGTTTCATCCAAATGAGAGGCAAATACTGCGTCCCATTCATTGTGCACGTAGTTTTACAAGAACCCAACCGATAGCAACACTAAAAAATACTTCTAGCATGCCCTCAGTATTGCCAAATGAAGGGAAAAAGCTGGGGTGAAGTACCTGGATACACCATAAAAAATATTGCAAAAAAGCGGCCAATCACAATTTTGAGGTTAGGTTCCTTTCACAATTCTACAGTACATTCAATATTGTTATTCTATTACATGTCATTAGATCCAAGCCTAAACCCCACACTATAATAAATTTGTTACAATCCCTACCACCTATAAAATACTGTAGTCGGATCTGAAAACGAATATTACCAGATTGAAGTATAAAACTGGCACATTAAGCGGCAAGCGAAACAACGTTGTACTATCACTATAACAACGGCTAACCTCACATTGGAACAATAGTTTGTAAAAGGCACTTTGACGAGTATACTCGTCTTACACCACTGGAAAGTGCTAGCTGTGACGAGATTACTCGTCATGCGCAGTGAACGTAATAAGTTGTTATTATAGTTCTTTCACAAAATTTAGGTGGTTTGAGGGGAAGTTCCCCCACTACTGTTTTATATGGGCTTATAATTTAAATAAAAACCCAAAGTGGAGAAAACACCATCTTTATTCCAGTAAACCATCTTAAGAGAGAGCTCGTTACAAGAAGAACCTCCCACCCTGATTCACCTCACAGGGTGGCAACATGACAACATAATAACATCATAATTAACTTTTAAGTATAGTATATAACACTTCCCCCTTTGAATGTTCATCCTTTTAAAAATCATGTTACAATCAAACCAACAAAAACATATTATACTGCATAATTTAACAAAAAGTTTCTCCTAAATACATTTTTAAAATAGGCCTACATCATTAAATGTGATTATTGAATTCATTAAAAGTATTTTTATAAATGTAACAAATTAAATATATACTGCATTAAACAAAAGGTTCTTAATCATCCTAATTATAAATTGTACCTAGCCTACATATTACAATTGAAAGTTTTAGAGTTTTACTAATACAAAATACAATTTCAAAAAACATTTGTGGCCTATAATTCTTTTAAGTTGGAATAAAATATAATCTCACTTATACAATACAATTAAACAATGATACTAAACATAAAAATTATCTTCTGAAACTATCCCTTTAATCCTTTTACAAAATTGAACCTAACCTAACTCTTCAAATGGACTACAGTACACACTTTTATTCAATTCAAGATTTAAAAATTTCTTAAAATAAACTTTACTTCTTTTAGACATGTTGTAACAAAATTAATCTTAACCTAAAATACAATTGGAAATTTTATAAAACAAAAATGAAATACCTTTATCAACATAAACTTAAACTTTTCAAAAATATAAGAATCTTACTTTATAAATCATTATCTCAAAATCTCAAATAGGTATTGCTTTAACAATATTTACCATTTACAAATCGAGAATTCTTCTTTGCTTTACAACCCTGCCAAACCTACTTCTACGCAAATCATCATCATCTACATTTACATCATTTTGAATTGGCCTACTCGACAAAGGCGTCGAATACCTTTTTGCTTGCTCATTTACACTGGGAGTTTTACATATTCCGTTACCACTAGTACTTTTTTCCTGACTAGTATTACTCTTTTGACTTCTACTACTATCACTTTGAGTTTTAATGTTTGCATTAGGTGTTGACTTTACAGGCGACTCATCAAAATTAAGACTAGGCCTACTTACATATGATTTTTTCATGAACACAGAGTTTCTACGAACAACATTACCTGCCTTATTTCTTACCCAGTAAGATCTTGGAGCCTCATGTTTTTTAATTACAATTGCAGGTTCCCAAGTTTTGTTACTACTATCTCTAATTACAATTCTTTCATTATCATGAAATGGTTCTCTTTCCTTAGAACCTACGTCATAGTATTGCTTTGTTTTGTTTTGCACGTCTAACAACCTTTGTTGCACATTAGTTTCAACCTTAGGCAACAGCAGTCTATCAGAAATAGGGAGCTTAGTTCTAGTTATCCTAGAAAACAAGATCTGAGCAGGACTTACATTTAAGTTATAGATAGGCATGTTCCTATACTCTAACAATGCAATATTTACATCTTTACCACTATCTTTACATTTTTAAGCATGTTCTTACAGATCTGCACTGCCCTCTCGGCTTGTCCGTTTGACTTTGGATACAACGGACTTGAAAAGACAAACTCGAAATTCCACTCTTTGGAAAACTTTTTACATTCAAAAGAATTAAATGGCATATTGTCTGACACAACTTGTTTAGGTATACCATGAGTAGAAAATATTACTTTCAACTTATCTATAACTTCACTTGCAGTTTTACTACTAAGTTTTACTAACTCGATCCATTTAGAAAGGTAATCCATTAATACTAAATAGCTACTACCTCCAAAATCTAACAAATCACAAGAAACTTTAGCAAAAGGCAAAGATGGTATTTCATGAGGAATCATCGGTTCTTTTACATTTTTAGATCTATATTTTTCACACACTGAACATTTTAAAATCATGTTCTCAATGTCCCTAGTGATACCAGGCCAATACACAACCTGACGAGCCCTAGCTTTGGTTTTGTCAATACCAAAGTGACTTTCATGAAGTTTCGCTAGAACATTTTTACGCAAACTCACAGGAATTATTACTCTGTCATTTAAGAACAACAAACCTTCATCAATAGATATATCTGCTTGCATATTAAAGAACAATTTTACAACATCTTTTACCTGTTTTTTAACTTTAGGCCAACCATTTTTTACATAACCAGCTAATACCGATAAACATTCATCTGTTTCAGTAGCCAGCCTGATTTCATTTTTCATTCTGTCTGACATAGATACATTCTTAGCTAAACCTATACAATGAACAATATCATTGCTGAGCTTATCCCAGCTTTCATCTGTTTCTACACTCTCCTTGTTGTATGACCTACTTAGCAAGTCAGCTACAAACATTTTTTTACCTTGCAAATACTCAAGCCTAATATCATATTTCATCAACTTAACTTTCATTCTTTGCAACCTCGGTGAAGACACATTAATAACATTTTTACTCATCAAACCTACCAAAGGCTTACAATCTGTTAGTATTTTAATTGGTCTACCGTAAATGTAAAAATGGAACTTCTGAACAGCATGTACAATCGCTAACATTTCTTTTTCGACCTGCGAAAAATTACTTTCAGTTTCTGTTAAACTTCTACTTGCAAAAGCCATAGGCTGATTACCTACCATAAGACAACAACCTGTACCATTTTTTGAACTGTCACACTGGATAGTTAACTCTTTCTTATCATCAAAATTTGCAAGCACGGGAGCTTCAGCGATTAATTTCTTTAACTCATCCAAAACACTCTAATGGACTGGCAACCATTGAAATATCACATTCTTTTTAAGCAATTCTCTTAGACAAAAGGTTTTTTCTGACATGTTAGGAATAAATTATCTTAAGTAATTAAACAAACCCATTAATCGCTGTAACTCTTTTTTATCCTTAGGTGTCTCTAGCGCTTGCAACGCTTTAACTCTTTCATCATCTATTCTAATACCTTGTTCTGAGAAACAATGACCAAAAAACTTGACTTCTTTTACTTTAAATTGCAACTTATCTTTGTTGAATTTTAAATTCAACTTTGTAGCCCTTTCCACAATTAAGTTCAAAGTTTTATCATGCTCGTACTCATTTTCTGCTGCAATCAACAGATCATCTATGTAAATTATTACATTTGGGATGTCTTTAAAGTTTTCCTCATTTACTTTTTGAAATATTTCAGCTGAATTACTTAAACCAAAAGGCAAACGATTGAATTTATACAATCCAAACACAGTGTTGAAAGTACAGTAATTACTTGATTTTTCATCTAGGCTTAAGTGGTAAAAACTTTCTTTCATGTCTATTACAGTGAACAATTTCTTACAAGCTGACTTTGCAACAATCTCATTGTATGAGGGAATCAAAAAATGCTCACGCCTTATAGCCTTGTTAAGATCTGAACAATCTAGACATAATCTTAATGAACCATTTGCTTTCTCGATTACTACCAAGTTACTTACCCAGTTTTCAGGTTTATTTACTTTAGAAATTATTCCATCACCTTCCAACTCATTAAGTTTCGACTTTAGTTTACTCATTAAGGCGTAAGGTACCCTTCTTGGTGGTTTTACCACTGGTGTTATGTTTTCATCAACATCAAAAGAACATTGTACGTTACATTTACCTATACCCTTAAAAAGATGATCATGCTTCTTTAAAAACAATCCTTTCTCTGACATTTTACAATCAATTGATTTCACCACATTAACCTCTGTAACTAGGCCTAATTGAATACAACTTTCTAAGCCTAAAATTGGTCTGAGTTTGTCATTCAAATTGTTTACTTTTAAAACAGCAAAAGGAAAAACATAACCTATATCATCGTTACTATTTACAACATTTTTACAATGCAAATGAACAATACCCTCAGGCGTTAACTTTTGACCACCATATGCTTCAAGCACAATTTTAGTTGGCTCTAACCTAAATTGATTATTTAGCTTCTTAAAAATGTTGTATGGGATTACATTAATAGCCGCACCTGTGTCCACTTTAAAGTTAAGTTTTACATCTTCTACCAGCAACGGATGTAGCCACTCACCTTTAGGTCCATTGACGGTTTTCGCTGTCGACACTGAAGTTAGGCTATCTAATATTAACTCACCGTTGTCTCGTCTCGTCTCACCAGTACTTTGGTCTACATGTTCAGCTAACCCTTTAGCTGCTTTGAATCTTAATTTACAGCCGGATGCAAAATGATTTAATTTGTTACAAATATAACACTTATGTCCATAGGCCGGACAATTAGCTACTCCATGCATTTTATTACACTTCTTACATAAGTAATTTTCCTTTGTCGGTGTTAATTTAGATCTAAATTCAGTTCTTTGAGCCCCTTGCATAGGCTTATCAAAACTTGAGCTTGATGTACCTGATTGTCTGTTAGGCCTATATGAGTTAGGCTTGTTAAACTTCTTACCGGTACCATCATTACCAAACTTAGGCCTACCATATGACCGCACTGAGTCGACACTAGTTTTACTACCGGTATCTGAACTTAATGTTTCAATTTGTTGTTTGCCTAATTCGGCTGCCCTACACAATTTTATTGTTTCATCTAACAGAAGATCTGCAACGCGCAGGAGTCTTTCTTGCAAAGATTTATCCGCCACTCCCAACACAATTCTATCTCTTAATAAACTTTGAGATTGTTCTTTAAACTCACAACTCTTAAGGAGTTTTCTTAGGTCTGTTAGAAAATTGTCAAACGGTTCATGACTATCTTGAACTCTATTGTTAAATCTAAATCTCTCCACTACCAAGTTTTTCTTAGGGTCCATATGTGCTTCGAAGGCTTGTAAAATTTTATCGGGATCTTTTGCCTCTTCACCAGATAGATTGAAAGTATTAAATAATTCAATCGCATCCTCACCCATGATGTTGAGCAGAGAAGCTGCTTGAACATCTTTCTCTTTCTTATTAAGTCCTGTAGCGACATGATAAATGTTGAAAGCCTGTTTAAACCTTCTAAAGTTATCACTCAAATTTCCATCAACCAAAAGTGGTTGTGGGATTCTAGCCCGATCCATCTTATTTGTGGAAATATTTTAAATGATACATACTTACAGTTCATGACTTCACTTTAGGTCTTAAGTTTTTAGGCTTACTGGCCATAGGCCTAGGTCTCTCTTCTTCATGAGCCTAGTTATCACTTTATTCTGTTATTAATTCTTCTATTATTATAATGTTTTGCTTCTTGCCTTATTAGAACATTTAATTTTAACACTCCACTTATTATGTTAAAACGAGAGACTGCGCCATGTTTTATATGGGCTTATAATTTAAATAAAAACCCAAAGTGGAGAAAACACCATCTTTATTCCAGTAAACCATCTTAAGAGAGAGCTCGTTACAAGAAGAACCTCCCACCCTGATTCACCTCACAGGGTGGCAACATGACAACATAATAACATCATAATTAACTTTTAAGTATAGTATATAACAACTACTATTTTTGCTAATATATAAGTAGCAACTGATAGATGTTTTGACAAATCTCAGCTGTTTAGCTATTATTTAAGCTAGGATCAAAACTGCCTACATTCTGTGAACAGAGTATACATATTATTACTTAATACTTTTTAACCCTTTCCAGTTGGGCCTAGATTTCTAAAAAACTTGATTTTAATTTTTGGGATTTCTTATTTCCTTCCTTTTTACAGGTCCGTTTGGTGTGAATCATGGTGTGGAAATGCATGCTGATGTTATTAAATATGCGTACGAAAAACTCAGCGAGTTCAAAAAGACCTCACCAGCTCTGGACTCTTTTGAATTCTGCGAGCCAGTCTTTGTAAAAGGTGAGTTAGACAGGCGAAACATTATTGTTTCTTATTCTAACCTCTTGAATCAAGCACAGAACTTACAGTAGAGAGTCGAAAATCCGAACGTCAAAAATCTGAAAATCTGAATCTTTAAAATATTGAATTAGTACAGAGACAACAGATGTTTTACAATTTCGTGGGCCAAACAGTCGACGCCTGGCAGGGAAATATGAGTGAACGCGCCGAGCTAGTCTGTGTTTTGACCGTTTCCAATGTATAAACTCTACATATTTTTTCAAGAAACGAATATAGTATAATGTAAAAAAATTACCTAAGTACAAAAATCATTGTTTTTATTTCATTCACTGTATCCTAGAATTGTATTTTTAATACTGTAGGCATAATTATGTGTCTATTAGTCATTACTTGGCTATGTTTGAAAATCCGAATTAATCGGTAATCTGAACTACCTACGGTCTCAATTGGTTCAGATTTTTGACTCTCTACTGTATAGTTATTGGGACATTAACTATTTTATATAACTAGTATCGCTCACAAAAAGTTGTATTCTCAAATAATAAGTTGTTTGTATATTACACTTATCTGGATTTATCTACAGAACTTTTAAATCAATAAAATAGTTGTATTGCAAAAATTTGATCAACATTTTGTTCTAGATTTGCAAAATCCAGTTTTGAACAAGTGTTTGAGGACTGAGCCACTGTGTCATTGCAGGATATGCCCCCCCCCCCCTTCACAACAATTCTACTTCTTCCTCCTGAAGAAGCCCCTTGTACTGGAAAAATATCAAATTAGTAGTGTTGTGTACTTTTTGTGTGCTGATAACTACCTGAACCTCCTTTTTTGGGAAATTTAGTTGTGTATCCCATCTTTCATCCAGGATGGGTAAAAAGTATTAGTTGTTATCAATCTAATAATAACCAAATATTAATTAACAAATAGTTTTTGATTGTTTTAGGTAACGGACTGTCATTGCCAAGTGACATCCGCCAGTATGACAGAGTGTACTGCGGTGCCGCCTGTCCGGAGAACCAAGAGAGCTACATCAAACACCTGATCAAGGTAATATGGTGACTGAGCAACGTTAATGTGATTCTGAATGTCTTATGTGTTCACTGCGCTGCTCAACATGTTGCCGTTGCTATGAATCTGAACCTTTTCTAAGCCAAATCACAAAAAGGTTCTGAATAACAGCAGAGCCACTGTAATGGGATTGTTTGTAATGAGTTAAGTATTACAAGAATAGTGGGTTCTAGAACAAGATTTACTAGACAAAATATTAAATATTGACCGACAGCAGTGCTGCCTTTAGCATATGTTCTGGCGTCCACTGCTAGGAGTGCCGTGTAGTTGCAGACCGCTGCAGCGCAAGTGTGGTAGTGCTGGTAGCAGACGTCGAGGAGCTGATGACGACAGCAAATCGAATACTGAGTGTGCTCTAGCGCCACATCGCGGAACCTTCCTTTGACAGTCTATATTTATTCTATTCGTCTATGATTTTACACACCAATTGAGGCTTGGCCTAGAGGGACGTGGCATGCTAAAGCTATTAGTGACTTGCAGGATTCGAACCCGGGGGTCCCCTGCTCCACCTAAAAAGTGGTCATTGCCATGGTTTGAATAACTTGTTGAGGTAAATCATATAAATTCATGTCCTGAATAGTAGAACCACTGTAATGGGATTTTTTGCAATGATTTTAGGCCTAGTTTACAAGAATCATGAGTTTTAGAACGATAGTTTTTTTTGCCCTACCTCTATATTCCAAGACACTAGGCCTAGAATCATTTTAAACATTACTTAAGGCTTAAGGCTAGGCTAGGCCTAAAGAATCCCAGTATTTTCACAACAGCCATTGGTGGTTAGTGGGATTTGAACCTGAGACCTTGGAACTGGACGTTTAGTAATCCGACAACACTTAAGTCACTCATGTGCAGGATTAAGGAGCATCTAGTGTACTTTTTTTACTAGTAATGTGACAATGCCTAACTGACCATCGTATTAAAGAGTATTTTATTGTTGCCAGGTTGGCGGTGTACTCGTGATGCCTCACAATGATCAGCTGTTTCAAATCACCCGAGTGTCCCTGACTAAGTGGGAGCACAAGAATGTTCTGCCCGTATCGTTTTCCACACTTCAACAGCCAACTACAGCTGACACTAAAGCCTCCATTAAGCTACGTCAGTAATCATAATTACAAGTACTAAGTTTTTATTTACAGCAGTTTTTAACTGTTTTAAAACCTTTTGAATAATTTCTATCAGCTTCTATAATTTCTTGTCGGGTTGAAAGGACTCACGACTGAGTCTGATTTACCCAATCTTGTTCCATCAACTTGATTGTGATACTTTTTCCGACTTGAGCGTAATAGTGACCGCCCATTTATATGTGTGTCTGTAAATACAATAGCCGAAAGCTCAAGTAATTTTGGCCAGATTTTTATAAAATTTGTATAATATAAATGTGTTTGATTGATATAATGATTTTACAGCTGACGCCGAGCCAATCCCGCTTCAAGCCGTCTGCCGCAGTTGTATCCGACGCACACTGCGGGCCAACGCAGAGCGAGAGTTCCCTCAGCTCACCAAGCCACGACCCCGCCGAGTGGTCCTCAGGAAGAAGGTGCTTGCAGTGTTATCTATATTTATCGTGTTGGTAGATGTCAATTTAATATTTAACATCAGTTTTCCTCTAATGAAAATTTTCATAGTGAAATAAATGCAGTTTTAAAAACGCATAGCCAATGGGTATTAAGGGACTAAATCCAAACCTAGCCTCAAAAAAGGTCCAGACCAACCCAGTACACTACAAAATGGCTGCCAACAGCAAAAAATCCTCTTGTAAGATGCTACATCAACCTCCAGAGACTCTTGTGTGGCTGGTGAGAGCCTGTATTGAAGGGATGTTCATTGTTACAGCCAACCATCCGCAACTTGGTGATTCCGTTCGTGGATTCGTCAGATGATGAGATGGAGATGTCAGGTCCAGGGTTGCTGATAGGTGGTCAGACTGGTGCTAGCATCACGGCAGTGTTTGACATGGGCCGTGGGCAAGGAGGTAATACTTAGTTTTTGTTATTTTAGATAGGCCCATTATTGCGGACATTTTCTATCACGATTGATAAAAAAATTTAGTTACAAGATTTCTAAAGTTCAAGTAACCATTCTTTTTGTCATAGAAAGTTGTGCATGTTACAAAACATGTATTGCCAAAAGTCAATGACAAAAGCAAAACTGATAAGCTGTGTTATAGAGAGCATGTTTCAATCGTTTTTGTGAAGTAGTACTTTTACTTGGTTACTAAAGATTTGCACTCCTTCAATTTAGTAAACCCTTTGGATCGTAAGTCTCAACTTAGCCTTCGTAGGTTTTAACTTAGCCTATCAATATAAGGGCTCGGTGGGAGAGATACAGTAAAATGACATTCTGTGACTCACTTTTGAACATACTTAACACACTCGCTACTCTTACAGTGATGTGACGTCCGGATGGGAAAGTGTTAATGACTAGGTTAGTTATCTAATGTCACAATTACTCTGTGTGATCATTTACAACATATTTTAATATTGTAACATCGTCATAAGGCTGTCGTTGCAACCAACTAGTCTTAGCTTCCCCCCGTAGGAAATCAAATCATCTGTAAAAGTATTTACATATAACTTGTAGTTAATCTTGTTGATCCACTAAACAAATCTAACTATTCTCTCATTTTAATTCTTTCCTGACATCACTTTTTGTAGATCACAGGAGGTTGGTCCTCAGAAGTGGGATTCCGACAAACCGGTTGCGATTTAGGCAAGTGGCGAGTCCGCCAGCAGACAACAACCAGAGAGAGGAAGAAGAAGAGACTGATGAGACTGATGCAGTCGAGGAAGCGGGAGCCTCGGCAGGACCTGCTACTCGGCCTAGCGATGTTCCGAAGCGTGAGAAATTTGACAGTGGAGTCGTCGAGGATATGGACAACGAAAAGGTAACCGCTGCTTTGGTAACTAAGATTGTTTTATCATTTTTTGGATGACCGATACATTTTTTAAATGGTGTACATACGAGGGTCTTTTATGTTAAAGCCATTTGTGCGTAGCTTCTTAGCGTGTATACCGCAACGAGGTTCCATGCCGCTTACTGCAATGATTTGTAGACAGAACAGCGCCATTTTCAGCTATGTAGCTGACTTTTGTGGTACCCTTAGCTGCTGTGAGTCTAGAATATTTGTTTAAATTATAGAAAACATTTAGTTGATTATAGTAATACAGCCTATGGATTACTTTTAAATATTAAAAATGGTGAAATACATGCTTTTTACAGTCTTCAGATTGTACTTAGCAACTATTGTAAAGGTTTCAACTTGAATTAGCTAGTCTTAGCACCTAAGAAGCAGTGCTATATTCACTCAACTGAACTGAATTCAACTTCAAATGATTCAACTTCTAGTGCTTGGATTAAAAATAATACCCCCACCGCAGCAAACCTGCAGAATAAGCTAATTTCCATTTGCCTGATTGGATTTACTCTAAAATGTCTCCTTAAAAATATCACATTTAATTCCCTATCATAATAGAATTAGTTTAACGAGTACTTAGGTTTGCTGCAACAAGGAGGGTAAAAGTTTTTTTTCTTTTTTGGAAAATGCTAATAGTTTAGTAAGAAATAAATGCATTTTTCAAATTTGATCAAAATATGTTCATAAACAAGGAAAATACAACAGTTAACTTATTCTCCATAAGAATTACATGGGAATTTTAAACTTAAATTTATTTTGAATTTTCTCCGTAACCATTTGGGGCATAACAATGCTTCAATATACTAAATTATTTGTTTCTTTAAGCTCATCAAAATGTTTTGGAAAGAAATTACTAGATTTTATGTTTCTGGGTCAAAAATGGGAAAACCCAATTTTTACCCCATAAACCCCCGTTCCCATAGTCCGATCATGCTAGTTAGAATAAATTTAGATTGACGTGTTTTTACCAAATTTCATCAAAATTGGATCATTTTTGCTCGGGTTATCGCGTTAACGGACACGTGTGTATATGTATTTGAACAGATGATATTTTTTGCCTCTAGGGACCTCAAAACGAAAAAGTAAATCAGTCCCGGGTCCAGGTTTTACCATGAGTACTACGGTAATAGCTTATTCCCTATATGGAAAATTCGCTAAAAACTAAATAAGTAAAAGATTATTTTTCAGTTAAAACAAGTATATACTAGCCGACCCGTGCGAATCATTCACACTAAATCCTTCTCAAATTCCACTTAGTGGAGAACACAACATACAGTTAATTACTGCTTGGACCTAGTTTTTTTTTGTCCTAAGACGCTAGGCACAAGCCCAGGATTGTTTTTCACATTACTTCTGGCTAGACCTAGGGGTTGCGGCATTATCACTTAGTTAAATCCATTGGTGACCTCACGGGTCGAAGTCCCGCGCTCTTACCACTACACCAGCTCGCTCCCCCTGTGTAGACCTAGTAAGAGCAACGTTAGAAGTATACGTTCTTACTTCAGGAATAGATGTGGGTTTACATTTTTGATAATTAACTTTTACAAAATATATTGTTAAGCTATTTATGTTTTTATATGTTAACAAGACCTCTTTTAACACTATGTTTGAAGTAATAATATGACTAAATACGATTTTTGTGTTGATGACTTTTACTTTTACACAAACATAGTTTTCATTGAAAAAGCACACTCGTGTTAACGTCACAAACAACTAAAGGTGTAAAAAAACGGGGTCTGGCTCATAAAATCTTTCCTTTGTTTGCGTCTGTCCATGTGCCTTATTTAAGCCTAGGAAAAGGTAACTTGTACGTGTAATTCCTTCTTAGTCATTTTGAAAGGATTGCCGACTATTGTGTAGTATGACAGTTTGACCGGAGTCAGCCAACTTTGCTTTGATAATGTTGCCCAAGTGAGCTACAACCAATCTTGGACCATGCTTAGGTTTCTCATCAACATGATAATAGAGTTCTTTTTTAGCAAAAGTTTATGAGGTAACGAACCTAAACGGCTTAGTGAGTAAGAAAAATATAATGAATAAAACAGAGTGTTCTTTACAAGTTTAGGAATTTCCTCAGACATGATATGTTGGTTTTTGTTGTTTTTTTCATACTTAATCAAATGTGATAACCCTTCCTCATGTATACTTGTAGGTACTTCAGTTTTCAGTTCCTCTAAAGATTAAGTCTTTGAATACCGTTAGCTTAAAAACAATATATATACTAAAGTTTCCTATTAAGTACAGTTGTATTTATGAATTTTCAGACGAGTAGTTGAGTAAAAAGTTTAAGTGAAGTTAGAAGCACTTTTTAAACAAACGCAGATGACCATGATCATTTTAATAGTAGCCGGTAAATAACTCAATTCTCATATTTATTTTATTTTATTCTTAAACCGACCACCCTGGTTTTTTAGTGTCGTAGTAGAATCCAAGTATAATACAAAATTAATTTTACAGGAACTTGCATCATCATCTGATGAGGATGTCAACATAACGTCAGATTCAGATTCAGACTCAGACTCAGACATGGACATAGATCCTTTAACCCACTTTTTCGTTGATAACCATAAAAGCGAAGATGAAGGTCTTGAGGAAGATATCGCACCTCAGCCGAAAAAAGGCTCGGGCACCAGCGCCTCAAATTGTAACAAAGATGAACCAGGGTTATCTTACAGTTCTGTGATGAAGGACAAAATCCAATCCCTTCCACTGCCTCCAATGTTGAAGTCTTACCTTAATTACGATCGTGAGTTTTAACTACCTTCCGTCTTGAAAATCTGATTCCGAGATATTTTACGCAAGAGTTTTATCAGTTAAGTATTAAGTAAATTAGCATTTGTTACCTAGTTTTATTACTCTGATTGTACGGCAAAGCATTAAAGGTTTTATTTTACCCCCTTCCCTTTGCAAAGTCATCACTATCCCAACGGAAGTTCTGCGGTTGGAATGTGAGTTTTGTTATTTTAAGAAGGGTGGATGCGAGGTTTGTACTTGTGTATTAATGTTTTCTTTCCACTATTCAACAGTTTTTTGTTGTGAATGCTCAATAAATAGACGATAGTAATGCTTTGCTATTTTATTGTAAATATCTTGAAAACTGAACGGGAGGGTTTCATTATTTAGATTTGACAATAGATCGACTAATGGCTCAAAATGGGATTTTAAACAGCTTTTGCCATCAACTTTATTGCTGACAAATATTTCAAAAAAGCTTAAACACAAATTTTCAATAACATTTTAGAAAATACCGAGATTTTATTTGGGAAAGATAAAGATACCAGGCTAGATATTATAATATATTATGTTAATGGCAAGTCGGAACTATTGTCGCCGTTCTATTGGTTGATCTGGACCCTCAAAGGTATTGTCCGATTAAAATATTGTTTTTAAGATAGTTTTGAGATGTTAACAGGAAAGGACTGATTTTTTAGGCTTCATCAACAATAATTTTATCATGTGAAAGTTATATTTTGTTTAACATTAGTTCATTTTAAATTAGGATAAATTAAGTATGTAGTGTATTTTTGTATAAGATCGCTTTGTAACATTGCTTCGTTATATAACTTTGACCAGATTTGTCTCAAAAGTGTTAGTTCAGAAATTTATTCAGCTCCTATCCAAGCTTTGGAATTTGTTTTTTGATTTAATATTTAAATTTAAAAGTTCTCTTCTGAACTAATTCTATTTGGTTTTATTTTATTATGATTTACTTTTTGGTTTTGCACTTTAAAAAAATGCTGGTGTGTCCTTATTTTGTTTACTCATTCCAATAGCGAAGTAGTGCATAACTTGAAGGACAAGTAAAAGAAATTTGTGCAAAAACGTACAAATCTGTTGGTATAAAAAAAATACTAAAGTATAAAAATCCAAGATAATTTTAGTTTTAACCTCTCTCCTGGCTATAACATATATTACATTTTTAGTTTACGGGACTATGTCATACAGTGGTAGCCATCTGAACAAAAGGAGTCCATAAAAACTTGTCTCGATTCTTGTAAACATCTAGAAATATTCCTCACTCAACAAAAGATTAAACTTGGCAGAGTGAATGTATAAGGCCTACTCAACGTATAAATCTGTGTTGGCCGTATAGTGTGATATATTTTATATGTATAGTGTTAGTCATCGTAAATGTGGATTTGATAGATATATTTATGTACCCAGACCGTTGTATATACTTAGTGCCTTTCTTATAAGTTGTAGCAAAGTTTTTACTTTTTTGCGAGACGTCAAGTCTTCACGACTGTTTCAACGGAATGTATCCTCGCTGTCTGTTTTCGTTTAAAGAGTTCTATCTGTTTGTTACTTGTGAAATATTTTGGTCTGAATAAATTATTGGTACGAATTAAATGTTTTTAATTTATTATGTCCATTTTATTTTCTTCACCTGTTTTAAATATATCCTGGACTACCAACTGTACACTCCACAAGGGGGTACAGAATAAGCCCCAGGAGTAAGGAGGGGGTTTGGAAATGTTTACAAAATTACAAAATTGTTGCTTTTACACATTTTACTTTCACTCCTTATACTATATAGTAATGAAATGAAATGAAATGATATTTATTCGTCTATAGACATTATATAAATGCATGAGACACAGTCAAATTGTATAAATACATGCTGGTAGAGGCACAAGTCAAGTTCAAGCAACTAATAGTAATAATAAAGAATTATTACAACTCATGCAAATAAATAATCATACAAAAGCAGATAAGCTATAGACAGGCTGAAAATACATGCAAGGCTGGTATTAAATAATCATTTGAGGTTATGTCATTGGTTGTAGAGCAAAAAACTCATCAATCATATACAGGGGGTTTCTGACAAGCCATTCATAAATTGCATTCTTAAAACTATTGTAAGGGAGTTGAATTATTCTTGGCGATAGTTTGTTCCACAACTTTCTACCCATAATAATATGGCTTCTTTTAATCTTTTCCAGTCTTGTAAAAGGAATGTCAAGGTTTTCTCTTTTCCTAGTGTCAAAGCAATGAAAATCACCCCTTAGAGCAAAGGTTTCATGCAACTTAAAACTAGATAACAATACATTATAAATATAAAGGTTTATCACAGTCAAAGCATTAAAGTTAATAAATAATGGTTTACAATGTTCATTTTGATCTTTGTTAGGTAAATATAGTTCTAATAATCTCTTTTTGGGCAACAAGAACATCATTGATGTGGTAACTATTTCCCCAAAGGATTATCCCGTAGCTTAGAATTGACTGGACAAGTGCAAAGTAAACATTTTTGAGATGATTTAGAGGCAGAAGGTTCCTTAATTTTCTAAATAAAAAAGTAAGCCTACTCAGTCTTGTGCATATATGTTGTACCTGGGAGTTCCAAGTTAGTTGGGGATCAACAATTACTCCAAGAATCTTAACATTTGAGTTGTTTTTTATAGTTTCCTCCATTTGAGGTATAGGCCGCAAGCTAAATAGCATAGACTGTGTTTTGTCCTCGTTGACAAGGAATTTATTTGCTGCAAACCATTCAGAGGTCAAACTTAGGCTACTTTCCACTGCAGCTACAAGCTGCGTTACATCTGCACCCTTACTTAGAATGGTGGTATCGTCTGCATACACATATGCTTCACAGTTGAGGCTGAAGGGCAGGTCATTGATGGCAATGAGGAACAGGAGAGGACCTAATACTGAGCCCTGAGGTACTCCACAGTTAGTGGATAGGACAGAGGACCAGGTATTGCCTATGCAAACTGCCTGTCTTCGATCAGCAAGGTATATGGAGTATATGGAGAAAGTATCTTTTTTGTCAGCATTTTAATGAGTTTTGAGTGGATATATCCATTTTGGGTCCCCCTGAACCCAAAAAGTGGTTTTTGAAGTGATATCTGTGTCTGTGTGTAGATGTGTACAGAGCCATATACCATACCTGACGTCCGATTTTGATGAGATTTGATATGGTGGTACTAATTCATTATATATCCAGGTGTTTTTTTTCATAAAAAAATGTTAATTGTGATATTCCCATAAAATAACAGAAAATATAAAAATTCTACTACTGAATTGGAGCTCAAATATAAATGAACAATTCTTAACGAACAACAAGTTAACACTAAATACAAAAACAAATTTTGTTCTATTTTATACAAATAAGATCAAACCACTAAAATTACTCAAAATAATAACCCAATCAATCAAGTGAAATCAACCAAATTTGTAGGGTTGATAATAGATGAACATCTAAATTGGAATGAACATATTAAGTATTTGGTTGGTAAAATTAACTCAGGCTTGTTTGTTTAAGATCAATGGCTTATCTCTGTGATAAAGCTGTGTAAAAATTGAAATACCATTTTATAGAATGTCATATTGGCTACGGAATTGAAATTTATGGTGGGACAGCACAATAAAATTTAAAAGGGTTTTGAAACTACAATAACAGGCCATTAGAGTTATTGTAAAATTTAAGAGTAGGAATTCGGTGAAAAAGTATTTTAAAAGAAATGAAAATTATTGAGTGTATGGTTTGTATATTTTTAAAACTATTCAGCATGTTTATAAAGATAAAAACACTGAAGTATCCCATAAATACAATACAAGGTGGAAAAATCTTACTGTAAAAAGTCATCATCGGCTGAAACTTTCAAAAACTAAGCCTTCGTATATCGGCAATTTACTCATAAGAATTTTGCCTGCCTTAATAAAAAAAGATCAAAACAAACCAAATTTTTTGAAGAAACTAAAATCATTCTTAATAAATCTGGCTCCCTATAGTATAGGTGAGTTTCTAAATCAAAAATTAATTAGCTATCCAAAAATCCATTCTAAAATAAATTGTCAAATTGAATGGTTAAGTCTTTTAGATTAAATTGTATAGCCAATTTTGTATGTTTTGGAACTATTCATGTATGTAAAATGTATAAAGTGAATAGGGGAAGTCGGGGCACAACGGGATAGCTGTATTATTTTTGTTGTATGGTGCCTAGTAGTAGTAGTTCACCTAGTAGTGAAGCGTTTTACTTACTATTCAACTCAAAAGGCAGCCTTGGAGGCGATCTTGGTTCTATTGGAAAAGTGTTACGCATCTGAACTGTTGTGACATGGGTATTTCATCAACTTTTTACAACTTTTAGCAGTTTTCTGCGTAAGGTAAGTTATTTAATATCAAGTTTGTAGCTTTTACTGACATATTTTCTTACAGTATGCTTGTTCAGCTCTAGCCTAGTAATATTCTAAGGTGATATAGACGTCTTTTGAATCCAGCATAATTTGATAACCTAAACTGTCTTATCGGGGTGGAACGGGATAGGGCATAGAATGTATTGGTATCCCGTTCTACCCCAATATGTTTTTGTTGCAAGCATATGAAGTAAGTGTTGTCTTACTATTCCAGAGTGTGAGAAATTATACCAGAAAAACTGATCAACAGAAATGCGATGAAGAATCAATGACAGAAGCAGTTGAAGCGGTTAAAAAATTCCAGAACTGAGTTTACTTGAAATGTGTTTGGCATGGCTGCAAAAACTAAGTCTCTCGTCCGGATGAAGATATGAATTTTGAATTGCTTTCATGTTGATGAATTTAATATTGTGATGTAATCATGTAAATAAATACTTTTCAGAATTAAAGATATAAACCAAAACAAAGTTTGTTTTCTTTACATTTGAATCTAAAACTAAATGTATATTTACATTTTAGTTTGTTTTCTCACTAAATGTTTTCTCATTTAATTCCCTATATCCCATTCTGCCCCACAGGAAAATCCCATTCTGCCCCATGGGTGGGGCGGAACGGGAAATATGTAAACATTATTTAAAATAAAAAAATAAAAATGAAATAAACAAATTTAACCTTTACTAATGTTACTGTTTTGTACTAAATAAAATAAGATTTCGTTTTTTACCTTTAAGTCATATTTATTATACACCTTACACTGTGTATGGTAATGTAAACAATAAGTATCCCGTTCCGCCCCGAGTTCCCCTAAAGATATTTTGATTTGGTTTGACTTACTGCTATGGCCATTATAGTAATACCAGAAACAAAAGAACCCTGGGCCGTTTCGAGCCGCGCAGGATTGAATGGTACGCCACCACCGACGCGAAGCACGTGAGCTTTTCGTTTCTGCGCAGGTTGTTTTGTTCTTGTTATGTCTACAGTACCCTAGCGGGACATGGCTTCCCGAACATATTGCCTCCATTCCTCTCTATCTCTTGCCTCTTCCTTCCTTCTTCCCAGTTCTTTTTCCACTTGGTCCCACCATCTGTGATTAATGTGGGTCTCATTAGGGGGGGCTCGCGCCCCCCCTCAAACTAATTTTTATATGTTTGTGTGTTGTTGACTGTTCACTGTTCTGTTGAATGTTATCTTACTTTCATCTCAGAAAGTTGCTGATAGATGTGATTTACGTATTCAGAGTGGGGGAAGTTTTCTGTCTCACATTACGTTTCCTAGCGAACGGTTGTTTAGTCTGCTTAACATAAGAGGTGTAGGATCTAATGGCTGAGCACAATGGAAGTAGCCCTGTAGACAATCTATTTTTACATAAACCTCTTCCTTCATAGTTGTAGCTTAATTAGTGCAGGTAAAAACCTTACAGCCCCACTGTGTTTGAAACAATGCTGACAATAAGATGAGCCAAATAATTTATTTACATTGACTGTAAAAATTTATGTTTAGCCTGTATAACTTTTATGTTTATAGTTTGATTAGCTGCTTGACTGTACATAGTGTTTGCCTAGTAATAGTGATGTTAATGCTACAATAATAATTTGTGCAATTCTGGTTTGAAATTTGTTGCAACGTATGTGATTTTCCCAATACATTATCAAAGCTACACTCACTGTTTACCCATTTAGCATGATAAGGGTTATTGACGAGCTAAGTGGAGATTTTTTCCAAGGACTCTAGGGACGAGCCCGGGATTGTTTTTCACATCAGGCTAGACCTAGGGATCCGGCATTATCATTTTGATAAAACCCATTAGTGATTTGGTGGGATTTGAACCCGGGACCTCAGGAACCAAAGTCCAGAGCTCTAACCACTAGACCAGCTTGCTTCCTGGAGATAGTTAGTGGATACTAATTTAGTTTAGCTGATTGAAAAGCTGGCAAATTCTTTTGGTGGCTAATTTCAATGCAACCATGATAATTATTTTTATTTTGTCTACACATAAAACTCGGAAATTTAAATTGGAAAGCACCAATTTTCTAAACTCAATTATTTAAGACAAGGGTTCTAAAATACAACAAATATCACAACAAGTTGTTTTATTCCAACATGTTTTATTCCAAAAGTTTTTATGAAATCATATAAAAGCTTATAAAGTAAGTATTAATATCCAAGATATGAAAAGAGTATAAAAATATAAAATACAAATTAGAGATACAGTATTGTAGCCTAAAATGTATATGAAAGAAAAGATATAAATGTGAATGCACACAAAATATTTTAAGAGAGAATACAAAGATAAAAAGCTAGAAAAGAGTATAAAAATATAAAATACAAATTAGAGATACAGTATTGTAGCCTAAAATGTATATGAAAGAAAAGACATAAATGTGAATGCACACAAAATATTTTAAGAGAGAATACAAAGATAAAAAGATAGACAAAGTCAAGAAACAAAGTACATGAAATTAAAACAAATGTAAAGAAAATTTGTTCGCAACTGCCGAACAATTTAATTACAATATGAAAAGAAAATGCAGTAGAACCTCGATAACATCAAGTTATTGTCCCCCCCTTGATAGCCAATTAATGTATATTTTCAAATTCAGTTGATTTTATGTCACCCCATAATCTCATATCATCGCAACCTCTAAAGTAATCCAGCCTCGATTACAAATCTTATTTGATAGATGAGGAACTTGTTATCGAGGTTTCACATGTTAAACCATTGTATCAAATTAGCTAATGCTAACACACACAAAAAGAAGCAACTAAAATGTATACCGTTTTATCAATCCAATTAAGATGCTTAGAATTATTCAATAATTCAAATAAAAATACATAAAAAGTGCTGAGCCAATTAATCAATTCAATTAATCAAATTTGATAATACCGTGTGCAATTAGTGATACATGTTAAAATGCTGAAGCAATAATGAATATAGTGAAAAATTGATAAAGTAAGTGATAACAAATGCATTCAACATGCTAAAGAAGAAGTTGAAAGATGAAAACAAAGTAATAATGATGTGAAGCGAAGTAGCAATGATGTGTTGCGAAAGAATGTGTTGTTGCAAAGTAACACCTGAAGCAAAAAAAAATCTGTTACAAAAGAAATAACTCTACAAACTCTAGTTTATTGAAGAAACTGTGTCCGTTCTCCATAATGCTTCAATACTTAAAAATAATAATTACTGTAATAACTAATAAAAGTTGATAAGAATAAGTTCCATATACCGTACATAAAAATAAATAAAAAATACATCTAAGTATAAATCTGCCATTTTGTGATTTTTTTTTTGTTTTGTTAAAATTCAGTGAATAACAATTCGCTTAATCTAAGAGGGATGTGTTTAAATTTAAGTCTTTACAAGCTCTGGTTGTGACCGAGCAATCTGTTTAAATGTTAGACCAATGCCATCCGTCCTACCTAAGTCCCACCGCACATAGGAGCGAGGCAAGGTGCAGGCGAGAGCGAGGACTTTTTGTGTCACCGCACATTGAAGCGAGGCGGGCAGTGGTTTCCTAGCTTTGGTACTACTGTCACGAATGAGGAAGATTGTTTGGACATTTACTGATTCTGATTGTGGGTTTAAAATATATTTAGACAAATATATTTAGTTTTATTCTATTCACTGTCCAAAAACATCAAAAAGAATTTTTGGTAATGTGATGTCATGAAACGTTAAAACATACTCTGCATGGCTTAACTACTGAACTGCCAGACCTGTCTTTTAGAGAATATTTTGATGTAAACAAAAACAACAGTTTGATGAAATCCATAATTTAATTGAATTAGTGGTAATTGGCATTAGTGGAAAGGAATGCAATGTTCAACAACATAAAGCCATTTGAATTAAATGCTCCATTACTATATCTTTCACTCACAAAACACTAGAAAATCAACGCAGGTGCGAGCGAATTGCAGGAAAACTGTATTTTAACTACAACGCCGCGGAGGCCTGACAGAGGCTGCAGCTGTGCTGCGCGGAGGCTGCGCGCAGCTTCTGCTCAATGCCTGCACCTTGTCTCGCTCCAATGTGCAGCGGGCCCAACACGCCACTGTTCCATAGCCAGTTCCCAACTCTATGTGATTATAAGTCTCCTACTAACCTCTACCGAACCCTCGCCCTCCTTAAATAAGTGAACTTATAAAACCTTGAAATAATTTTTAGGTTTATAGATACTACGGTTTCTTTGATCGAGTACAGTAAACCTGTTTTATCGGAAAATTAAAATAAATTGAATTGATTTATAATGTAAGGGAGGAATTAAACTAAACTAACAAATAATAAACTAACCTCAAATTTAACTCTTAGGTTAACTGGCTAAGCTGAAATTTTAAATAAATATTCAAAAAACTGATTGATATTTTCTTCTGTATTTATGCTCATATACACTTGTTTTTCACTGTAAATAGTTTATTTCCTTTCCTTGAAACTCATTTAAATATTTCTCTTTAAATGAACAGTTTGAGAGCAGCTAGCTTTATTATATTTGTTGAAATAAAGTATAAACAATTGTCTAAAGTGAGTTAAATTGACTTCTTTAAAGTGAGTTAAAGCATAGACAAATATAATTAAAAATAGACCGACAGCAGTACTGCGGTTAGCATAAGTTCTGGCGTCCACCGCTGGGAGTGCCGAGTAGTCGCATAGCGCTTAACTACACAGCGCTCCTAGTGGTTGACGCCAGAACTTATGCTAACCTCAGAAATGCCGTTAGTCTATATTTAATTCTATTTGTCTAGGGTTAAAGTGAATGTAAGGAGGAAATAATGGAACAAAACAATAACTAAAGTAATTAAAGCTACAAAAAAACTTTATAATTAAAAACTTAATTATTGTCCATTCACAAAATTTAGGCAGTCCTTGAGAAGGACCGCCTGTGTTCCTACACCACTTTTTTAGCTTAATCTATCAGCTGTCGGCTGTTGTTTCAAAGTTGAGGTCAGATGGAGGGGATGGTCCTCCCTCAAACCGCCTAAATTTTGTGATCGGAGTATAAAAATACACATAAATATTTGGTACTCACTGTCTTTGGCTCAATAGCACTTGCACAATTTCCCTTTGCCCACCATTACACTGCAAAAAAAAATTTTAATTAAAAATCTTTACTGTGTACGATTTATGTGAGCTGGACTGTACGTTCTTAAAAGCTATATAAATCAACTGTTCAATAGAAGAAACAAATAATTACTACAAAAATGAAAATAATAAATTTAGAGCTGTTTTAACAAAAGACATGAATAAAAGGCATTGAGTATTTTCTCATGATCACACCTCAGGAGGAAATAATTTTTGTCCAAACTTAATCTGAAAAAAAATCTGTTTACATAAAAAAATAGATCGGTAAGTAAGCCACGCATAAGTGAAAAATTGCTAAATTAGTACTATTGTTAAGGAAAGCATTAACTTGTAGCAAACAGCGCTTGATAAGTTTCTTGATGATTACGTAGTTACGCACAGATCAGTGCTTGCTTGCTTTGACCAGTAACAAGAGGCATTCTTAAAAGGCTTTGTGAACTGAGTAGAAGTTAAATGATTATAAGAGGGACCCACCTAGACAACTAGTTTTTGGAGAGTTTGCAATCACATCCCGGCAATCCCACCTTGCAGTTAACTGAAAGACAACAATAATGTAAATATACTATATTAAATAGGTGTACATACCTATGTCATCAATCCTAATTTTTAGTCTGGGCGACTAGTTTCAAAACCACGGTTTTATCGTCGAGCCTCCTGCTTCATAAAATCTTCAGAGCACAATATCGTCGTCAATCAGGGCCGGTTTAACCCATACGCAAACTACGCGGCCGCATATGGCGCCACGAAAAAGTGGCCCCGTGGCACCAACGTAATAATTTTTTTTTTTTTTAGTGAACAACGTAATTGTAATTTTGTTTATTTTTGCTCAGAGTTCAAGTATTCAAAGCACCACAATAATAAAGGCATTTATTCTGAACAGCACTTGAAAAATGCGTATACATTTGTACAGCACTACAACTCAAGGATTTAATGCCATTTGCAGTTTCTATTTGTAGTGAGCTGACGCTCGGCAGTCGGCAGCGTACAGCGCGGCGCCTGTGGGTTTCATTTCGTGCGTGACTCATGCTTGAGATAAGCGAGCGCGCAGCGCGACTTGTCACAACAAGAAACTCCCCCTCCCTTCTCCCCTCCTAGAGCTGAGCATTACATTGTATTGCACTCTTTTAGTTGTATACGTACACCTTATCGGTTTCGTATCGGTATTGTTTTGAGGATTCGTGATTCTTGATAAGTGATTGATTACGAGGGTTTTAAGTTTAATTTATAATTAGTGCACTAAATAAGAAAGTATTATTCACTGAATGAATGAGTAAAACATCTTGCAAGCCACTAAGAAAACCATGGCAGAAAAAAAGAAACCGTCGGGTACTTATTATAGAAAGCGTAAGGCGAATTTGGAAGAGGAAGATAAAAAACAAGCCAAATCAATGAGTAGATTTTTGTTGAAATCATCTGGTGGCGAGTCCAGTCAGTCCAAAAGTAATGAAAATAATCAAGAAAGTATTTTACTGCAGAAGGAGGTAAGTGTGCATTTATTGCCGTTTTATTAGGCATTTATATTACGTTGTTAAAGAAAGAGATCTTGTGAACTTTTTATCTATCTATCAGGTATCAGGCAGCTGATAAGCTTCATCCTTAAATGTTCTGTTCACACAAACACAACAGTCAGCCTATGACACCGTAACTAGAAGTTTGTAATTTTTTTGTAAGTTTTAAGCATTTACCTAATAATGACAACGATCCAACTGTAGTACACTTAAATCTGTTCGCTAGTCGTTATGATTAGAAATTTTTGTGGTGTGCAATTTTTGATACTGTACTGTACTTAATGTTATGTTTATGTCAATGGTCATAGACTGGACTCGTGGTTAGGCAATTATAGCTTTAGTGCTAAGAAATATTTGGGTCTTTTGTAGTATGTCCCCGCATTGATGATGATTATAATGTACGGCCTGCCGGTAAGGTTAGAATAGGTTATAGTATGTTATGAAGGTTTTCATTTTAAATATCCTAATCTAACTTAACCGGCAGACCATATATTATAAATATCGATAAAGGAAAAAGCAAGCTTTAGGGAAAAAATCTAAAATGCGGGGATATACTACAAAAGACCCAAATATTTTGTTATTGATGTTTTGTATATATGTGCATGTGTATATTTTAGAGAGCTGCCTCCACAGAAATAGATTTAAGGCCTACCGGACTCGAGTCTACTGCAACTGTAGAACAATTCACGGAAAATTCGAACAACTGCCAAGAAATAACTGAAGAGGTACGTGTAAAAATACGTTTACAACACATAAAACAGAAACACTAGTGCTTTCTATTTTTTTATTACCACTTTGCAATAATTACCGCCGCATTTCGGCGAATCTCAACATTTTTACAGTGCAATAAAGGACAGGGGAAAAAAACAAATGTTTACGCTCTAACATAAAACGGAACGGGCTTTGAATTTGTTTTTACGAGTCATTAAATGAGTAAAAAAATAATCGTTTATAACAATATCAATTATTTATTTAACACTTTATTCTATTGTTGCAGGAATTTCTGAAAGCCGACCTTTTTTCTAACGATTGTGGAGAGTGGCCATCGCAGCTTACTCAGGATACTCGGAAGATTCTTGTCGGAAGACCACTGGTACAAGTCAAACACATAGACTTTCCAATCGACTCTAAAGGTAGAAGGTTTACTCCTAATAACTACACAAGAACACTTCCTAATGGAGAAAAGGTGCAAAGAGAGTGGTTGCTATATTTGACTAGAAAAAACTCAGTATTTTGTTTTCCTAGCAAAGTATTCGGTATTTCAACGAAATCAGTTCTTGCTGGAGACCAGGGTTACTCGGATTGGCAAAACTTATCACATGTTTTAAAGGAACATGAGAAATCGGCTAATCATGGAGATAATATGAAGTCCTGGTATGAGTTGGCCAAAAGGTTATCAACAAATCAAACTATTGATAAGGAATATGAAAAGCTGTTGCAATCAGAAACAGAACATTGGAATCAAGTGCTAAAACGGCTGTTGTGTGTTGTAAAATTTCTTGGAAAGCAAGGTTTGGCGTTTAGAGGTACAAATGATACCCTTTTTAAGAACAACGGCAATTTTCTTCAACTAGTGGAGCACATTGCTGAGTTTGATGTAGTTATGGAAGAACACACTAATGAATCAAAAGTACACTATTTAAGTAAAGAAATACAGAACGAATTCATTAACGTACTTTCCACTCAAATTCAGAACAGCATTTTAAGTGATCTGAAAAAGGCAAAGAACTACTCAATTATCTTGGACTGTACGCCAGATGTCAGCAGAACAGAGCAAATGACCATAGGTTTGTCGATGTAGTAAATAAACCAGAGGCATCCATAAAAGAACATTTTTTTTGGGTTTTGTCCCTGTTAAAGACTCCTCTGGCGAAGGGCTCACAGAATGTCTGTTGAAAGAATTGGAGAGACTAGATATTCCTTTACAGAACATGAGAGGGCAGGGCTATGACAACGGCGCTAACATGAAGGGAAAGCATGTCGGTGTTCAAAAGAGGATACTTGACTTAAATCCTCGAGCTTTTTTTGTACCTTGTGGAAATCACTCACTAAATTTAGTGGTCAATGATGCAGCCCTAGCATGCCGCACTGCGGTTAGCTTTTTTAGTGTTGTTCAAGAAGTCTACAACTTTTTTTGTTTCAACACACCGTTGGACCATTCTTACAAACCATGTATCAGCACTTACAGTGAAACCTCTCAGTAACACTTGCTGGGAAAGCAGAATTGATGCTTTGCAACCCCTGAGGTATTATCTTGATGAAGTTTATGATGCTGCGTATGAAGCCTCGCAAGACACAAAACTTGATGCTTTTGGTAGAAATGATGCTTTGGGGATTGCAAAAAAGCTGCTACAGTTTTCAGTTTGTTTGTTGTGTTGTTACATGGTATGAGGTGCTCTTCAAAATAAATATGGTTAGTAAAGCTTTGCAAAAGATCACATCAGACTTGCAAAGCTCAATGAAACTCATTAAAAGTGTCCAAAACTTCCTTGAGAAAATGAGGTCTGATGAGGGGTTCAGCAGTATGATCACAGATGCTAAAGAAGTTGCGGAAAAAGTTGGAGTTATGACTGAGTTTGAAAAAGAAACGAAAGTACGACCGAGAAAAGTAAAAAAAACAATTCTCATATGAATGTGATGATGAGCCTGTACAGGACGAGAAGACGTCGTTCAAAGTTAACTTCTTTTTTGTTATTTTAGACACTGCAATAGCGTCTTTGAAAGAAAGATTTCACCTAATGGAAGAACACAGCAAGGGGTTTGAATTTCTGTATGCTATTGGTTCCCTAAAAGACTGGGAAAGTGCGAAGTTGCGATCAGCATGTCAACTATTCTAAGTGACGGAGAAGAACGAGATATTGATGGCAATGACCTCTTCAAAGAGCTTGAAGTTTTTTCCCAGATGTTTGACACAAAGGCAGGTTCACCAGCAGAAGCCTTAAGCTACATTACAGCCAATGGCTACGTAAGCACTTTCCCTAACGTTTTTGTAAGTTTAAGGATTCTTCTAACTCTGCCGGTTTCTGTTGCCAGTGGTGAACGGTCATTCTCAAAGTTGAAACTTATAAAGACATATTTAAGGTCTACAATCTCACAGGAGAGCTTGGTTGGATTATCACTTATGGCAATAGAGAATGAAGTTCTGAACCAGATTGATACGGACTCAGCAATTAAAGAATTTGCAAAATTCAAAGCTAGAAGAATTAATTTTTAACTGGTAAGAGCTTTTGAACTGTTCAAATTGTAAATTTTGTACTCTTTTTGTCAAGGTAATAAATTTGGTTTTTCATGTTTTCTACATGTATAACGTGTTCAATTAAAAATTCCTCTCTTGTCATCTACCTACACCTGTATTTCATTGTAATAGGCTTCATTAAAACTTATATCGTATCCAAGTTATCCTGTAAAAATTGTTTTCACATTTATAGAAATAAATTGTTAACTTAGGCCGTGATGCTCGTCAAGCATGACGTCACGATAGAAGCCAGCAATGACGTAGGTATTTATTTATTTATTTTCCAAGGAAAGATTAAAACAAGACAGCTGATCACAAACGGCAAACATTACGTCATTGCCGTCTTCTATCGTGACGTCATGCTTGACGAGTATTACTGTCTGTTTTTTTTTAGTGTGGCCTTGGTTTTGCTAAAGTTTATATGATGAGTAAAAGTGTAAAAATGTTAAATTTCTGGGAATAATTAACAGTCTTGTATTGAAAGTTTCTAACCTAAACTTATAAAAAAGTTCTTCACAGAATCTTTGGGAAAAGATTCACAAATAGAGTTGAGTACTGTAATGTTCATGGGTTGTAGGGGTGATGGGTGGGGGGTGGGGGTGGGGGGAATTCTAAGTGGCGCTGATTCGGGTGTTCGCTTAACTCTGAAAAATTCCTAGAACCGGCCCTGTCGTCAATACAAAAATAGTTAACATATAGCACACACGGATACAATACATTATACATTAACATAAAATAATGCACGGCCGGCTATGCAAGTTGCATCGAGTTCGTAAAAGTGCGTGTTAGGGCCGGCAGTGCATTATTTTAATGTTAATGTATGATGTATTGTATCGGTGTTCATGTGTTCATTGACACATTGACGACGACATTGTGCTCTAACAATTTTATGAAGCAAGAGGCTCAACTATAAAACTGTGGTTTTGAAACTAGTCATCCAGATTAAAAATTATGATTGATGACGTAATTAAGATATAAACCTATTTTTATACTATCTAACAATCAATCCTGGAGGCAATGATGAATAAAATCCAAATTACTTAGCGCATAGAATCGTGTGTCATTTCATTTTTAAATTTGTAAGTTTAGACAGTACACTAAGAAACCTACTGAAAATGGATAAGAATGACTCTCCCATGATAGATGATTGGCTTTAACTATTATTGCAATTTTGAAGAAAATAAAACCCAAGAGGTAAAATTTTCTACTTCAGTAAAGATGACAATTTAGTGATCAAATGTACAGCTGATGAGCTGTTCATAAACTCATCAGTTGATGAAGGTATTTTACAAACGTCAACGTTAAGCATTAAAATTAGTCTTACAGTAAAAACAGAAAATTGCAATACACATTCAATAGAAAACGATTAATTGATAGTCTTATGGAATGTGGTAAGTAAAGATAGCAACATTAATATTTCTTACTTCCAGGGTTGGTTGGGGTGGATGAAGTTTTAGCTGGCTCGTTATTGTCCTCCTTGCACAGCCCCTCTTCTACAAAAACATAAAAATTAATATTGCCATGATAATAAATAGTTATTTGTGTAACTAGTGAGCAAAGTGGCACTTTGCTGCACACGATATCAAGGCTCGTGCGGAATGATCTCGAGTGCAGCAAAGTCCTTTTGCACTCGTGTTACACATTATATTTTTCCTACAGTCACTATAAAGCATAAAAATAATTAGTCTTTCAAACACTACACAACACGTTTTTAGGTTCAGCTGGCAACACAAATAGGTGCCCTAGAGAAAGTAGTCACCGGTCCGTATCACTCTGCTATTTTTTCCTCAGTTCTCCGCGACTTGAGAAAATAGTTCCGTATGTTTTTGTAATTTGAAGTGGTTTCCGCACCTAAAAAAATGCTTTAAAGGTATTTTCTTGTTTATTAAGATCGTAGGAATGTTTTAAAAACGTTTAAAAGATAAGTTCAGAAATACTGAAAAGAGAACATAAACTATAAACTCGAAATGACAGGTTAAATCGTAGTTATAATAGTCAATCAGCTGCTCATAGTATCATTATCATTAAGTGTTGCCAAACTATTTCCAAGCGTACACGGATTACGTGCATAATAGAACCACGCTGTTTTGTGTTGTTTCGTTATTTCGGTGTTAGTGTTCATCACTTTCCACACCGATACCTAATTACTTAAAAAATGCTAGTGTTTTTTCTCTGTTTTTATAGCTTAGATTGTTTAATAAAACCTCTTAGTAAATTTTCAATAAAATATCTATATATTTTCTCAGTCAAATTCCTTAATACCGGTACTGTAATTTTTCTTTACAAGAAATAATAAATAACTTCTTGATCAGCATTGTACGTGTTATTAGAAAGAAATAATACTGAAAATCGTAACTACGTTATAGAACTTTTCATCCGAAGAAAGAGACAACAAAGTAGAGCATGCACCAGTAACAGGTTAAACTCTTTATAACTTTATATATTGTGAAAAAAATACTGTTGAAGATGAATATGTGTGTACCAAACTATAAAGAAAAATTCTTTTGTATATTGCACTATCTTACTTAGTGATGCTTACCAATCATCTTAGCCAAGTTGAACCCATTCCAGTTCCACATATCATACTCTTGGAAAGTTTGTGACACCACCTGATTGTTCTGGCTGTCCCTGACTGCAACACAATATAACCACACTGGTGATTCACAAAAGTAGAGACTCTTAAGACATTGCAGTTGCAGACACAAGAAACACTCATTACGTTTATATTTTAAAGACAAGCCAATTAGCTGTTTGTGGAATAATTTGAATTATTGACTGCCTTACAGCACAACACAGGCTATTAGAGAATATACTGGATTGTAGAATGTACAGTTAATTTATCTTGGTATTATAATCATTAAAGTACCATTGCGCTACAAAAATAAAACAGTCGACTCATTCTTATCAAGACACCTTTTAACTAAACAACGATTAAAGCGTACTACACTTGGCAGAGTGGCATTGAAATTCGATGAAAATCAGTGAAAACCCAAACAAGACTTCCTCAATAAACTTTCCCATCAGTTGGTGGGTTCAGTCAGTCTTCCCTCTCTAATAATTACAGTGATGTCACAGACAAAAATATTAAATTAAAACCCTATAATCTATCAAATGTTCACCGTCCATCGTGTTGATCGTTACAAACAGTACTCAAATAAACGGAACCATTTAAATAACAAAAAACACTATCTTCTAACCTCAAACCGTCCGTCAGGCGTCCAAACAATCCAAAAATATCGGTGGAAAGAAATCTGAAATTGACTGACGGACACTGACAGAGCGACTGACGGAACTGCGCCGGATGAGTGTAGATAACGCAATAGAAAATCCATTAAAGAATATTTTGGTTGACTGACGTGACTGATATGTCTGAACTGTGACGTTCCTTAACTGATATGTGTGGATCGACCTTTAAAGAGTAACTAAATCTGAAAGAAAGACATTTGTAGCAAATAAAGAGAAGAGCAGCAGCAATTGATCTAGAAACACAAGAATGAAAAAGATTTGCCAGCACACCTGGATCCAAGGGACCGAAGCTGCTAACTTGATGATGATTTACTGTATCGAAACATTTTGAGAAATACCAAAAATAATTTGACTAAGATCATAGAAGAACAGTCAGATGAGGCAAATATTCAATGTAGCCATTGCCTCCAGTCAGATTTGTTTGGAAATTACATGGTTTGGTTGAAAAAATTATATTTACCAAGGATTACGATTTACTATAGTCTGTACGATGGAACCTGTCTCCTAACTTGAGATATACTTGGTGGGTGGCCAATAGTTATAATCCCCTGTTAGAACTTAAATGTGGCACTAAAAGTAGTGAAGTGGTGCGGCTTTGCATATTAACAATATTCTTTTCCTACAGTCACCCGACAAAGTTGGCTTCCTTGTACTGTTTATAGTACAGAAAGCTGCTAATTGCTGCATATTTATACTTTGCCGTACGGTTTATACTTTGCCGCACATCAGGATTCCAACGAAACAACACTAAACAGCGTGGTTTTATTATGCACGTAATCCGTGTACGCTTGGAAATAGGTTGGCAACACTTAAAGATAAAAATACTATGATCAGCTGATTGACTATTATAACTACGATTTAACCTGTCATTTCGTGTTTATAGTTTCGGTATTTCTGAACTTTCTGGACTTTTCTTTTAAACGTTTTTAAAACATTCCTACGATCTTAATAAACAAGAAAATACCTTTAAAGCATTTTTTTAGGCGCGGAAACCACTTCAAATTAGAAAAAAATACGGAACTATATTCTCAAAACGCGGAGCACATTTCTTGCCGAGGAAAAATAGCGGAGTGATACGGACCGCGGGTACTACTTTCTCTAGGGCACCATTTGTGTCGCCAGCTGAACCTAAAAACGTGTTGTATAGTGTTTGAAAGACTAATTATTTATATGCTTTATAGTGACTGTAGGAAAAATTTAATGTGTAACACGAGTGAAAAAGGCCTTTGCTGCACTCGAGATCATTCCGCACTCGCCTGCGGCTAGGGCGTAAACATTGCTCTCGTGTGCAGCAAAGTGCCACTTTCACCACTAGTTACACAAATAACTATCGTTGCAACAATCATAAGTTTACAATCAATCATAAGGATTTAACACTAGATTAAAAACAAAGTTGATTAAATTTTGTCTCAGTTTACATTGGTAACACTTACCTGGATCGTATTGCCAAACAGGATCACTTAAGCTTCTTTTGGGAACTCGCATAAATTGGTGGCTGAAAAGACTTTGACTTTGATCAGTTATACCACTGGTACCTGAAAAATAACATAAATGTTTTTTAAACAACATAAACTTTTTCTTGGCATTTTGCCGTCTTACACAGACAAAACTATTTAATTCCGAATTTATATGGTATTATTCAAGCATAGACTAGCTTGAACTGAGGGTATATGTAACCGTGATTACTAAAAAATACTTTCTTACCAAATTGAACAAGTTGAATTTGCTAGAGCAAGTCTATAAAAAATTTACATGCCAAAAATGTAAATCGTACCAGGTCCGTTAGCAGTTGTCTTCAAGGAAATGTTTCCAGTCAAGCCATTTTGGGGATTATATTGTCCGGTCCCTGTAGCAAAAGAAAAATATTGCTCAAATCAATGGTTCAGTCAAAATTTTCTTCCAATTGTAAAGATTACACAGTTGATGTTTATTCAAATTCAAACCAATCAACAAAGTTATAAATTAGCGATGGCAATACAATATGCGAAATAAAATCTCATCCCCTATCTGCAGAAAAAAATCCCAGAAACACAATTGCCATGCTATCCTCATCCGCCATCTGGGCACTTCTGTATTTATGAAGACGATTTGAATCTCCTAACTGATTTAATGTAGTAATTACATGTGATATGGCAAGTGATATTATACCTAAACGATATTTATTATACCTGCAGAAGATGAGGAAATCCCATTGTGACTGGAGTAAGTAGGGTTGGCTCTCTGCTTGATTGGTGAATTTTCAGAACCTGTAAACCAAAGTTCGTACAGCTAAAGATGAATTGATTATTTAACACAATTTCCCAAAGTATTCTCAGTATGCCTGAAATTTGTAACATTAATTTGAGTGAATTACTTCTTACACATGACAGGTTGTCTGTTCATAACATTCCCGTCTCAGAAGCCCAGCTTAGTGTATTTTAAAGCAGGGTCCCACAGGCCCAGGGATCGGTTTGTGTGTTTCTAAACGGGGTCCATTATTTTCAAATGGGGTCTCACAGACCGGGGGTTTTGGTTAGTATCAGCCTGGGTAGGGTTTTGGTATTAGTGTGAACGGTGGAGAAACAAAGAACAAATTTTTAACATGTTTCTATGGTTTATTACCATTCTATGTTATCACTCCTCTCCATTTATCCGACCTTGCTAGGTCAGATCGTTCCGATAAGCAAGAGGCTCTACTGTAATTGGAATGTTAATCTAATTTACAAAACCTAGTTCAGAGTAAATGAAAATTTTATAGAATCCACAAAAAATGTACCTCCATTAATGATGACTCCAGAATCAGAGGGGCTCAGTTGGTATATATCTGCTTGGGATAACTTTTTCCACGGCTTAGCCTGCAACAGAAAACAAATTGTTAAATTTCAGATAACAAAATATAAAAAAAATATAAATGTGATAAAGCACATGACAATAAATAAACCAAGCGTTTATAATGTAAAACATTCTAGACGTGAATGAATGAATGAAATACGTTTATTTATCCCAATGTTATTACATAAAGATAAAGATAAATAAAAACAGAGAGCAAGATTAACTACAGTAGTACAAATATAATTGTCAAAAAAGTGCTACATTGGATGAACAACCTGAAGTTTTAGGAAAGTTGTAAAGCACTGTGCGCGTACAAATCTTTAGATCTTTAGAAAGAAAAAAACAGTGTAATAAAACTTCGCAGAACATTCATCTAGAATATCTAGAATATGAATGCATCTGAGCAAATTATATGTAAAATAAACCAGCCACTTAGTTGAACCATAGACAAAAAGAATTAAATATAGACTGTCAGCCGTGATGTTGTTACCATAGGTTCTGGTGCACACCGCTGGGAGCGCCTTGTAATTACATATCGCATATGCCATAACTATGTGGCGCTCCCAGCGGTGTGCACCAGAACCTTTGGTAACCGCAGCACAGCTGACGGTCTATATTTAATTCTTTTTGTCTATGGCTGAACTAAGGGTTCCCACTCGTAAAAGCGATCAAGGGGTCCGTACATAGAACATTACAGAAAATACAAAACTTGGATATTTGCATATTGCTAAAAGATAGCATTGTGATGACAATACAGGGTTTCTGGGGGTCTTCTGGGATAGGAATGTCTGCTATTTATGTACAGATTGAATAATACAGGGTCCAATATTGATTCTTGGGGAATACCTGAATTGATAATGGTTCATTTCAAATAGACAAATAGACAAAATCTTTATTGAAATATTCCTAGAGAACATTCATGCGTCAGGTACATAAAATGTACAGTATGTACGTAAACTATTACAGTAATTTGCAATTACAATTAGAATTTTTTTCTTCTTTTTCTTCTTTTTTTCATGGTAGCTTATTGTTTAAGAATTCATCCTCAGAGTAGAACGGCCGGTCCATAAGCCATGTTGTCAGGTGCTTCTTGAGCAGATTGGGTTGTTCTCTCTTGAGGTGCTCTGGTAGGTTGTTAAAGTACAGAGCACCTTTGTAGGATGGTTTCTTCTCGTACAGACTCAGATGGTGTTGTGGGAGGGAAACATTGGCGGCATGTCGTGTGTTGTGCTGGTGTATGTCTCTGTGTCTTGGCTGGGCTGTTTTAGTGGTGTGGATAATGACTTCTCTTATGTAGAGTGAAATTGATGTGAGAATTTTAAGGTTCTTGAAGGCTTCTCGGCAACTGTCTCTGTAGTTCAGGTCGGCAAGGCATCTAATTGCTCTTTTTTGCTTTAAGAGAACTCTTTCCAGGTTGCCTTTTGATGTTCCACCCCAAGTCGCAATGCCATATCTGAGGTGGGACTCGAATAGAGCAAAATATGCAACTTTGGCTACTTCTGGGCTGCAAGCTTGCTTGATCCTACGTATAACGTAGAGACTTGAACTTAGCTTTTTGCAGAGCTGGTCTATGTGGGGTTTCCATGATAGCTTGGAGTCAATTATGATGCCTAGGTATTTTGTGGTGTTTTGTGTTTGTAGTCCCGGTATTGTAATGTCTGTGTTGTTGCGTTTGGTGGTGAAAGTCATTTGAACGGTTTTGCTTTCGTTTAGAACTAGGTCGTTGGAGGTACAGTATTGCTTTGTTCTCTGGAGTTGTGTGTTGGTTTTCTCTTCCAGATTTTCCATTGTTTTGTCCGCAAATGTGAGAACCGTGTCATCTGCGTACATGGTGGTGTGTCCATCTTCCCCAATCCAACTAGGTAGGTCATTCGTGAGAAGGAGGAAAAGGACTGGGCCAAGTACTGATCCTTGGGGTACTCCTCTTTGCACGTCTACAGCTTTGGATTGGGCCTTATACTTAGTGTTGTTCTTTATGTAGGCTATTTCCACAAGCTGTTTCCGGTTACTAATGTAGCTTTTAAACCATTCTGCTGCTCTTCCTCTCACGCCTAGTGTTTCCAGCTTGAGTAGAAGAAGTTCGTGGTTTAGGCAGTCGAAAGCTTTACTAAAATCTAGGAAGAGGCTTGTTGAAGTGCTGCCTTCTTCTAGTTGGTCTAGTATGTGCTCCGTCAGTTGTATTAAGGCTGTGGCTGTCGATCTGCCTTTGATAAATCCATGCTGTTGACTATTGAGAAGGTTGTGTTCTTGAAGATGGTGTAGGAGTTGGGCTAGTACTATCTTTTCGATTATTTTTGAAAATGTTGATATTAGGGAGATTGGCCTGTAGCTGTTTCTTTCTATCGTTGGTCCATTTTTGTATTTTGGGTAGACTTTAGCTATTTTTAATTTATCTGGGAATTTTCCTTGTGAGAGTGATTTATTTATGAGGTCTGTCAGGGGTATTACTATTTCATTTTTACAGTTTTTTAGAAGTTTAGCTGATACCTCATCAGTTCCGGATGAATTTTTCATCTTTAGAGATTGAATGGCCTTTTGCACTTCTTCTTGTGTGACCCGTCTGAACTGGAGTGTGTGATGTGTTGCTGGTAAGTGGTCTGTTAAGGCATTGGTTCTAGAGTTATTGTTATTTTGGAGTGTTCGGTCGGCTATTGATGAGAACAAATCATTAAAACAGTTTGAAACTTCTATTGGGTCGTCTATTGTTTTATTGTTGACTTGAAGATGGATTTGGTTTTCAGTATTTGATCTCGCTTCCCTTTCTCGGTTTATTGTTTGCCACAGTGCTTTGGACTTGTTTTCAGCCTGGTTTATGTGAGCTGTGTTGTTTTCTTTCCGAAGCATTTTCAAATGCTGGTCGTACTCCCTTTTTTTAATAGTTGTTCTGGCTTTGTCTTCCATAAGTCCGGTTGTTTGCTCCTTTTCTAAGGCCTTTATATATTCATTTTTAAGTCTAGCCGATTCTTGATTCCAACACTGTCTCCTTTTATGTTGTTTAACTCTTGACGTTTTAAGAGGGCAGGCGTGGTTTAGTGTTGTCTGGATGATGTTGCTGAAATTGTTGTAGGCTTCATCTACGTCATGAGTTTGTAATTATAGTTTCCCAGTCTTGTTCTTGTAGCTGTGTCTTAAAGTTATCTATTGTTGTTCTGTTGAAGATTCGTTTATTTTCTTTGATGTTGTTGATGATCGGTTTTCTAGTGATGATTTTTGCGATTTGTGCGGTATGGTCAGATAGTCCTGATGTTATAACTGAGGTTTCTATTTGTTGATTATCAATGTTTGAGCATATCCAGTCTATTGATGTTTCTGAGTCACTTGTAATTCGAGTGGGAGGTAGCCTCAGTCTTGAGATATTGAAGGAGGTTAGGAGTTCTTCAATTTTTTCGTTTTCATTGTCATCAACTAGGTTGTTTACATTGACGTCTCCCATTATTAATATTTGCTTATCCGTAGTGAGCACTGTTTCCAATTGTTCAGAGAGTATATCGATGGCTTGGTCTAGGTTTGCACTTGGTGGCCTGTATACTCCGAGGACCAGAGGTGGATTCCTGTTTAGCTTCAGTTCAAAGAGCACAGTTTCGCAAATTAGTTCTGTTTCCTCGCTACTTGTGCATATGAGTGAAACATGCTTTTCCCAGCCACTTCTTACATAAGCGACCACTCCTCCTTTGACATGGGATTTCCTTGAGAAGCCTCCAATAAGTGAGTAATTTTCTACCCACGTGTTTTGCAAGTTTTGTTGTGCTACGCCGTGCTCTGTTATTATGATCAGGTCCGGGTCTTCATCTTGGAGGAAGTGTGCTAGTCTATCAGTTTTTTTAGATAACCAATTTATGTTTTGGTGTAGAATTTTAAGTCCTTTTTGGCTATTAGGTGTTTGGAATTTTACTGTACGGAGTGTCGGAGGGGATGTGTTACATCTTTGAGCTGGTTTTTGTGCTTTTCTCTGGGATGAGGGTGTTCTTCTAAAAAATGATGTTGGGAGGTGGGAGTGTTTAGGGGTTCTTGTGTGCAACTTTGGTTTTTGTTAGTTTGTAGTGTGTTTTTATACTTTGGGAGGGGTGGTTCTGCGATTTTCTCAATGTTGATGTGGTATTTGGAAAGTTCCTGGGAGCTAAGCAAGTTTGCTTGTTGTATCCAACGGCCTAGTTTATCATTACTGCTGGGTGTTATGTAAAGGAATGAGTGTGTGTGCCTTGAGATAGCAACGATGCAGTGGTGCTGCGATTCATAAATTTCTTCTCTTTTAGCAGATGTTCGTATGACAGCTATGTTTTCTGCTTGCCGTCCTTGAAATTCATGTATCGTAGATGCGTTGAAACCTAGCTTGTTTAGTTCTCTTTTCTCAGCTTGTTTGAAGACCAAGCATTTGTATTTATTTTTGTTGAGAGTGAGGTTCAGGCTTTCTAGTCCCTGATACTGCTGTGTCGCCAGTTCTTTCTCTGTCTGGTTGGTGGTTTGCATTCCTTGGCTGTAGAATTTTGAGAGGATGGCTGTGGTGCTCTTTGTGCATCTGTATGTGGTGTTTAGTATTTTTGTTGTTGTGGCTATTTCTGTAATGTTGTGGTATTTAACTTCTAGGTTCTCTGCTCTGTTTATATATGGTATTTGGTTAATGTCGCCAATAAGCAATACTTCTTTAGCAGTTGATAAAATGGCTGCAAAGAGTATTTCTCCGGCATGCATCATTAGGGCTTCGTCGATGAAGAGCCTGTTATAGGTGTTTCCTCTCTTAAGATGTTGGGTGGAGTTTATTATGAATGAATGCACGGTTCGGAAGGTGTCATTGCATTTTGCCTGGCTATGGTCTGGGTGGTTGGTTTTGTATCTCTGTCGGAAGTCCATTGCCGCATCTCTTGTAGGAAACAGGATGAGGTCCCCTGTAGCATAGTTGTTGAGTAGGAAAGTTGTTTTCCCACATCCTGGCACACCTTGGACTAAGTTCAGTTTAGTGTTGTATGAGTTTTTAATGTCAATGTGTTTTGTGCTATTATAGAGATGTAGTTCGTTTAGGAGTATTGTCTCGTCTGATACTAAGATGTTTTGATTAATTGCTATGTTGTTTGGGGCAGTTGCATAATTTCCATTACCTTTCCTCAGTAGTTGCACTAGACGTGCATAACAGAGCAAAGAGCATAACAGAAATACCCCCGCCGCAGCAAACCTGCAGTCTTAGCGAATTTCCATTTGCCTGATTGGATACTAAAATGTCTCCTTAAAAATATCACATTTATTCCCTATTTAAACAGAATTAGTTTAATGAGTACTTAGGTTTGCTGCAACAGGGAGGGTAAAAAAGTTTTTTTTATGTAAAATATTAAAAGGTAATGTGGTTTAGTAAGAAATTAATGTATTTTTCAAAAATGGGAAAAACCTATTTTTACCCCATAAAACCCCCCATAAACCCCCGTTCCCACAGTCCGATCATGCTGGTTCGCGAACTCATTCAAGTTTATCCCGCCTTACACCTTCAAACCAAATTTTATCAAAATCGGACAAAAATTACTCAAGTTATCGTGCGGATGGACACACACACACATATATATATATATACCATAGATATATAAAAATTTGAACGAATGGTGTTTTTGGCCTCTGGGGACATCAAAATGAAAAAGTAAATCGGTCCCGGGCTTAGGTCTTACCATGAGACCTACGGTAATAGCTACTTCCCTATAGGGAAATTCGC